AATTCTATCCTTTGAATTTATACATGTTTAAGCTTAACTTTATATATCTATTATTTTATCCCTACGGAATTCCATTCAAGCTGTCTATATTGAGAGTATTTTCCCCAACATAACTTTTCTAAATATTACAACTTGTAGTCTAATACTCAGGCATTTTTGTTCTTTACTACAAAATGTGAGCTTTGCAACTTTGTCTGGAAACAGCCTCACTCTCTCCCTCTCTCTATTATACATCTATAACTCCACGAGCAACAAACAGACTATGTAGAGCCGAGTGTGAGTCCAGCATCTCTGCCATTTATCCCCCGTTTGGCTGACGAATTAAAATAGAATCTGCCTCGTGTGTGTGTGTGTGTGTGTGTGTCTGTAAATCTCATCAGTGGCATATTTCGCCAAAACGAAAATACCATTTGGAAAGTTTGCCGCTTCGAGAGTGCAGTTTAATTTGTCCAAATGAATATTTATTTGTACTGAGGCGCATGCAGCGTGTGGAAAAGCTCCCGTGGGGGCGGCTGATGCGATTATCGGAGTTAAAAGGTATGCAACAGGCTAACAAACTGGCAAACTTTCAAATGCACGAGCTGATGGGGGTGGGTTTTGTTTGAAATTGTAAATATGAGGCACGCCATTTGGAGAGAAGGCTTGAGAGCGACTCCTTCATACTTCGCCACACTTTGTGTGCAGTTTTTTGGGCGAGGGTGGCAAAGTTTGTTAAGGAGAGTGAAATTTATTCTTGACAGTGCGAGAAAGAAAATACGCTACAAAACACTTGTATGGTATTTGGCGACGCTTCCCAAAACAAACCAACACATAACGAGGTTTAAGGCTGTGAAAATGGCTGTAAAAAATTGATGGAAAATTCACACATTAGCATCAGGGGCTGTATTGTGAATTTTTCATTTTATTCCCTCTTTTTCTTCTTCGCACGCACAGAAAGGCAAGGCAAAAAAGGGGAGCATCCGAAGGGGTGTTTGCAAAATAATGTCAATATGTTATTTATGGCTTAGCATTTTCCATCCCTCTGTGGGTAAAACTCTTGTTTGAGCAAAATCTTCTGGAGGGTTGAGATTCGCGCGCACCAATTTAAATAGAGTCACTTGATTCTGTGCAATTTTTCCGCAATCTTGCGGAAATCTCGGAGATTTCGCGGAAATTCCCTGCCCAAGACCATCGGCACGTTTCCCCACACCATCGTGAGTTTGACTCCTTTGTATTTCGGTGGGTGGTGAGCAGGGTAACACACTGAGCAAATTCCATACATTATACCGACTCTTTTAGGTACATACGTCATCAAAATAAACCATCCATAATTCGCTTTTCCACGATGCTGTTAATTGAGAAAACACCGGAAAAACTCCAGCCAGTCTCGCATAAGAGGAGCAATCTAATAATAATCTCTTCCCTGCGCTATGCACACTCTTTTCACCGTCCCTGGGAGATTGTTAAAATATTATTCTATTTGCAACTCCGCAGGTGAGGACTTGTGTGCAGTTGATGCAGAAAAAGCGAGTGTCAAGGCAGAAAGTGTCCTGTGACACAAGGACGTGTTGGTGTGTGTGAAAAGTCTGGCGCAATGAAAATTTCTGTCTGGAATAACATTATTGTAGGCGGTGGGCAGAAAGAGTGGGTGGAAGTGTGTCTGTGGGAAAAAATTGACTGGCAACTGCATGTCGGAAATAATGAAGCCAGGTGGTGCTCTCGCGTAAAAATGGCACCAACTGCGTGGTAGAAAAAATTGTATAAACATTGGGGGGTCCGCATACAATTTATTTTCATGCATCGTGAATTTATTGTGTTACATGTCCACAAGTCACAGGTGAAAGGTTGAATTTTTTATTGGCTTTTCTAACACACGTAATGCAGAAAACCGTTGAGTTGGTATAGAAATCTGGGCGCTTCAAATGACTCTAATGGGTCGTCTTTTCACCAACCCCCTGACCTTCTCTAAATGTTTGAAAAGAAAACGCCACCACCTTTACGACTCTTCGTCTTTACACAAATCAAAGGTGAAGAAATCAAATGGCAAATTGAAGGATGGAGATGGAAAAGAGGTGTCCTAAAAGCCACCAATAGAGAGAGCAAATGAAATGGGAGAGTTGAGTGAAAAAAGCGAAGAGTAATACATTTCACGCTGAAGTCTAAATGTAATTGAATTGAATCGATCTCAAAGACGCTGCAAACCGTCTTGCTCCATCCAACTTTTATTTGCCTCTTTGTTCTCTTTTCTTCACAAACCTAAACTGTGCTTCATCTCATTTGAAAAGCGATTTACCGTGGCGAGATTCACTGCCGAGGTAAAGTAGTTACCCATAGAGCTTTCAATTCACTTCTTTTGGACTCCAACTTTGCCTGCTTCCCACATGCTGCCTGTTGGATCGAGAGGCTGCTAAGTACTCAACCTGATGAACTGCTTGTCTTTATCAAACTGAGCAGTCTGTCTAATGAAAAGCCTTTCTCTTCACTTTAGAGAATTTATCCATACATTTTTTAAACCCATTGCCAATGCCAATGGTAAGCCCTCATCGTGTGGTTCTCCTTGCCTATTTGTGAGGCAAAACGATGGCATAAATTCCCTATTTCCACCCCCACATCTGGTGCACGAAATTGCTGAAATATTTTATTCATTGAATTATGTGGTGCAAGTCGGAGCAACTCTATCCGGCAGTCTTTCCACTGTCTTCGCCCCACACCTTCGAAATTCAACAGTCTTTCTGCCTCATTCTTCTTGATTGCATGGCTGCAATTCTGGCTCAACTCGAACCACCCAGAAGCTTTTTCAGCGCCATATGCAACAGGCCGTTTAACCCCCACGAGGGACTGGAACGGAGCCAAAGTTGCACGAATGATACATACAGCACAAGGGCGATAAATGCTGCAGGCATGGGAATTTTCATGGGTGCAGGAAAGCCACGCGACAAGTTGCCAAATATCCTTTATGTATGAGGCCTCGTGCAGTTTTTTCTGGTGCCCTGGAACCCGAGATTCATGAAGTGACGGTGGTAAATTGACGTGGGAAGTGCTAGTGAGTTATCCTCATACATGATAAATAGCATAGAAAGCACACTTCTTGCAGGTAAATTTGTAAAGAGACACGCTGCAAGTATGCTGACAATGCCGCTTGAAAGCTCTCGTGCGCCCGTGATGAATTCATTATCACACCAATTCGTCACACTGCCATGGAATTTAGAGAAGCGGGTAAAAGCAGGAGTAATGGCATTTCGTACAGCTGCAATTATATCAAATAGATTCACATGAAAAAATAGACGGCACTTTTAAATGGAATGTTGAAATATACCTTCTTGTAGTCCTTCAGAAGTTAATTTCTCAACTCAGTGCATTTGCGCTTGAGAAAAGCTCATCACAACTCCATACGAGAGACTGCCGAGCTCACGTCTAGAGACAGCTCAAAAGAAAAGTCTCATCTCGAGGGATGATATGAGCTCATGCAGTGTAAAATATTCTCAAGAGTCAATTTACTCAGCACACCGAGTAATTACGAGGAGGCATGGAATGTCCCTTTTTCTGCTCATCGCATCTCCGAGGCATGAATAATGCCACTCCAATTGAGCCTCTCGAGCTTTAGTTAATTTCCTTTAGAAGTTGCCTTATGGTGCAAATTATGAAACTCATGTTTATGATGATTAATCGTGAGGATGGGATGAGGATAAAATATCGTGGATGAATGATGGTGCAGAAAACGAAGATATTGTTCCATTCTTTAGCGCAGTTTTCTACACACACACACACATACACATTCTGATTCGATAGACAAGGAATGGCATAAAAATTTGTCCCAGATGAATTGACCCCAAATCCCACCCATCGGGCGCTCTCTGCATGCAAGCTTCCCTCCTTGGGCGCATAAAAGTTATTTTTATTCCATCCATAGCATTGGAATTTTATTTCCCTCCGCAAACAATGATCACCACTAGTCTCATCCCTGCTGTATCTGAGAAATTGAAAAGATGCTGATCTCATTCATTTCACTTTATACATCTCTCCGTCTCGACGCCCCCGCCATGCGAGGGAATTGTGTCATGTGATGATTTCCCAATGCTGAGAAGCATGTCTATAAAGTTGATCCCCCCAGTGGAAATACAATTGGCCAGTATGCAAAGAAGGAAAGGTTCTTTGGCAACGATGGCCAAAATGATGGAGGATGTCGTCTCAATATTCTCTCAATTCCTCGTTGTCGTTCACCCAAAATTCCGGACACAATTGTCCAATTTCCGCTCATGTTCTTATCCCACTTTCATTCTCTCTGTCTCTTTCTCTCTGGCCTCGGGCTTCGCCTTCCGATTGAGGTTCTTCTGAAGCTGAAAAAGTTGTGATTTTCCAATTGAAGAGGCACATTTTCTCCCAATATTTCCAATAAATCACACACAGAACATTTCAGAAGGAGAATTTTTAATTTAACCTACTCATATAGCCAAAAACCAATGGACACAAAGACCAGCTGTAACAAGGGTGAAGTTGCTGATGAAAAAACGCACAATAAACTCCCAGTTGTTGGGTGCAAAACCCTTAGCGCTTGCCTCATCAAATGAGGGGATGTTGCGAATGGAGAGCGGGGATGAGAGTGAGCTTTTAGCTAGCAAATGGCTCACATTCTTTTCATCCAGTGGAAAACAATCTAAAATTAAAATTTCATATTATCTCTCCATCTATGGCATATTTTATGCTCTCTCTCTTTGTTAGCTTGAAGCATAGGGCGATGTACTTAAATATTTTGCAATATTAAATATTTTTCTTGGGTCGCGGGGAACGAGAAACGGAGACCGAAAAAAGCTCAATATAGACAAAACAATGTAATATTCCCTGAAAATTCCTCTCATTCTGCCACTCTTGAGCATGCTGAAGATGAAGGCGCAAGAGAAAAAAGTCAAAAAGCCCCCATTCACTAAAAGCTTCTTCTCTCCGCCGCCTCGCCTAATGAAATTCCAGTTAATGGGCTGTGATGGTGGCAAAAGCTCAGACAATATGTTTCTCTCCTTTTGCAGGGTGCGTCATCGAGTTTGGTGGTAAAATTTGCTGATACTGAGAAGGAGCGACAACTGAGACGTATGCAGCAAATGGCCGGTCACATGAATTTGCTAAATCCCTTTGTTTTCAATCAGTTCGGAGCGTATGGTGCTTATGCACAGGTGAGTTACCTACGCGCATCTTGTCTATGCCCAAAGCCATGACTCACGATGAACTCTTGCTCATTGCAGCAGCAACAGGCGGCTCTCATGGCCGCAGCGACTGCTCAAGGAACGTACATAAATCCCATGGCTGCGCTTGCAACACAAATACCTCATGCACTCAATGGTAAAGTGGGTGATGGACAGCTGGAGGGACAGGTGGTAATGGCTTGTTTGCCCGCAGGCTCAGGACAACCAGTGAATGGAACGATTCCGTCGCTGCCATCTCCCACTATGCCAACATTTAACATGGCAGCCCAGACGCCCAATGGTCAGCCTGGAGGCACCGAGGCCGTCTATACAAACGGCATACCTCAAACGTATCCAGGCCGTAAGTTGGGTGCAAGTCACGCCTGAGCGGGGACTAAACTTTCTTCGGGGTCTAGTTTATAATCTAAAGTTATGGTGTAGAATCAAGATTGAAGACCTGTGCAAAGAATTTGCTGTCTAAAGCAATTTTGACATAGTTTTTTTTGACTAAACCTACACCTAGGTCATCCCAGCCTAAGAATATCCACAGGCCTATGACTTAAATCGTGGATCATACGTTTTTACACATAGATTTTCACATAGAGATTTCACAAGTTAACTCATCAGTCTGTGGACGCTCTAAAGGCACTTAGGCTTACTAATCAAGTAACACAATCTCTTCTGTCTCTCCTTCAAAGATGCCCTTCACTTATCAATTCCAACGCAAGGACTACCGAATGGGGATGCTGCTCTTCAGCATGCTGCGTATCCTGGAATGCAACCGTATCCAGGTGTTGGTAAGTTCCTTTTGTCCGATCTTCACGCATTCTCCACCCCGCAAATACTTATGCTCACACACTCCATCGCATCCCAGTGTCAATCTCTCTTCTTTGTCATTGTCAAATTTTTTCCTTTCAAACGAGATATTGTGGCCAAATGAGTGTTTTTCTTGTTATCCATATTGAAAAGATGAAATTCTGTCTATATTTGAGAAAAGAGAAGATGAGAACGTAAAGCCATTGAGCGTTCCCGATATATTAATCATTATGTGTTGTGACAATATATTGAGTGTGTTTTATTTTACGTACATCTTTTTGTTACTTTTTTTTACTAAAATATACATAATATTTGATTTTCTCTTTCTTTTTGCCATTGACTTCTTGTCTATCACTTTTTTGTTTCTATGAATATATATATTATGAATATATATTAGATGTAGCTACTTTATATATTCTCTATATATAAATGTTGTGTGACACTTAAATATTAAGTATATAACTACACAAAGTGGGGTCTTTGTCAATTCACTTTTGTTTCAAACATGTCTTCTCGAGTTTTTTGCTGTTGTTTTCACACTTTATTATTCTTCTCTATGGCTCTTCTTTAATTGCTGTACAAAATACTGGCGAGAGGGGATTTTTACCACCAATCGCGATGGTCAATTCAGGGATTTTCCATGTGGACGCGCGGAATTTAAATCCGTAAAACCACTGATTGACATAAAATTGCAAATAATTCCACGGGGGACAGTTTAATGCGCACAAATGCCATGACACATGTTTTAATGAGGTGTTCCCGGACATGAACGGTTCGCGAATGGAGACATTGGGCGCATTCTGCTGAAAATTGCATGATGAAATCGCAAAACTGAATCTGAGAATTCACAAAACCAGAAATGGAATTACAATTAACAAATATTCCAACATCAGTTCACTCTACATCCATGCATAATGAAGTGTGCCGAAAAATTACAAATGTTAAAATCACTATATTTATAAGGAAAGTCACAGTTTGAAAACTTGTTGATGATCCTAGAGCAGAAATGGTTTCAATTCACTATTTCCTCACCTCAAACCGACTTCAGTGTCCTTTGCTGAGTTGGGTGTGTCGCATGAAGACACTGTGACGACGTTTTGTCGTGAATTTTGACGCCTGCCTGGCGCGCACACATGCTCTATTTCCTCTCCATCTATTTTCACACTTAATAGAGAAACACATTACAATTATCATAAGAATTTTCCACTTTCCACCACTTGTTCATCCTATTAAATATTATTTTATGTGCTCTGTGCGCCTCTCGAAAAGATCCATTGAGAGCTTTCAGGGTGTGCGAAAGAAAAAGACAAGAAAGCTTTCCATTTCCTCATTAAATTTTGACCCATTTGTTAGTTTTTGTGGCGAAGAGTGTCATTTCACCGATACAATGTGAAATAATAAATTTAATGTAATAAAATATCTAGGGTTCGGATATTGGACACAAAGGAAATCCATATACAATTATGACGCACACACCCAGTAAAATATATCACCGGCACAATTCGTAAATATTGTAATACGAAAACACATTAAAAACACATCAAATTGTAACATATTGGAAGGTGTGGGCGCGCGGGTTGCATATCATTTTTCGGTTTTCCTAGCCAACCCCAAAAGCAAAAGGCCTCTCTTTTCCTGGGGACAGAACAAAAATAAAACTTTTCACATGAATGACAAAATAATTGGAAAATTTTAATACATTATGTACGCTCTGGCATTGTTTCCTCGCACCCGAAAGCACCCCATAAAACCCTGCCTTCAAAATCGCCAATGATTGCCGATGATTTCAAACGGACCATCACATAAAATACCCCTTCAAAGGCTGTGCGAAAAAAATTATTTGAAATATTTATTTGATTTATTTCCTTCTCCATCGTCGAAGTCTCCGCACACACAGTGGAAATGTTGCCATCCATAAAAGCTTGTATACTCGGCATCACACATGATAATTTTCCATTTATTTTTATCCGCCTCTTTCGTTAGAGGGTATTAAATTTTTCAAACACCCCATCGATTGAGGGCGGGTGGGAAATAAAATAAATGGACAGAGAGAGAATAAAATTGCAGTTAAAATTAATATTGGGGGCGCGATGGAGGCGCCTGGTGAAAGCTCTAGTCGAGACACAGTGGCAGACATTCAGATTAAGTCACAATAGAGAGCTGGATAAAATGGTCATTACTTCCCACTCTTCTTCAGTAAATCATTCAAAGTGGACCGTATTTATTCACGTGTGAGAATGCATAATTTCGAACTGTGTAAGAAAATCAATACGCATTATACATTATGAACATGAACTTTCTGTATGAATTTTGAAGAAATTCCATACTTTCATGATCCAATATTATCCACGGCGTTGAAAACCTTACCAGAATGGCTTAATTGGAATGAATTTTTCAAATGTAATCAATAATTTAGAGACAAATGAATGTTACATTGAGCCTCTCACAATTTTTCGAGCGCGCCCCTCTCGTTTGTATAATAGTTCATAGTTGAACTTTTAATGATATGCCATCGTCTTCCTGAAATACAATCGTGGGAACAGACACCTTCATCGTTTCTCCCCCCCCCCCCCCCTGAAAATCAATAGGCGAAGGGAAATTGGGATATTCTGCGCCAAATTGTTAAATTACTCGACTAAATGACGTTATTTAATATTTTATCTGGGAGGTGCAAAACTTTTCCTCTGCAAATTATATTCCTGGGATTGAATGACAAAAGTGGAATTAAATTTTAATTGCGTCAGGTGCATTATTAGAGAATTTGCGGCACCATTTATTTATGCAGAAGACAAGTTGCGCTGGGGTAAATTTCTCATGGATAATTTTGACGTATTCTTTTATGTTTTCTGTCCAGTATTATTTTTCAATTCAAAATGTTAATTTCGTTTTCATTAATTTCTGCATTTAGATAATTTTTTTTAAAGAATTGAAAGAGCTTTATTTGGAAGTGTACTTGAGAGAAGAATAATTGAAAACTTGCTCTTGATGTTGATGTATCTTTGTTTTTGACTGTAAATTATTTATAAACAGCTTACCCCGCCGTTTATGGACAGTTTCCTCAAGCTATTCCACAACCTATGGCCGCTGTGGCATCACAACGAGAAGGTAAGAATCATTAGAAGACAAAACCGTCCGCTTTTCCATTCCTAAATCCACCCTTCAAGTCCCCACCCCAAAATTCCGCCCACAATTCCAAGTAAATTGTGTCGAAAAGAGAAGAAAAATTAGTGGCACAGAGCTTTTAGATGATGAGGAAGACATTTTGAGAAGCTTTCCGAAGGCATAAAAGCATATAATATGTTACCCACCACGTTGGCATAGGCAAAGAGATATCAAGAATATCATTCGATGTTAAGTGTTGCCCTTAATCTCTTGTTTTGACTGTGCGTCTTCAGTTCTTTGTCCACTGTTCTTTTTTCCGTTCTCTTCGTCCATTTCCATATGTCTTTATTTTTATATACAAGTTTATATATATACATATATATATTGTGGTGTTATACGATGTTGTAAAACTATATCAAACTAACCAATTAACGTGAACACGTATGGACAATTTATGAGAGTTCCTTCATGAGTGTTGCATTGAATATTTCTCCTGGATATATTATCTCTTTTGAATATATATATATTAGATGTCTTGAGAGGTTATGTATTCAAATATCATGAGTTTGCTGTTCTCCTTGGTTCTTATTATATATTCTTACCGTACAAGATCGAGAGTGTTGTCAATGTTGATATGATGCCTCACGTTTTATTTTCAAATCTCGTCCCAGCCATTTTCATTACATAACACAGAGTGGATCTTCAGGAAAGCCTCAAATGAGGACTATTTTCCTGAAAGTCTGCCTTAAATATCCCCTGAAAACTGAGATTTTTTGCATAAACATACATACACTAAAAGTCTCAGTTTTGATATAAGAAAGAGAGACGAATTTCCTCCCAGAAGCGATGCAATTGAAATTGAATTTAATCTTGCCAAACGATCCGTAATTAATTTTGGGCAAACATGCATCGACAGACCAAATGAAATTGCACGTCTTGTGTGGGAGGGAATAATCTCTCAAAGGAGAAGAGATCAATCGAATCTCCAGTCCCAATCAAATCCAGTTATGGAATTGAATATTTAGTTTACCCAGCTCCACTCCTGGAGTAGCCTTTCGACTCCTATGAACGGAGGCGCAAAGGCGAAATAGGTGTGAAGGTGGCACAAAGCAAGCAATGTTTGAACACTTGGCGGATTCCTTAAATGTTCTTTAAAGACTATTTAATGTTAACAGGATGCTCCATCTCTGGACCAGAAGGGTGCAATTTATTTATCTACCACCTGCCACAGGAGTTTGGTGATGCTGAACTAATGCAAATGTTCCTTCCGTTTGGCAACGTTATTAGTTCAAAGGTTTTCATCGATCGTGCAACAAATCAGAGTAAATGCTTTGGTAAGTGTCACACGCACCTCTCACATTACAGTTCACGACCTCTTTTGAGACTCTCCCATTCAACATAGACTTCCAAGGTCAAGAGAGAGAGAGAGAGAGAGAGAGAGCTGTTTAAATATGCAGAAAATTTTTATTTTTTCTGACAAAAGTCGTATTTTAGTGAACAGATCTCATAGCTAAAGCATATTCTTATGCGCTAAGCAATAGCTATGCAAAATCGTAAAATGGAAGTACATCCTCTTAGAAAGAAGGGGAAGAAGTATGTTCGTGAAGTTTTGGAAAAAGATTTGATTCGAGGAAAATTATGTACTATACTTGATAAGAGACGCCGTGCCATTGAGCAGTCGAAGTGTAGTTGAAAAGACGAAGAGCGTTTGAACTTTCCGATGCATTGATCAAGTCAAATGAAAATGACTTTCCATCGAATTTGAAATTGTGTTTCCCGGAAGAATGGCGAGAGTCTCGATGGTCCATTTAATTTAATGAGGAGAAGAAAGCTCATTCTCATGACCCTCAGCGAGTCCCATCGAAATATGCTGGAGAAGTTCTTGTGGAAAATGTTATCTTCTCATTCGCAGGTTTTGTTTCGTTCGACAATCCGGCAAGTGCTCAAACAGCTATCCAATCAATGAATGGTTTTCAGATTGGAATGAAAAGACTGAAAGTACAGCTAAAGAGACCGAAGGACGCCAGTCGACCTTATTAACAGGAGGTATCCTCCAGTAATGTCAATACTGCTTCAGGTACAATAATTTCCTTCTCATCTGTTCAATCGATTTTCCATCACACTTCAATCCTTCCCGCGCGCTGAAGACTCCCCATCATCACTCCTTCGCACACCCCCTCATTTTATTTACTGTGTCTGTGTTGTGCCGTACATAGGGAAGGCGAGAGAGGATGGCTATATAAACATAGGGGAGCCCTCTTCTGTGGTGTTCACAATACTTTATCTTAAACGGAAACTGGATTATATTTTATATTCGCTCCCGTTTCCAACATAAATTCATCGACAGAATTTATCGGAGTTTGGAAATTCTTTTCGTCGTAAAACCATATAATATCCCCAACCATCGCATCGTCGAAGGAGATGGAAAAAATCCATCGGGTGCGTTCGCACCAATAACTAAAATATATACCAAAGAAACAGACACACGATGTGGAGGATCGAGGAAGGGGAAAAAATACTGAATATTGTTCAACTTTGATACTTTAGTGGAAAACTTACTTTTTATCGGTTTGTTGTTGATACGTTGATATACTGGCATATAATGTGAGAAAGTCTCTCTATTCCAACCCACGCTCACCATCGAAAATACACCCATTAATTACCAATGATTGAAATTTCTCGATAGATTCGAGACCGTATTGGAAGGATTCCGAGGGATTTTTAAATCGTAACATCATCATTGAGATGGGGCGAAAGTGGAGCGTTTTGCAGTTGAGATTAGAGGTTGGAAAAGTTTCGAGAGAAGATTATCGCGCAGGGTCAATGTCAAGAATACCCGCTTCACTCCAGCGATAAGCTTAACGAAAACAGTAGGCCAAATATTCCATTTTTGCATATATATATATAAACATTTTTCATACCCTGAAAATCTGAGTGAACCTCATTATAGCCCTCTTCTATCGTCTTTTAGTGTCTTTTTTCGATGCTATAGCGGATTTCTCACAGTATTTGCATTCTTTTCAGATGAAGCTTTAAGGATAAAGTTTAAACACTAATTTACACCATGAGAGCAGCGTAATTTTGCATGGCGATTAGAGATAGCAAAATACTATGAGGAAGAAACAAAAACTATTGCAGGAATTTAGTAAGAGAAACTCCAACACTGTTGTTTTTTCCTTTCTGGGCTCCATCATCGAAGAACAACCTTTGTTGCGGCTGCAGATGCAGAAAATTATCTTTTCAAATCTACTAATTTTAAGGCATCATACTGTAATTAAAGTATAAAGAGAGAAAGTGTCTCTATTTAATTTTTCTTTTCTATCTTCTTTATTGTCAGATGAAAAGAAAGAAATGATAATATTTAGGTTAATAAAAGTAGCGTAACTGAAGATATGAGCGAAGGAGAAAACACAAGTAAACAAGAAGACAAAATATAGATGCAGGAAATGAATTATTATATTTGAAACAAAAAAAAATGATAAGTAAAATGAAACTTTTAGAGGTGAAACTTTAATAAGAGAAAAAAAAACTAGTGATTAGGGAGGAATGATAGAATTGTAAATTTTAAGAGAAAGTATAATGCAGAAGACGGAGAACATCGTGAAAGGTGTTTAGGAATCACAAAAAACACACACCTTCTCGAATTGAATTTCATGAAGAGAAACTCGAAAACACACTTTTCTAATTTACTACCATGCTTAGAGCGTATTACTGAGGACAATTCACGTCCCTTCGTCTTACTGTTTCCCTTCTTATGAGTTCATCTCTTCTGATTACTCTAAGTTGGTAGAAATGTATTTATATTGAAGATCAGTTATTAAGAGGTTTTTACATTTTTTTCTATTAGTGCCATAAATAATCTAAATTGGCCATTATTTAGCATAACTTGCGTAGTTAAATTATTATTTTAACAAAAACCTTTCAAAAATTTTCGGGAATAAAGGAAGGAAAATGATGAGACATTTAGTAATATGCTTCAGTCCCATCAGCAAATATACCAGCAAATAATTCAAATCTTATAAATAAAACTTATAGTATAATCAATTACATTTGGGATGAATCGTTTATACAGAGAAAACCAATCATGAAACTAACCAATCCCCAAAACAATCATGAATCCTATCATGAAACTTGCAGCAGCAAAAATCTACCGTTGTACATATATCTTTACTTTCCGACTCGACAAGCGAAAATCTGTTACTTTTTCACCAAGGAAGAGAACAAACCCAAAGGAGATAATCAATATCATAAATTATTTCTTATATCCCTTCATTAATTAGCTAAACTTAAGGATGAGGGTAACTTTTTAGGTAATAAAAATGACGCGAATACATCATAAATAATTGCCATTTCACTCATTTGACACATATAGAGAACCCTTTAATGATTTTTTTGTTTGATAAATGAGCGTCAAAATGAAAATGATGGATAAATCCACCAAATCTACAGCTAAGAAAAGCCAAAAATTTTGTTAAATAGAAATGAAAAGATATACCAAATATTGAACTTATTGAAATGAGGTAAAAAAGAAAAGATATAATTGATAATCTAAATATTATTGTAATAATAAACACTTTAAACAAATAATAATTTATTCTCTAGGTATTATAATGAATTAATGAGGAAAACTCATTACATAAAAAAAAACTTTTAATAATATTAATACGGCGAAAGCAAACTTTTAATGAAACCAAGGAAAAGAAGTATATTTATATAAATTAGATTTCTAATAATGTATCTTTCTTCTTAAATAAAAATAATATCGCCACTTGATATTTAACAAAACATATAAATTAATCATGTAAAATCTTCATCAAGATTGTTTAAGTGTGTTTTATTTTAAAGGAAATTTTGATTTAAGTCATCCTTTTCATGGTAACAATAGGTATAAAACATCCTGTCGTATATTATATTTTTAATCTTAAGAGTGAGCTTATGTCACTATTTCCAACTTCCCTTCCCCGCCCCTGAAAACCCAGATACAAAAAGTCTTTCATCTTGAAACTATAATTGGCAAGTGTTGTTGGGAAATTCTCGTGAAATCTGAATCAAAAGAGCAAATTGTAGAAAAGATAAGTTTAAAAAACATGTGAACACCTTTAAATTCAAAAGAAATGGTAAATATCAATGATAAATGCGTGCTTGAAGCGAATTTACTGTTGGATAATTTGGAAGCGATCTAATTGGATTGTTCTTTAACTAGACGAATGATTACGTTTTTTTTGTATTTCAGATGAGAAATGATCAAAAACTTGCATTAGTCCTTAACCTAAAATTTCCATACAAAACATTCACCGAAGTGTAGTAAGGAAATGAAAGGATTGCAAGTATTTCTGGGCGTTTCTGTCTCGAATACAAAAGGACTCAAATAGCGCTTGATTTATGCACAAATATTTATAGGTTTGCAATTAAATATGATAATTATCTTGCTTCTTGAAAAAATTAAAGGCAAGAAGTTTTCTAGGGACCACAGTTGCGCATTTTCTAAATCAAATTCGATAGATTAGCAATTTTTGCACAATATACAGTATCTCAAAATTAAATAGGAACAAATAAGGCTTTGTGCTTGCTGATGTGTAACCAATTTTCATATTAAGCTAAAGGCATGATTTCTTTCCTCTAAATCTACCGAGTTTGAGCATTTGTGCTTCACTTCATTATTCTTTAATGAGACCTTAAAGCTGTTCAAACGAAAAATTATTCTAAAATCAAATAAAAACAATAGCCAAACATAGAAGATTACACAAATTTGATCAATTTTCAATATTAGAAACGAAGTTTAAAGGCATCGAGCTTCCTCATTAGGCCCTACTAAAAACCAAAACTCAATATGAAAATTTGTGCCAGATCAAAATTTCACCGGGTCTGTAATAATTTGGAAATACTCTAGTAATTCTTCGTAATTACCTTCTACCCAAAACACTCAATACGCACAACTTCGACGACCGCGCATCGAATTACCAAATTATCCAGCATAAAATTTCACAAACCGGGTTTGTTATCTTAAAAAAAAACATAGGTGGCAAGATTTAGAAAAGGAAAAAAATCTTATAATTCAACCAAAAAAGTTACGAGAGCGCTAGATAATTCCACAAATGGGCTGTGATTTGAATGTAAAAAGAAAACACTTAAAATGAAAATAACATACAAATTTGTGTAACTGTACAGTTCGTTTGTTTTCTCTATGTGAATCGTGAAGTTCGATGTTGTAAGAGAGACACTGACGTGTGTGCGCCATAGGAAAAAGAATCTTACCAAAAAAGAATATATATTTAATTAAAAATGAAGAGAGCGTAAGTGGCCAAGATGGTATAAATAAAAAAAAAAACGTTTAAAAGAAACACTGACGATGTACCTTACAATAAAACAAAAATGATAAAAAATGAGATATTTTACACGATGTGAGATGCGATAATTAGAATTGTGCGGGAGATCGTCTCCTGCCATTTTTGCCTACCCGCAAATATTCATGACTAAAGCAAGCAGCATAATTATGAAAAAGCAACCCCTAAAAATAATATGGACAGTGAAAACTCTTGAGGTGTGACAAAAATTGCCCAAGAGATGAGTGTTTCCGCGTGGCATGTCCCCAGATACAATACAAAATGTGATTCAAATTCAATGTTAATTGCTAGAAAATCCTATTCTCCGCCCTTTCCCGCCCCGCGACCCCAAAATGTCCCCAAACTAACGGAAAAATCTCATGAAATTCCCCGTCGAAAGTGAACGTATCATTTTAGCCGTTTGTATCTCTTCAGCAAAACACGTTTCGCGCTGCGAAATAATCTTTTGCAGAGTCCAAGACAAACAATTTAACATGTGATTCAGTGTGACAAGAGGAATAGGTGTATAAATTTATGAATTTAAGTCAACCAAACCATTAAAATCTCTCTAAGAGATCTCATTGCCAATTATAGTGTCAAAGAAATCCCCTCAAATCCCAGCCTGTCTTAATTTTCCTTAACCCATCTTGAGGAAGAATAGCCATTGAACATAGTCGAGATGCATAGACTCGAATTACGACCCGAGATTAAAGTGGTCCAATAAGTATAAACAAGAAATGTGTAATATATGCAGAAAAGCTGCACATTCAATCCAGTTTTGAGGAACCGTTTAAGATCAAAAAGAGCATTATAGTAAGGCGTAAACTGATGTTAAATAAGTCTAATGATACGCTACTTAATAATATTGACTAATAATTACCACTTAGATAAATTAATTACTTAGATAAGTTTCATTTTGTAGTGACAATAAAATTTTGCCCATTTTCTTTGCCAATTGTCACCCAAATTTGCATCATTTCGCGAATCATTTTGTGGTTCGGAGCAACAAAAATATCGTGCACAGAAAGGAATTGGAGTATATAAATCATACTTTTGGCACAAGTTGTAGAGAAGAAACGTAGAAATCACAAAATTTTAGATCCTATTCGGAGAATCGCTGTAGAATTTTATCAAACTCAATTTCCTGGTAGACTTTTAAACTATATAGAAAGTATTTAATCCCGGGCAGCTATTGTAATCTCCAAATTTAGACTTGAATACTAACTAGAATCATTGTAAGATGAGAGATATTTGCATGCGGCTCGATAGATCAGAAACTCTCTTAGTCTTTCTCTTACATTTATCAATCCTTTCTGTGCACACACATTTCTAAATATAATACAGTTAGAAGAACACCTTTTTTGGATAATTGGCAAAAATTACTATGAAATAACAATTTCTCAAGGAGTATTATATTTAGAATGAAAAGTCAAGGGGAAATCCCAACCAAATTGAGATTATATCTAGTCAGAAGCGAGTAGAACCACACCATTGTTGAATTTTGTCCGAAAAGTGAGGAATTAGGCACATTTTAGAAAAGTATATTGTACATTATTGTAATTTTGAGCGAGGAAGCCGAAGAGGAATCTTATAGTGTTAAATAATCCCTAGAATTTTGTCATTCATCCGAATAAACAAACGAGTTTTATTTTTGGCCAAAATTGGATTCTTAAGTTTGATCTTTAAGTTTTAACACTTCAAATGAAGAGAGAACGAATCTTTGAAGATGGTCGATAATGTGCAATATAGTTTAGAAAAGAAAATCATCTCGCCAAATAAAACACAAAACTAAGATTTTTCATTTCAATAATTGCGTGAGTTTAGAAATCTAGTCAAAACATAAAAAGGTGAAAATAAAAACTGTTTAGCGCCTCGTTTTAGGGATGCACACATTTACTAATTGTATGAAAATTGATAAAAAGATAAAATTGTACATAATGAATAAATCATTACTAAAAGAAACATCACGAAATCAATTTGAAAAAAAAGGAAAGATGAGGTGAGAAATTGAGCAGTAATGTAAAAATTCGTTGCAATTTGCCATGAGTAAAGGAGGAAGGAATAGATAAAAGAAACGCGATGAAGGCACTGAGGAAATACACAATATTAAATTATTTAGATGATGATAGAGAGAAGGAAATTTTTAGAATTTTTGTAAAACTGACGCACTTTGCTATGATTAGTGACGCCTTTAAAGAATTATATATTACCATTTAAATAAAAGAATATATTATATATATATATATATTATACATTTAAAAGAGGTATGATGACGAAGATGAATTGATAAAGAAACACCCCACAAAGCATTAGCCATTTTCCCAAAAATCATGTAGATTTCCTAGTAGAAAAGCTCTTTTAAAAGTATAATTTTTTTCTTACTGCAGAATTTCAATCGAAAATATGTCCTTAATAATTAAAAAGAGAAAAAAAAACACAAAAAGTAACAAAACTTTTGAAGACAAAACCGAAAATAACCACATAGAACACCGAGAAACATTTTTAAAGTGAACAAATATAATAAATTATGAGTAGGAACTTTAGTGAGGAAACAAAGATGATGCGAGTACTTTTCATCGGAATGAAAATCTTAAGAGAAGTATGTTGCAAAATGAATATTATAATATAGGATACAGGGTATTTCTTGCAATTATTTAAAAAGATGAAAAAACCAAAAAGATTTTTAAAAAGTAAAAAACAACAAAATATTAAAGAATGAATAATTGTGAGGTTAAAGAGAGGTTAGAAAGCGCGCGAAAACGAATCATGTTTGAATGTGGCGTGAGCAAAATGTTGACAATATTTGTGTGTTAAAATGCGTAAATAAAACAACCCGAGATGAGAGTGTATAAAATGCCCATACAAATACACTATAAAGTTATAGAACATACTCTGATTTAAGCTGATCAATTTTTGCACAGAATGAATGGCACAACGGACATTTTTGACTTGATACATTAATTCTTAAACTCTCTTTGAAAATATAAAATCAGAGAACACTCATAAGGCGGTGAACAATTGTGAAAAAGGTTTAAAGAAAACACAGAAATTTATAACATATGTAATAATTTAAATAAACGGAGAAAGAGTGGGAAAACATTGCGAAACAATACATTTAAAACGCAAATAGGACTTTAGATTTTAGCATGATCAACTAAAGACAGAAATTATATACATTTAACCACACTAATCATTTATACATTTAAATTGATACATATATTATATAAATTTGCAAATTGAAAAGTTACATACGAGGGACTTGATGATAAGTGCAGAAAACATTTTACTTAGACAAAAAAACATGAGATTTTTAAGAGGATGAAAATTGAGATGAGAAAATCTAGTGAAAAAAAACCTTTTACTCACACTTTTCAATAGTTCGATATTTATACATTAGGAGATGAACAAATATTTTACACAATGATGACATTCAAAACAAACTGAACTGATATAAAGTGTAAAAAGAAAAATGTAAACATGGGAATTACACAAATGCGAAAACACACAAATTATTACCGTAAAAACTATGCTATATAACCTTTAAAGAGGAAACAATGCGAAGTGGACACGACAAGTATAATCATTTTGACGATGGAAGGAATGCTATGCTACCTCTGAAAGAAAGGGGAATAACTGCATATTTACTAAAATATTGTATCTAATTAATTATTAAATTACATATTATTATTATTAACTTGATTGACACAAAAAATTATTGCGAAAATGGAAACCCAGGAAAGAAAGAACCTATATAAATAATAATAACGAGCATTTACTAGTCAGAAAAACAACTAATTATCTTTCTCTTTAAAAAAAAAATAAAGAAAATTACATCTATTTGTATCATTTTTCTCGAAACTTTCTGCAATTTAGTGTTGCAAAAAAGCATTTGGAACACCAAAATTTGATAAAATTTGGTTTATGTGGTTAATTCTCTGTTATTTCATCTGGAATTCAATACTTCAGTCGCTCCATCTCCTTTTGAGAATGGTACTGAAATTGAAATTTCTGAATTCTTCGCCGTGTTTGACAGAAATCATTAATGTAGTGCAATGTAATTTCCTCGTAATACAATTGCAAACGAGTGTCCAAAATCTTTACGTCATCTAATCGAAATATGTTGATTTTAATACAAATGAAAGTGGAAGTACTACTTGCAGTACTAGAATTCCTCTGAGATATACGGAATTAACTACTAAACCAATTTTTTGTCAACTAGTAAAGTATCCTGAATATTCCTTTTTCGCAACAATACATGCCAGAAAATAATAAAAAATCCTAGCCAAAAGATGCGAGAATCTATATAAAAATTTATCTCTTAAAAAATCAACTTATCAAGATTAATTCAATGCATTCAAATCAATTGTTATCTATCTGCATTGCCTTAAATTATAATAAAATTGATGACAAGAGAGACAATTATTCTCATATGATTAAAATAAAAACCAAATGAATAAGATAAAAACAAATTTAAAATCTTTAGAGGCTTAGTCATTTTATTGAGGAAACAAAGTATTTATTGCAATTAGGCTATAGCGTAAAATATCAGTCATTTATCGGTTATCCTTTTTTTTTAAAGCCCACACACGCCATTCTAAAGCAAATTTGCAGGAAATCTTACCTTCTCATTTGGATGGAGTCTCTCAAGAAGAATGAGGAATAAGAAGAATATGATAATAAAATAAGAAAACACAAAGACGCAGCTTTTTCATCTTTTCATTTAATTTTTCATAAAAACAGACATAACGTGAAAATGTACATAAAGAATAAGAAATAAAAATGGAAGATAGAAAGAAAATAAATAAAAAATCCCCTGCCAAAATGAGCTAAATATATTTTTTATTATACATATATAAAATATATATATAAATAGGATAATGGAAGATTAGATGGGAGGAAGAGAGAGAAATGATGAAATATATTGTAACACCCATTATTACTTTTAAATTCGTAGTGAGTAATTTTGAAAAATGAGAAAAATAGTTCATAGTATTATCATATAATACCAGAAAGAGGTTTGAAGTTTGGTAAGGCGAGAGGAAGCGAGGATTGTAGAAGCTTCGACTATGCTTAAAATCCCAGTTGTTAGCGAAGACGGCACAGGTTAGTTTTGTGTAGGTTTGAGCGCGAAGCATGACAGATTTTCAAATTTTCTTTTGTCAAATCAATCGCATTCTTTTTAAATAAATCCTCCTAAAAGTTTGCATTTTTTGCCCATCTAACTTCTCTAGCTAAAAAAATTATATATTGTATCATTCTTAAAAAAAAAGAAAGAAAAGTGTCCGGTTCGACGGACCAGAAAATCCACCTTTTTGGACTTATATGCCCCCTGTTTTGTCCATTCTTAAATAGACAATTTTCTAGTGAATCACACTTTATTGAAAACTTGGTAAAAATATTTAGATTTCTAATCTAATTAATTATGAACAAATACTGCATGAGATACTATTTATTTACATATTACAGAGATAATAAAAAACTAAAAAAAAACACAAAAATAAACCACTAAAATAGTATCATCTTTGATCTATTTTAGTGTCACCAAGAAAATGAATTTATATAGAATTAACTAATGAGATTAAAGTAAAATTAATTGATGAAATGAGAGAAAGTGAAACTAAATCTAAATTTAAGTACAACAGTATTAAAAAAGGAAAGATGACGAAGAAAATATTCACAAGGTCAAAGAAAAGAGATAAAACGGATTATTATTGAATTAACCGAATGGTAAATGGCCAGTAAAAACACACGCCATGGCATGACTTGCAGAAGATGGGAAAATGAAATTTAGGTAATTTCGATGAAATATTTGAAGAGAGAACGGTCATTGGAAAAAATATTATAATCATATCAGGCGAAAAATATATTAAAAAAAACAAAAAAACACGTAAGAAAATTTTCACACTTTCTTATTGATTTGTTGTAATGAGAAGAGAGAATTTTTATTATGATCGAAGTTGAAAAAAATTTTAGAAATTGAGAATTCACTCATTTAACAAAGAAAAAAAAACAATTACTAAAAATTGAAAATATGTAGAAAATTTCGATTTTTCATAAGTAAAAGAGTGGAGAGCATCTTTTGAAAGAAGGAGGCCGTTTTGTGAGAAGGCAAACATATAGTGAATTAATGATAGCGAACAAAGTTGATCACGAGAGGGAGAGAAAGATAGAGGGAGAGAGAGAAAATCACTAATATATAGGATAACTTTGCCACGAAATAAAGAGAAAAATACACAGCATCACAACAAAACACAAGAAAACTTTCAATAGAAATTTCCTAGGGGACAAAGTCAAACACACTCAAACACTCGTCACACAGTCTCTCTTCCAAAAATAAAATTATCAGAAGATTGATAAAAACACACATTAAAAAGAGGAATAGTCATTAAGTAATGAAAAAGAACTCTAATAGATTAAGAATAAATTGCTCCAAATAATGTACATTAAAATGCTTTCGGCTCGATTTGCCACCATGAAAACCAAGTAAAGTAAATAAAGAAATGAGCTAGGAATAAAAAAAAACTGATTAAGAAAATAAAACAGGTGTGAAGCCATACGAAACACACGCAGTTTGTATAAAAGTGAAAAATGAAAACTCATACCTTGTAAAACGAGAATTCAAATAGGACATTTCCACCAGACGCAAACTAAACTATTAATTTAAATGATGAATATTTAAGGAGAAAACTGCTAGAATTTAATATTATAAAAATATACTTAAAGAGGAAAGGTGAAACTTGAAATATTCATTGAATTTATGTAAAGAAAAAACATATTTGCAGAAAATAAATACCACACGATAATAATTTCAACGGCATTTTAAAAAGTATGATATTTATTTAGAAGAAAGATAAAATCAGTAAATTAGTAGAGCGGAAGATCACAGCAAAAAGTAACCGAATGAATTGATAAGAAGGGAGGAGGTGATAAAGGAAACACATACACACACGTTAAAGAGAACCTCCGAGTAATACCACGTGAAAAACTATTGAACGATTATATCTTCATTTCATTTAAAAAAAAAAAGGAAAACTTATTATGGATATTTAAAAAAAAAAGAATGAAGGAATAATATGATAAATAAAATATTATAAATCCAGAAATACTGAACACAAGAATGTTCTATGTAGGGACATTTATTATCATTATATAGTATTATATTATACATATAAATTATATTAATAAAACTATTTAAAAAATCAATTTTCAAAAAGAATTTTCACTTTTACTCTGACGCATTTCGCTTAAAATTTGTTGGGTTAACAAGGAAAGATAACTGCGAAAGAGACGAAAACCGGTATAATTTGGATATTCGTTGAATTTTCTTTCTTAATTTTGTAAATATATAGTACTAAAATGTAAAGCAAAGTTTTCCTAGCAAAGACACTCAACAGCCTCAGGTAAAGTTCAGGATATCTGTGAAAACCGGAAAACAAGAGACTCCACTACGATTCCCAAAAGCTTTTGCTATTTATTGAGAGAACTTGGCTACATTTCAAGCACGGAACATCGACAAGATGAAAAACTGCTGCGATGAGTTTCAAAGGAGACGTTCGCGGTTGCTTTTCTGCAAGAAAGAGAGATGAAGAAAAGAAGAACAGCGAAGAGTGCGAGAAAAGAAAGTGAAAATATACATCATTCTCGTAAATTTACTCTTTTTTTTATTCATCTTTCCTTTTGTGAATATGACTGATTTATTTGATTTTTAATTGAATCCTTCACTTTATCAATGTCTTTTCCAACTATATTCTCTAATATGTGTTCATCTACAGTGCACTTAAGGAAGATGATGGAAATCAAATGGAAAATTTACACATAATCAGAAGATGAAAGAAAAGTCCGGCATTTGTGCCCTGTTTCATAGAGAAAAGTCTAAAATTGTGCTTTTTCTATCGAGATTTTCCATTTCAACTGTTTTGACACAAATATTTTGAATGATTATTCCTATTTTCCATCTTCGGCTTTCATTTATAATACTGAATATTTTCATCGGAGTTCTCAATGTGTTTTCTTTTTACTGAAAATTTCTCTTCTTCCAACTATAATTGATCAAAATTCAATTATAACACTTTAAAATGTATATATTAATATATTTGGTGGGGTGAAAATGGATTTCTTTTCATATTATTTACCATAAATTTTTTTTCTGTCCTTAAATCTATCCATCATTTCGAGTCCTTTACAATAAATCTTGAAAGCATCATTGAAGCTTTCTCACTTAAAATATCAGATAAAAGTGTGTAAATTTACAAAGTCAAACAGTAAAACTTCACAATAAAATGCTATTTAGAAGATTGATAAAAAGAGATGTCAAAAATCATGACAAAATTGCTAAGAAAACAAGTAATGCTACGAGATTCATCTTTTCTAAACATACTTATATACACAATCCTCTCCTCACGTGAAGATCATCAGTGGATTATTTTTGCCCTAAACTTTTGCATTCGCAAACGAATTCTACTGAAATTTTTTTTACAAGTGATGCTGATAATTTATTCATCGAAAACGTTAATGAGATGATTTTCTTTTTTTTTATTGTTCATTGTATAAATAGCAAGAACGAAGATTTCTTAGGGAGAAATTTCGAAAATTTCCACTACATAAATTTATATGCTATGAATTTTATCAAATATTTTCCTAACATCCGTTATATATTTGTTTTCTGAAGAATTTTTCATTCTTCACTAATTGCGTTGTTACCATTTTTCACAGATTCAAACTCACATTCCTAATTTTTTTCCCCTCTCAGAAAACCCAAAAAGAAAGAAGAAAGCAATATTAGTAAATAAATGCAACAGTAAAGATCTAAAGTTTTTTTTCCATTACACTAAAAAATCCTCTTTAGCACCTTTTTAGCAAGTATTTTTCTTCTTGACCCACAAAATTCTTATAGTTTTTCGCCCACGTAAAAGCATAAAAAGACATTAGAAAATTAATATCTCTCTATAGAAATGCAAAAATTGTGAAGAAATGAAATCCCAGAGCAATTTAAGGAAGCTATAATGTGATGATTTGTGGTGCAATCGTTGCCGAGAGAAAGGAATAAAGTTGCTATTGCTCCACTTCACATAGTATTCCTTCTCTTTGTACATTTTTTTTTCTTTCATCTCGTGGAAAAAGAATATTTTTGACCTCTTTCCAACTCGCGATTTTATTAATAACTTAGCAATATTGTATTAAACTCTCAACTAACGTCTCAATGTCTATATCTTAAAGGTAATATAATCATCTCTTTCCGCTCTGTCGTCTTGTCAACAAGCTAATTGTAACATTAGAGTTGTAAATAAATCCTCTTTCTAAAGTACATATTTCTTGGAATTAAACTGCCTCTAAAAAGGAAAAACAAGAGATTCTGTCCATCTCGCAATCAATCACAAACATTCAGTTCGGAAAATGCACGCCAAAAACCAGAAACCGCCAAAGAATCTTTGATTTTTGTCCTCAATAATAAATTCCTCTGTTTCTTCGTCGATATCGCGTTTCTTTGCTTTACGTTTGCTGAATTGAACTCAAAAATGCCGGATCAACAGAAGCAACTTTAGCTGTTAAAAAGGCATGCATGCAAAAGAGCAAACTTTGCAGCACTTGGCATTCCAGTTCCTGAAAATAATCCAAAAAGAGTCGAGACGGGAAATTGTTTAAAAAGAAAACCACAGCCAACAAATGTATTATTATTGAAAAAAAAGATGGGCAAAGGTATAAATAACTCTGCTAAATGTTCAAGAACTCACTTTAGTCTCAATGGCCCTCGTCTCATGATCCTGAAAATGGAGCTTCAATTTTGATTTGCCATCATCGCTGGAGCCGCGCAATTGGGAGAATTTATACTGCCACACAATTGTGGCGTCCGCGCCCTCGGCCAGGCTGAAACCATTCTGCCAGTCCAACGTCAAACCGCCACCCTTCCCATGGTGCGACACGGCGAATGTTTTCCGCTGAAACACACAAAAACAGAGAAACATTATTTATCATTCAAATGGCCAAATTGTCAGGCTTTTCAACATTCTTCTCTGCATACGCCCTGAGGATAGATTCAATATTTCAGGACTAAAACCACATTTTCACTGGTTGACATTCGAGCAATGCTTTTGTCTCTATTTTCTTCGGTTAATGTTTCCGTTTACAATCATTTGAATCTGAATCACTTCCAAAAATTTTTGTTTTTGAAGAGCACACACTGTTCGGATCAGGGCGTAGGACACCCGGATCGGTGATTCGGAGGATTACCAAAAACTCACCCCCAATTTGATGACGCTCGTCACAATGGCTGTATTCCAGCTATTTTCAATTCTCAAAAGTTCCTGGCGCGTCTCTACGCTTAGATATCGAGGTTCATGACCTGAACTCTGAAGCAGGAAGCAATGCTGGCGTGAATCCACGGTTTCTGACTCCTTCACCACACGGAACATCGTCTGGTACACTTTATAGGCGACCGTTGACTTCGACAATCCAGCCACATTCACCTGCAATGCCCACAAAATCAATGCACGTGAAATTTGGAATTCAAATTGATGAGTAAAAGGTATTAATTGCAAATGCACTGTCACTGGACTGAAGATGAATTTACGGTATTTGCATTTCCAATTAAAATTCCTAACACAAAGTCTGCACTGAATGGAAACAGGAGTAGTAAATCAGTTGGATACTAATGATAAGTAATAGTATTTGCGATACGCTAAAATGATTATCTTGAACGAATTGCCATGAGCTATTGTGATGAGAAGTGCTCTAGAATTCAGTGTAAAATACACATTGAAAACCCTCTCATGTTGAGTATTAACTCAATCCACAGCTCTTGATTGATTGAATGCCTTTCCCAGCCTCACCGGAGACACCGAACAGATGGGAATTCAGGGCGGAAAACTGACTCTTACCGGTGGTGAATCAAACAGCATAACTTCGGTGCCTTTGAGAATGAGGAAGCGAGGTTTGTAGCTCTGCCACGAGAGATTTGTGCTGATGACACCCTCATTTACCCATCCCATGTACTCAATGCGCTCGCCCACGGCAAAATTGCGATTGTACAGCTTCATCTGCAAATGCGTGAGTCCCACAATGTTGTCCGTGATGTACTTTAGCCACTGGCTGAGGATGGCCAGATCGTCGCAGTGAATAACGCCAGTGGAGACGCCATTGAGGCCTCTCACCTCAAAGGCGTTGGGGCGCAATTTGTCCGTGCCGAAAATGTATCGCGTGACATAAGCCATCATGAGCGGCACTGCAAAAGGTGGATTGTACATTACATTTTTCTTCAAGTGATTCCGAGACAATTTGTGTGCGCGTGTTGTGGCTAAAACTCACCCGACACGATGTCCACCCACTTCTTCTCCGGCTCTGAACACATGGAAATGGGTCTACTGTTGTTTGTTGATGACTTCCAACCTTCGTCAGCCTTCAATTCAGCACACGTCGCATCATTGTCCGAGTCGGGAGTCTCTTTGGATACTGAAAAGAGGGAGAACGAATGAAGGTGAAGAGTTGGGAGTAAAAAGCGCCAAAATGACCAATGAAAAATTTATTCCACACATAGTCACTAAATCATGGGAATTAACCGAAGGGACAACGATAGGCGGAGTGGAAGAAAAATGATGGTAGAAACAAAATAAGCAGCAGGAGAAATTTAATCAAACGTGATGATGTGAAACACGAACATGACTATAATTCTCGCCATAGGCGTAGTCAAGAATTGAAAAGGATGCAAACTGCTTACAATTGTGATATTCAATGTTTAACTTGAGCACTGCCTACTTCTATTTATTCCCACACTCCTTTCCACGACCCTAAACATTCGCCCAGGCCACGCGTCATTAAACTATTCTTTTGGCGGACATGATTTAAATTTCAAATAGCAAAGTACGGAAAAATGTATGACAAGGTAGTGTAGAGGGTGGAAAAAATCAGATGATATCAGTTTCTTGAAATCCTGATATCCAAGACATCAGATCAAAATTTTCCAAGAGACTGTCAAGAAACAACAATTAACTTCCTGTTCAAGTTTTCCTCCCACGCTTTTCAGCTTCAGCGAAACAGCGCAAAGAATGTTCTACACATGATTTAATTAAATTCACATTGTTTTCCACTTTAACTCAATTTTCCGAGCGTCATGTTGAACATCTCAAGAATCTCTGAGTGGAATTTTTTTTTCACCAACTGACTTTATGCCGCCGTTTTCACTGTTTTCTAACCAGGAGATATAAAACATCTCTATTATCATTGGTAATTGAGTATAAGTTTGTGCCGAGTGGAGAAATTGCATTTTCTTTTCAAATTGCAAAACAAGAAGCATGAAAAATACAAAGATAAAATGCTATTGAATGAAATTTGAATGCATCAAATCGATTTCTGCTCTTCTGAATTTTCCACTGCATCTTCCAGGCTTCATTACTTTTCAATTTTCTACTAAAGTGCACACACACTTCAAAACTTTCCTATAACGACATTATTTGCAATTTAACTTTGAGATATTAATACATAATTTGAAATTATTGACTTTGTCAATTTCATCTCCAAAGTTTAAATGCATCAATGTGAAGGATGAACATGCAAATTCAATTCCATTTCCCACCAATTTATGAATAATGCACTGTCTGGAAAACAACGGAAGTGCCGGACATGTAAAATAGGAAGTGGGCAAATATTTTATCATAAAATTAAACAGCAAAAATGTTAATTTTCCACACATTTCCAATTTCATATAATTCTCAAGCACTTGTGTGCATGCAACATACATATATGTACATATACTTGTATCTAATTATGCTGATTATTAAAATAAATACGTGCTGTATTATTTCACAAATTGAGAAGTTTTCTTCTAAAATGGCAAAACACTCAAATGAATATTCATGAGCGAGGTGATAATTGCATTTATCGAACCACGTGCGGATTGTGTCTCAAAGGAGACAAACGGAAAATACAGAGCAGAACTCACTGAATTAATAAAATAGAAACCCAACATACTCAAGGATACCAAATTGGAAGTGACCATGGAAATGATGGCTATTATTGGGTTTTGCCGCTCAATTGTCCACCATCGACCCATGACATTAAACTTACGTTGCTTCTGCAGGAACGGCGTCGCAGCTCGATAGTGCTTGACCGTGAGCACCACAATGTCTCCGGCATTCCTCAGAATATTCACCGCATCATCGTGAGGACACGCCGTGATGTATTCGCCGTTGACCTGGAAAAGAATGGATGCAATATTAGTCCCAAGACAGCCGTGCAAATGTCACAACCTAACAATTTGTTCGTGAATTTCGTCCAATAAACTGAGACTGAATATTTCTATCTGCAGAAAAAAGGAAAATTAAATAAATGTCCATCAAGCGGGAAACAATTCCCGGCTATCTCTAAATGGACAGATCATTCTGTCCTACCCAATGATCTCATTTGCAATTTGTGAATTCTTCAATTTCACACTCACCTTGATAATGGCATCCCCAACGAAGAGTTGGCCCGTGGCATCGGCCGCCTGGTCCTTGTAAATTCGCGATATGAGGATGGGCAATTTGTGCTCCGCCCCTCCTTTGATGCTGAGTCCCAAGCCGCCGACCTTCTGCCTTGTGATCTGCACCATGCGCTCCTTGGACTCCGTCGGCGGCCCACCATTGCCCGCTGCCGCTGAAGAGGGCGTCAAGACCTCCAGACGCTGCAGCGTGACCAATTCCATGGACAGATTGAGGCGCATGAGTTCAGGCTTGCTCTTGCCATCGCTCACCGTCACCATTCCGCTGCGTATCTTTATGTTCTGGTCCACTTTTTCTTCAATCGGTGTCGCCATCTTCGACGCATTGATCTTCATATTTCCTGAAATGGACCAAAAAGTTCCTGTGAGGAACTGTATGTGCGTCTCAGGATTGGGGGCAGGAAAAAAAGGTACAAAGACAACGACATATTATCTAACATTTGTCTTCATTTCCCCATAAAAGCACTTTTCCGCCTCCGTTCTCGATTTCTTGTCCTCCTTGAATATCTATCCAATAAACAGAGAGTATGAGTTTAGATTAGAGGCGGAAAAATTCCGGGAAATCCATGAGAGCTTCAAGTAAGATCCACATAACTTGTCATCTTTTCATATCTTTCATACATTTCGCCACCCTTTCGATAGGCATGAAGAGGAAGGAAAGCACGAAGCAGGAAAACCGTCAAGAAATTGATAAATATTTCCTATGGGACATTTTTGTCTCCATCCATGCGACTCTTAAGAACAACTTCCAACATATCTTAATCCAATTGCTGAGACACAAATCACTGGCTTATTTGTCGCCTCAAATCGTGAATTTTCCCAAATCACATGGATTTTCTCAAGTGTCCACCAAGCAAGAGAAAATTTATCATCAAATTACTCTCTTTTTCTATTCACATTTTCCACAATAGAAATACAATTTCATAAATTTCTCAATATTGTGTATCGATTTTGCAAACGACTGCTGATGGCGGAACATTCGTCAATTCTCAGTAGCGGAAATGATTGCCGCCAGCGCTTTTAATTCATAGTGAAGGGAGCGCGCTTTTCACTCATGCCTTTCAACATTTACCCACGCTAAATAATCCCACGTCAATCTTGCATGTTTAAAGTTAAACCCAAACAACGGAACGTTAAATTTCTAATCTTCCCTCATGCCAAAACCGCCAAAATTCCACACTCTTGAGCATCCACGCTGATAATTTAATTGACTTATCTTTCAGACTCTCGGAAAGAAATTCATCTTCTCCGCCGTGACGACACTTCGCGTCTTATCAGATATTCTGGGAATATTCTTCGCCTTCCATGTAATATTTCCTCGCGCGCACACCTCATTAGAAAAAGTGAGCCATTTGTGCCAAAGTGAGTGAAAAGGAGGGCATTAATAAAAGTGAGAAGTTCTGCTTCTGGCCAGATGGGGAGCAGTCGGAAAAATTATTAATTATGTAAGGAAGTTGAGGGTGGAAAAAATCATGGATCGATTTTGGGTGAGAATTTAGGGGAATGTTTTCGCACTGTGTATTCATCGCAACCCCTTGTATGCTAATTCGTGGGCTCATTCCGGAGCGAGCTGGAGGAGGACTAAAAATAGATTCAGCCCATCAGAGCGGCTGAGAGTCGAAGAGGCGCAATGCAATTATGATAAATAAGAGGTTTTTCCTGTTAAACACATGCAATCTTTTCATAATACAATAATAAGAGTTTTATCGCCAGAAATACAACGATATTTATCACAGAATTAAGAGTTTGCCGCCCATTTGACTCTCACCGTCAATCAAGACTTCCTTTTTAATTCAGGCACGTTGTAACAACTTGTGATACTTTTTCTTCCTTCTCTTCGGGCCTCATCATTTATCTCAGCTTAATCCCGAGTCTTTTTGCGCGTCATCATCGTGAGTGTTTGTCTGTGACTCCTTTGGCCTCTCTTAATTACCCAGAAATTCCCGCCACTTGAGCAAGAAGCAAAATGGGAACAATTCAGAGTGGAGAGAAGATGAACACTTGCAGAATAAAAATTTCATGTCTGTGTCAAACCCATTTGGCGGAAGCTCATCGCAATCGTGGTGAATATTTCATGAAAGTCAGGACTATTTACTCTCCTTTCACCCCTATAGTAACTTCACAATCTCCCACAAAACACAGTCTATCGATCTCATCGGGAAAGAGAGGATTTTGCTGAAATATCCACCCATTTGTGAGCATAAATCATGAGATTTGCACATACAGCGTTTCATGAGATGAGAAAAAGGTGAGAATGTCCTTTTAACTATTCTGCATTAACCTATTTTTATTACTATCATCGTTCCATTTGCCCTTTTTCCGTCACCACACAACACACAAGCAAAAGTTCACTCTCAAGAGAGCTCTATTAATCTCCAACCTTCGGTCTATTCATCAAAATAAATTCGCCCAGTGAGAAGGGTTATACAATTACTTTTTGTCAGGATTACAGCTCGGCAGAAAGTGCGAAAAAACGCCCCAGATATATTCAAATGATCCCAGGCATGCCGAAAAAAAAACCCATGAAGGGTGTGTGCAATTTCGGAGCCAATTTATTAGACGGATTTTAATCAAGCACAGCAAAACTTTGCTCACGGACTTTTCACGGGCATTCGTGCTCCGGGTTTGTTTTCACCCAGAGCACAATTGCAACACTTTAATAACTTTTCTGTGATGATGCTTTCACATAAATCACATGGAAATAAGTGAAAGTTTAGCAAGTTTTGGCTTATCTCTTCGACTTGAGGATTATGCAAGAAAGCCATTAGGAATCTTGTGAAGCTGAATATTTGCACACAAAATACAAATCTTAGCACATTTCACCAAGTTACAACTATAAATTTACCCTCATCAATGATTGATGATATTTTACTGAATAATTACAACTTCAATAACAATAACTGTGCACCTCAACACATTTTCATTGGCAATTCCGTGTAAAACATCATTATATTCAGTCACGAATCCTGACTTTGAAATTGTTGGGTAAATTGAATAAATAAAATTACGCTCTGTTCCTAATTTGTTTGCCTTTCTGATTCAATTTTTAGGCTTGAGAAATTGAATGTTTTCGTGTTAAGAATGTCCTAAAAATTACATCTTCACTGTAATTTCTTCACCCAATTTCCTCTCATCAAACCCCTCTGTTATTATTTACAATCCTTAGAATGGAAACGAATCAACGTTAAATAAAACGCAATTTTAATTGCCCTCACAATTGGAAGTATTTTCCCAGACTCTCCAAAACCATATGGTGTGGAAAATTCGGAGAAAATGTGAATAGATACTTTAACTGGATTTAATGTAAAAGCAGAAAACTGTGATGTGAAATCCTAGTCGCGAGAGCAACATAAATCACTCATAAAATGCATTCCAATGCTATGGATTTGGGTTTCAGCGGAAAACGAGTGAGTGAGAGACGAAAAACATGCGAAGAAGAGGATAATCCTCAATGAAAAAAGGCTTCGTTTGATCCCTTTTTCCTCCCCCTAACATTCGACCGGCTTCTTAGGGCGCACAAATCTCCAACATTTGATCGAACCAAATAGAGGGATAATCAAATAAATGGATATTCCAGAAATTCCATCTAAACAATATTGTTAGGCGAATTAATCTATCATTTGAAGGCAGAAAAGGTTGACAATTGAATTGCAATATCAATCCTTATTTTTAGAATTCCCTGACATTTAAATCCCAAACGCAATTCGAGTGCTTTCAAGTGACAAGGCTTGCACAAAAAGCATTCGGTTGCCAGGATTGAATACGCATCAATAAATCATACACTGAGTGAAGTGAACAGTGACAGAAATGTTTTCAGGCGCTCTTTGAGAGTTTCACACAAAAAACTTATGTGCGAAAAGTTTGTGCATCACAAAACTTTTCCATTGCAAGCGTCACAGCAAGCTGTAAAGTTGTTGAACAGAAAAAAGATTGAAGAATCAAGAAACTATTGATGGATCTTGATCGAATATCTCATCTAAGCCCCGCCTTTTTGATTGCCCCGCCTACTCAAAGGCAAAGAAAGAAAGTCAAAATATTTAACATTGTAGTAACTCTCACAGAATTCAGAGCCCAGCCGGAAAATGCCATACAATGCTGGAAATTTGTGGACGTCCTTTGGGTCAAATCCTAAAACAATTTGCGCAAACACACGCTTATGAGTTCCGATTAATCGATAAATTGAGGGAATCGAGCATGAATGTCGCATCATGCAATTTTAATCAATCCTGCGGATTTTCTCTGATTTTCCTGTGCTTCAAGCTGTCGAGAGAGACAGGAAAACCCCTCAAAGCCCTCAAAAACAGGAGAAGTGAAGCAAAACGAAAAAAAAACTTACCCACAAATGACAAAATCGCTGCTGCGTCTCTTCTATTGATTGACCCACAAGAAGTCCTTCGGAGGCCCTTCTCAAGGTTTTCTTCGGCTTTTCTGTGATCGTCCGGAAGCTGAAATATACTATTGGACCCCCTTTGGATGCTTTTCTGTGTCGCTTTCGCCGCACCCACAAGACTTTTTCTTTCACTCTTTTGGTAAAAACAAAGTCGCTGTGCAACTTCTCACACGAAATTATGCATTTCGCCCATATTTATCAGCACCGCCAGCACAAGAATCACATTTTAGAGACTCACAGAAAGTGATTGAGTGTGATTTTGACTTTCTCTGGATGCTTACACACCATGAAAATCACAGGAAAAATGTTCACCCATTTTTTCACGAGCGCCGATCAACAAGAAAAAAGTCGCACTGAAAACCGAGAGTTTTTTTTTGGAGGAGCAAAATGTCAACAGTCGCCTGCTTGGCGATATCAGCGCCGTCGTGCGGAAAAGAGAGTGATTAAAAGTCTGTCCAGTCCGTTTTGAGGTAAAATCTGCAGTTTGGTGTGACTTTTTCCCACGAGAAAAATAGTAAGCATTGCTCCGCGATAAGACTTATCAGTGAATATAAATAGTACGTCGCAATTATCCATTGACAGCCGATCGGACCGACTCATGACTTTGGCTGCCCAGTAGAGCGAGTGCGATGCTGCTGGGCAAGTTGTGCGGGCAGTTCTGGGCCAAGTCCCACATGGTCTCGCGCTCCGGCGTGTCCACCTGGTCGCCCTTGGCCACAGCCTTCAATACCAAGCCCCACCCGAAGCTAAACCTGACCAGGAATGACACGGTGAGGCCTATTTTCCAGCTCTCGGAAGCTTCTTCACATGTGTTCTTTACTGTTTTCAGGGTCTGTTCGGGATCAGCGCTCTGACAAGTCCTGAGGGCTTTTACTTGATGAAGGACAATGCCATAAACAGGACAGATGACTTGATCAAGGAGGCGACTGGCGAACAGCGAAAGAGGAAGATGGTGGAGATCTTTGACGAGCTGTCGGACACTCTGTGCAAAGTGGCCGATCTGGCGGAGTTTGTCCGGCTGTCTCATCCCAATGTGAGATTTCTGCACGCCGCCGAAGACGCCTGCATCAGCATTAGTGGCGTCGTTGAGAAGCTCAACACTGACAAGGAGTTGTACCGCGTCTTGAAGGCTGTGGTGGACTCGGGAGATGCCTTCCCAACCAGTCCAGTAGACGACCATGTGTCCCAGCTCTTCCTGTTTGACTTCGAACAGTCCGGCATCCACCTGGAGGAAGAGCTGAGGCGCCGCGTGCTGCACCTCAACGAGTGCATCCTCCAGATGGGACAGAGGTTCATGGCGGGCGCGATCACACCTCGCGTGGTGGACAAGGAAGTCCTTCCGGAGAGCATCAGACACTTCTTCACGCGCCGCGGAGACAAAATCGAGGTCTCCAGTCTCTTCGCTGAGTCCACCAACGCTCTGGCCCGCGAGGCTGCCTTCCGGCTCTTCCTCTACCCAGACAAGCGCCAGGACGAACTCTTGACGGACATTCTTGGCGCCCGGCGCGAGCTGGCGACCATTTGTGGCTTTCCCACATACGCTCATCGTGCACTCAAGTCATCGACCGTCGAGCGACCCGAAGTCGTAACAGACTTCCTGGAGATCCTGACTGAGGGACTGGGGCCGCGGGCGCAGGAAGACTTCCGCCAAATGGCGCTAATGAAGAGGCAGGAAAATCAGGTATTTTCTCATTGGTCGCAGCATTTTTGCCCACGTCTTTTTTTGTCACTCTCTCGCCTAATCTTCATCGTAAAATTGTCCGCACTTGAGAACTGGAAATCCACGCAATTACTGTGTAATCAGTTGACCTCGCGCGAAGAGAGGTTTTCACCCCCTGAATTTCAAGGCAAGTGTTGTAACGGCGCGTGGCTCTAAAAATAGTCAGAATTCGGACATTGAAGACCAATTTAAGAAACTTGCACTGAAAAGTCCTAATTCTGCTTTTGCATTTGGGCATTACAATTAATGGATGGCATTGGAATATCTTCAGTAGTAACAGCACTTTTATTTTTATAGTCTAACTCCGCCCTGGCGGCCTGGGACACTCCCTACTACACGGCGAAGCTGAAGAAGGAGCTGCTGCAGGTGAACGCGAAGGAGTTCGCGCCCTACTTCAGTCTCGGCGCCTGCATGGAAGGCCTGAACACCGTGACTAGCAGTCTGTGGGGCATCGAGTTGCAGAACACGGAAATGCAGCCGGGCGAGGCTTGGAATAACGACATTTACAAACTGGCTGTGGTGCACGAGGGCGAAGGCGTGCTGGGCTACATCTACTGTGACTTCTTTGAGCGCTCCGGGAAGCCCAACCAGGACTGCCACTTTACCATACAAGGCGGCAAGCGGCTGCAGGACGGCACTTACCAGCCGCCCGTGGTAGTGATAATGCTGAATTTGCAGCAGAGTCGCTGGTCGGGGCCCACGCTGCTCACGCCCTCGATGGTGGACAATCTGTTTCACGAGATGGGGCACGCTATGCACTCCATGCTGGCCAGGACAGAGTATCAGCACGTGACGGGCACGCGCTGCAGCACAGACTTTGCGGAGATCCCATCGGTGCTGATGGAGTACTTCGCGGCGGACCCGCGCGTGCTGGCCACCTTCGCCAGACACTATCAGACACACGAGCCGATGCCCGAGGAGATGCTGAACCGCCTGTGCGCCTCGAAGTTCCTATTCACCGCCTCAGAGACGCAGTTGCAGGTGAGCAAAGACGACAAAGGGCACTTTGCTTGATGATAACACCAAGCAAATAGGGAAACATTGCCTTGTGGAGAAAGCAAATATTATTGCGATCAATTTTGGGCTCTTCTATCTCTGGATCATTTGTTAGTCGTGAGATGAACAAAGCAACTGTTTCTTTGTTAACAAAGATGTAACAAGTTCGTAACTTTATGGGCTGGAAGTGCTAAAATTCAATTCATTCCTCAGGTCTTCTACTCGGCGCTCGACCAGGCTTATCACGGCGCGCCCGCTGGCCAGGGCGCTTCCACGACGGACACTCTGTGTGATCTGCAGGGCAGATACTACGGGCTGCCCTACGTGCCAGCTACAGCCTGGCAGCTGCGCTTCTCCCACCTGATCGGTTACGGCGCCAAGTACTACTCCTACCTAGTATCTCGCGCCGTTGCCTCCAGCATCTGGCACTCCTGCTTTGCGGCGGATCCTCTCAGCCGCTCGCAAGGCGAGAAGTATCGCCGGGAGTTCCTCTCCTTCGGCGGAGGCGTGCCGAGCCGCCAGCTCGTGAGTCAGTTCCTGGGCCGCAACGTGACGCCGCAGACGCTGGCGCAGAATCTCATGGAGGAAATTGACGCCAGCAGCGACACAATCCGGCGACTGACGGAACGATAGTCACACACGCTGACCATTGATGTCTCTCTAGGTGTTTATTATCAAAAACAGGAGTTGGGAAGGGGGGTAGAAATGAAGAGGGGGCGGGAAACTACATTTAGCCGGCTAAGTCATCGCGTCGCAACTTATTTACATCCTCTATCAAACTGTAAATAGTTTCCTTGTTAAATAAATTGATAGACACATCCAATGTCCAATGTTTTCGTGGGTGTCCAGCAAACGAGATAATCAATCTGCATCGCCACCCCCGCTCTGGTGAAATTCAATGCTTTTTTTTCATAATTCTGGGTACTTGCGCAGGCTTTAGGCGACATAATTGTATTGATTCTGGTTGTCCTTGTCGCGCTCCATATAATCCCGATCGATGAGCGACTCAATGCGCTTCTTCAAATCGGCCGGCTGTAAAGAAGAGTTGAAAAAAAACCCTCAATAATTTCTGTGGTCAGCTTAAGATACAATCTCAAAGAGACTCACCTTCACAGGGAACGTGAGCTGCTTGTAGAGTTCACTGATGAGAAGATTGTGGCTGAGGGTCTTTCGCATTTTCATAATTCTAACTATTGCCGCATCGATTTGATACTGCCGATCCTGGTAGACTCGCTCTTCCGTGGCCTTTTGCTCCTCCGTCTGCAAAGAAAGACATCTCATTACCGTTTGGACTTGGCTTTGTCACAACTTCAACTTACAGTCTCCTTCATCTGAATCTGATTGATCTTGATCCTGAAGAGCTTATTTGTGAATTCGTTGTTGAATTGAAATTTGTCACCATCCTCAATTTCTCTGCCCTTCGGGATCTTCGTGATCACTCTGGCCTTGCCGCACGCTAAACTCTGCAGAGTCCTCCGCAATTCGCCATCCTGAAAGACAGTCCAAGATCAACTCAATCTCATTCGACTGGAAAACTAAGAGAGCTCACTTTTACCTCGATATTCGACATGGATTTGATATCCTCGAAAGCCAGGGTGTCCTTCTGGTTGAACAGCAGCAACACCAGCGCCTGGAAGAGCGACACCTGCAAATCCTTCGGCCCCTGATCAAACACCGCCTTGAGGACGCAGTGCCCAAGCGTGGGCTGCCACTGGAGCTTCCTCCCGCTGTGCTTGGCCAAGTAGAACTTGCTGAACAGTCCCTGCAGGGCCACCAATTGTGGCGGCATCGTGACGTCCATGATCGGATACGTCGGCCAGTAGCCCATCGTCAGGATGTTCACCGTGAGATCGATGCTGGTGTTGTAGTCCTTCTCCTGCCCCACCAAGTGCTGCTTGAACGCAATATTAATGTCCTTACTTAGCTCCATGTCCTTAAACATCCCCTCCAACTTCGACGTGAAGCCACCACCGCACTCCTGCTTCAACTTCGACAGCATGCTCTTCTCCGCATCCACCGAGGCGCTCTTCCCCACCAGCAGACGCTTCGCCAAGTCTTTCTTGTAGAATGCCTCGAACACGTCCTTGCCGTGAATGAAGCGGAACAGCACCATGATCTTGTCCAGGATCTGCTCCAGCTCCTCCTCCGTGGCCTCCTTGTTGCCCGCCCGCAGCTTCAAGTCCACATACTTGGCAATTAGCTCGGCGGGTTTGTTGGCGCGCTGATTGATGAAGAACTCAAAAGCCTCACGCAGTGAGTTCACAAACTTATCATTGTGCTCAAAACACGAGTTCACAATGTTGTCCATCTTGTCCTTGAAGTCCAGCAGATCCTGCACCAAGCTCTTGTCCTTCTCCGGATCGATCACAATTGTGCGACCTTTCTTCTTGATGTACCTACAAAAAAAAAAACCGAATCCTTCACTGCCCTCGGCAGAATCCAATGCACAAGACAGCACTTACCCATTAAAGTTGGAGCACAATTCAGCCGTGCCGTTCTTCACACGACTGAACAGTGAGTAGAGTAGTTGCAGATCCGCCAGGCGATTCTCCTCCAGAAGACTGTCCAAGCCCTTCTGCAGAATGCCCGTCAGATGCTCACTCAGCAGCTGCTTCTCCACCGTGTAGATCAGCTGTGGCTTCGTGCTGGGATCCAAATAGTGCAGCAGGCGCTCATTCTCCTCCGCCAGCCGCTTGTCTGCGTGCTGCAGATACTCTGGCACATCCAATTCCTGCATCATACGCTGTCCTTCCGCCTGATACAGCTGCCTCGTGGCCACGAGGAACTTATCCTCAAACGCCAATTGGTAGATCTGAAGATCCGACAGCATTCGCAGCAGATTCTTCAGCAACGTCCTGTCCACCGTGTCACCCGTGCGCTCCTTCTCGATGAGGATCAACAGGCCGTCCACCGTGCGCTTCTGCACAAGGATGTTCAAGGCGATGTGCTTCCTGAACAGGTCCAGGCCCATGTCCCAGATCGAGTGCACAGTGGGATTCTGCAGCACGTACGTGCGATCCAGGTAGAGGAAGATGCTCCGGATCATGATCATGAGCTGACAATGACTCTGCCAGCAACCGTTCATGTTCTTCAGGTACACCAACTTGTCCATGGTGTCCGCAAGGAAGGGCTCAATGTTGGACTTCACGTGGGCCTCTGTGAGTGCATACAATTTGCTGTACAGCTGCGAATCCATCTTGTGGCTGCAAAGATTCTCCACCGCCTGATACAATTCCTCCAGCGAATAGGCGATAGATTTGGACGTCTGGATGGCCATCACTGCCTTCTCCAGCTTCTCCCATGTGTGCTCCTGGTAGTTCTCCGGCAAAACTGGCTTGCCTAGCAGAGTAGAGACAAGTATTAGTGGAACAACCTCAGATATCTCTTAAGTAAAGAGAAAATCCATAAAATCGGGTAGACTCTATAAATACGGTAAGCAGTGTTTTCCTTCAATCAATCGGACTTTACCCCAGAAATTGATCAGCGAATACACTTTGATTCTTACAAGATACCCAGGAGTGCTCTCCTAATTCCAATAAACCCTATCAGAAGACAGGAAGAGCCCCATTTTGCCTAATATCACGCTTCCGGACAAATTGTCAAGAGCTGTCAGGAAAGTGAGGTTATGACACCGCCTTTCCGTCTCTCAGCGGAACCTTGAACGCCCCAAAAAGGGCATTTTAGCACACCAACCATTCCCAGGCACCCGAGTCCACCCCGCGGACACTCACTTTTGAAATTCTTGATCACGAGCTTCTTGATGTCGCCCGGCTTGGCGGCCAGATTGCTTGAGGGCAACTTGAGGAGCGCCCCATTGGAGTTGCCGAGGGCGGAGAAGTTGGCCCGCTTCTCCTCCTGCACACCCTCCGCCTTCACGTTCATCCTGTGCCTCTTGGCCGGTGGATGAATGACTGGACTGGCCGTCTGGTTCTCTTGCAGATGCTTCCTGCCGCCGCTCTGGATACTGTCTCTCTGCGTCCTGTCCGAGTGGCTAGACATAGAAGGGCATATTTCGACACTGGGCCACTGCCTGAGGGTTCACGGGCGTCACTCTGGGTCACGCTACACGTCAATCACGCTTCAAAGGGGTAAAAATGCCACAAACTTTCCACGAAACCCCGTCACTCTTCGCCATACATTCACTATAGCGAACGCGAGTCGATTGTCTCCAAGGCCCACAAGTCTCCGCAGCACTGCTGACAACGTGCGGACCACAATCTCTCCACTGTCACATCTGTTTGGTTGATCTCAGCGTAAACAACAATGCTTTATTTATGAAAATACATGAATTTCTCGCATTAATTTCACAAACTGTGGCGCTCTAGATTAATTGCGTGAGAAGAGTGAGGAATATATTCAGAATCTACGCATCCTGGCCCGTTTTCAGCAGCCTCAGCGCCTTCTGGAGATTATCAATGGCTGTGGAGATGTCGTCATACGTGAGAGCACTGCCTGCCCACTTGCAGTACTTCTGGGCCTTGCTGATCTGATCCGGTGTAAGGCTCACTTCACCCTGAACCGGTTGGTACTGCTCCACCTCTTCTCCTCCTGGTGGAACGTAAGCCTGAAAGCCACCCGGAGGCTTCTCGGGCTCCTTAGGCGGATCAGGTAGCTGCTCTGGCGAGGTGATATCAATGGCACCCGTGTCCGGATTGATGGGCACTGCTGGCGGAGCTTGAGCTTCCTCACTAGGCTGAGTTTCTTCGTCCTCCTCTTCGTTATCTTCTCCCTCTTCTCCAGTCGCCATCGGACCAGGGACAGGAGTTTCTCCGTTCTTCAGGCAATTGTGTATGTACGCCGCCTTCCATTTGGCATACTTCCTGTTCTGCTGCACTTCATCGGTGAGCTCCCCGAAAGTCAGCAGAACATCATATATCATTCCGGCTGTATAGAAAGCCTTCACGACATTTCTGCAGAGAAGAAAACACTCATAAACTGAAAAAAAAACACACACAAAGTAACTTACTTTCCAAAATTTCCCTCTCGGTCTTGCTTATCCGCGTACAGGAAGAGCTTCAGGGCATAGTTTTCCAGATAAGCCTGGCCAGCAACTTCATTAGTTATCGATTCATTTCCACTGTGTTCCTTCTTCGTTTTCTCCAACCAATCCATCAATTCTGCAAGTGCAAAGCCACTGTACTTGATCAACATACTCTTTCTGGGATATCCAGGAAATCTTACCAAGGAACAGTTTGGTCTCCTCTGGCTTCTGGGAGGAGAGTTTGAGCCCCAATTGCAAGGCATAGAGTCTGGACCAGTAAGCCACAATGATATCACGAGAATCATGCTCAAGGGCGGTTTTCAGGTAGTGAGCGATGTTCTTAAGACTCGGAGGACACTCTGAGAACTGGACACCGCCGGACATGGTTGAATTTTGGACAGAAAATACGCAGAAAAGCCCCAAGGAAAACACAGGATGACTCACTTCGATTTGACGCAAAAACACACCCGCACGCCGTCTAGCGAGATTTCACAGAATCACCAGCAATGTAGGAATTTCAATATTTTAACGGATTTCAACCGCAACTGTGCGTTTGCATGAAATAAAGAGTTTGTGTAAGTGGTGGAAGTAACTAAATTTATTTAGACTGAACGCAAAAGAAATTTTTATTTACAGGTTTAGTTCAATACAGTCCTTTTCAAAAAAAAATCCTCAGATTCATAAATTTGAATTTTCCCTACATCCTAATTTTTGGGTTGCCTCGAATCCTTGCACTAATCTCATCCCACTCATCCGCAGAGATCTTCAGCGGGCATACCTTAATATCCAACGGCGCAGGCCTTTCGTCAAAGTGCCGCAAAATTCTGGCCAAAAGGAAGGTAAAGAATCTGCCATAAACGTAGATTTCATCGGTTCTATCGCATATCCACAGTTCTCAGCAGTCGATGTGAATAAATAAAGTCGTCAAGGCCAATGAGAGTAGCAATATCGCACCAGTTAATATGCAGCTCTTGTAGGTCACGGAAACGTCCATACAATGAAATCTGATTCAGATAATGGTCCCGAAATGTTTCCAAATTCATGATCTTCAGACATGGTGTAAAATTTGATTTTGAGTGTCTTCAGTCCATGCTGGCGCTCACAGAATTGCCTGAAGTAAGACAATCGAAAATTCGGCAGCACACCAATGCTGAGCTCCTTGATATCATGTAACACAGTTAAGCATTTTCCGGTTATGGAATGGCAAGAAATATTGAGAATTTTTAAGTTCTTCGCTGCTTGTAGACAAATTTCAAGATCAAGTTCATCCGTAATCGTACACCACTTTAACTCAAGCATCTCGAGGTTCACAAAACTCTTGGCATCGGGTTGATTGATCTCGAAAGAGCAGAGACGCAAGTTCTTTAACTTGCTGCAGTCTTTGCAAATGTCAAGAATGTGAGTAATAACGTCACAGGGACTATAGAAATCCTCAGATGCAGCAACAAGAGTGTGGATATGCGGTGCAAGCCTTGCTGAAATATTCCTGACATCTCTCATTGTTATGTTTCCGGTGTTCTTTTGCTCCCAAAGCACAGTAAAATTTAACTCGTGCGTTCTTTTGTAGATCATACGCGCCACAATCTTAAACCTCTTGCATACTTTTTCCATCAACATCACTTGCCAAATGTTGAGATAAGTAAAGATATGGCACAAACAGTCGTCATTTAGCTGAAGAATTGCATTTGTCCTGGGAACCTCGTGTTTGGCGTCCGTCGTCTTCACTGTTTCACAGGCATCTTCCTCAGCTTGCGCCGTGACCTCCCTGCGCCGCTTCCTCGAATTGTAAGACGATCTCACACTTTCCTGCATCTTTGGGTATGTGAAACAAATGTTATTATGATTATTATTATTATTATCTCGTATAACTTCGCTTACAGTTGAGCTTTTCATACGGTATTGAACGCGTCGATCCGTGTTTTGTTGTGGAATGCTAGAATTTTGACACAATTCATCGATAACCCTATTGCAAATTTGGAAAACCCACTGAAAAATTAGGAAAGAATTCCACTGGACATTGACAACCCTTCTAAGTGACGAGTATCGAGTCAAGAAATTTATTGACTATTCATCTCATATAAGGGCAATTGATTTCTTTTCACTGCCTAACCTGCTTTCCAATGGCAATAAATCAACAAAGGACATGAAAAACACAAATTTCACACAATTCTCGCCCATTGAAAACTATTCATTTCTGGCTGCTGATCTTTAACACTCTCGCTTTCTTCAGATGAAGACTTCATTGAAACGAAAGCCACCCACTGGCAATTCCACAGAGATTAACATTCCGCGGTTTGGCGGTCGTGAGAGATGCAAATCTCAGTATTCCTCGAAATGCTTTCTATTTTCTTGCGATGGACCAAAAAAGAGGATCATCACGCTCACGCACGAATATGGAGCCATTGTTATTGATGATTGATTAATTTCTTTGAAAAGTACATCTTCATTGAACTGTGATCTTAGAAATAAATGATTTTTGCAACCATGATTATATAATTTGAAATAACTATATTGCTTCTTGTTTAAATCCAGTGATGGGTGTTTTTAATCGTGTATTGAGTTGTTCATCAAATAGTAAAGAATTTATGCATTTTATGTTGATTTTATGCGAAGAATCTCAATCGCTTTGATCCAGAAGTCAAGTGATTCATAATCTCAGAATATCAACCCGTTTGTTCTCATGCATTTGGAGATATTTTTATTGAAAAGGAATATCAACCAAAACCACAACTTCTCATAAATAGATATTGCAAATTCAAAGCAATGATTCGCCATACAATAAGTTCTGATGCATGATGGTATTCCCGCATGATAAGAAGTCTGGATCTTTCGGTTTCAGCACAGGCGAAAAGCTGAACGCCATATGACTATATTATCTCTCCCACGAATTACTGAGCACAGCCGAGACGGTTGAGACCTCAGACTTCTTTGAAAACAAGACATTTTTCACACCAAGTTTTATTGAGGTATTCTAACTGTAAATAAATTCTTGCGTTTTCATATAAATGATTTATTTTGTCTGGAGTTTTGGGCATATTCGAAGAAAGTGGAATATCTAATAAATAGAAAAAATGTATATTCAAAGGTTCTCTAGCAAGATTAGCAAGTCAAATGACTTGGAAAAAACCCAATATTGACTCTTTCCCTCCTCACACTTTTAGTATCATGGATAAATCTCTTATTTACCTGATTGATTAATGAAATCAAATACGCAGAACCTGGAAGAAACACAGAGGTATTCCTAAGATGGCATTCATAGGGTATAAAAACGTATGAGAAACTGAAAACAAAATCAGTTTTACTGTGTTCTCTGCTCAAGATGAATCTGTTGACTTTCGGGGTGATTCTTGTGCTTTCTGGGTTGTTGAGTACCGTTTTGAGTGACAATGGTGACAAAGTTGAATGGATGTATTACCAAAAGAAAGTGGAGTTCGAGAACTTGCCTTTAAAATGTAATATTTTTCTCTGTGAAAGTGTTCACTTTAATAATATGCTTAAAGAAATAATCAATCTTACAGATAATACTTTTATTGGACCGTACAAGTACAACCTTCCATATAATAACGACATCATCGGAATAGAATATCATGACTTCAGCAAATTAATGTTTGGCGTCATTATGCGATTAAGACCTGGAGTTCCATCAACCCTCAATGCTTTCTGTACAACTGATTATCCCAAGGACAGCAGTCCTCGCTACTGGGGCTTCCCAAACTACAAGATGAATCAACTGAAAGCTTCTTATTATGGAGAGACTAAACATGCGAATCAAGAGACCCATAAGAGACATTCTTCAGGATACTTCAATCGTTTCTTCGGTGGTGTTCGCCATTCCCTTGGCTACAAAACCAAGAAGCTCAATAGACGTCCATCAAATTCTCTGGAGGATTTCAGTATTGTATCATCGAGTCAGCCTACAGTAGACAATCAATGCAATCGTCTATTCGCCTTGGACACGGGTGTATTACAATACTCAGCAACCGAAATCTACAATGTCCAACTTCCAGCTATTATCGTCTTTGATTTGCCCCAAGATGGCTGTGAGACAAGGCGTTTTCCAGTTGTAAGAAGAGTGGAAATTCCGAGTCATCTTTTCAAGAATCCTGTTAGCTACAATTTCATGACGATAGATCAGCAGTTAAAGGGCACCTGTGACGATATCTACATTTATACCAGCAACACATTCGACAACACACTTCTCGTTTACGACTATAAGAGGAATAGTTTTTGGAATATTGAGCACTATCTCTTTAATCCTGTCATGGCGGAATCCTTCATGGTCTTCAACAAGGACTATAATTATCAACTGCCTTTGGGTATTGTTAATGTAGCTCTGGGATGGCCTGATAAGAAAGGCAATCGTCCAGCGTACTTCACACCAGGTTCCAGCCAAGGAGAATACGTTTTCTCTACGAAGTACATAAAGAACCAAACGAACTACTTACAGGACTTCAGCAATTCTATCACTGTTCTCGGATATCGTGGTAGTGGAACTCAAGCCTATCGTCAGGTCTTTGATTGCAACACGGGAGTAATTTTCTTTGCGGAAATGCAATCGAATCGACTTAGTTGCTGGAATTCTCTTTTGCCTATAAGTCCGGACACAGTTGGAGTGGTTTTCGAATCTGAAGCCTTAGAGTTCATTTCAGGACTGAAAATTGACCCAACAGGATATCTTTGGTTCCATTCTAGTCAAGTACCACTTGACTTCTTCACCAGTGATCCTCTGGATCTCACTAAGGTTAACTCTAGGACATTCAGAATTAGAGTTTCAGATGCAATTAATGGAACTATTTGCGATACATCAAATTACAAGCGCCCCAGTTCAGCAAATATTTAGCGTTAACGCAATTCAAATCGATTTTGAAAATTTTTTCTTCTCTGTATCGTTCCAATTTTAGTATATGTTCTGCCGAAACAAGAACATATATATATATATATATATATATATATATATAATGTGTATATATATTGCAAATAAATAAACTTATAAAGCGGAATGATTTTATGTATTTTAAAGAATTGAATAAACTAAACACAATTTCTATACTTCCTATTTAACATATTTTTCGTCGATTGTACATCTCCAATTATTCTAATATCTTCTGTTGTTTCTGCCAGATTGAAAAATTCTTTATTAACATTTTATTCACAAATACCGTACACTAGACAAAATCATTTAATTTTTGATGTCAAAATAATCAAAAGAGTGAAATTATTTTCCCATTTTTATTGGACATTTCAAGCTGCCAAATTGGGTTACGTCTGAGAAATAAATTTTCTGTAGAAAGTGGTTGTGAAAATCATATCATTACAAAAATTCTTTATGCAAATTACTTCATTACCAAGTCAAATTACACATAATCCCAATATGTATGGCCCATTTCTGTGCTCTTCAGCTTTCAATTCATATTGCATTCCCTGTTGAGTATTATCGGGACTTGGTAACACAAACTGGAATCATATACTTAAGCCGAACATTTACCGCAACTTTTCATCATTATGCTAATTTCAACGACGCATGTCAGAATCATAATCTTCTCAATCTGTGCTTGATAAAGGAATTCAATTTTGCAATTCTTATTATCTCACACAGAGTTGCAGGTAATAAAAAAGCACGGGACATTTTGGGAGGCGTTCAAGAGTATAAAAGTGTGCGAGAAATGCACAGAGAGTCAGTCTTTGCCGTGTTCTCGAGATGAATCTGTGGATATTCGGAGTAATTCTTGTGCTTTCTGGACTTCTGGGACCCGCCTTAAGTGATAATGGTGATAAAGTGGAGTGGATGTATTATCAAAGGAAAATTGAATTTGAAAACTTACCTTTGAGCGGTGAGATTTATAATCTGGGAAACAGCTAGTGCATGCTCTTAATATTTAAACGGACTATCCAACCTTACAGATGATACTTACATCGGACCTTATAAATATAACCTTCCTTACAACAACGATATCATCGGAATTGAGTACCACCACTACAGTAAACTTATGTTCGGAATTGTAGTGCGTCTTCGACCTGGAGTTCCATCAACCCTGAACGCTTTCTGCACCACTGATTATGCCAAAAATAGCAGTCCTCGCTACTGGGGCTTCCCGAACTACGAAGTGAACCAACTGAAAGCTTCTTACTATGGACAAACTCGAGACGCAGGTCGCCAGCTTGAGCAGAAGCATTCCAATTATTCAGCTGGATACTTCAATTACTTCTTCGGTGGTTCTCGCCATTCGCTACAATATGGAACCCAGAAGCACTATAAGAAGACATACAATTCCGTGGATGGCTTCAACATTGTATCTTCACATCATTTAATAGTTGACAATCGATGCAATCGCTTGTATGCTCTAGATTCGGGAACGCTGCATTATTCAGCAACCGAAATTTACACTGTTCAGCTTCCAGCAATCCTAGTATTCGATCTACCATTAAATGGTTGTCAGACTAGGAATTTCCCAGTTATTAGAAGGGTGGAAATCCCTGGTTATCTCTTTAACAACCCCGTCGGTTACAACTTCTTGTCTCTGGACCAACAACCTAAGGGCACCTGTGATGATGTCTACGTCTACGCTAGCAACGCATTTGACAATAGAGTTCTTGTGTATGATTACAAAAAGAATAGTTTCTGGAACGTTGAACACACCCTTATGAAGCCATTTATTGCGGAATCTTATATGTTGTTCAGAGAGGATTACAATTATCAACTTCCTTTAGGGGTTGTGAACATCGCCTTAGGATGGCCTGATAAGAATGGCGACCGTCCCGCCTTCTTTACGCCTGGTTCTAGTCAGGCACAGTACGTGTTCTCCTCCAAGTACCTGAAGAACCCGAAGAGCTTCTCATACAAGCACGGCTTCAAGGACTACATCACGTTGCTTGGGTATCGTGGTTGCGGATCTCAGGCTTATCGTGAGGTCTTCGATGAATCCACAGGCGTGATGTTCTTCGCCGAGATGCAGTCCAACAAGCTGACTTGCTGGAATACCGCTCTTCCAATCAGTCCAGACACAGTTGGAGTAGTTTTCGAATCTGAAGCTTTACAATTCATTTCGGGATTGCTCATTGACCCCACAGGATATCTTTGGTTCCATTCCAGTCAAGTGCCAATTGACTACCTCACGCAAATCCCTCTTGACATAACTGATGTCAATTCCAGAACATTCCGCATTAAAGTTCCAGACGCAATCAGTGGCACTGTTTGCGATACTTCTTCATATTATGGCAGAAACTTACATTCGATAGATTCTGAAGAGCAATTATAAATTGAGAACAACATTACGCATAAACTTCAACCAGATTTGAAAAAAAATCTATGCAAATTTTATAAGAGTTGTATTGAATAACTTAAAGAAATAAAAGTAATGATTTTCGGCTGATGAACCCTCCAAATCTCTCACAGTCTCTCATCCACTGTGAAGAATTACACCACATTCATTCACACTTCCATCCTATTAATTTGTCAGCAAAAAAAGATGATGCCTTTTTTGTTGCTGCTCACTCTCTTTGGGTCTTTCCATCTCTCACGTTCCTGTAATTGTTTCTGAATTGTGCTATTTGTATTCAATTAGATGAGTTGGTCATCTCTAAGTTCCCGAAAAATCTGCTCAGCGGATGTCTAAGAGATGGCGTCTGACCCATTCTCACCTGTATTTAATCAACATTTCCAGGGAAGAGCAACGAAAGTGAGAGTTCGAGAGAAGTGTTGACAATGATAAAATGCAAATTTCACTCTCTTCAATGGTCAAGAACAATAAATCCCTGTTAATTGCTCGCACACGGCAATAACTTTCTTCTTGCCGCGGAAAATATCTATCCATAAAGTTGAAAATTAATTAAAAATCCCATCACTATAGGTTTAAACTTCCGATTAACCTTTGCCCAGCAAGACGACCGTGAGGTCGATCGATAATGTGTTATTGAGATCCTGGCTAAAATGTATGCAATTTCACATGAAATTTCGCTAAACCTGATGGTAAAATGCGGAAAAAGCATGAAGTGTGTATTGTTGCACTCACAGTGATGATTGACTGATTAACAGCCGGTCAATTAGCATCAATATTACCATCGCGATGTCCCAATGCAATGCACTACAATTGCGACGCTCCAGTTTCTGCGACTCGTGCAGTTCAGGTGTGTGTGAATTTCACATTATGAGATGAAGATGAGAATCATTTTCACACACTCCACTTCAATTGTTGATGTTGCGCAGAAAATGCGAGCTCTATAGCCAATATTGACTCGTGGCTCACCACTTTTACTCTCGACGCCGCGAAAACACCGAAAGACTCAAACAAGGCAAGATATTTTGAATGTGGGTCGAATTAAAAAAAAAACAGGCAAATCAGAATATATGGAATGGAATGCGACAGGACAAAGGGAAATTAGTACGAAGATTCATTTCAACATTTTATTAAATCCTTGCTGTGCATTTTCTGTCAGTTTCCTGGCAATAATTTCTGCTCTCTGTTACCTCTGTATCAGTAACTTACAACAATCAACTGTCCTGATTAACAAGCTCGTCTGGTCACGCCTGCCATCAGCCAATAGAGGCTGAAGACACCACGCAAAATTGGCTTTTTACTTCTCTGTCCCCTGCATTCTTGTCGTCGTCGACCTTTTTTCCGCCCGTTAAACCGATCAAGGAAGATTTTTAGCGATCAAGGTGACTTTTGCCGGCCGAAATTTGACGCGCAAGAAGTGTGCTAATCGAGTGTGTGATCAGACGCACTCACGCGTGACAATCACGGATATGCCGGGGATTTTTGAATCACTTTCAATAATCTCCCTTCCCTCGCTGGATCGCATATGCGATGTTGTGTGTGTGTGAGGCACGCAGAGACCAAAAAGAAGGCGCATTTGAAACTTTGAAGCACTCACGATGTTGATTTTGGTTTTAGTTGGCACCCATCGATCGCCGTGGTGACTTTAAATCTCCTTAGCTTCCAGTGTGTGCCCGAGGCCCTTTTCCCGCACCGATCGCAGGCCCGTGAAATTTGGCCAAAAGTGCCTTCGGACGTGTATTGAATTTTGAGACGGGTTTTGCATGTGACTCACGTGAAGGTGAAAAGTAAAAGTTTTTTTTTCTCCACCTCTCATCCTCGTCCATCTTTTTGACCAAAAGACGCGCGCGCGCGATAAGCATGCAAAATCTTCCGATCAACAATACATTTGTGGGCGACCATTTCACTCATAAAAAGCGTTTTTTTGTTTCTCTTCATTGCACTTGAGATCAAGTGAATTGCGACAATTGTGATTGTCGCGGAATTTCATTGATCAAGGATTAATCACCTGTCAACATAAGAATCAAGGTTTCATGTCAATTGGCTCACTTAAGAGACTCTAGTGCCGGATATTTTGGTGGGCGCAGAAAAAGTTGGACGGCGACAAAAAGCCAAGAGTGTTAAAATATGTTAACAATGAATAGTGGAAATTTTATCGATTAATTCGGCTTATGTCTTCTTGCTCATTGATTTGAAGATTGTGTCTTTCTTTTTTATCGTGACGTTCGATGGCGCGTGCACTCAGAGAAAAGCGTGTCTGAGGGAGAAATTTTCGACTGATCTTCAATGGACTTTGCTTAGGAAATTAGACTACGAGATTTCCTGGGGGAGTGTTTTTATCTCCAAATATTACATTTTGGGCTAAAGCTCTAATCTTTCTCATGTGGAGTAGATTTTCAGGTTTCAAATTCACTCTTTTAAAACAACTTCGAGCTTAGTCTGAAACTTGGACTCAAACATAAATCATGCTTTTATATTTCACTCTTATAATGTAAAATCTTTATGCAATAAGATATGAATGTTAAGTTGAATAGAGCTCTGAATTTTTTTTATTTTCATCTTAAAGTTAATTAGAAAACGATCAATAAATTCTGGAGATGCAATAAGTGCAAATTATTCATGGTGAATCTTCCCCTTCAAGCTTGGCTCACGGTTTTCTCCGAGTGCATCTGCCCAGGTGGAATACAGTAGCCGCCTCGGGGGGCTCATCATCTCGCCATCCGCACCTCCAAATTATGCAAGCTAATAGCACCTTCTCCCCTGCCTCCCACTTACACTCAAATTAATTGCCCCAGAGTGACTTTGTGTTGTCCAGAAGCGCCATCAACAAGCCAAGAAAGACACGGAAGAAATATGATCGTGTCTGATGGAATAGTTTGCCCTGAAATCGCGCGAGAGCCACGAATGCCTTGTGGTGAGAATAGTGAGACAATGAAAGTGTAAACGGCGCCTCTTTGTTGATCACTTATGGACAGAATTTTCAAGAGTTTGAGAGACAGACTTTCAATACAGCTGAGGACTAAGAGTCAAATTATGCAGAAACTGCTGTGGATCATCTTTGTGGTGAGAGCCATTAAAGACATATTTGGTCTGCAAACATTTCAGCATCTCATTTCTTTCTCTCGGAAGATAATCAAATTTGTAAGCTCGGAGGCTCCATATCCACACCAACATCAGCATCAACAGTATGTGCCCTACCAGGAGCAGAGACCCCAGTTGCAGTGCGGCCTTTACGGAGCTCCACCTTGCGAATACGTCCCGGCGCCGCCAGGAAACACGCCCAACTGCGCCGTGCCCGGGAAAACCTACTGTGAGCACGTGGATCACTATCCTGTGTAAGTTTATCCGTAGGCGGAGCTTATGAGTGGGCAGAGCTTTAGTTACTATTTTATCTTTCCCAGCTGAATAGAGTCAACTAAATTAGCAAATTAACGGTTAATCGTGGGCAAATAATTAGCAAAATATGAACTAAATAAACGACAAATATACCATAACCCGAAAAATTTGTGCTTCAGAGTGACAATAGATCATAATTGCCAAAAATTGGAAGCCTGTAAACGAAGCATGGCACGTTAATGACCGGTAAAATATCGTTTATGTAACTTTTGGGAGAAAAAAAACAGTGGAATTTGCCCTGAATTTTATTGGTTTCTGCAAAACAACCCACGTGGAGAGTAATTAATTAAATTTATCAATTACTTATGTTGAGGAAGTCAACGCACGACTTGGAGAACCGGCTCTGAAGGTCACTTTTGATGCTCTCATGATGGCATATATTTAGTCAGGATCGTGCCAATTCGCACTGTAACCGTCTCGCAGTGCAATAACACACAAATTGGCAGGTATGAAACAGTTTCCAAATCAATTGATTTCGCGACGAGGAGCACATCTGCCTAATTGAGCGCGCACAATACCTAAGACAGTCACTATAATGCAATATTCTATTAAATTTCGCATATTTCGGTGGGAAAAAGAGCGTGATTGAGCAAAGCCACGATGAAGAACATAATGAAGACGAGAGTGAGGGAGAAATGAAAAATATTAGCATCACTTTCCATTATGCAATGCGCCTCAACATCTCTTGAGATGGTTTCTGCCAGTCGAACAGTGAATGAAGAGGAGAGAAAGATCATGTTGAATTTACTAATTCGCACGCATTGTTGGGTGTTTTTTGCTGCTAGTGTTGTTTTTTTGTGCTGCTCCGCGATGAGCCGCACAAAAAGCGACAGTGCTGATTGAGACTTTATGAAGTGTTCGGAGCTGGGAAAGTCCCATCTTGACCGCAATTTTTCCATGCGCCCCACTGGAAAGACCCCCAAATTGGCGAGATAAACAATGTGGGGGTGGGCAATTTGCTAATTAGACATCATTGCAATTGACACAGTAGAAAAGTAATGTGAAATAACAATAGAAGGTGTATTCTTGACATAAATGTTGCAATAACGCACAATGCACATTTCTAGGCAGGTCATAAAAACCCTGATTGATAAATGGGGCTACGATATCAACCCCCACCTCGTGGACGAGACAGGAGATGAGTTCCACGACAAAAAGATGGTTCCTCATCCTACGTACGGACCACCATCACCGACTTACGGACCGCCATCGCCGACTTATGGCGTTCCAGGCACACCTCCAGTGCCGGCCTCCTATCAACCTCCCCCACCACTCCCTCCAGCCCCCGTATCCACAACCCCAGCCCCTATCTTCAGAGAGAACCTCGTGGCGCCAACCAGCAATTACGTTCCCTTCGCGCGAGCCACCGCAGCCGGTGGGTATGCGAACGACGGAGGATACAACTATAATCCTCCGAGAACATCCTTCCCAGCTGCGAAGCCACCGCAGGAGTTCTTCACGCCTATTCAGGGAAACAGAGATCCATTCAACGGACTACCAGCAGGAGCTGCCAAGCCAAACAACAACGATAACAGTGTTAACAATGTTAATAACGTTAACAACGTTAATAATGGATTCAACGGACAACCAATCAATGTAATATTCACGGAAGCTTTGAGGGCGCCTCCACAGGATAACTTCCTACAAGCACGATCTGCAAACCAGCAGCAACAACTTCCGGATCCCACTCAAATTCCACCCTCACAAACGACATTCACGAATCCACCGCCACAAGTTCCACAGAACAATTTCCAGAACCCAAACTACTTCCAACCCTTCATTCAGCCATCAGTAGAGATCCAGCCTCCGCCACAGACGCCTTACAACCCAGCGGATTGGTTCAGAAGATATGGAAGGAGTATCACAGATGTGGATAAATCTGGCGGGACGGAAATTGAGAGGCAAGAGGTGCGTAGCTTCAATCAGACTCTGGTGCGAGTCAAGAGACAGTCGCTGGAGAGTCTGTTGCTGGATGAGAGCAAGCTTCCAGAAAATGCAGGACTGAGAAGCAAGAGACAAGGATTCGATCAGGAAGCACTGTGCCAAGTCAGGACGCAGTTCATTCAACCCCAGGCGGCTCTCAATAATAAAGGTAGGACGTGGACAAATGTCATTTAATAATGATTACTGTGATTTTCTTGCTATTGCAGGGAACTGGATGTTTGTGGTGAATCAAGTGGAAACAGCAAGGCAGCTTGTGAAGACTGAAACTTGCGCGTAAGTTTTGTGAAAATTTGTTCAACTTCCAATTGAGCTTAAAATTAATTCCCTTTTGCAGATCAACAGTCTGTTCGAACATCTGCCAGATTCCGCCTGGCTACAATTCTCGCTGTGAGCAGAAGTACGTCCAGAAGCGTCTCGTCGCTCTGGACGCCAGTGGCCAACGTCTCTACACGGACACCTTCTGGTTCCCATCATGCTGCGTCTGCACGATCGCACCGCAATAGATCATGCCACGGATTCAGTGCTTATTCAACGAATTTAGACTTAATGGCGCGAGAGCCGTAGAAATGATCTGCAAAATTACTGCCAAGCAACTAATTTAAAGAAAAAAAGCTATTTAAGGTGCACGACAAGCTAAAATTCCACTTGTAGATACTGAGCATCCACTTTTGAGATTAAATGTATAGAAAAAGAAAAATGTGAATATAAAACATGTTGTCTGTTTTGAGAACACTTTGGCCTTTTTCTTCGTGTTTGTGTGCTTTTAGAGAGTGCCAATAAAAAGTCTCTTCGGCTGCTGATAACGGGGAATCGCGTCGCCACAGCGCGATCACTTTCAGCTTGGGAATCTTCAGTGTGACAACACCTTTCAACACAGTGAGACTTGAATTTACAAAACCTCTCAGAATGGTGCCCACAGGAGAAGATCTCAGGATCGTGAGTGTCGATGTGAAAGATATTCGCTTTCCGACGTCTCTGGGAGCGCACGGATCGGATGCAATGGTGAGTTTATTGGGGAATGATCGATATTATGTGATATTATGCCAAGTCATAGTTATTATATGTGACATGGGCGTAGCATATTCAGCTGTTTTTACGCAGGTTTTGAGTTGCTTTTCCGCAACTTATAATTCTTCCAATTGATAACTTGTAGATGCAAAAATTTTGAAAATTTCATGAAGTTTATTATGCGATATTAAATATCATGAAAATTAATCATTTTCTTCCTATTATGTGAACATATATAAACTAAAAGAACTGATTTTGCTTGAAGTTCAATATGAAAAGTGAGATAAATCTTAGGGCTGAAAGGCCAATTTTGAAAGGAAGAAATTATTTGTTTCTTGCGCACGCCCATGATCGTAATCAGCTGTTTGATCATGCAGTTTCTAGCGCACATGAGCATTAGAGGAAAATTCCCATGATTTTAGCACACGGATCCCGACTATTCCTGCGTCTACGTGACTCTCACGACCGAACGCGGAGTTTCCGGCAATGGCCTGACTTTCACTCTAGGTCGCGGAACGGATGTCGTGAAGCTCAGTGTTCTGTCTATGAAGCACTTGCTGGAGGGCCGCAACGCCGGTGAGATCTTTGGCGATTTCTCCGCACTCTGGCGCTCTTTGACCAGTGAATCGCAACTGCGCTGGATCGGGCCCGAGAAAGGTGTGACACACCTCGCAGTGGCGTCACTAGTAAACGCCCTGTGGGACCTCTGGGCGAAGCTCGAGGGCGTTCCACTGTGGCGCCTCCTGACCACAATGGATCCAAAGGTGAGTTGACAAAAGAGCGCGCTTTTATCCGTTAAACATGTTATTGAAAAATTTATTTAAAAATTTCCGCCAAAACTTCTCGCAGCAACAGAGTTAAGAATTAATTCTCAAATAGTCCTCAATTAAACTTAATCTCTCTCTTTTGCTCTCATTCTCAAAAATCGAAATCTAAACACAAGAGACATTGACAAAAAAAAGTTGTAAGAAAGGGCAAAATGGGAAGATCATCACTCGTCTTTCTCTGCTATATGCACATGATTCCGCCTTCTCGTGATGATTTTGGCCCGCATGACCCGAAAACTGCTTTGTGGGTGGGAAAGAGAACGTCCTAGCCTGTCCTCGTAAATGCACGTCCACTCATATTTGTGAGGATCGAAGAGTTGTGATATGGATTGAAAGAAAATGATACCTAGGTTTTTGTGATCTGCCCTGATGTCGCTCTATTCCTCGTCGTCGTCGAACAGCGCATTGTCGGGTGGTTCCGTGAAGCACTGACTCATGGAGAGGTTCTTCGTGTTGGACGGCCGCAGTGACACCGGACCCGCGCTGGCTTTCGGGAAGCGGCTCAGATAGCGCTCCAGCCTCAGGAATTTGATGGACACCAGGCGATTGTCGAACCACCAACCATTGATCTCATCGTGCACGATTCCGGCATCTTTAGGCGTGGCGCAGCGCACGTAAACACAGCACGTCGACTTGTCCAGTTGTACATCGAAGATACGACACTTGGGACCAACCTGAAAAGCAACAACAATTCAAACACAATTAATAATGCGATCTCGAGGCATTTCGCCTTTCCTACTGTGGAAAATGAACGCATTGAAGAGACTCACCTTCTCCAGGATGGCATCCGTGATAATGGTCTTGAGATTAGGGTTGTTCGTCTCGTACTTCTCAAACATCTGCCTAATTTTTAGGCAAGCCGTCGGCGGATCCTTGATCTTGTTGCTCTTGTCGAAGGCCGGACTCTGCCACTTCTTCACTGCACTTCCGCCCGGCGGGGCGCTTCTGTGGTGTAGCAGTGACGGCGACACCGTGTCAATCCACCTCATCATGTGGCAATCCTCCCCATTTCGACTGCCCATCTCAAACTGGATTCTGCTCTCATTCTTCTTCAGATGCTCCATCGCTTCCATCCACATTGTGTCCATGTCTCGCCTCTGCGACGCCGGGATGATTTTGTCACGCAAATGATTCACTACCACCAATCCGCCATTCTCATTGCTGGCCTGCTCCATCAGTGCGCTCAGTATTTCATTGATCATCTTGTCCAGTTTCGCCTGTCGCTTGCGCTTCACGTTGATGACAAACTTCCAGAAGAGATTCGCACTGTACATGAGAAGCAGAGCTACCGCCAGCGCGCCAACGGTAAGGAAGAACTTCTGCATTTTGCTCCGCAACAGACAACTCAGCGGCAAGCGCGGATTGAGGATGCCGAAGCTGTTGCCCCGCTGTTCTCTGAGTTGCACCACTTCGTCAAATGTCAGCGCTTCACCATCACTACTCACGTGGTTCACGCGCCACTGTGGATTCCTCTCGATCAGGTACTCCATGTTGTGCAATCGCTCCAGCAGCTGCGAATGGCTCACGCCCGGATCCGTCTTGAACGCCAGCTGGATAACTTCTGAAGCCGTCATGGTGAACGATCGCTCGGGATCACGGCACTTGTGCGTCTCCACGCGTTGCTGCAATTCCGGCGCGATTGCCTTAAGCATCTCCAGTGCCGGCTCCACTCCGCCGCGCTCAATGCACGAATAGCCTGGTCTTCTCAGACTCACGCCATCGCACAGCTCCACAGACGCCACCTCGGCGCTCAGTGTGTTCACGAGATCCGGGCTGATGGTGAGATAGGCGAAGATGACGGAGAATATGAAGACGACGAACGCAGACACGAGAAGGCATGGCACGAGAGTCTGCTTGAAGCCGTACTGCTCATCCAAGCGACTCACAAGATTCGACACGGCAGTCTGTACGCTCTGGGGCTGTTGTGGCTGGCGCGGCGCCGCTGGCGTTTCCGGCGCGTGGTGGACAATGTTGTCGATTGTCGAGCTGGAGGAGTTCATCTCAAATCTGCTGCCGCTCCGTCTGGTGGCAGCTGCCTCCTTGCTCACCGTCTCCCCGCGCAACCGGAGGAGTCTCTTAGTGAACTCACTGAGATATGGCGACTCCTCGGCGGAATTGTGCCCATTCGACGGCGACGAGATGTTTGTCCCGACGAAGCGTGGCGTCGACCCGTCTAAGTACGGTCCATCAGTGCTGTCCGGGGTGTAGCGCTTCCGAAAACTGAAACCGGACAAGCGGCTGCTGGCATATGAATTGTGCTTGTAGTCTGGCGGCAAGTGGATGTCCGAATCCTCGTCTGTGTCGGGGGCCACGATGGGCGGCGGCACAAACACCGAATTGCGCGGCTGAATGGGCACCTTCACCGTGGGCAGGGCCGTGTGACGCTTCCTCGCTGCTGGCGGTGGCATCTTGGGGCGATTGTCCATGTCCGACTCCTCGCCACTCGAGTACCGTGTGACGTACGATGTGTCCCGGTGGAGCTTCTCCTGGTCCTGCTGCATGCGTGTCCGGAGGCGCGCCAAGAGCACCTTTCGCGTTGTCGCCGTCACGGGTTGATTGGGAAAGCCGTACTCCACCAGCAACTGACCAACTTCTGCATTGCTGAGGCGCTCAAGTTGAGTTCTCGACTTGTTCATCCTTCACTTGGTCACTTCCTGTGGCAGAAAAGGGGAAATTGTCCATGAAGAAAACAGCAACAAAACGTCAAAGAGCCCCCCAAACATAACCTAACTCTCCCTCTCCCCAATGATGCTATTTTTAGTTGTGCGTCATTCGGTACTAACCATTTGTTTTCACTCTATTCCTTTGATTTGGTCAACTCTCTTACACCCTCCGGAAAGCCTGTGGGTGTTCACGAACACGATATGGGAGCACCTTTTGGGTGAAAATTCAGAGAAAAGCCACAGAAAACAATATTTCTCCCAGCGAAAGAGACACACAATCCAACAACTGAAGTCAGCGCCACCGTTACTAATCCCCGAACTATTATAATTTTATCCAGGAAAAGGAGAAAAAGCCCGCAGAGATTGCAAAAATTTTCTTTTCCGCAGTTATTAGTCTCCACCATCGATTTCCGGTACATCACGGATGTGTTGACACCCGAGGAGGCTGTGGAGATGCTCGAGAACGCCCAAGAGGGGAAGGAGGAAAGAATCGCGGAGCTCCAGCAGAGAGGTTATCCCGCCTATACGACTCAAGTGGGATGGATGGGGTACAGCGATGGCAAAATCAGGGATTTGTGCAGGAAGTACCTTGATATGGGATTTCGGGCGTTCAAGATCAAAGTTGGGAAGGATATATCTAGCGATATAAAGCGATGTGAGTTGGTTCGGAGTGAGATTGGCTATGAAAACACCTTCATGATTGATGCCAATCAAATTTGGGATGTCCAGGAAGCTATTGACTGGGTGAAGCGTCTCTCCCAGTACAAACCGATGTTTATTGAGGAGCCTACATCTCCTGATGATGTTCTCGGCCACGCAGCAATCTCCAGAGCTCTCAGGTAAGAAATGTTGCTTTTTTCACATAAGAAAAGAAAGAATTTTTTTTTCGTAGGCCTTTTGGAATTGGCGTTGCTACAGGTGAGATGTGCTGCAATCGCGTCCTGTTCAAGCAATTTCTTCAAGCAGGAGGAATGCAATATTGCCAGATAGATTCTGCCAGAATCGGAGGAGTTAACGAGATTCTAAGTGTTTATCTCATGGCCAAGAAGTTCAACATTCCGGTGATTCCTCATGCTGGAGGCGTGGGACTCTGTGAGATGGTGCAGCATCTGCAAATGTGGGAGTTCACCTCTCTTACGAAATCTATGAAAATGATTGAATACGTTGATCAGCAGCATGATCAGTTTGTCAATCCCGCTTTCGTGGTCAACGCCAATTACTTGGCTCCACGCGAGCCGGGATATAGCACGGAATTGACACAGGAAGCTATTGAGAATTTTGAGTATCCTGTTGGGAAGGAATGGCAGAAAATGTTCAGTGAGGGAATATTTCAGGAAGTGAAATATTGAGCACATTACATATTATCCAAAATTCCTCCACCATTTATCCAAGGGGAAATTTTATGGAGGGAAAATTGACGCGTTCGCGGTTTGGAGGTTATATCGCAGTAAATAAAAAGAGTGTTTCCGGCTGAAAACCACAGTTTTTTCGTGGAAAATCATGAAATTCGAGAGATCTCTCACCAGATACGGCCACGGGAGTGGATACACTTCCGTCTGCTATGAGATGGGTACTGAGTAAGTTTGATTTCTTGACATAAAAGTACACAGGAAAGGCACTGATGAGTCTTCTTGATTCCTGAGCAGCACAATAATCTCTTCCGGCGGCGATGGAGATATCCACATCTGGAAGGGCGTGGAGGATGACGACCCAATGACTGGATGTGCCGGGGAATTTATATCTTGCCTGGCTTTTTATGACGATCACATTTTCGTGGGAACTGAATTGAATATCGTCCAGATTCTGACCAACAGAGATTTCGACCGAGATGGGACACAGTTCCGCTTTACGGCGCCGGCGACAGCCATGCGGGTGACGGACAAGTATGTGGCAGCGGGCTCGGAAGACACCACTATCAAGGTGACGATTAGGGAAGGTGCAGAGGAGGTGGAATTGACTGGACATTCGGGCCCAATTTTGGCGCTGGATGTGAGCCCTGAAGGTTTTCTGGCCTCCAGTTCAGGCGATGGTAGTCTGAAGATCTGGAAAATAGCTGATCAGAGTGTGGTGAAGACGATAGAGGGATTTCCGCTCGTGAAAACCGTTTCTCTGGCTGAGGGATTCGTCACGCCTTCCTTCTATCCAAAGTTCGGGAAGTACTTGGCTTATCCGAAGGACAAAGAGATCATAGTGCTGGAATCTACCAATTGGACGCTCAAGCACACGCTGAAGAATGATAAGATCTCAGGGAAGTTCTCAGTTTGCGCCTTTTCGCCCTGTGGAAAGTTTATCTGTGCCGGAAGCACGACAGGAGAGATCAGCGTGTGGGAATTCAACACTCTGCAGAGTCTCAGAGGTCCAACGAAGGGAGATGAGAGTGATATGATTACCTCAATTGACTGGTGCTCCAGTTCAGGGGATCAGATTGTCTTTGCCGACAAAGCTGGTCAAATTGCGTGTATCACGCTGAAAGACGAGGAGGGAAAGCGCTTGGCGGACGTAGCAGAGGACAGAGAAAACTTCCTCGAGATGGAGGCCTTCGGGGAGTCTGATTCGGAGTCGGAGGACAGCGAGGAAGAGGACAATGAGAATTGCATCTCTCTGAAGCGCATCAAAAAGGCTACAATGAGGCCTCTTGATGATGTGGAGGCTGAAGAAGTGAAGAGTGACATCGTCGAGCGGAAACCCGAGATCAATCTCTCTCAGCTACAGAAGGCTTTCCAGCCGGGAGCCACACCTGATCACTTGGAGCACAGATACATGGCGTGGAACAGCGTGGGGATCGTCAAGGCGCACAAGACGGATGTGGAAAACTCCATCGAAGTCGAGTTTCACGACGTGACTGTGCATCATGCGATTCACATGAATAACTTCCTGGGACACAGCCTGGCGGGAGTGAGTGAGCGCGTGCTGGCTCTCTCTGGCTGCTCTCCATGCAAAGTGGTGGGCATCGCTTTGGGCGCCGGAAGTCGCGAGTGGTCAGTGAGCTTGCCGAACTGTGAAGAAGCTCTGGCACTCACAGCGTCCAATAATCTCGTTGCTGTGGCCACAGATGAGCGACTGCTGAGGATCTTCACGACTCTTGGCACGCAGCGAGAAGTGATCTCAATACCAGGAAAGCCCGTGACATTGGCAAGTCATGGCAATCATCTCATGGTGGTTTATCACACAACTTCCACAGCTCTGGATGCCGATCAGCATCTCAGTGCAATTCTAATCAATGCCCTGGGTCTTCAGTTGCGCTCTCGCGACGTCAGACTGTCGATCTCGCCGAAGTCCCGTCTCACATGGTTGGGATTCACAGACGCAGGATCTCCAGCATCCTTCGACTCTGCCGGGATGCTAAGGATATTTAGCAAGAGCGCCAATCTCTGGTATCCAGTGTGTGATCTCAAGGAGCACACCAAAGGTGCTTCGGACACTTTCTACATTGTTGAGGTGTCCGAGGAGAAGCAACTGGTCAGAACGATTCTCTGCCGAGGACTTTCCTACCCACTGACAAGTCCACGTCCTGTAGTCATGGAGATCCCACTGCAAATGCCCTTGTGTGAGATTGAGGCAGAGAAATCCACATGGGAAGACGCTCTGGTGCGACAAGCTGCTTTTGCTGTGGAGAACCGCGAGAAATTGATGCGGGAGACTGCCATTAAGCTCTTCGCACTAGCCTGCCGGAATGAAATGGAAGCGAGAGCCAGTGATTTGATCGAGATGATAGGATGCCCACAATTGGTGCCTTTGGCGGCAAAGTATGCCAACAAACTAGGTAGAATCCACTTGGCTGAGAAACTGGGACAAATGCTGCCACAAATTCAAGAACTTGAGCGTGAACGTGAGAAGGAGAATCGCTCCTCTTCACCGGATATTGGGGAGACTCAGGACATTCTCAGCCTCCCGCAACCCTTGGTTGTGAGAACTCCCGATCCGAGTGTGGTTGTGGCGCCGAAACCCATGTTGAAGAGCTCTGTGAAGCGAAATCCTTTCCGAAAGGCTAACATGTCTTCCCCTCTGACGCCCAGTGCGGATCCTCTGAGTCACTTGACTGAGAAGATTGTCGGATTCACGCCAAAACCCAACATTCAGAGTCCTCAGTCTGACACTGCTCCGAAGACTTTCATGGCGTGGTTCACAGAAAATCACGATGAATTGGCGACAGAAATGCCCGAAGAACATACACCAGCCCAGTTGACATCCTTTGCGATGAAGAGGTACAAAGGCCTGATCCAGGGCGTGCCAGCAGCCAAAAGGAGACTCGAAGATGAAGACAAGACGACAGCAAAGAAAGTGTGTTAAATCACTGCAACTTTATTCCATTTTCGTCCACTTCAGCTTAACGCCTTTCGTTTCTCTGTCCTTTTTTCATTTCATTTTATATAATAAACATTTAAATTCAATAATATCTATTTTTTAAATAGATTATTTCACTAATCGATAGATGGGGAGCAAGAAATTTATACTAGATAAAGTGGAAGTGAGTTTCATCATTCTTTTCGCGAAAATTAATTGAGTAAAGAGGTTTTTACGCATCCTCGAACCCCTCTTAGCATGTGCCTCTCTTCATCATCTCTCTATCATTCATTTCATCTCTCTTATTTCGTCTCTATACGTTAAAATATGGCTCATGGTATAAAAAAAACATAAAACTATCATCTAGGGGAAGAAAATTATATGGAGACAAAATATAAAAAATAAAAAATATACATTATGGATTTCTCCCAATCACTTTGCGACAGTTCATCAAACGTAAACAGTGTCTTTGTACATAATATCATTTGTTAGTTACATACTTATTGGTTTTCATCACTTAGTATAGCTGTCTAATAGGGAGGAAATGACACAAAAGATTGTAGGTAAATAAAGGTAAAACATATACAAAAATAGATGTAATATCTATTAGTGGAGCTATTTTTCCAACGTCAAATCATTACATATATTAGATTCTATTTCAAAATAAATCCTCTCTTTAGGTCAAAATAATTAACTAGGTCAGTAAATCTAGTAAAAGCTATAATACTCAGGAATTCATTCGCAGCATCGCAATCCAATTGAGTTGATAGAGCATTTTTCCGTTTCTTTTTGATTGAAATTCAATGATTTTTTTTTCTTCATTTCTCTTTGACTAAACTCCCGCCCAAAAGAGTTCTGTTTTCTATTCTTAATTGCACACTACTTAAATTTAAATACTTATTGTTGATTAAGTACAAAACATTTTCCTTCTTACACCCTCAATTACTAATAAATAGTTCATTATATTCTTACAATTCAATCTTTATCTCCTTATCTGCTCAATTTCACTTTTAATTTACGAATATTGGTGTGTGTTTTTTTCCTCTTCATTTGCTCTGAAAATGTCCTCACATTGAAAACACATGGAATCTTTTCAATTTCTTTTTTTTACATCGAAAAAACATATTTATACCCAAGGAAATAGACAAAATCGCCATTTAGAGTCCATAAAAACCCATGAAATTCAATTAATTTCTTTTCCAATTACGAGTGCAATGAATTCTTCAGCAGCAATGGAAGTCCAGTTTTGGTTTTGTTCTTCGAAACCAGAATCGTGGCCGTGTTCTTAGTCTTTGGCTCGCCACCGGCGATCCTACGTGATTGATTGTTATTGTTGCTCTTGCTACACTCCACATTCTTATCAGCAACCGCCGAAGCGGCGGCCAGAAGGGACATGGTCTCCTTCTTCAGCTGATCATGCTTTAGCAGTAGCATCTTTTGGGCTTCCTCCAGACTCTTATGACCGTTACCATTGTTAATACTCCGCACAACTGCGTCAAAGTCCCAATTATTTGTTGTTGAGCTGTTATCAAAAACTCCCGTCGTCTGTTCTTCTGAGAGCTCCAAGGGCTGCAAAAGCAGAGGAATGATTAACATTTTTTTTAAATGTTTAAACAGGCTTGGCTGAGGAAATTTAGAAAAGTTTCAAACTTACCTCATTTGTCTGTTTTCGTGAATCTCAAGTAGATTTATTGCCCATCAGGATTTTGTCCATTTCCTTTTGTACTAGCGTTATCTCAGTGAGATGCTTCACGAATTGAGCATTAAGATGCATGAGTTGTTTCATCTGCAGAAAAAGATCAAACCATCATTTGCTGTTGCTATACAAACACACTCACACACATTGAAAATGCCTTACTTTTACCGATTGATCATTGTTCCTATCCTTGAGACTCATATTGGCGGCTCTGAGTTCAATCTCTTGCCCCTTCAGCTCGCTCTCCAGTGACTCAATCTTCCCCTTGAGCGAAATGATCTCCTTCCGCAAGTCGTCCGCCATGTCGCCAGCATCCTTGCAGCTCTCAATCTCCTGCAACCGCGTCTTCATCCTGATGTTTTCCTCCTTGTACGTGTGAAGCTGCCGCTTCCACTCATCGACATTCTGTGTGGATTCCTGCAAGGCAACCTCAGTCACCCTCATTCGCAATTCGTACAATGAATCGGCGTGACAAACCTGCAGAGCGCTGGTGAGACGCAAATTGTTGTTCTTTAGCGTGTTGAGCTCAAACTCCCACTTTTTCGCATTTGCCGAACTCTGCGCAAGGGCCGACTTTAGACGCTCATTCTCATACTTGAGATGCTGCTCAGACGATGACATCCCATCAACATTGCCCAGTTTCGAGTCATTGCCAACGCTGCCTAAAGACACCACATTCTTGTGCGATGGACTCTCAGGCTTGCCGATTTGCTGAAGAAGGTGCAAAGGAAAAATACAAGATAAATATATAGCAAAGCGTGTCAAATTTCCGAAAACAAATTCAGAGAGATAAAAAAAAGTGATGAAGTGGCGCAGAACCATCAACTCTTGTTATCACAGATGCAAAGAATGTGTTGCTTTGCGTTGAAATAAAGCCTAATTGCATGACGAATTGCTTCCTCTCTAAGTGACTGACCTGATTAGTAACCGCGGATGATGGTGGCTCCACGAGATCAGAGTTGTTCTCATTCTGCATGATTGACGATCGCGATGTGATCGGCGACGTGTTCGCCGAAGTCACTGGTGTGGCTCCTGTTGAGCTTCCTGCAAAGACCGAACGACGTTACAATTGTCACAGGCAAGAGTCTTGGTTTCCTCACCATTGGCATTCTTGGACATGGCATTCTTCGTGGCCTCCTTCACCTCCTTGAACTTCTCCACGAACTTGAGCAGCTCCGACTCGGACGAGAAGCCCAGTCCGTACACCGTGTTGGCCCTCACATCGCTCCACTGGCCGAACTTCTGCGACGTCTGCGTGAAGGACATGTTGGGCGTGATGGTTGAGTTGATCACCGCCTTGCTGCCCTCCACGCTAATGATCCTGTACAGATTCCGCGAGGAGTCGTAGAAGAAGCTCACAGACACAGCCTTCGTGCTGGCCGTGATCCACGTTCTCTTCGTCTTCGGGTCAATGTGAAACACATGAGCATTGCAGGTGAAGATCGGCTGCTCCCTGGAAACAGATAGAAGCACACACCATGCGGCATATCAACAGGAAGTTCCACACGCAGCACGTCATTTATCTATTACGCGACAGGATGGCATATTTGAGATATATTCCGCACCCGCAAAAGCCACATGGCACAATAATAAAAATACGAGAGAGGAAAAATTGGAGCATCAATTGAGAATGTTACGAAAATATCTCACACGAGATCGAACCATTTTCATCTCACTCTCGCTCTCAGGCACACAATTATTTAACAATTTCATTAAAGAGACAATTCAATTCAGCGCGAGTGTCGACCCATTGTGTCTCAACGTGCGCCTCTTTTCTCTCCCACATTTCTCGCTGCGCCTCCAAAAATTGCCACCACCAGAGCTGACAAAGGACACTGCTAAGTGCCATAGATTGGAGATAAAATTTTGTGCGAATCGCCGCAATTCCTGTTAAGTGCATTCAAATATCCATTTATCTTTCCAACTTGAAAAGGGAGATTTTTACGACTTCATCATAAATATTGCAAATCACTCTTTAATCTATATTTCTCTATCTGCCCTCCAAATCTGTTGGCATTCGCATTGAAACGATGCAATAAATCGATTGAAATCGGGTGCAAATATTAAATCTATCAATCTGAAGGTCTCCAAAACACCCTGCTCAGCGCAGAGCAGCAGACTTTTCCTCAAGCCAGGCAATCAATTTCCCCGTCTCTCGCTTCAAGAGCTCCACATTAGACGAGTGGGCGATAATTGTTGAGCCGCGCTAATTAACATACCACAGATGATTGGCTCAAAAAGGCACTTATTATCGGAATTTGGGAGTGATTTATCGGGCTTCAGAACTATTCTGGGCTTCCGGACACTCTCGCGAGTGGCTCATGATGTGAATTCCTCGGGATTTTCGTTAGATTTCCGTGGCAACTCATTGAAATTCTTACCGGGGGAGTCAGTGGGTGGGCGGAGGCGGGGTGGGTGACCCAGTGGAGGCCGAAAATGTGGGCTTCCCACCCATCCTCCCACCTGCTCGTGAATTCTCGCGGAAAAGTCAATGTTACACCCTTGAGGTGCACCCTCTGGTCCTCAATTCCACTATCAGATGCTTTTCCAACGCGAAGCATCGCCAATAGGTGCATGGGGCGCCCCCGAAGTGTGCCAAGTGAGCCCCAAGAGGCGATTTTTTGGGTGGAGTTCCAGCGACAGACACTTTTCAGTGTACATGCAGAAATTGAGGTGGTTTTTCACTGGGAAGCAATCGCGATGGGAAGGAAGTTTTGGTATTTACCCGATGTTCTCTTTGCCCGACGTCATTTTGTGCACTTTCCGCCAACTTTTGTTTACTCACTGCTGGAGAAATTTCACTTTTTCCCCGACACTCGCACACACAGCTCCGCACCAAACTTGATTTATTGTGCCTCTGAGGCCTTTGACATGTTGCTCAGTTTAGGTGGGCGCCACTGAGCAACATGTCACAGAAATTCACCACTTTTTCGCCATCAGGTGGGTCGGAAAACTAAGGAAAAATCACATGATTCACAGAAGAATGACTCTTTTATGCTGTATTCTGCGTCCCTCTGCAAGGACATAAGCGGAAAAGTAGAAAAAGCGAAGAAATATGGAGATTATTATTTTTCTACATCTTGTGGCGCGCGCGTAGAAAATGAATTCGCCGCGACAGCGCCACTTCCTGTTGACGTCAAGTGGCAGCTGTCATCCATCGTTCTTTTCCCAAGTCTTCGCCATTGTGTGAGATACTGTTTCGTGCTGAAGACGTGAAAATCTCCAATCATCCAAGATGGTAAGTAATATTCGCGTTGGCAAATATGCAGAAAACATCCACTGATATTCACTGCAGTGAATCCATGTGTGATATTGGAGCCAAGTGCTGTATAAATGAGTGAAAATCACCTCGATTGATCACCATGGATGTTGGCTGATGTTGTCAGTGTGGAGGCACACTTTTCACCTTTTCCTCTGCTTTCAGGTGAACTTTACCGTAGACGAAATTCGTGCGATGATGGACAAGAAGCGGAATATCCGCAACATGTCTGTCATTGCCCACGTAGATCATGGAAAATCGACGCTCACGGACTCTCTGGTGAGTAACTTTCCGGACATTCACCGGCTTCCTGGGCCGCTTGAGCTGATTATGCGATTTTGTCCTGCAGGTGAGCAAAGCTGGTATCATTGCTGGCGCCAAGGCGGGTGAGACGCGCTTCACGGACACCAGGAAGGACGAACAGGAGCGCTGCATCACCATCAAGTCCACGTAAGTGCGAGAGAGAGAGCTAGATGGCGATGAGCGGCAGTGGGAAAAGTGCCAGCGTCACGTCTATAGCCTTTGTCGCGATGAGAGACGTTCCACGCAGTCACCAACACACTCTCACGGGGTCGGAAGATTTGATATTATTGTGAAATTGCGGCTGAGAAAGAGATAGACTGAAGCCAATGCAGTGCACTTTTCCTGCCACGTGAATAGTGACAAGCCCTGGTTGCGTGCTGATGAGGAGCCATCCAAGGATTCGTGTTTATTCTCGTGGAATTTCAAGAAGATGACTCGTGGAAGAAGTGAAGTGCACGCCGAAATTTAATGAAGAATTTAGGTCAATTTCTTTTATCGATTTTGTGTCATTGGCGCATCCTTGTAGGCGATTCCTGGAAATGTCCTTGGGTTTTTGCAATGCGCAGCAACTTTCATTATAATATCCTTGACTTTTCCCTTCGATGAGGCTGTGAACAAATAGAACTTCCATTTATCCTGATCCTTTGCCGTCTTTGAAGTCATTCTTCTTTAAGCAATGCATTTCAACACTGGCTATTTCCCTTTCAGGGCCATTTCGATGTACTTCGAGCTGGAGGATAAGGATTTGGTGTTCATCACGAATGCCGATCAGCGCGAGAAGGAGCTAAAGGGTTTCCTCATCAATCTGATCGATTCTCCTGGACACGTGGACTTCTCGTCTGAGGTGACGGCCGCTCTGCGTGTCACGGACGGCGCTCTGGTCGTGGTGGACTGCGTATCTGGTGTGTGTGTGCAAACGGAAACTGTGCTGCGTCAGGCGATCGCTGAGCGCATCAAGCCAGTGCTGTTCATGAACAAGATGGACCGTGCGCTGCTGGAGCTGCAGCTGGGCGCTGAGGAGCTGTACCAGACCTTCCAGCGTATTGTGGAGAATGTGAACGTGATCATTGCCACGTACAGCGACGACAGTGGCCCAATGGGTGAAGTGCGTGTGGATCCGAGCAAGGGTTCCGTGGGCTTTGGCTCTGGACTGCACGGTTGGGCGTTCACGCTCAAGCAATTCGCCGAGATGTACGCTGACAAGTTCAAGATTGACGTGGTGAAGCTGATGAACCGTCTGTGGGGTGAGAACTTCTTCAATCCCAAGACAAAGAAGTGGGCCAAGCAGAAGGAGGATGACAACAAACGTTCGTTCTGCATGTACATCCTGGATCCCATCTACAAGGTGTTCGATGCGATCATGAACTACAAGAAGGAGGAGATTGAGGCTCTTCTGCCCAAGATCGGTGTCACCATTAAGCATGATGACAAGGACAAGGATGGCAAGCAGCTGCTCAAGATCGTGATGCGCTCTTGGCTGCCGGCCGGCGAGGCTCTGCTTCAGATGATTGCCATTCATCTGCCGTCGCCCGTAGTGGCGCAGAAGTACCGTATGGAGATGCTGTACGAGGGTCCCCAGGACGACGAGGCGGCTATCGCAGTGAAGAATTGCGATCCCGAGGGACCGCTGATGATGTACGTGAGCAAAATGGTGCCGACATCGGACAAGGGTCGCTTCTACGCTTTCGGTCGTGTGTTCTCCGGCAAGGTGGCCACTGGCCTCAAGGCTCGCATCATGGGGCCCAACTACATTCCCGGCAAGAAGGAGGATCTGTACGAGAAGGCCATTCAGCGCACCATTCTCATGATGGGACGCTACGTGGAAGCGATCGAGGATGTGCCCTGCGGTAATATTTGCGGTCTCGTTGGTGTGGATCAGTTCCTGGTCAAGACTGGAACAATCACCACATTCAAGGATGCCCACAACATGAAGGTAAATGTCTTCTGTATGCAATTTGTTTATTGAATTGAAATCGGAATCAATATTTAGTGAATATCGTAACATTTCGTAGAGTTTTTTCGCAATACTCTTCTACGATTTCGATCAAATTTAGAATGATGATAAAAACACAGACCTGTTCTGAAATCAATCTTTCATGTTAGATTACCATTTTGTCTGATTCATCATTAATTTCACGCTATTTGTTCATGTGTGACTTCTGTAATTCATACCTTTTCTTATCTGCCCATTCTGTAGGTGATGAAGTTCAGTGTGTCGCCTGTGGTGCGTGTCGCCGTGGAGCCCAAGAATCCGGCTGATTTGCCCAAACTTGTGGAGGGTCTGAAGCGTCTGTCCAAGTCTGATCCCATGGTGCAGTGCATCATTGAGGAGTCTGGAGAGCATATTATTGCCGGCGCCGGTGAGCTGCATCTTGAGATTTGCCTGAAGGACTTGGAGGAGGATCACGCTTGCATCCCACTCAAGAAGAGCGATCCAGTTGTCTCATACCGCGAGACTGTGTCTGAGGAGTCAGACCAGATGTGTCTGTCGAAGTCGCCGAACAAGCACAACCGTCTGTTCATGAAGGCGTGCCCAATGCCCGATGGCTTGGCTGAGGACATTGACAAGGGTGATGTGAACAGCAGGGATGACTTCAAGGTGCGCGCGAGATATCTGGCTGAGAAGTACGACTATGATGTGTCCGAGGCCAGGAAGATTTGGTGCTTCGGTCCCGACGGCACGGGCCCCAACATCATCTTGGATTGCACGAAGGGTGTGCAGTATCTGAATGAGATCAAGGACAGCGTCGTGGCGGGCTTCCAGTGGGCCACGAAGGAGGGCGTCCTGGCGGAGGAGAACATGCGCGCTGTGCGCTTCAACATCTACGACGTGACACTCCACGCTGACGCTATTCACCGTGGCGGCGGCCAGATCATCCCCACGACGCGACGTGTGCTGTACGCCTCGATCATCACGGCTCAGCCGCGTCTCATGGAGCCTGTCTATCTCTGTGAGATTCAGTGCCCGGAAGTGGCGGTGGGTGGCATCTATGGTGTGCTGAACAGGAGACGTGGGCATGTGTTTGAGGAGAGCCAAGTGGCGGGAACTCCCATGTTCGTCGTCAAGGCCTACTTGCCTGTCAATGAGTCCTTCGGCTTCACAGCCGATCTGAGATCCAACACTGGCGGACAGGCGTTCCCGCAGTGCGTGTTCGATCACTGGCAGGTGCTGCCTGGTGATCCGAGCGAGCCCAGCAGCAAGCCCTACACCATTGTCCAGGACACGAGGAAGCGCAAGGGACTCAAGGAGGGTCTCCCAGATTTGTCACAATATCTGGACAAATTGTAAACTGCGCGCATGCATTCATTCTTCAGAAAAAACACCAACAGTTCCGCCGCCTCGATGATGGAAAAACAAACACTCAATCTTTCTTTTTTTTGTTAATTTTAATTGCTATATCGCGAGTGCGAGAAATGTAAGATGGGGAAAATGCGAGAGGAATGGAGATTGTTTGAGAGAGTTGTTCCAATTTATCAATTTTTCTGTGTAATTTTCCGATCAAATCCTTTCGTGTAGGTGTTTTTGAGGAGAGAAAGAATAACCAACTCTAGAGACATTGACAATGTGGTGAGGAGGACAGCAAGTGAGAAGAAGGAGAATAAGAGAAATAAAGGAGGGCCACAAGAAGAGAAAAGTCTTTCCTTGGCAAGTGAACAACACATTTATTTCAGCGGCTCGCGGGGAAGCCTTCAGAATCTCACTGGCGGCATGCAAGAAAGGAGGGATGTTAGTCTGATGCTTGAGCAAGTGCGCGGCGTCATGATATACTTTTCCGGGTGCTTCCCTCGGAGCGCTTGGACAGCGAGCTCAGCTGGTTGACGATAACGCGATCGCGCTTGCGACGGATGTTATAGATGCCATACACGATGGGATTCATGCAGGAATTGGTGCAGGCAAACAAGTAGAGTAGCTTCTGTAGGCGCTGATCCACATTCTGGGCATTGTTGCGATCCATGAAGTACCTGCAATTGCAGAACAGAAAATCAGGGAAAATCGCGAGGGAGACATTATTCAGCGGACTTGCCAGAAGCACATGATATGATACGGAGTCCAGCACACCACGAACACTATGACGATGGTGATGGTCATCCGGAGGGTGCGTCGCTTCGCTCTGCCTAGAACTGTGCTGCTGGAGCGGCGAAAAGTGACTGAAAAGAGGCATTTTTTGGCAAACATGTTAAGATTGTCTCTTAAGATAAAAGAATTCCTTTATGCTTTCAAATTCACTTCTGAAGCCATTCGTTGAAATTGCTTAATTTTATCAATCAAATCTACTTTGAATGATAATATAAAAAAAATGCAAGTTGCTTTTGAAAGATTGAAAATCTCATCTAAAGTTTAGTCAAGCAAGACATCTTTCAGTAGAGCATTTGGGCTTCTGTTTCACACATTTTCACATGCTAATAAACCACATACAAATCATCTTTCATTTGTCCTTTATTATCCTAATAAATATCTCCCTTTGATCTCCCTTACAATTTACACAACATCACTGAGAATTGCCCCGAATGGGAGAAAACAGTCATAACTTCATCTCAATTAAAATCAAATTAACATGCGATGCGCGGTGGTAAAAATAAATTTGAGGTATTTCAGAAGGCGACGAAAGACGCCCAGAAAAAAAGCACACTTAATATTCATAAAATTTATAATAAAAGGTAAACAAAAAGGCGAGATAAATCAATCGCAAGATCGGCAAATCAAGATGACTTGCCGAAGGAGAACCAGAGGCGAGTTTCAGTTTCTCCGCGTCGCGTGGGCGTCCATCAAAACTCGTGGCAGAAACGATTACGCGTGACTTATGCATAACAAATTCTGGTGATGTCGCTGAAAAGCGAGATTAATTTATCGCTCAATTTGCGGGATTAGCCCGCGGGATGACGAGGAAGCGGCCGATCGAGTGTTGTGCCCATTGAAGGAGTCTCAATCACGAGGAACAGATTGATTTTGCCCGTTTCGGGCGGGAAACTCACATGCAAATTCAATGGTAATTCAAATGGTGGGTGTTCTTCGGAGAGATCTCAATGCGAACTAAAAGGCAACAACATCTGAGCCTCTGCAGAAAAGCGAGGCAAGTTTCATTTTATGAATACGAGTCAGAGACTCAAATCTCAATTATTTCGCCATTATTCTAATCTCTTTCTCTGTTAATTGAATATCTTCAACTGCGATTTAAATGCTTAAATTGCGAATAATTTTATATTGCTATATTAAATTATGTACATATAGTCGATCTATAAACATGCAGTTTAGAGATTTCAGAGAGTTCTAGTGGCAATTTTTTTTTTCAATTGCGCAAATCTCTCATGTTTATCTGCTAAATTTTGTGGCATTGCCTTTTTCGACCGAACACTGGGATAAGACAATGAATAAAATTTTACTCACCGGCGATGGTGCTCTTGGTTTTCCGGTAGATCTCCAGGTAGATGGAGGCGTAGCAGAAGATGATGATGACTAGAGGCAGGCCGTACATGAACATGACGGTGGAGACGCTGTAGAGCACCTCGAGCGTCTGGCTGTTGCCGAAGGAGTGGTACGTGACGCACTGGTGATACCACGTCACGTTGGGGTGCACCTCCACGTGGAAGATGTAGGCCTGCGGGGCGCTGCACACCACGGACATCACCCACGCCGTGAGCAGCATCACGCGCCCGCGACGATCAATGCCCGAGAAGTTGAGCGGCCGCAGGATCGCGTAGTATCTGGCGAAAGAGGCGATGCATCTTTTACTGTCCCATAAAAAATCTAATTCTGGCGCCCTTCGCCCGAAGGCACCGAATGCAATCTGATTGATGTCTTCTGGCACCTCGCTTTGGAGGATGCCGTGTAGTTTAGGAGGCCACAAGTGCGTGCCACTCTGTCCATTAATATTTCAGGCAGTTTCAATTCAACCAATAAATCTCTTGGATGAGACATCGTGATTTAATTAAGAGACTCTTATAATGAATTTGATATTCTGAATAATATTTCTGGCATTCCCAAAACATGTTCCAGTCGAAAATGGGAGAATTAATTACATCAATTTTGACCTTTTCAGCGGAAATTGAGAAACCTTCCAGTGGGTGGTCGGTTTTCGTATCACAGAGACGAGTAAGAACGTTCTCAGATTAAGTACGAAATCCTTTGAATACAATTGATCTAAAGGATTTTCCCTACTTGTTGCATCCTCCAAATCTTTGCAACATTTTCTACCTTATTGCACTATTTCTAGTTAACCTCATTTTAAGTCTTTCTGCAGTATAGACTCACCTATCCAGTGAGATGCACACCAGGACAAAGCCAGAGAGATAGAGTCCGAAAGTGCGGAAGAAGGACATGACGCGACAGAGCAAATCTCCGCCATACCACTGGACTGTGTACGCCCAAGCGATCTCCAGAGGCATGAGCAGGAACGTGACCAGCAGATCGGCGATGGCCAGGTGCATCAGCATGGCGTCGATGCGTGAGGAGGCCTTGAGGCGCTTCCGGATGAGCAGCACCAGAACCGTCACGTTACCAATGGTGGACGCCACCATGAGGAAGCTGTAAAGAGGGGGCACTTCAGTGGGTGGCCGACGCTCTAATCAGCCATGCTGGGTGATTTATGGGTCACTTTTTTGCTGGCCGTTCGGCAAACAAGCCTCTCTTGGCGATAAAGACATGTTTGTGTAACTGGCGAATTCGCCAGAGGCGGGGTATCTCTGGGAATATTCCGTCCTGGCCAGCGCGGTGAGGGACACACTCAAGGTTCTCACCTGTAGCCAAAGATGGACAGGATGTGTCCATCATTGAAGCGCATATCGATCGGAAGGGCGTCCGCATTGGAGAGCGTATTGTTGTTCGCCTCGGACCACTCAATCAGATTCCTGTGGTCCTGCACTCCTATCTTGGCGAGTCCTGTGGTGGGCATTCTGGAGGGCTCTTTCACTTTTCAACAAAAATATCCTTTTCACACTTCACTCTTATCACTGCACAAGTCTGAGATTCATCGCATATTAAGGAACAACAGCGTCGCCATTGTCAGCGTTTCAAGGAATGCGAGGAAGCGCGAGCGCGCAAAATGCCTTGTGGGTGAACAGACAGAGAAAACGACTGATTTTCATGGGAGAATTAGAGACACTGCATCCCACAATTCACATAAAATAGTCTCGGACTTTTTAAGGGTCAGCAGGTTATCGAGAAATTGTTGAGATTCACAAGCAAACTCACACACAAAACAGTCACTCTCCGGCGAAGTGAAGAAAAAAAGAGCCGTCCGCTGTATCCAGCTGAGAGATCCTCGACCAACTAAGGACTGCTCCTTTAAGCGCTCTCCTTTTGTCCAGGAGTCACCCTCTTTCCAACCGAGTCAAGTTCATTCCCACCCCGACTGGCAAAACAATGATGCGATATATGTTTCAATTTTCTCTTTGGGCATTTTTCCATGGATTGCGCATCATTTTCCATCTGGGGGGAGGAGCAGATGCGAGACAATCCGTCCGGTGGTTATGTTTTTCTGTCTCTCGGGAAAACAGGGTGCAACCCGAGGAGGGCAGTGATATCCAGTGACTCGGCACGGGGAAGTTAGTTTAAACAGCCGAAGGTTAAATGGACATGAAAATAGACTTTCTGAGAAACAAATAAACAACACTGATAAATCTCATGCATTGAGAAAGGTGAAGAGATTAAATTCAGGCATTTCTGTTGTGAAGTTCTCTGTTACAAAGGGACTTAAGCTCTGCATTCCTGTTATCCGTTTGGGAAGGAGTCACCCTGTCAGTCTAACCCACACACGGCGCTCTTATCGTAATCACACTATCGCCACAGTCATTATAATCCGCCCCATGAGGAAATATTGTGCGACTGAAGGCGAAAATCTTCATGCACACACAAAGCGAAAGGCACACGCATAATATCCCAAGAGAGTCAACAAAGCCAGAGAGTCGCGGCTCAATTGCTAGGATGCTGAGCTTCCTGTTTGTCCTGACTAATTGGCCCAGCGGAGCGTCAAAGGGCAAAGACATTCACAGGACTCAAGTAGATGGAAGTAATCACATCTCGAGAGTGTTTTCGTGACATTATCGCCACTCTGTTGTGGTGTTTAATTGCTCAAGTCCAAAGATTACACCATGATTCGCCCCAAGCACGCCAAAATGTGTGGAAAATCCGTGCGATTCCCTATCAATGAAGCATTCCATTCCACTCACACTCACAGTCGCACTGACAATTTCCAGCGTGAAATTGTATGTAGAAAATTTTTACAGATGAGAAAAACGCCCAACTCAGCGGAAAACGTGCCCAGAGAAATACACACTAAATACTAAATCATTTTGTTGTGTCTATTGCAATTGCAATTTATCTCAATATAATATCGCACAACCCGAAAAAAGCTACACAGCGACTTAATTGAAATCCAGCAGTGGGGTGGAAGGGGCAGTGAATGATTGTCGATCGTGATGACAAAAAATTGCTTTATGACCTTGTTATATTCCATCTTCTTCGCCTTGGCGCGCGCAATAGAAAATTGAGAAGGAAGAGTGATGTTTATTGATTTCAACGCACATTTCTCAAGTTCAAGTTCTAACGATGTCCAGCCATTTTTTTCACGCGCGGCGTCATATTCTTTATGAGGTGTTTTTCACCCCTAGATGGCCGAGACACAACACACAATAAAGATCATGTCGCCCGATATCATCAACTCCCCTCGTCGTCACGAGATCCGCTAAATTGTGGGACCGCGGAAAAGGGGCTGCTAACTTCTTTTCAACCTCATTCTCTGAGTAGCTTCTCAATAAATCCATTTCTCATCCAAATTCTAAGGTTTTTCCTGCCCAATAATGACTTCCTGCTCGTTAAAATTGGGACAAATTTGAAGAATACTGGAAAATATAGTAGACAAAAAAATGTGTAACACCAAAAATTAATATCAAATCAAGTTTCAAAACTGATTGCTAAAGAATATTCCAAGCATTTCGCCACCCCCAGGACAACAAGGGGTGCTAAGGCGTGGAAAGCACCCCGTGAAAATGTCGCATGTGCCTTTCTTCACGCGCCAAAATACCCAACCCGACGAAATAATTGACATTGAGCGATGGCCACATTGTTCTTGCATGGAAAACCACCAGCAGCTTCTTGGGCAATGCCGGCGCGTGCTCTCGTAACTCGTAACAGAGTTGGCAACTTGTTGATATACGCGAGTGATTAATGGAATTTGCTGCAACAATTCGAATCAGATACGATGACTTGTTGACTTCCTCAGCGACACTCAGATCCAATTATAGAGAGGAAGTGTAATTGGGTGCCTGGATACGGTTTGAATGTCTTGCTTCACATTCCTGGCTAACAGATCAACAGTGGACAAAAAGTGCTCATTAGAATTGAGATGGAGTGGCTGCAATTGTCCAAAACCACCTCCATATATCTCGAGTGGGTAAATTGGATCAAATGGGAGGATTTGTTGCTTAGCCAACAATAACAGGCGTGAAGAATCACTCCACAAAGACAGCATATTTCTCATTGTGGACAATAATTTGTACAAGAGTCGAGAGACATTTCCCACCTTCTCGTTATCACTTCAACTTTATTATCCATCCCACTCTCGAAACTGAGTCTCTCTCTTCCACATTTTCTTGTTCAACTTAATTGCCATCGACTCGCGAATGGAAGACGAGGCGCCTTCCAGACATGGACCATCGTCAGACCGAGAGTGATGCAAATCGCAGACGTGAATCTCGATGCAGGGCAAAATGGCCCAAAAAAGTCTCACGTTCGTCAACGTGGTGGTAAATTTCACTTGAGGGAGCAAAAACAGCGTAAATGATGAAGATTTATTGATTTCTCAAGTTGAGAATACTTCCCGAGCAATCCTTTAAACGCCTTTTGATGGATATCTTCAAGACCTTTAGCTGCTGAAGGCAGTTAAAGCGCCAAGAAGGAGGGCTTCTGCCTCGATTACGCATCGCACTTTTATTGCTGGGAAGTGCGAGAAGCTTTCGCGATAAACTCAATTGCACCTCCTTCGGCACACATTAAGCGACTAGAGAAATTCTCTTGAACCCGTGTGAATAATTACTCAGTCGCGGCTGAGATGTAGACAAATGGGATTTGCATTGGGCGATCCAGACGTCCCGAGTGCAATTTCGCCTTGATTGAATTTATGACTAGGGCATTTTCTCATCTGAAAGTCGCCCTGCCACCAAGAAGATGGCTTCGCGGTGACAAGACAGAGGCTGAGTACCTCATTTTCACCACTGTGCACCCAATGGCGCATCTGGGGCGTCTCTGGCCTGTCCTCCAGGGCTGATTTGGCCACTTTTTCCACCAGATGTTTGCCCCAGTGCGCCGGTGAGGTGCAAAAATGGCCATTAGCCATGGCAAAAGAGAGTCAACAAGAAGTGATTGTGTGGGTAAATTGCACAAAGCTCCACACGAGAAAATAAATAATGAAAGAGTTAAATGAGGTGTGTGTTCAATCCACTATCCCTCCATCCATGTGCCTCGCCGGAGACTTTCCCACACGTGATCCTCCACTTCTTGCATCTCCCACAAGAACTGAGACGAGAAAGAGAGAGAGAGAGAGAGAGAGACGAGAGCACCGGAGAGAATCTAGGAGAGTGGCAATAAAATCAATTCACTCTCGTACGACTTTTCTTGCTCTCTGTCTCTGTTAATTGTCGATCACAGCACCAGGCCTAAGACTAGAGTTGCTCTCTTGATCGGATTGTTGACTCGACAATGAGTGGATGAGTCAATTTTGAAGTGATTCTCTGAGCATTCTTAAGAATCCTCTCGACTTGATTGCAAATTAATTGTATTTGCCATTCAACTCATTTTACTAATGTTTTTCCGAATAATATTCAGAGTTGAAAGTGTGATAGTTTTACAATTTTGTTATGATTGAGGAAGCAAAAAAAATTGCTAATAATAGATTTTAGCATTATTTTAAATTTACAAAATCAACAGACGCAAAAGCAAAGCCAACATTTGATCAATTGTCAAATTTTATTTATGAACTTGTATTGAATTTTAGATAAAAATAAAGGTGCATTACTTCACCAGATGAATAATCTGATTTTAACACTTGGAAAAATGTAATATTCTCTACATCATCTTTCCTGTCATCATTCCATGCCCACTGAGCCAATGTCTGGTATGAAAAACGCTATTTACGTAGGACGAAACTGATTATCTCTCGTTGGATTCTCTCCGCAACATGATTTCTTTACCTTGATCAGCGCCACAGCAAGAACCTCATCAAACGCTCCCCCCTTCTGAGTCGCAAGCAGCGAACGTGAGGAGAAGAAACGATCAAGTGCCACCACTTTTGACGATGGATCTCTGAATCAGTGCACCGTTGGATGTCACTGGGCTTGGAGTGATATTTTCGGTGATCGCGAGACGTGTGATCGCGCGCGAATATCCAAGTGAGTGGAGGTGGACTTGAGAATTTTAGCAGGAATCTCCTAAGTGATCGCATAAATCGTGCATTTCTTGTGGTGTTTGCATTTCGACTTTGGAGGAAAAAAAAGGATTTTTTTTTACTTCTTTTCATCTTTACGCGTGGCGAAGAAGGTAATTTTTAAGTCGCAAATCACTTTCGCGCCCAATTTTCAGCCGATCGACAATATTGCCTGCGTGATTTATCGCCCATTTACTTTTCCCACCTCTCAAGTGATCAATAAAACGTTCGATGCTTTTCGTTGTGACATGCTTTTAAAATATTGTATAAATTAAGTATATTTTACCATCATCACAATGAACTTTACGAACAGCTGGGGAAAATCTCGGATTTTTGAAAAAGCATCATGATCTCATCAACTCTGTGTTCTGACTGTTCTCACAACGTGTGAATACGCTCACATTCCAGGAATGCGAATTGAATTTTACGAGGAATTTATTTAATTATTCTAACAACCCAACGAGCTGACTGATCTTCTTCCCTCCCTCGTTGAACCCTAAGCCACCAAGTGAAAGAAGCTGAGCGAGAAATTTCCTTCGGCAAAATGCAATGAGAATTAATTTATGAAGAAGACACACAACTCATTTCTTTCCAACGAATAATTTACGTGTTTTTTCCACACCGGCACAAATTAACTAGAGACTCTGCCGTTGTGACTTCAAATCTCACCTCTGGGGCATTTTTTGAGTGCCACGGATGCTGAGCATGATGAAATTGAAGCTCAAACACTGGAAATAGCTGAGCTCTATTGGTGGAAAATTCATCAAAATGCAAGCGTCGCGTGAAAAATTTATGGGAAAATTCCTCTGTGGCCCGAAATGACAATTTCCACTTCTTCAGCATACCGTGACGGAACAAATGATGGGCTAGGCAGCCATTTGGGGGTCCTAAATTGGGTGTCTTCTTGCATGTGTGACTAAATTGGAGCCGCGAGCGCGGCAGGGAAGGTGAGAGGAGAACACGCGATAGAAGAACTCCAGTCCCGGAAGAATGCAAATTGTGGGCGTTCTTAGACACCTACTCAGTGGCTGGGCCTCGTATTCTCGAATGTCTTTCTCGTGAGACGCCAAAACAGCGCCAGCAAACACCAAATACGACTCTTTGTTGTGGCCACAGCATGATTGCCATCATGGGTTGAAATCCAAAACATTCGAAACTGGGATTTAACATTGGAACTTGTACTGTCACCCCTGGTGGTGCTAAAGACAATCTAGATTTTGAAAATATTTCTAGCACGACAAAGAAAATGAGCTATCAGAGATGAATTACACAAAACTACATAACAATATTTCATCTAGTTTCAGGTCGATTTTAATCACGTCGTTGCTAAAATCACGTCTAAATTCTGATAAAAATATGTACTCAACTCAAATCTGTCTCATTGTGAGTTATTCATAGAAACCATTTTTCCACGTAGGCCGAGAAAAGAAGGTGCTTATCCACAATTTGTAGCCATAAGCATGTAATAACAATCTCGTGTTGTATCTACATTTCTTCCAACTCTGATCTTTAGCGCTTTTGATCCTTTCGCCTCGCGATCAATTAAGTCACGTGAAATTAATGGCGAATAACATTCTTGTAGCAGCAATAAAATGAAAATTACAAGAATTGTTGCGGTGGAAATTATGGTGTTAGATCGACAAGAATCGACTGTTAAGCACAATTTATATCAATTCACGCCGAATTAGTGTCGACATCTTCGTTGAAAAATGTCTTGTTAACACAATTGTAAGATGTCAACTTCACACGTGATTTTTCTCAACAATTCACAGTGCCACATAGACCGCCTTTATTTATGATACTCGTGATCCTTGTGCATGTTTCGCTGGGCACGCAAAAAACAGCGCGACATCTCAAAGGCGGCAACCGCAGACCCACCGTGGATGCGTTGGTGTCTTTTAGTATCTTTCTGCTGATTGTGAGATGAAATATTTAATTTTTTTGAGGTCCAACAAAGCCTTTTTCACAGACAAGTCAATTCAGCGCCCAGCTTGACGATTCTCGCGCCTCAAAACCTCAAAGACATCATTTTGCCCTTCTTCACAACACAGATTTGCGTCTTTTGTCGTGGGAATTGTGAATTAATTTAAGTTTGAGAGCCGCTCTTTTTTTTGGGTGCGACAATAACACATTAAACTACAATAGAACCACATTAATAACAATTTCATTGAGGGCCGCGAGCGTTTTGTCTCGAGCGCACTTCGAGGCGTTTTTTGGTCGATTTCGTAAAGAGACGTTTATGAACCCACTGAAAAAGGGGAGATGCCGAGCCAAATTGTGAGTCAATTGCTCAATTCGTAAGGAAATATAATAAAAAAAGACGATCAAATAAATCTTCGTCGCATTGAAAGTGTGGAGAGATTCAGAATCTTTGACGCAATCAAAATCTTTTACCGGTCGCTTCATAAATTCCAGGACTTGAGAGTACAAATCGATTTTTCTTTCAAAGTAATCATTGGAGAAATCGTAAAAAGTGACTTCTCGAATTCAAAAAAGGCTCAGATTTAGGCAGAAACGACAGAAACTTAAAACTAGTTAAGGAGGAAAGAAAACGTAAGCAAACACCGAGAACAGACGAAAAATTGTCATCAGAATTTGTCACATTGTTGAAAAAAAAAACTTCAGGAGCAACACATTTATGTAAAAAGGAATGTGATCCGCCAATTGATTGCTCAATAACTTTTCGAATGTCCCAATAAAACTCTCGTTCTGCCTTCGCTCGCGATGTGGAGTGTTTAATTAAATTATTTTGACGCTTTTCCTCCACCACCGAAAATCACATTGAATTGATTAAGGCAGTCCTCAGCACCATGTTGAATAATTTAATTAAATATTTATGAGAATTGCCTGGCTTTTTCACCGCCAGGCGGAGTTTTTCTTCATTTTTTGCACTCGAAGTGCGAGAGAAAGCTCACATGGTGAGAAAATATTTACGCTACTTTATTATACATCTTTTTTCCGCCACTTTTCTCTCCAAAATGGCCTCAAGAGATGTCAAAAGGTGGACTTTTCTCACAAAATTCCAGCCAAAGTGAGAAAAAAACGATATAAAAACGAGACCGTGAAGAGTGTTTGCGGAAGAAAATCCACAAGAATGTCAATAATTAGGCAAACACACGCCAAATATAGTGCGTCTGGATGTGAAGCGAGATGGAGTGAAATATATTATTTAAATAAGCAGATAAGATGCCTCTTTTCGGCAATGGGCAACAAATTGCCAATGATCGACCAACATTTTTGCCTCTCAGCTGTTGAGCTTCCAACGCATGACCTTACCTAGTGTTGATTTTCATCAAATCCGTACTGATTTATGTCTTTGCCACTTCTCATGTAAAATGAGACGTTTTTGTATCACTTTAATTGGGAGCAATTTGAATGACAACAACATGGGCAATTTATTAAGTTAATAATCGAACAAAGACATATCGTTTTGCGGAGGAAGATCTCAATAGTCAAATGGGATTAATATAAATATCACGTCTTTTAGCATTGATATGAATTTGGTCATTTTCATCAGCCATTTGTATAATTTTCCAATATCATTTTAGACTCTTCTATTTTTTGAAGATGTACAAAGAGATCTCATGAAACTGATCAATTCTCTTCTCTGTAAACAATCGAAACGCTATATCAATTCTTACCATCCTTGAGCCCTAATGTAGAAAAAGAAGCCAGTTGTGAAACCACCTCACGTGCTCAATATCAATTTGTGGCGAAACCTTCGCCAGATGAATTGATTTAGATTGGAAATATCAATTTCAATATTTCCCTCGAAATGGGAATGTTTAATTGAAAAGGCCCGCCGAAAGATTTATCGGGCAGCGAAACGATGTTGCGACTCGCAAAGATCCTCACCTTGCAAATGTCTCGGAATGCCGCGGAAGAATGTGTTCGCGAAGATGTATAAATTGAAATGGATCCCAAATGCATTGGGAGCCTAATTCGCGACAAGGCGCCGAATTGATCACCCACGGGGAGGATCAGGGAACCCCATCGCGATGCCCGCCATCAACAGTAAAGTTCACATGTTGAGATGAGTGACTCTGCCCTCCTTCACTCCGCAGGCCCGATGAAAGATGAAGAACATGGCAGCAATTTGCCTCTCCGCTCTGCTACTCATCTTTTTGCTGGACGGACTCCACGGCCTGTCTGTGGATCCCGGTGAGTGGAATCTCGTTTATTTATCTTTGCGGGAGCAAGTGGAATTTCTCTGACCATTTCTGTTCTCCCTCGTTCTGCAACAGTTGCATCATCCGATTTGGAGCAGTACATTAAAGATGACTTTGTTATCTCCATTCGACACATTAGGTAAGAACTCGAGAGTTCACGTGATTGTATGGGAAGAGATATGAATATTCACTCTCGATGGGATCGAATAAATCACAGTGTGTATGAACTATTAACATAAAACACTCATAAAATAGACCACGCCGAAAGCTACAAATTCCACTGGAGGCCCTCTTCCTCATCGACTTTCCCGCCACCAAGCACAAGTTCAGCTTCTTCCTCGATCGGAAGAACAAGCGCGTCACAGTGGACATCACGTCCGGCCTGAGGTTCTACTCAAAGCACTTCGTCGTGCCGTCGCTTAACGAGACAACGACCGTGAGGTCCCTGGCCCTGCTCTTCCACAAGTCCAACGCCACCCTCCACATGGACTGCAAGAAGCAGACTGAGCAAGACCTCGAAGTCAACATATCCGAACTCTACTCAGCCTCCGAGGAACCCATCATCAAGCTAGTGAGTGATCTGAACTCCTAAAAGATTGAGAAATGTCTGACAGATAAATGATGAAGAGACACCAAATCTTGATTACTTGTTCTAAATTTTAATAAAGCCGAAAGGTCTAACTTTTGTCCCCTAATTCGCAGTTCAGGGAACGAAAATATCCTCTTCACTTTGACGGGAATGTGGAGAGTGCCCTGTTCAGAGCCAATTGCCAGAAGGCTGCTCATCGTCGTGAAAACCGCCGCTATCTAAACCTCAAGGATGGGCGGGAGAAGCGCCAGAGGAATAGGCATGGCAATCAGCAGAAGTACATGCGATTTGAAGCTGACAATCTCATCAACGATCAAGCCATGTCTCCGCTGGACAAGAACAAGAAGCGCGACATTCGCGACTGGGACGATCGGTATCGGAATCTGCCCACTGAGAGCAGTACAAATGTGCACAGGAGAGGAGACATCCCTGTGCTCCATGGCGATTGCGATGGTGAGTATACTGAGTGAGTTTGTTGGGCTCTGAATTGAGACATCGTCCCTGCTTAAAGATGCCATGACGAAGGCTCTGTCGGAGTTGTTGGCTCTGGTGAAGCAGCTGAGAGACGAAGTCGGGCAGCAGCGCAATGAGATCGCCTATTTGAGACAATTGATAGAGAACTGCGCTGGATGTCAGCATCGCCCGGAACCCCTCAAGGAGACGTGTGAATTAAATAATCCATGCTTCCCCGGTGAGTTCGAGCACTCTCTTTCCCAATCTGGACAATGGGATTATTGTGTTTCCCCACAGGTGTTCATTGTTACGATTCGACGTCAGGAATTCGGTGCGGGCACTGTCCCAGAGGCTACATTGGAGACGGCAAGCACTGCAAGCCGGGCTTAACGTGTGCCGATAAGCCATGCTTCAGGTGAGAAAAATCTCTGAGGGAGGAATGATCTTGAATTGAAAAACTGTAAATCCCCAAAAAGAAGCCCAAAAAAGAGTCAATCATGTCGAGAGACACCGGGGGAATTGAGGTGCGTTTTCATAGAGATGTTGCGGTTCTTGGGCTTTTTCTTGTCTCCATCTCAAACACAATGCATTGGCAGGAGGATCAAGAGGCCAGATTAAAAGTGCTTGTATTGAGAAAAAGAATATTATATGCGCCTTTTTTCTCACTCAATTCCAAACACACCATTATTATTCATATTCGAGCCACACTTCAGCATACCTCGATGTGGCAGAAAGTGTTGCTTGGGAATGCACAAGCTCTGACGGTTTGAGAAGCGGTGGAATGGATTTGTGGCGGAGCGGAAAGTGCGTAGGCGAACTTGATGTGTCCGCCGTATAGTCAATTTAATGGCAGATGGAGTGAATGATGTGGATTTCTCACAAAACACACACTTTAGAGACGCTGGCTTTGTCGAGGGAATGAGAAATCTTCCCGAAGTATTCCAGCAACTCAGCTGCATTTTAGCCATCATTGTGAATGTGTCTAGAAGACCAACCGCGTAGATTTCCACCGAAGGACAAAACAACTCCTCTGACCCTCATCATTTAGCCCTTGTGATACAATTCCCGCCGCTAAGAGATTCCAATCTCCGTGGCGGTCGACATTGTTGATAAAATATTCCCGGGAGAAGAAAGGGAGGAGAGACTCCACAAAGGCATCGAGCAATTAATTACACGTCTCGCGATCACTTCCAACAATCGATAATTCAATTTCATTTTGTTCCTTGGCGCTTTTATCTCCTCGAGGGAGCGCCAGTAAATCTCTTCTTGCCTCTCCTGTGGGAAGGCCTCGCTAAACACTTTTACCAACTGCGCGCCACACAGGATTTGTCACATGCGGAGGGGCTTGTCATTGAGGACAAGAAACTCGTCTCATGCAAAGTGGAAGGCTCTAAATTACACCACTGAATATATGTTCCCAGTGACTCTATAATGAGAATAAGATTTCTCGATTAAGCGAGAAAATTTATGTATCTCCTTATTGTCATTTAAATGGCCATCCATTTGGACATTTTGATGCCTTCTCACATCCACTTTATATGCCTTTACAGCGACGTTCAGTGCTACGACACAGTCGAGGGCGCCCAGTGCGGCTCCTGCCCCGCCGGCTACGAAGGCGACGGACGCTCCTGCACTCGCCAAGACGCCTGCACAGATCAGTCTTGTGCCCCAGGTAATCCCATCAATTTGCATCTCTATGCTACCGCTTGCTAGACAATAACAACACTGTTTAAGTGAGGGGTCATTCTTGGGAAATACGGTAGAGAAAATAGTTGCAAAATTCCAAACTGAGCTCCAAGTAGTGTAAACCAGTACAGTTATCGTCTACTATACAAGATGGGATCAGAAATTAGCGAAGAATTTATTGCAATAGATCACAGATTTTTATTTGCATTCTTTTCCTTACACATAGATAACGAAAAGATCTAAACTTGGTGTCAACATAGTAAACGATCACTTGATTTTGAAATCATAATAATCAATAGATAAACATCATCAAATGAAAGTGGGCTATTCATTCCAAAAGTGCACAGACTCACTTTAAGTACACACAAGCTTAGCAGATACAACAAAACCACATAGACTATTGATATTGTCCCAAGAATGACATCCCTCAATTCCACTTCGACTTTATGCAAAATCAATAGCAATAATAAAGTATGAAATTTACAATGCACGGTTTGCAAATTGACTGTGTGGAATTATTAAAACATCGCATGTAATCTAATAACCGTCCAACTGACAATGTTCTCACCGGTGTGAGAATGTGAAATTGAGTTATCTGCATATGTCATATTAACCACTTAATCCAGCCATCGCACAACTCACGAGATAGACACTAATGTGCCACTGATGACCATCAGACTCTCTTAACCACGCTGAGCGCCGAATCACGCGGTTTAATATCATCTCATTCAGCCTCTGATATTTGAGTCTTTGCCATTTCGCCCAAGATCACGGCAAAGTGTCTCAAGAGAGACGCACTTGGAGTGGTGCTCGAGGATGCTTGTCTAACCCATAAATTCCCCATGGCACTCACTCTCCAGCTCACTAGACTGACACGGAAATACGGCGTGGTGGAGAGTCAAAAGAATCAATTGTGTCCACATTTTTAAGAAGTCATAAATTTTTTCAATGGGAATTTCTCTCCTTCACGACTCTTTTTCTCCCATCTCGCGTGTGGTTCATGTGGCATTAGGGTACCTCAGAGTTTGGAAAAAAAATTAATCAATTGTTACGAAGATGTGTCAAGAGTTTCTCCTTTTCCTCTCATATATATATATATATAAATTACACACAAACTGTAAAGTCTCTCTCTGACCTCCAGAAGAATATATTTTATTCTATTCTCACAGTTTTCTCTTTCAATATCTACATTAATTACATTTGAAGTATTTTACCATACAGTTTTTTTTATTTATCATGAAAAAAAATTGGAAAAGAATAACGATATAAACATATTTTCTTACTATTATTCTTTTTCAGCTTACTCATCCGGTTGGTTATTGAAGAGAAAACATGAACATCATGTTCGAACTTCTGTGGTAACGACAACTTGATGAAGTCTCCTCCTTTCCACACTCCCTCCCCTTCAAATTGCAGACACGCTATCAATAAGAATTTAGAGAAGAGGAGAAAAGATACATCTTCGATCACTTTGCGTACAAAAGCCGAAATTGACAGTACTTAAGAGAAAGCACACTTTATCACCTTCTTAATCCTCTGCCCAAAAAACTAAGAAAGCACACACAAAAGCCGAAAATGCAAGAAGTCATGTGGGAGGGCGCACACTGGAATGTCTTCTTCTCTTTCACCGCCACATACAAAAAAAAATCTCTCCCGCTTGGAAGAAACTTTTGACACATCCACACACATGAATTTGTACAAAAAGGCATCTAATGACTTATCAAATAAGTTAAATGATTAAATATTTACACACATATTAAATTATTAGTTTGTACAATCAATTAAGATATTTCTCTTTTGATCTTTTCCATCTATATTTTTTGTAGTTATAATGTAATGAAAAAATATGATTTAATTGATAAGAGCGCCATAATGAATGAGATTCATCCACCACGCAAACGATTTAATTTTAAACTCACCCCAGAAGCTTAAGTACAAACCATGATATTATCTGTACAATATTTTATTTTTGATTCACGAAAGAGAGACAAACAATAAACCAGAAGCTAAGGAAGTTTCATGCTTTTCATTTGCTCAACTCATTGAGCTTAAAGCTTCTTGATCACATTCTAGGCGTCAGATGTTATTCTTCCGACGTGAGACCCTACTTTAGATGCGGACCCTGTCCCCATGGAACCTCTGGGAATGGAACCTACTGCTTCGACATTGATGAAGTGAGTGTGAGTGGGAGTTACAAAAGAACAAGTACCACGATAGTCTCTAATTTCCCTATATTTTCAGTGCGACTTGAGACAACCTTGTGACTCACGAGTTCGGTGTGTCAATCTCTTGCCGGGCTTTGCCTGTGATCCTTGTCCACCTGGTTTCCACGGTCACCACGCCCAAGGAGTCCGTATCACTCAATGGGAGCACTCCTTCCGCCGACAAACCTGCCACGACATCGATGAGTGTGCAACAGGAACGGCCCAGTGTGCCCCTAATTCCCACTGTATCAACACCGAAGGATCCTACAGATGTCAGTGCTCCCGGGGCTTCCACCTCAACTCCACCTATGGATGTATTCCCCTTCCCGGAGTCTGTCCGGATGGCACAGTTTGTGACCGAAACGCCGTTTGTCGAGCAATCACTGAGTTCTCGTTCACCTGCAAATGCCGTGTGGGATGGGCAGGAGACGGCTTCCAATGCGCCCCTGACAAAGACTTGGATGGATGGCCGGACTACAACTTGAACTGTACAAGTTCCCGGTGTCACATGGATAACTGCATCTTCGTGCCGAACTCAGGCCAGGAAGACGCGGATAATGATGGAATAGGAGATGTTTGTGATCCTGACGCGGACAATGATGGCATTTTGAATAATCCAGATAATTGTCCGCTGGTCTCCAATCCCGATCAACGCGATACTGAGTACGGAGGAGGAGATAAACAGGGAGATGCTTGCGATAATTGTCCCACAATAAGGAATCCCGATCAGCTGGATACAGATAATGATGGCCTAGGTAATTACTTGCAAGATCCTGAGTATTACTCATTCTACAGATGCTGAACTCTGCTTCTTTTGCTTACTTTAGGTAATGCCTGCGATGATGACATCGACAACGATGGATTGCTTAATAGTCACGATAACTGTCCGATGATCGCTAATGAGCGTCAGCTAGATTCTGACGGAGACGGATTTGGCGACGTGTGTGACAACTGCCCATTCATCCCCAATCCTAGCCAGTCGGACATTGACAATGACCTGATAGGAGACGCTTGTGATAGCGACATAGATCGGGATCGTGATGGTATTCAAGACTCTCAAGACAACTGTCCCAAGATCGCAAATTCAGATCAACTGGACACGGATGGCGATGGAAGGGGAGATATGTGCGACAATGACATTGATAACGACGGGATTCTGAACGAGAAGGACAACTGTCCGTTAGTCTACAATCCTGATCAAACAGACAACAACCGTAAGCCTTGAAATTGATCACTGCTGAGCCACAAAGTAAATCTCCTCTTTTTGCAGATGACGGAGTTGGAGATATTTGTGAAGATGACTACGATTTGGACACAGTTCCTAACTACTTGGACAACTGCCCTAACAACTCCAAGATCTACTCAACTGACTTTAGAACCTATCAGACCGTCGTCTTGGATCCAGAAGGTGACTCCCAAATCGATCCCAACTGGATGATTTATAACAAAGGCGCCGAGATTGTTCAGACACAGAACAGCGATCCTGGCCTAGCAGTTGGCTACGATTCTTTTGGCGGAGTAGACTTCGAAGGCACCTTCTTTGTGGACACAGAGATTGACGATGACTACGTGGGCTTTATCTTCAGCTACCAGAGCAACCACAAATTCTACACCGTGATGTGGAAAAAGAACATTCAGACTTACTGGCAAGCGACGCCCTTCAGAGCCTCTGCAGAGCCAGGAATTCAATTGAAACTGGTGGACAGTGTCTCTGGACCTGGACAGATGCTGAGGAATAGTTTGTGGCACACCGGAGATACGAAAGATCAAGTGAGACTCCTCTGGAAGGATCCCAGAAATGTGGGCTGGAAGGAGAGAACGGCCTATCGATGGCTTTTGCTCCATCGTCCAAAGATCGGTCTGATTCGTCTCAGGATCTTTGAGGGGGAGGAAATGGTGGCGGATTCAGGAAATGTCTTCGATTCTACACTCAAAGGCGGACGCTTGGGTGTGTTCTGTTTCTCCCAAGAGATGATCATCTGGTCAGATCTCGTATACAGATGCAATGGTGAGGAATTTAATAATTTCTTCAGTCATTCAAGACACTTAACAAGCAACTCATTTACAGACAACATCCCAGAGCCCATCTATAATGAACTTCCGGTGAGATTGAGACAGGAAGTGAATGTGGACTACAGAAATTAGCACTTTCAGCACTACAGGAAACATGCAGGACGCTTGAAAAGCACATCCCAAGACAGAGTATTTTCAGTTTTTGCCTTAATCAATCTTTCTCGATATATCTTTTGCCATCTCTGTCTTGAGAGTTCAATTGAAAGCCAAACTAAACATTGTTGCGAATATTTTCCTAATAAATTACGAAAACGTTTTGGATTTCTTACCTTCACTTTCAGTGACCAGCTCCAAAAATTGAGGAGAACAGCTCATCTTTCGCCTCATCACTCCAGGAAGAGTGAGGATTTGGGGCCATGAAGTTGATCATTTTTTTATGGACAACGTATCTGGAAAAATTGTGGATTAGAACATTCTTTACACAATTAGTTTTAATGAGAAAATCTCACCTTATTCTTCGTCCTTTCGAAGCTTTTGTATCCACGACTTTCTTCACCGAATTCCTGGTCTTCTTTTGGAGATTTTCCGCCGTGTTGTGATCGAGATTTTGGGATGATTTCGCCTCGATTAGTTCACTGAGAATCTCATGATAAAAGTCCGTGTCATCGTAGATTTCAGCGCTGATCCTTTTTCCAGATTCGTCGTCAATTTCTCCATATGAATCCTTAAACAGATCATAATTTCCTCGAAAGATTCTGCTGCTTCTCATTAAGTCATTCTTCCTGGTTAGGACTTTGTCTATTTGGTCCAAAGGATTTTCTTTTGCGTTGATTTTCTCGCTCCACTTCTCAATTGTGCTTCTGTACAGCTTCCTGAAAGCATCACAATTCGACATTGAAGAGAACTCCAGCCTAGGCTTCTTCCTAGTTTCTGCCTGGTCATCATTACTGTATAATCCCCTCTTTAGACAATCTCGAGTGTCCGGGAACTTCGAAATGAGGCAGTTTTGCGTCTCTATTAATTTATTCATGGTGTTTGCGAGGTTTTCCTCGACTTCAGACGCCAAAGAAGAGAATTCCTCAGAATATTCTTTGCACTGCTTGAAGATTTCCGGGAAGGGAAGGCGATTCGACAGGGTCACGAGGGATTGTGAGCGAATTCTCACTTCCATCAGCTTTTCCCACATTTTCAACTGATTTTTCACGCTATATCCCTTCAAATCGCTTTCCTTGGACGTGTGCGAAATGAGTTTAATCTCCTCTGTCTTCTTAACCTCGGGCCGAGGTTCTTCTCTCTCGTCAGATGACACTTCCTGATCAGTCTCATCTTCTGATTCCTCCTCATCAAGTTCCTCAACTTCCGAGTCAACTTCCTCCTCATCAAGTTCCTCTTCCTCCGCAGAATCACTATCCAGATCTCTGGAGGACGGTTCCCCATGGTACCTGGCACTGATTTCCTCAAGAAGTGGAGCGTTTTGCTTATTGATTAATCCCACTTGGTTTTCCTCATGAATCTCCACGGACTCCGCCAAATTTACCTCATCTCCATCACTGTCCGAGTCCGCGAGAGATTTTCTGGTGAAAAGACTCGAAATCTCATCAGAAATTGACTTGCTTTTTATGTTTTTAGGCATTTTTCAAGCTTGCGAATCACATTTGTAAACAATAATCACTGACAGCTGCACCACGTGGTTTCCTTCCACATTCAACCCACTTTATTACGCGTCGCAAAATTTGCTACACTCACATTTTCTACATTATCGACTTTCAACAAAAACATTTCGAAAATTAATTGCAAATAATGCGTAAACAATTTATTGTGTTTGATTCAAGAATTCTCTATATTTACAATTTTTCTCCAGATTCACAAAAATTTCACAAGTCCGAGTTTCATCGCCTCACCAAATTTAAAATATCTTATCTTTGTGCTGCTGCCGATCAAATTCCGAACCTCCAAAGGCTCCCATGGCGCTATAATCTCCACCGTCGCGGGCCGCTCCTCCAGAACGGGCAGGATCAGGCTGATGAAATTACTGGAAATATTGCGTCCGTATATCGTGATGCGCGTCAGCAATTGGCAGGTTTTGATTAATTCGACTACAGCCTCAGCAGTGACTTCAGAACAGTTGATAATTTCAAACTCCTTCAGAGTCCGAAAACTACCCGAAAAGGACATTTGAAACAGATCTCCATCAATCAACTCCTTGTTGCATCGGATCTTCAGCACTCTCAATTTCGTGAAGGAGCACAACGCACGCAAGGTGTTTTGCGTGAAATCAGATGAATAAATTGCCAAATGCTCAAGAGTGTTCCAAGTGGCGAGTCTCAACAGGCAGGAATCGACGTTGATATTCTTGGTGCCGAGCAAATTGCCAAGTCCAAATTCCACTGCCTTCAAGCTTTGTAAATCTCCCAGCGCGACGAAATCAGTGTGACTATCCGCAATATTTAAGTTATTTATATTCCAGACTTTGAGACTCTCCAGACTCTTCAGATTCTCCGCCACCATTTTTAGACACTGATCATAATTCATGTTCGAGAGCCACACATCCATAATAATGTTGAGACTCCTAAGGTCAGGATTGCGTACGCAGAATTGCGTGAAGTAGGTTAATTTGAGATTCCAGCAGCATTTCAGGTTGATTTCCTTTATGTTGCGCAAAACCGTCAGACACTTTCCACTTATTTGGCCGTTACAGGGCAAATTGAGAATTTCTAAGTGCTTCGCTTCCTGCAGACAAACTTCAATCTCGTCTGTGACGGCACAATTCCTGAGCTCAACCACTTTGAGGTTTACAAATATCCTTGCGAGGAACTTAAGGTTCATCTGCTTAATGTTGAAGCTGTCGAGATACAAGTTTCTCAAATTGCCCGTGGAACCTTTGAGGATGTCGTTGAGGACATAATAGACATCAGTAAAAAACCATGACGCAGCTTTCAGGGTGTGAATATAAGGATTAAGCCTCTCTGAGATATTTTTCACGTCCTTCAAGGAAAATATGTAACGGTGCTTCCAAGTCTCATTCGATTTGTGGTTTGAGAGCACTTCGTAGTCCAACACTCGTATGGTTTTGTAAATATTCTGGACTATACTTTTGAACCTTTCACACACCTTTTCCATCTTCATCAAGTGCCAGATATTCAGATGAGAGAAGATGGAAAACAGGCAGTCGTCATTTAATTCTAGGATTGACTTGTTGACGTCCATCTTTGCGTTGGTGTTGCTCAAGTCACGATTTTTGCAAGTCCTCTTCAAATTCGTGAACTTTCCAACTCCAAATGCAGTATCTTCGCAGCGTCTTCTCGATTTGCGTGATATTCCATCCATTTTCACAAGATATTCACTATTTATGCGATTTTTCGATAGAGCAAATGCGCATTTGTTATGACAGCGCGCTGTCGAATCGATCTGTCATTCCACGTTCCACAAACACGCGCGGTAAAAAAAGCCGCATCCGGTTCCACAATCTGCTTTATCGACTTAACATTTTCGAACGTACCGACTAATTTTTTTTCACTTTAATTAACAGTGTAAAATGCAGTATACAGAAACAAGAAATAAAATAAAATATTATTGTTCATCAAATTTTATAAAATTACACTATCAACCGCCGTAGAAAATCAATGTGAAAATCACTGAACATTGCTCAAAAATGTACTTTATTGCTGTATAACAGACTCTGTATAAATTTGTATCATCTTAAACATTCGCCACGAATATATTAGACATTTAGAAAAGAAAACAACATTTGTAATAAACTATTAAATCTCAAAATCACCCATTTATATTACCAAATTCTAACAAGTGTTTTACAAACTCATCAGCTTAAGAAAAGGCACTTTTTTCATATTGCGCACCATTTTCACTGTACCAGAGTATCAGATATGTAAAAAATTGCAACAATTTCTTCAACCATTCTACAAAAGTTCTTTTTACAAAGATACACCTTAAAAATAATGTAACTTACAACTTTAATCAAAGTTCTCTTACAAAAAAGTTTACCCCATCTCATTAGAAAAACTCTCTCTCTCTCTCTCTTGTGGTAAATTCACTAAATCAGAACCTATGATCTGGCTCCTGCTTAAAGTTGGTCCGGAGCCCGATCTGGCCCACATTAGGGCCCTCAAGGCCCATCTGATGGCCACAGGTGGTCTTCCGTTGCGCCACGAGACTCTGTCCATCATACATCCCGTGCTCTTGTCCATGAGACACGTTCCCATTGCTTCCCGGCGCAATGCCGCCATAGTCCATCTCGCCGGGCGCTTGGGCAAAGTCGCCGATCGCCGGATAGGACACCGGAGCGCCCATGAAGCACTTCTCGTCCTTCACTGGCGGCGGTGACAAATTAAAGGCTGTCGCGGCGACATTTTCAGAGCGCCGGTAGAGATCCTCGCTGGCTCCTGAGTCTAGCGGCATCATCGGCACATCGAGCGAGTTCTCCAGGCTCGTGTGCATCGTGTGCTCGGACATGAGCTGTTCCGGAGACGAGACCGGCTCTTGAGGCGAAGGCACTTGATCGCACATCTGTTGGTGCGACTGCGAAGGGCTGTAGCTGTTCATCACGGGCGTTAAAGGCGACGAATTGTCAGCTGTTTAGCAGAAAAGGAAAAATGATAAGAACTTATCACACAGTGACTTCGACTAGATTTTGGCACTGTTTCTTCCTCACTTTGCTCATTATCTTGATTCGGAGAATTTCGGCATGCATTTGCCATTTTTATGTTCTTCATGAATGAGAAATCAATAAATCAATTTTATAGACGAGAAAAGCTCCTCTTTTAGATTAAAAATCCACACTATCTTGACCGATTAAACTTCCCGCAAGTGCTCAATCAATGCCCTCTAAATTAGAGTGTTACAAATTTCTCATATTGATATTCGCCTCTACAAAATCCATCAACTTTGCCCTGTGACGTCTGACTGAGTCACACACATAATTGCTAATACCCAAACTCACCACCAAGAAGCATTTCTTGCAGCAAATTATCAATGTGCGCCACACCGAAAAGCTTTGCAAATTGTATTTGCTCAATCATCTGCCACGTGATCGACTGCAGAACCGGCAGAATGAGGAGAATCTCCCCAAAGCGACCCCTGAAATAGTGAATGAGTCACATTTTGTCGAAAAAATAGGTATATCAGTGCCAACTCACCTTGAACTATACAGACGATCTGATATGTAATCTTCAAGATTGTTCAGTATTTGATGTCGAATCGCTCGGATTCTGTTGGGCTCATTCAATCCTTTTGCATTGGGATCGAAGAAGACCAGCGCTTTCACGCACGCCAATTCCGTGTCATCCAGACTGATGTCCTTCATGGCACGCACGAGCTCGTCAATGATCCTGGCGCCTATCCTCGAGATGTCTAAGTTCGGTGAGAGACAGGCATCTGAAAAGTGTAAGAAGAAACAGCGGATTTTGGCATGGGAAAGTCCTTCTTACAGTTAACACGAAGGATGAAGAATGAGCAGCGAGAATTCCTTCTCCAGAAAGCGTCACACGATTTTCATTAAAAAAAAAATTTCATCTACAATTTTGATATTGTGTCTTTGACTGGCCGAAAATATTGTCCTGATCTCTGATCACGTTTGCAGACACAAATGGTAAGAAATGACGTTTGATAGAGAGTGCTATTAGATTGAGTAATTTTACCTGGGCAATGCTTTGTAATGATGCAATTATTGCTGAGCAGTAGGACATCCTTTAAATGCATCGATCGACGCGATAGGCCCAGCAGAAGATGTTCACCAGCGTGCGCCCTCAGCAGTGCCACCTGATCATCAAGCTGGAGTTCATTGAAGGCCGGGATGTGTTTTGCCCACTCCACCAGGTTCAACAGCTGTTGCTTCATCGATTCACACACATCGTTAATACTGGCGAATTGCTTGTTCTCCAGATTCTCCGTTGTACTCTCGAGGATCACACCAATCTTCGACTGTCTGCACTCCATCTCGGCCCGCAGAAGCGATAGCACAGACAATCCATTGCCCGTGTCTCTGTCCTCCGTGCTGGATCGTCGACAGCTGATCCTGTCGCGCTCATTCTGCACCGCCTCCTTCTTCATGCCCGCCTTGAAGCACTTTCTGAGTCTGCAGTAGCGGCATTGGTTCCTCTTGTCCTTGTCCACCACGCAATTCCGTGAGAAGCGGCACGTGTACAGGTGGTTCTTCCGCACGCTGCGCCGGAAGAAGCCCTTGCAGCCATCGCAGCTCGGCGCTCCGTAGTGCTTCCCCGTCGCACGGTCGCCGCAGATGGCACAACAACTGCCCGCGATGCCCATGCCGCTTTGTCCATTTGTCTGCCCATTCACGCCTGTGGGACTGGACAGCTCCGGAGCATTTCCACTCGGCAGGATGGCAGCTGTGTCATGATCTGCAAGGAAGAGTGATCACGATGAGTGGGAAATTCACAATTTCATTGGAAAATTTTGCCATCATTTCTCAAGATTCAAACATTTCAAGCTTTTATTTTAGTCGGAAGTAGACAAAAAATAACTAAAAGAGTTCAGGTTTATGCAAAATAATACAAAAGTCTCCTCAAATTATATTTATCCAAGCTTGCTGTTCAAAAAGACGTCCAAAAGACGTAACTCAAACATTCAATTTATCACTTTTTTCTTATGTGCATGTAAAAAAATGATTACTTAGGAATTTCCCATGAAGTACGCCAACAAATTCGTTCCACATTGTTTTAGTCATATACTTATTATTGTTTGTGAGAACATTTTCCAGTTAATAAAAGAATATTGAAGTGATTTGCTGGATGTTTGTCTCTATTCTTGACTCACATTTTTGCCTATTTGCATTACAATATCAAGAATTCACTGTTTCTATATCGATTCAACACAAAATTTTTCTTCCGCTCAAATCTCTATGCTTGCCAAGCATTTTTCCTCCTTTTCATCGACAACAAAAAACATTATCTCTCAATTGCATCTCATCTAAACATTTTCTGCAATATCAGCAAAATTCTTTCTTGCCAAGTGATTGATTTCTCTCACTCTCTGTCCGGAGAAGAAAAGGAAAATGTTTACTGTTGGCCACTTCAAACAGCTGATAAATCCTGCCTGCATTGCTCAGCTGGGAGGAAAATGTTCTGAGAGAAAAAGAGAGGCTGGATCTTTTTTTACTCTTGCCACTGGGAAAAAAGGGGAAAAATATCGTCTGGCATGTCTAGGTCGTAACTGCTTGTGATGCTTTCAAATATAAAATGAGACAGCAAATCGCATTGAAATATTATCGCGACTTCAATGCGACTTTTAACCCATATCGAGAGGCTCTCTGCCTTTGTCGATGTACAATTCATACTGAGAAATTCTGTAGATAATTTGCATTGAAATCCGAGGGAATTCCTTATAAACAACTCTCGTTTAATGACTCAAAAAAAAAGTCGCCACATCGGTGATTTCTATCAGTGATCGAAGGTGGGGAAAATTACTGGGCAAACATACGTCATTTCCCCAATTTGTCTGACCAAAATCTCCATTTGAACTTTGATCCTTTGATAATTCCCGATTTGCCAAAAAAGCACGTGAATAAATCTTTGTGGAAAGATGGAGGAATTTCTCTAAAGCTCTCAAAGGATTTACTAGCATTTCACACATACGACATTCCCAAATATTTATCACTCTCTCTCTCACTCCTTCGGCTTATCACAACTCCACTCAAATCCCCTGGCCATAAATTTCACTCCACGCAGTCGTTTATCGCTGAGCATTTTGCGTACTCGGTGGTTTTCTTCTTTCGGCCAGACACTATCGCACCTGAGGAGCATTGAAGAATGCCCACTCCTGCATATGAGTTTGTGCTATGGAATTATCAATCTTCATAAATTTGCGCCCGCGATAAAATTCTCCCCATGAACGGGAAAAAGAATAACAAGTGTATCAGAGGACAGAAATTTCGCAAAACCCGATTGAACCAATACTCCAAGTCTCAAGAGAGTGTTGTAAAGCATGTGAAAAGTGTGCTATAAAAAGAAATTCTCGTTGATAAGTCGCCAGAGATTAGATCAAGTGCGGTGAACATGAGCAGCAAAGCACTGTGAATCACGAGGAAATATATACTCTATAATGGCTTGTGGACAATAATTTTAATTGATGGTTCCGGATGCGTAGAGATTTTTCGGCTGTTCATAATCAAAATGACATCCCGGTTCATGGCATTAAGAAAAATTCTCAATCTCATATCGCTTTTCATGCTTTTTTCTTCGTCATTCATTCATATTAGCTTGAAATTACACTCTCGCGCTCTCATCTCACATTTCACATGAGTTATATTCCTTTCACTGCCAAAAAATGTCAAATTAGTGTGCCAAATGCAGATCTTGATCATAGAATTAGAAGCAATGCAGAAATGTTTAACAGAAGAGTCAGAATATTATAAGCAATGGTAATATAGAATGGAATAGTTATTTTTTTTTAAGATCTCTATAAAACTTTTATAGCTCTTTAACCACAGAAACTATTTAATAATGTTTTAACAACACTTTCATACTGCATTACGTAAAAGTTTGAGACTTAAGAAAGATAGATGCAAAAGCTTATGAAAAATAATAAATCATCAGAATGTGTACAAGAGGAAGATTAAGTGAGGTGAAACTGACAATTTGAATTGTCTAAGAAATAAAATGGAAATATTCGAAAAGAGTGTAGACAATAAAGGTCCCAAAGCAGCGGCACAAAACATAAATAAAAGCCCACTTGAGGAGTATGACACGATTCAATGCAAAGAAATGCCTTAGTCTAAATTAATCTGAACTGCAAAAATATTGCAATTCAATTGATCCACACTGCACAACTTAGTCTTTGGTAAAGACGACATTCCATTCAGATCAAAATCCACTAAAATATTTCCCGCCAAGATTGCGTGAAATATGAGTATATCTGAGAAATAGTGAGCTGATAACCTTGCATGCTGATAAAACAAAAGCGCGCCATGGCGTCAGTTTTACGAGACGGCACTGTAATCCCAGCCACTATTTTTTCAGTAAAAGCTTTTCTCATTGAAAAAGTGAATAATAATTCTCCTCCAACTGAATTGAGTACAATTCTATATCGACGTTATCAGTTGTCCACACAAGAGAGGAGACTCAATATTGGAAAAAGGCAAAAACCCAGGGCAAAGCATTTATGTTATCTTTAGTGCCTCTTCTTCGACTTTTTCTTCATGATAAATCTTATATTATATATATTGTATACACAACAGAAAATCCCAAGTCATTGACAGTGTCTCACTTATGCAAGTTTTGCTGCTTTGCAATTGCATTCTTCAACTCACCGAAAATTTGAAAGATATTCTCATCAAAGGTGGGATTGAGGATGAAATTGGCATTTTCAAAATTCGACATAAATTCACTTTTCATCATCACTAGGTTTTTTAAAGTAACAATTAGCACTATACGGAAAAAAATTCAGAGCTTCTACACTAGTTTTCACTGCAAAAACAGAGGAATTTGTTGATGTGCTTCTGTTTCAAAAGGGCTTATCTTTGTGTGACTGTTGTAATTAGGCAAACTAACAAATTGCACGAGATCACAGACGTTGCGAACGAAAACAAGCACTACAAAAAATACAAGAATTTTGCCTTAAGAAAAGTCTAAAAGAAAAAAACTAGGAAGTCTGCTGAATGGCACAACAATTGAGCTCCATTGGATAGAAATCAGTAATCGACACACTGTCAATGGGAAAATTCTCTCCCCTCGCACAATGACTGTATCGGTGAGATGTTTAAAGAAAACTGCTTCACAGCCATAAGATGGAAAAAAGGCAATCTATTGAACGGAGAGGGAGACACAGGCGAATGTGTAATAATTATCGAATCACAAAATTCCATTATCAGCAAAATATAATCATCAACTTTTCTTATCAACTCCTCCTTTTGAAGCCAACACACACTCATCACTCGGCCACTGCAGAGAGCATATTTTACAACATTTCACTCACTTTTTCATTACTGGTCACACTGGCAAAAGCAAGACTCAATCATCATTAGGATCTCCCAATGAAGTGAGGCCCTCATTGTTCGTCTTGTTTACCCGAATATTCAAATACAAGTGATTCTCCAATTTCGTACATGCCATACATCGTCAGTGGCGTCATAGAATTGTACCTCAGAGATTATGCAATGAATCACACTTAATATATTCAATATTCATTCCTCAAGAAAGAACAGGCAATTACGAGAGGCATCTTTTTTTATGTGGGCATTGCTAATGACTCGAGAGTCAGAGAAAAAATCCGAGCGCGACGATAAAGGAGAGAAAATGTTAATTAGATAGATAAAAGAAATACTATCTCGAGACTTTATGCTCAAATTCAATTTCCTTCCAGCTTTATTGTCAATGCAAGTCTGATGAAATGCTCAAACGAATTTCCACTCAGATTACAGCAAAAGATGCCCTCTTGGCCGCTATTTCTCGTACTCGTTCATGAATTTCCTCAAAATTCTCGATTGTGATATTGCTTTAAAAATCCTCAAAATATGTCATAGCATACTAAAATTAGGACTCAATATTCGCCATAGAGCTTAATCTATTAAGAAAAGATTGTAGGTGTATCAATATGGATCTGTTATCAAATCCCCAGCTTCTCGGTCTTCAATCGTTCTTCTGCACGCGCCAAATGGTAAAAACCCATTGTAAACATTAAAGCCACGTTCCCAAAACGTGCAATAACCATTAATGTGTCCACAATCAGATGTCAATCTCACATCTCAGCATATTTTCTCTGTTCTTGACGAGAACTCAAGAGCCATATCGCCATTCACTGATTAAACCCGCAATGATTCTTCATTTATTCTTTCCGTCGAAATTCATTGAGAATCTCTCATGTCAAGATAATGACAATTTATAGCCGACATCAGTGGGAAACTGCGAGGATATTTTCATCAATCAGGTGCTATAAACAGCTCTCTTTATACCTTACAATCGCCAAAATCTCCTACGTCTTATCAATTCCCGCGAGAACGATAAGATTTTTTGGTGTAGACCAGTTTTTTCACCCACAGCAACGCTCTCTGCTGACATGGAAGATCCCTAATCTTGCAATTCACTTTAAGCTTTCTGTCGATAATTTCATAAGACACCCGAAGTGGTATCAAAAGTCACAGCCAAATAAATGGGTATTAAATCGCAAGGATTTGCCATGGATTCTCCAGATTGGAGGACTCATAGTCTATTTTGAGTCTTCAGTCTTCAGTCTTCTGAGGCGCTTTTCTTTTCACTGTCCGCCCCGAACGGCGATAATGGAAAGCCTAGAAAGCCTCAGCGATGACCTTTGGTCCCACTTCGTCATCGTCTCTCTCTCCATACTTTGACTCAACATTTAATCGACGAGAGACACAACAAGCCCGATTCCAAGACGCCGGAAAGTGCGAAAAATGCCGTCTTTTGACTCATTCGCCACTCTTTCCGCACTCTTTCTGCCTTTTACATAACATGTAAGCAATACTGCAAAAAGGCTCACCATTTGCGACTATTGAGCACTCTTGCTCACCTTTAAGTGGCAAATTGTTGTTCTCCATCACGCTTGTCGTCATTTCAGCAGCTTCTGTTGCACCAAATACACATGATCTGCAAAGAAGCACCAAAAGACATTGTTAGCATTGATATGATCATTGAGAAAACGGTCAAGAAAGTCTCCAAAGTGAATTGAGACTCCCAACAATTTGCCTCTACACACAATTCTCATCGCTAAATTGATGACAATTTTCAAGATCAACCGAGATGGACATAAGACAATTGAGCTTGAAGCATCAACCACACTATATTCTGATTTTACGATGCTACACAACTTCTCAGTATTCACACATAATTGTAGCCTCGCGTCACAAGATAATTACTACCCCACAGTGAAGAAAAACTCAATTTTTACATGATCACTCCATGTGATTATTATATCATGCAATAAACGCTTAAAGATACTTGGAGAGAAAAACCCGTTTCATATTCGCAATATCACCTCACACTCACATCTTTCCTTTCCAGCAGACTTTTCAACTGATTTCACGTGTATTTTTTCATTCTCATTAATATTACAGCACCTGCCCATCTAATCGGAGCGTTCATCGCGCCTTTTGCGACACGCATTCTCACAGTGAAAACAACTGACTGTTTGCCCACACTATTTATCTGGCAGTTGCAAGTTTGAGATTGCTTGAGAAGCTATCATCGTGGGCCCTTGTGAAATTGATAATTTCTCTCATGTTTAACGAATAAATACATATTTTCATCACTGACACGCTAAGTGAGTGCTTCTTGGCAGTTCTGTTTGCCATTTGCCACATTTTGTTGGTATATTTGGCTTTAACATAATATGACACCAAGAGAGCGACTGTCCAGAGCAAAACTAAGCCATACTGACAATTCTGTTTCCCTTCTGACACTTTATTCTATCAATTGTCTAATCAATAGGAAAAATATATGTAGGAAAATTGACATAAACGTAGGATAAGTAAATATTCCTTTCCACGTTCAATAGAAAATATTTACAAATTTTACAGCACCACTAAATTCCTCAAATGCAATCCAAATTTGTGGTATAAATTTAACGACAAATTTACTCAATCTATCAAGAATTAACTGGATAGAAAATGCTGTCCACCAATGTCAATATTCAGGAATATGAGGCTCAATCTATTTATGATTTTAATCCTTAAACCTCAGCAGAACTAACATATCGATTTAGAAAAAGTTCTCATGATTGGCTAATTGAGTATTGATTGATTGAAAAATTTCTAACACTTCTTATACGGGCTCACTGCATTCTTTGTCAACGAATTCCCCCCACAATCTCACCCTGAATTTCCGTGGAGGAAAGAACCTCCATTTGAGTGTCAAGAGCAGAAAGTCTCCAATTGTTTCAATTGGTGAATTTTCCACTGAGAACCTCACAAATCAATGCGCGGGTTAATTGAAAAGCCTCTGCTCGCAATGTAGCGACGCAGCACTGTTGGGGGTAATTATTAATAAAGCAATCATACGTAATATTTACTATTTACTCTCATGGGCGGTGCGGTGGGGCACGAGCGGGGATTTGGCGGAAAAACCGGGAGCGCGACTGGGCGGACAGATGAGTCCGGCAGGCCAGAAAGCTTCTGGCGCGACCTTCGTCGGACTTTTTGCCGCACTGGCTCCGCTAGAAGTTTGTTTGGGTCTGGTGGGGGACGCGCTAGGAGGCTAGAGTGGTGAGAATGGCGAGAATCTGTGGAGCTGGACAAAAAAGCGCCTGGGATTCGTGAAAATAACGATGAGTTGAGGAATTGGAGAGATGATGACGACACGCGATTAGGCGGTTAATGGAGGAGATTGACTACCTTGGCGGGTTCTCTGGAGAGTCCCGGTGTCCTTCTGAGTGTGATCTGGGCGACTAGAGTCTCCAGGGACGTGGACACAGAGAGCAGGAGTGATAAGATAAGAGATAAGAGACTCCCGGACACTGTCGATGACACATTTGCCACTCTTCCCAGCGAGATTATCACCTCGCGGAGGCACTTTTCCGCCCTGTCGACACTTTCCCGATCCCTGTATTAATAGCGCGTATCACGTCTGACACTCGCACACGCCAATTTTGCCATTAACACAGCGAAGAGAGGCCAGAAATTATTAAATAATCTATTTCATCAATCTTGTCGCATGCAACAAGTTGGGTGAAAATGACCGAAGAAGGCATACTTTTCAGCGCGGAAAATTCGCTTCCGGACAGTTCTTACCCACATTCTCCAGCTCCTCCGACTGCAGTACCTAGAATTTCAGCTGGTGACACACCGTGACACTCTCAACTACAGCATTATCACAGGAAAATCGGTGAAAAACTCCAACCAAAATATTTTCACAATCACTGAATGGCGAAGTAGTCAGCAGACTGAAGTTCGCTGTGATTTGGTATCCTGTCAGTGCTGCCAATAGCAGCGCAAAACGTCTGAAACGTCACATTTCAATGGCGATTTCGCGAATATTCCCAGTGAATTGTGAAATAAAATGATTTTGTAGTGATAAGAGATGCCGTGTGAAAATTGCAGTGCTCAATTTTCCGTCTTCAAGATTAAGCGCTCCTGCTCAGAGTGCAGGTAAATAGATGAGAGTGGAGGAAATGCTGAGAAATCAGCCTTGAAAATATTGCTTTGCAGACGATTGTACTGCAAACAATGCCTGGCGAAGAAGAAGGATAGATTTCTGTGCGGACGGTGTGTTATCCTCACCACCAGGCCTCTGTCGAGGGTGGATCTGCTGCAGCTGAAGCCCAAGGACCTAATCTTCTACTGTCAGAGCAAGCACATCTCCACCATTGGCTGCGTGGGTGAGTTTTTCCTGCCAAGGACGCGCTTGAAGTGTCCGGAAAGTGATTGTTTATTGTTTTCCTGAACTTGTAGAGAAGGAAGAGCTCGTGGATTTGGTGCTAGCGCATGGTAATTCCACGCAAGATGGTCACACGAGGAGTAGAGCTTCTGGCGAAGCCAGTGACGAAGACAACTGCACGAATCCCTTTGATCAGATCAAGCAAACGTGCCAGAACTTCTTCAACACTGTAGCTGAGAAGATCAACAATGACTTTAACTTCGACCTAAAAACCTCCTCATCCTTCTCGCCACGGCAGCCAGCTAGTGGGGCGGCCACACCTCGTCAGAGCGCCCCAACAGCACCCATTGTCAACGATGTTCGCGGCAGAGCATCGCCAGCCTCGGAAGTTTTCTCCTCCAGCTACACTTCTAGTCAACCAGCAAGTTCTTCGGCCTCCCTCACGTCCGAGAACAGCCGCAGGGGCGCCCCGAAGGCGCCAGGACACGCCAGGAGCTGCAGCGTGGACAAAGCGAAGGAGGAGCTCAGTGATTTGCATGAGTTCGAGATCATCCAGTCCACCACCGATCTCACACCTGATGCCGGGCCCAGCCGAGACAGCGAGCTGAGGCCCAAGGCGACGACCGGAGGGAATTCAGACAGCTCGTCGTCGTTCGAGGAATTGGGAGCCGTGGGCGGAAGTGATTCATTCAGTGCTGTGACCAATAATGATAAGAGCAACTCGGAGACGCTGCAGATCAGCAACGAGATGGATGGCCAGATGACATCGTCCAGTGAGGTATAGCTTTATTATCTACATTTGCTCAATGGCTTTATCAAATTTTGGTACTTCGTTAAAGATTAATCCCAGAAATATTTTTCACGGCAAATTAAACTTATAGGCTGATTGTTGTGATGAACAGAGTTCATTTAAATGGCTTGTGGTTAATGGACTTTCTCTTCCAGGGTGTTCAAGAGGCTGCAAATGCGAGGAACTTTGCTATTTTCACCACGAGAAGTCATCCCAGCAGCGAAGGCATGTCCCTCTCCGCCAGTGTCGATTCCACGCCTGTCCATCGCTCACGGAGACTCGTAAGACGACGCTCTGACAGTTTCATAATCGACACAGGCCTACTGGAGCGTGACATTTCTCTGTTCCTCGAGGAGGAGACGCTCAGGAAGCGCTCCAGGACATCATCGCAGCGCGGTGAACGTGACAGAGAAGTGCTACGAGGGCGACTGGAACAGTTCAAGAGCGAAATGGCGGCTCTCGGACTCAGTGATGCGACAATTCAGGAACAATTGGACGCCGTACTGAAATATTTGGAAGAGAGACGAATGTCCACGACAATGCAGCCGTCAACGTCATCAGCCGCTCATCCTCCGGCCATGACGGCGGATTTTTTGGTGTTTACCAATGACAACGACGGGATCAATGTGTATCCCATGGGGGAATCTGAGGGATTCGACGGCATTCCAGTGATCAATGTGGAGAAGCAGGACAGTTCTAGCGAAGTTAGGACCAGGAAGTACATAAGACTAGATGACATCACCTCAAGGTGAGACTTACAAAGGCTACAAATGTTAATTTCCTAAGAGAAAATGAGGAGAACTTATTTATCCATTGTTTATACATTTCCTAAATGATTTATTTTGATTCACAATTCGTTTTGTTCAGGGAATTCGATTGAAAATAGGGTATAAATATTCACATTGATCCCTGTTTAATTTGTGTTGTGTAAAAAATAAACACAAAATAATGTTTAGACCATAAAATGACGTGCAATATTTTTATTATATCGTTTTATTGAACTTGTACTCGAGTTTGTTTGATGCTATTTTCCATCAATTTCTCTTATCTTGATTTATGATTGGTTTGAATTTTGGCCAAATTTCTGCCAAACATTTATCATATTTGATTGTGGTGTTTTTTATTCTGGCAACATTTTGAAGATATCAATGAAATTTGGAAATAACTTTTTGACATGATGAATTTGACAAGAAAGCAACAAAGTGATATCCTGACAAATTCACTGAATAAATCTATGTATTTAAACTGTTTTCCCTTGATTGTTTCAGTGCTGAACTGGAGAAGTTGTCAGTGAAGCAACTCAAGGAGATTTTGATGCTGAATCGTGTCGACTTCAAGGGATGCTGTGAGAAGAATGAACTTCTAGAGCGCGTGATGCGATTGTGGAATGACCATCGAACGTATCCATGTGAGCATTGAATGCATTTCACCACAATTGTCTTGCTTAATTGTGCTGTTTTTCAGCTGCGGACAAGTTGCAACCGGACGATTTGTGCAAAATCTGCATGGATGCGCCGATCGAGTGCGTGATCCTCGAGTGTGGACACATGGCGACGTGCACGAATTGTGGCAAAATTCTTCACGAGTGTCCCATTTGCCGACAATACATTGTTCGAGTTGTTAGATTTTTCAAGGCGTAGAAGCACAGCAAAAGCCATTCTTGCGCTCAGTTGTGGTGAAAAGCAGTGGAGGAATGTCAGAAAATGAGGCTAATTTGATCAGCAAGCGCAATGAATCAGAGAGTTTGGAGCATGTGCCAAAAATGATGTAAATTTCGTAGTTTTTCCGTCCACTACGAAGTAATTGCGCTCTGTTGATCTCCTTAATTTGTTCGGTGCAATAGTGAAAAATAAATTCCATAATTTTAGGGACAACTATACGATTTCCTCCACTGTGTGTCCACACTATGATGTTTGTGTAGAGATGAATTACAATTGAAACGTACAACAATTACGGCATAGCTAAAGTCGTGAGACTTTTTAATGTTTTAAATGCCTAACATTAAAAGACATTTTAAGAATCATTCCCTTCAAGATTTATTAACGATGTTTCTCCACACACAAAAACACACCTTTAAAAAAGTAGAGCTGTTCAAGTGAGATGATAAAGAAGGATAATATTTGTTTATTTCCTCTATTCCTTTTGTATATAAATGAAAATTTATTAAAATGTCTCAAGTGTACGCTTCAGTCTCGCCCGAATTTGTGGGTCACTTCGGGCTTGTCAATGCGGAAGATCCTCTCGCCGATGCCGAAGTACGCCTCGTATTCAGCTGCCTCTGGCGTGGTGTCGTAGTGATAATGGCCGGCCCAGTGCGAGGACGAGAAGCTGTGGAAGTGCTGCAGACGCAGATCCATGTCCATTTCGCCGGTCACAAGAGTGCCAACAGCCACAAGCGGAGCCGACATGTCGTAGAACTTGAGCCAGCTGTTGAGCTGCTCCTCAGTGTTAATGGGCGTCTTGGAGAAGTCCTGCATCACATGCTGATGAGCCTTGCCGCTTTTCAGCAGAAAGGCACCGCCGAGGCCTGCAAAAAGTGAGTAAAAAGGGAATTTTCACGGGGAAAAAGGACAAAAAGCGAGCGCCCCCGGGTGGGCTCGAACCACCAACCTTTCGGTTAACAGCCGAACGCGCTAGCCAATTGCGCCACGGAGGCCTGCGTGAAAGCTCAACAAGGAGGCACTTCAAGCCATGGCAGAAACACACACTCTCTCACCCAAGTCGGGACTGAGTTGAAATGCTCATAGATAAGAAATAAGATGGATATCGCAGGCAATAAATTATCAAGACTCATTTAAGCTGAAATGATTGCGCTTATTTCTATACTAAAGATAACGAAAACTTGTAGAAGGGAAAACAATTATAGGAATTGGAATTCTTCAATTGTCAATCATTTCTTCTCTTTCCCATTGAGTTTGAGTGTGTGTTCTCAAAACACGACGATTGTTTAATTTGTCTGTTGTGATTTAATGGATTTTATCACTATTGTTTGAATAAAGGGAATAAAGTGTCTGTTAACCGCCCTGAGTTTGGTTTAATTTTTACCTTCTAGGTTTTTCTAAGCCTATTAAGGATAACTCACCAATATCCTTCTCCACAAAGTGATTGGCCAGAGTTTCCCTGATTTGAGTGATGAAATTGTTCGGTCCCGTGCGATTCTTGCAGTGAATCCTCAAAATCTTCCCTCTTTTGCCCTCTGACAAGTAGACATTTCCAAGAAGAGCTGATCTCGTATCCGACGCTGGAATATTCCTTCTCTCGCACTCCAATTTCGCGTTCACCAATGCAACGTGGCTCTTCGAGACAATCGTTCCATCAGCATTTCTCTTCAGATTGAAGACTCCCTCGCAATTCGTGCCGAGAAGTGGAAAGGGTCCCGCCCCTGCTCCCACAACAAGATACTGGCTAATGTTCCTGGCGCGCGAGACCTTCTGGCAGATCTCATCCAGATCGTACAGCTTGTCTCGCTGCACCAGAGGCAAAAGAAATGGAGCGCCGCCGTACTCGAGAATTGTGGGAGAACCGCAAAGACCGGAACTGGCGAGATTGAAGGGTTCCTGCGAGAGATCCGGACACTCCACAAAGTCCACAGAAACTTGCTCGAAGTTCTTTTTCAGGCCAGAGGATAAAACTGAAATGCAAAGCCGCATGAGCAAAAACGTCCGAACGTTTCCAATTAAATTCAATCTGTTGATTTATGTTTAAATACTAAATCGATTAATGAAACAAAATAAAAGCACAATTTTAGTAATCAAAATTGCATAATCAACGAATTCCAAAAGAAATTAATTAAAATTTCTGTAGTCCAAATTATTGGACCGAAATATTTCAGCTGAAAGTGGCAAAATTCCATTTTGTCATATCTACATATGAAAGTTTTGCGTCTTCATGAGGCGAAATCTGTGGAATTTTCTCAAGTCGCCGGTCTGAGTGTTCGCGGTTAATTTGATTGTACCAGAGAGATCACTTTAAATTATTCAATGATTCTTTTTATTCAGTTGATGTGAAGGTGTTTCTAAAATCGCGTAGATTTACTCTTTTTATACATTCTTTTCAAAGCAGTAATGTAAAAAGACAATGCTGGTACAAATACGCTTCACGGTCACTGTAAAAGCGCGGGAAAGGATGCACGGAGTCATCAATTTCATCTACTTCCAGGAGTAAATTCTTCACATACCGGATAATCAAGGTCACGACTTTCTCACGCCACCAAATTAGAATGGGCATGCACGGATAATGGGATCACTTGAGTCTCACCTTCCTTGAGCTCCTGGGCATCGGGAACAAAGAGTTCCTTCTCCTCAAAGGGCACTTTATCAATACTGACAGCACTGACAGTCGCCATGATCCGCGCCAAATTAATCACTATCGATGCTGCTCTGCTGAACCGGAGACAGATACTGAAGCGCATCGTTACGTGGAGAGCTGGGTGACCTGAAACGACGAGAGACAACTTATTTACCGAATCAACAGCCAGATAGCGATTATTTACAATTCCGCCACAATCAAACAAAACATTGTTCGGCTCTTTTTGATTGCTTCTGCTGCAAGATCATTATGGATTTCACACAGTGAAGACAGCGAGAGGCTCCTGGCAGTTGCTGGAAGAGGAAAAGTGGTGTGAAAATGAGGGAAAATGGAAAATTTCTCACAAATGCTATCTCAGCACGTTTTGCATACCTTCTGGCACTTGCGGTGTGTTTGTCCCATTTGTCCCACATTCACCATCCCGCTCTGTGGGACAAGTTGTTTACATTTTTGCAAACGTCTCGTAATCTTCTGACTAACTCTCAAGTAATTGTTTTTGCTTATCAGTTCTCTAGTATTTTTCCACGTGTTTAGTGCATAAAGTATCACAGGACAATCTGCTCTCTTATTCAAAGTGATTTTTTGATAATCCACTAGATTTTCTGCGAGTTTTTTGCTAAACTTTTTCGGTAAGCAAAGGAACGGTAAAAGGTGACTGACCTCTTTCTACACGGGAAATGGCATTAAATTTCATCAAATTCACTGGTCACAATTGCATACAGTCCACTATTCGCGTAGTAAGTGCACTTCAGACTTTGCCCCCTGCACCTCAGTTGATATCTCTTCTCAAATCTCCTCGGTTTGCAGGTGAGAAACATGAGCACGGTTGAGGTGAGTGTGAAGCAAGGGAAAATCCGCGGTTTGCAGGGAAATCTCCGCAATGGGGCACCTTTTTATGCTTTCAAGGGCATCCCGTATGCCAAACCACCAATTGGAGAATTGAGATTCCGGCCTCCCGTGGCGCTGGAACGCTTCCCGGACGAGGTATTGGATTGCACGAAGGAAGGAGACGCGAGTGTCCACAAAGATTCCTACACCGCCAAGATGGTGGGATCTGAGAACTGCCTCTTTCTCAATGTCTACACCACGAGTCTGGGGGAAGGACAGAAGACTGAAAAACTGCCTGTGATGGTGTGGATTCACGGTGGAGCCTTCATGATGGATTCCGGGAGTGAGAATTTGTACTGCCCAGAGTATCTTATTCAGGTGAGACTCTGAAATTTATGTAATCAGCTTATCAGGCATTAACTTTCCTTTTATTCTCAGGAAGGAGTGATTGTGGTCACTCTCAACTATCGTCTTGGTCCATTGGGCTTCCTCTTCTACCCACAGAAGGGCATTAAAGGCAATGCTGGACTGAAAGATCAACTGTTAGCTCTCAAGTGGGTGCAGGAGAACATTGAGAAGTTCGGCGGAGATGCGCAGAATGTCACGCTCTTCGGCGAGAGTGCCGGAGGAGCGTCAACTCATCTTCATCTGCTCTGTGAGCAATCCCAGCCTTTCTTCCAGCGCGCCATTTGCCAGAGTGGCACGTCGCTAATGGAGTGGGTGATGCAAGAAGAGCCCGAGCAGAAAGCTGTCCGGCTGGCGAAGATTGTGGGGTGCAAATCCAATGCTGAAGAGGAAATTTACGAATCTCTGATGAGCGCTTCCGCCCTTGATTTGACATTGGGCGCTGTGAAAACACTGACAGAGGATGAAAAGCGACGTGGATTGCCAATTCCCTTCAAACCCGTTGTGGAACTCGAGGAGGACGGTCTGCTGATTGACACGCCACTGAACATTCTCGCATCGCTGGAGAGCATCGAGAAACCCCTGATTTTGGGTCACACATCGAAAGAGGGCATAATTATGCTGTTGGACGCAGTGCGGAAAATTAATGTCTACGAAGAGGACTTTTCCAGAATCATTCCCAAATCCTTGAATGTCTTGCCAGGGAGTCAAACGTGCGAGAGAGTGGCGGAAGAGATGAGGAAATTCTATTTTCACGGTGAGAAAATCTCCACTAAAACCATTCCGCAGTTCACGGATTTGCTCTCAGACTACAATTTCGTGATTGGCAACCATGTAACGGCCGAAATTCACGCAAGGAAGCAGAACAGGTTGGATTTATAGCAGCTTAAAGACAATTACCTTGTGAAAATTTATCATCATTTGCCTTCCAATTACATTAACAGGTCGCCCTTGTTCTTCTACCGCTTCTCATATGACGGCGAGCTGAATCTGCCCAAGAGACTCTTTGGACTGGGTCAAAACCCAGGAGCTTGTCATGGTGATGACATGTTTTACCTATTCAAGTGAGTTTTCCATGCATTATTATTTACATTGTAAGTGTGCGGCAAGTTAACCAACCGTGAAAAATGCACTGTTTCCATAGAGGAACACACATTCTTTTCTATTTTATGTTTACATACACTTTTCAAAGGTCTTTTGAACACCAGGGAAATTGTTACAACACTTTTATTCAGATTCTCTGGTCATTTTTTTTAGTATACTGTTAGTGCTTTCGGGTATGGAAAATATTTTCAATTTGGCAAAAGATAAAAAAAGGAATGCTATTGTACTTTTTATTTTCTCATAAGACTTTCAATTGACGGTCATTGAGCTGAAAATTTACACTGTGAAATGCCAATATGTGGTTGAAAGGAATCGCTGAACACTTTCCGGCACGGGGAGATCCAAAGGAGATTGATAAGCACTCGCTCTGTTTAGTTTATGGTGAGCTGGGATTTCGTATGCGAGAGATTCAATTTGAAGTTGAACTTAATCAATTTAATTACAGTTTTTACCCTACACCAGTAAAATATTTTGAATATGTAATTTAAATTCTGATTCAGAGCTCTATTTATTTAGTTAAATGTATTTTTATGTATTCTTTTTCATAAATTTTATTATTTTCAATAATGATTTGAACGGCATAATAGTTCAGATTGGACATGTACTTAAAAAGAGAATTTTTTAAATTGAAATATTCGAGTCTCTTGATAGAAAATTGTGGTTCAATTTCTCCATAAATCCATAATTTTTCGACAAAATTTATTATTCATGCTCAACCCCAATATATGTATGACTAACAGTTTCCGGCCCGCCCACAAAGCGTCTTCCGCCTGACCTCAAACCAAATCTGAACAAATATGAATATGAGCAACAGGTAATCTGGCGAATGCGGGAGGATTTGTCAAGGTCAATAGGGTCAAATAGGGGATGATTTTGAACTTGTTGAACTGCTGGAATGGCTAAAATATTTATCTTACCCAGAGAAAAAGAGTGATGGCTTCAATTTCCCTTTTCAGGATGAAGATGATGGACATAGACGTGGACGAGGAGTCGGAAGCTTTCAAGTTGCGGGCAACCATGTGTCGCCTGTGGACGAATTTTGCCAAGTATGGCGACCCGACGCCTCCACAGGACACCACATTGCCCTTCAAGTGGACTCCCGTGGCTCCGGCCCAGGGGGCGGTCTTTGAACTCAACGCCCTCGAGATTGACCGCGAGATCAAAATGATTGTGGACCCGGAGAAGGAGAGAATGGACTTCTGGCGGCGGCAGTACAAGCTGTGGAACGATAGTTTTCTCAAGCCGAAACTCTAAAAGTCCTTTGTGGTGAGTACGTCTTCCAATTAACTTCGCTCCCTCTCTCATCTCCAAGCTCCTTTCTGGGAATTTTCCTGCGAGCGCAACAGAGCGGGTATTCTCCCTTGTGTTTAAGGAGGGAATTAGTGACGCCATGCCTTACAGAGAGGCACGGGCATTAATAAGAAATGGGCCTTGGAAGTGGATCGATTGGATGGGACTGAAATTAAAATTTGATGTATGTCAGGATTCCCTCTCGCTGATTCACGTGCTCTGAGTAACTTTCGTGTGGGCACAAGTGAGATGGCAAATGCAAAAAGAGGGAGAATTTTGTATATCTATTTAGAGCAGCACATTTGCCTGGTTCAGGCCCAATAATGCCTTGGCAGTTTCCTTTATGTTTTATGGATTTCGAGAGGAGAGGCGAGCGCGCGGGATTAAGTTTAAATCTATTTCGGGAGAGACAATGTAAGACACAGAGAAGAGAGGAATTGCAAAATTATTGACTCCGCCAGGAGTGAGAGATAATTTACATTCTCCAATCATTGTTTACATCGTCAGTTAACTAAACATTTGATTTATACCAAGCAGGAGAAAACATTTACCACAGATTCGTCATAAATCGCTCTCCAAATCCATTTTGAGCTCTCAATCGAATGCTAAGTCTTTCATGAGCCATGCGAAGGCCCACCATTTGAAGGCTTTGGAGGAAAAAGTTTTCGTGAGATATTTACTCAAAGCGGCGAAATATCCGGCAAGTTAGACGTAAATGCACAGAGTGGCGTAAGTGAAATGTTGATAGAGACGTTTAAAAATTTCGGAAAATTCCATTGACTAATTTTTGAATGGAAAAATTACAATTTTCCATTCTAAAAATTTTTATGTTTGTATAATAAAAATCGTTTTTATTGAATTCTGTGCTTCAGTGAAGATCCACCCATTTTAATGCTCCGCCCCGCATTTTTAAAGAGAGAGAGAGAGAGAGAAACAATATTTTTCTAATAGTATTTGTGTGAAATTGACACACTCGTGGCTTCCCAATCGATAACTAACACTGTTGCTTCAGTCAATTGTGGCATTTGGTGTTGAAGGAACTTTGAGGGAAAATTCATCGAATTTTCAATTGACCCATTATCTTCTGCCGTTTTCCAGCGTCTGCTGGTGGTTCAAAAACTCAAATAAGAGCTCGCGAGAGTGAGATATTTGAGCGAAAGACGGGAAAACCGTCCCCCAGAGAGTCCACAAGTATTGAGGCACCAAGAGAGTGGCGAAGGAGTGAAAATTGAGGTGTTCTCCTCATTCTTTATATTGTATAGTTTTTGACGCATATTCCAACACAGCGCGCATCAAACTCGGGAGATTCTCTCCCTTCGTCTCACTCACATGCCCCGTTTCACATTGGCTCTCTCCTATATTTTCCTCGGCATTTTCCCCGACATCCACTCAGTTTGCATTTAACTACTGGATGAATCTGAGCCTTTTTGCTGTGGCACGGATTTTCCCAGTGGCACACGATGTGCAGAAACAGGGCAGACTTTTTGCAAAGTTGCGATTAGGGAAGAGGAAAGAGAGCTTTTGATGAGGAGAGAGCATCATATCAATTATTTTCATCACCAGTGTCATTAATAATTTGTTGTGGATGGCTTGGAAACATGGATGGTGGCAGTGAAAGTTAATATTCCTTTGGCTTTAAGTGTGTGTATACGAGTGAAAGGGGGATAGTTAATTCCATATGAGGAACATCATTGATTTATGGAATAAGTATATTTGTGGACAAAGTGATTCGGAGGAGAACGTGATACTGCGTATGGACTTGATCAACTATATTAATTACAAGTTTCTTGGGGAGCTAAAGGGACACATCGCGTCACTGCCTGTAATAACATAGTATTAAAAGGGCACCATTTAAACCACAATTTCGCTTCATTTCGCAATACTGCCAAAAAGGAGCTGAAAATAGCCATAAAAAGGCAAATTAAATATCAGCAAAGATTAATAGACTAATTAAACAGGGTGTGAATTTTTTACTCTACAGCGTGTGGCTTTAAAATTGAGACAACATTGCAATAATATTGTCTATACTTCAGCATTATGTTGTTCTGGGATTTCTCTGCCGTCGCGATGTGTAACAAATGAATCCCATATGATTCAAAAGCTTAAACTAAAAATTACATTATTATTTTAGTTGAGTTCAGACTTTCCATTCGGTAATCCAATAAAACTTTAGTCTTTAAATTTGTAGTTCTTAAGATCACAAAATGGTATAATTCGAGTTTTCGCAATTGTAATTGGGGGTTTTAAAGTATTGAGAAAAATATAATTTCACAGATCTCAGTCACTAAATAATATTTTCTAACTGATTTTCTTATGTGATCACATAAGAGAGCTTTCACTGTCTTGATTTACTTTAGACACAGATTGTTAAATACTAGGAAATGCTGTGGGAAATCCCCTTTCTATTTTCGTAAACTCATAATCCGCATTTTGAGTTTTGTGATTTTATATAGGAAAGCACTCTCTTTGTGCTGGTTAAAACATGTAATCCCCTTACAATAAGACTTTCAAGTAAGCCCTATACAATGTGATTCACATATTGAATTGGCACTCGTCTTTTATATTGAATTAAAGGCACATCAAATAGCTGAATTGTTATCTGAAATCTCAGTGTCTTCCGGTGATGGGCGAAGGAGGGCAATGAGCATAAATATTCCCCTGACAAATGTCTGGCCATTACACCCCAAGTGTCGCAATTTCGTCTCTTGAGCGATGAGATTAGGTGAAAGAGGGCATCAATTACGAGAAGAAGAACAGAAATTTTGTGGATAAAAATACAGCAATTAATCTCTCCTGCTGAGAAGTTGGATAAAATGAAAGATAGAAGAAACACACCTCAATGTATGTGAGATAGTCTTATTTTAGCAGTGCACTGCATCTCAGAGTCTGCATGCAAATTTTATAAATACACGTTATAAACATTCGAGACTTGTGAAATGTGAATCTATAAACATGTTGAAATGGGCGATATCGATGGGTCTCACGATGCAATGAGGGATTCTGTGGGACTATTTACGATCACCAAAGCATGAATTTGTGAGGGACTTTTTGCTGAATCTAAAGTACTTGGGAATTTATTATTTGGTCTCTTTAGAGTTGCACACTGGGACTTTCTACAGTGCCTTTTATGCCTTGGATGGTCGTTGAGGGTTGGCTGCTGTGGGAATTGAGTGTTATGAATTTACGCATAATAAAATTTATATATGTAGTTCATCAGCGAATACCGCAATATAGGAGCATTAATAGACCATCTCTGGTGGTGTGTTAATGAAAAATGCTGTGTCACGAGGGAATACAGAATGTAGCACTTTAGATGGGAATTGAAGTTCACGGAAATATTTTTTTAATTAAAATATGTAATTGAATTCATATTGCGACTAAAATCGATTGTGAAATGCAATTCCAAATCCCGCAATTGCTGAAATGCATAAAACTACTAGAGAGGATATAAACTGAAAGAGGAGATCTTGTCATAGTTAGAAATATTTCTATTTTAAAAACTGAATGTTTTCTTTTCCTTTTAGCTCTCTTCGAACCCAGCTTTTGCAAGTGTCAAGGCGAGACTTAATATTTATAGTGAAATTATCTTTAATTTATACTGTTATGGTAATGAAAACTAAATTGAAAATAGTTGACAAATGAATAAATGTATTTTTTCTGTAATAAACTTGGGAATAGCGCAATTTACGTGAGTAACTAGCCCTAACTCAATTACAAAGCTGAACAATGAGTTTCCTCTTGTTATAAAATTCACACGTCATCGGGCTGGCTTTTGGGTCAGTTTCCATTCCAGAAATTATATGGAAATTGGACTGCCTTTATGTCCTCTTGCATCCACTTTCATTTGCAATATTCTCAGAGATGAATAGCTCCTAAAAATCTTATTGCTTACTTATTAATAAACTTGTACGAGATGGTAGTTTGAAGAGAGAGGGATCATTTATGTAAAAAGTAATGAGTTTGTGTATTTGATATGTAGCGTAATTGCATTTGAGTAGCAATACTTGCTCCGATAAACTTTATCACGTTCTTTGAATTTAATTGAAAATGGTGCGCTTCGGTTATTTTTCCCTGAGTTCATATCGCCAAAAGGGCTCAAAACTTCCACTTAGAAACTATGTGAATTTAATTGAATTTCATGCACGAATAATTAATACATTGGGAGTGCTTGTAAGTCATACACCTATTTCTGATGCGGGGTGTTTTAGAGATGTTTATCTCGGGATAATCGGTGGATGCTAAAAGTTGCAGAAGCAAATGAGCCTATTTGCATGAATATTTTATCCCGTTTTATACAGTGAGACTTTTATCGTTTGTATTTTTCCTCGGAAATGAGTGAATTTTCAAGCAAAGAAATTCAAATTGAACGTGCGGATATGGAAAGTAATTTTGCAAATTAACAATTCATCGTCTAATTTAAATGGAAAGTAATTCAGGGACGGTGCGGTTTTCCCCAGCCTGCCAGGAGGTTCTCTGTTATGCAGATTTTTCCGTGTGCTCGTGAAATCCACCCTGAGAAATGTTAATAATTGAGCACTGGATGGAGTGAGTCGAAAGAAGCACTCCTTCCCGACCGCACAACGTGTTCAAATACCCCAACTTTAAGATGTAATACGCTAAAGTTGCATTCGGAGAGAAAGCAGAATTTTATCACATTTGTGGCCTGTTACATATTTCATGAGTATGTAGTCCCGAAAGGTCGGTCAATTAGCGTCAGGCATGCATTATTAAGTGCCATCAGTGAAGGTGTTTTTTGAGATATACACTTTTTCGCTGGCTCGCCAATGGAACTACTGAGAAAAAAGATATATAACCTGCGCTATGTATATTCCTGGCGGTTTCAAATGAGCCCGAATGGGCGGGAGAAGAGAAGCATGTGTGTATTCTGTTGACCCGTGAGTGGGTAACAATTTTTTAATGATTTCACTTTTAGTCTTGTGTACATTAAATGACGATGGTAGTTAGCATTCTGTGTACACAGGGATCAATAAAAGCCACACACATGACTCTTTTGGATATGTTAAAATTGGGACTGTGTGCAGAGGAGAGCGTAAAGGTGTGATATTCTGGTGTGCGGCGGGGGTGTATTTTTGATATTTCATTGAAAACTTATTTTTGTTCTATAATGTACTTTTGAGGTGGAGCTGCGAAAAACCGCGCTCTGCAAAATAAGGAGCAAAAACTACACTTGTGAGTACAAATCCAGGGACAGACACGTTTTAGACTTTTAGAGCGTTTTTAACGTTTAAAAGCGCCCACGATTTACTTTTTGCACAAGAAAGGTAAATTAACAGAAAACAGAATTTTTGTTTCGATTTATAAGAAATATATTGATATCCCGTTACTTCTTAAGTTCTTTTTTGTAGTAATTCATTTAATAAAGCTCATTGCCTAACTTTAAATAACGTACGAACTTCTAAAAGAAAATTGCATGTCATGCGAAGAGCTTGATCACACTAAGAAACACTGCTATTGGCACGATAGTGAATTCTTACATGCAATTAATATGCAAAACGCTGCTGCTTTGCATATCAATCTAATAATAATCTTCTTTATCGGACATCTAAAGCTCTCTTGTTAACATTTCCTGGTACAATAAGAAAAAAGTATCAAGATTGTAAGAGAGTGAAAAAGTTCAAGGCTCTGCCCAGAGATAAGGGATAAAAGTCCTGCAATATCTGCAGTATACGCGAAGAGTAATGCTGTTGGAGCACGAAATTCACTCAATTACAAATCCTTTCTCTGCACTTCCGTGCTTTGGTGCCGTTATTGGATTAAAAAGTCCATAATTGCAATGCTGCAGTGAGCTTTAGTGTGTTGTTATTAAACTTATGGCATTCACTGTTCGTCAAATCCACTGTGCGTCCTCGCGAAACATGGTGAAATTGTGTTTTTCGTGGCTCCTCATCACATGTTCGGTGCTCTGAAAAGGATAAACACACATTTTTGGGCATTAAATTCTCTCTGCTCCTTTTTTACGATGCTCAATGTGAAAAATTCTGGTGGAAACATCAAAAGAGTGCAAAAAGGTTGTGGCAGTGTTATTTAAGTGGATGAGTTTTCTTCGGCTAAAATTTGGCTTCAAATATTATTGGAGGTCTGACGAGTGGTGAAATGAGAGATGAAGCGAAGGTTTTCAGTTGCAAGTTGTATTGAATTTCTGGTGATGGTATTTATTCTTGGGTGTCACGCTATTTTAATTTATTCCCTACTGAAATAATTACCCTCGGAAGTGAGGATGTTTTTCGGTGTTTGCGCGGGGAATAAATTAAAAGTTTAATGACAAATCCACAGTGAGTGAATATAATTCAAAATGCTTCTTATTTGCAGATATAAAGTCAAACTTTGTGAAATGGGTGAGGAAAAGGGACAATTGGTGGCGTATTTAGGTATATATCAGTGGTGATAAAATTAATTAAAGTGTTCATTTGGAGGGAAAACAGACGCTCGTACATAAAAGAAGGGACCTTTGGCAGTTACAATGGAAGTTAATGTGAATATTGATTGAAAAATAAGAGCCAGAGAAAGCCAACAGTGGATTTTGACATCCTCTAAAGAAAGTATAATACAGAATAAATTAGTAAGAATGCGCCCGGAAAATGAGGGATAGGAGAACTATTGATTTCCGCCCGCGCGGAGCTACACATGTTGTGGATGTGAGTGGAAATTGTTAGGAGACAAGAGAGCCTCTCGCGCTATTGTTTCCATTCAACCTCTCAAGTAATGCGCGGATCGATTACAGTGAATTTTTAATGTAAATGTGAAATATCGGGTCAGCCACAAGGCATTACTTGTGGAGCTTGCATTCCTCGAGGGCTTTTTGCTTAACGTACTGCGAGCCTCCTTGATCAGCGCCAGGAACAGATGACTTGGCTCCATTTCTCCAGAGGCTCCACTTAGAGGCCACCGAGATGCTCGTTTTGGCCACACTGTTAGTCGTCTATGTCGTTATTGTTGGTGAGTACATAAAATTCAATTGAATGACCTGAAAGTTGTGGTTTGATCAAGAAACTTTTCTTTAATCTTTCTCAAAAAGTAGTTTCAAAAGAGACAAATTTGAGTTTAGGAACTTATTGAAAAAAAATTTCAAGTAGTAGTAGAAAGATGTAATAACGATGTGGCAATAAAATAAAGAACTTTATTAAGCAATTTCGACGGATATATTGCGAAAATTACAAAATAGTCTTAATCTTCGGCAAATTTATAGTTTGCTGCATTGAAATTCTAAACAGTTCATCACAGGGAGAAAGCTGAAATTGAATACTTTCGTAGATTAGACAAAACATCCAGAAAAAATATTATCTAATCTATTTTGCCTTCATTTTCCTTCAAGGTTCCTTCTCATCATTTGCTCCTGAGAATTTAACAGTGACCTTCCTCTCGCCAACCTCAGTTAAAGTCTCTTGGCAAACATTACTCAACTACAACAACTCGACGAATATTTCGAAGTACGATGTTGTGTACAAACCAACTGATGCCAGGTAAAAGCTACTTTCCCATCCATTTGCTGTCGCATTTCATCTGACTTTCAATCGCGCGCCCCTTTTTCTCTTGCATTTTTTATGTGCCTACTTTTCCCCACGAAAAAATATGCCAGATGATATTTATCGGTGCTTCCCGCAGAATTTACACCCACTGTCAAGGCAGGTTAATTGAGAAGCAATCCTTTGGCAGATTATCTCTCAGTTTGACGTGATAAAATTTGTTTTCCTTGGCAAGTTTGACGGCTCCTCCACAGACAATTGAAAGGAAAATATCAAAGCGGTTGTAAATTGTGGCATTTATGCATGCAAAAAGCTATAAAAGAGGAGGATTTTAGAGGCTGTCTTTATTCAAGCACTGCTCGTTGGCAGTCTATTGATTGATGGGGCTGACATACAAGGAATTCTTTCAAATATATTTATCCTCCATCAGATATACATAATATTATGGAAAGTTTGTCAGCTTTCCGAAGTCAACAAATCATATCCTAACTGAACATTGAAGGGAGGAAACTTTCATCAAAATGTTGCATGATTAATTATCTTTCATGCCAGAATATTTAAGTACTGAAATTAAGTCAACATAAATTTGCACTCTCTCCAATTAAATGAAGAAAATTACATTTGAAAGGAGAGTGTGCAATTTCTAATGCTGCAATATAATATCACATCTTTCCTAATCATTTGATTTAGAAAATGTCGCAAAATGGCGTAACTGAGTGTAAGAAATGGCAAAATGTCAGTAATATATTCACCTAAACATTCCCCAGTTTTAATATTCAACAAGAGGCTGAAAATCTGTAAAAGGTGTCTAAAAGTTTTTGTATAACAAAATCATATCTGCCATATCATTTTCTGAGTACTTGAGTTAAGCTTCAAATTCAGTTTGCTACAGAAATCCCAGGTCAGCATAAATTATGCAAAGTGGATGCTTTTTAACATTTTTTTCTTTGATGTTCACATTCGAATTGGGCTTAGTGTAACCGATGAAATTAATTATTCAGGAGGAAACTCCTTCAGTACAAAAACGGGAATGTAAATGTGCGAAAGCCGAGAAAAAGGGAAATTCTGAGGGGATTTAAAGTGCTTTAAAGCTCAAATAAAGCTCAGGAGGTGAATTTTCAGGCTTATCAAATTAATTCGTGGCGTGGAAAATCAACAATGGAAGACGATTGAATCAGTGGAAATTGCTCAAATCAGCATGGAAAATTGATTTGGAGGGTCTCAAGAGGGCACAAAAGCGTGTAACCTGATTGAGGATCAATTGGCACAAGTGCGACGTATTGAATTAGATTGAATCTCCTTGGAAGATGGAGTCCTCGACCGAATAAAATTATCGGTAGCGCGCGCGATAAATGGTTGATGTGGAGTCTCGGTGTCCTTTATGATTGTGTCCTTAACAAATTACATACAAGGCAAGTGGCGTATCTAAATGACCACACGAGCATCGGGCTGTCTTCCCTCCAACCCCAAAGACACTCTCCGCATTCGTGAGCAAGGCTCGGTAGACGGAAATAGGCATCCAAGCAGTTCGGTCAGAGTCAATCAATCCGCGAAGGAGTGCATTCTTTATATCCATTGCTGTCTCCTCGAATTTATATTGCTCTAAAAAGAAATTCGGCAAGTGCTATAAATCATTGATGGGACATTCGTGACTCCCAAATCAAATGTGAAAGTCACTTCTTCTCTATTTTTTTTTTGGTAAAAAGATATCTTGTGAAATTGAGCCAAAAAATTTCAAATTGATTTTTATAAATAGCGTCCAATCTCCGTGCAATTTCCCCGAAAAATGTGTGGTGTTTTCTTTCAGTGGCCCAAAGAATCTCCGTCAATTTTTGATCCCCGCAGTCAATAAATCAGTGATGTGAAAAGGGAAGAAAAAGAACTGGTGAGACTCTCTTGTATGTCCCTCTTCTTTGTGTATCGATTTGACCATTTGCGGTGAGGCAATCAATTGCCCACGTACATCGGACAGAAGGGCGAAAGGCCGCCCATTCTGTCTTGGAATGGGGCCACGAGGCGCTGTGTAAAGTGTATGCGTTCCTGATAAAGAATATTTATTGGGGAAAATTTGTTCTGTAATTACAATACCAATACACGATACAGGGTGTGGCGTAAATGGTGGCCAATTGAAAACACTCATTTGCATTTGCAATTGAACTAATCAATAAGTTCTCAGAAATCGGTGTTTGTCTAAGTTCGGAGAAACAATCAAGTTCATAGCTTCATGAAAGGCATGAAACTGCGCTTCAGATTAAATTGCAGCCTGAAATTTATTGACGACACTGGTAAACACTTTGTTGTACTGATCATTCTGAATTAATTTAATTTTGAGTACTAATTTTTATCATTAATATCTTATAAAGTCATGAAACAAAAACACAATTCTCAAGTCTCATTAATGTGAATGCAAGATAACTATAATTAACAATTGTTATGAAAAAAGAATTTACAGAGACTAGAGTCTGACTTTAAAGAATTTTTATTGCATTTATCTGTTGAAAGCACTACTCAAAACCGAGCCAAAAGTCATTGCAGATTTAATTTTTTGCCTATTTAATTAGAGTAAACGGAGTAAACTCAATTTTAGTGGCGATTATACAGCTTCTGTGGCACACCCTGTGCGTGGTAAAATGTTAGGAAAATCGTTAAAGTCAACTAGTTGTTTTTTCACGGTTGTATTTGAGCACACACAAATGGAACATAAGTGAGACATGCACTTATTTATTATGCTTTTAAAATTAGATGAAACATCACTGATACTCGATTTTTTCCGTGTGAGTCAATACATAAAATAATCATCCCCAGAGAAATTTGAGTGATATAAAAGGGACACTCTTCGTCCCTATCGATGGTATATTCGGTTTTGGAGTCGTGCGAGATTCATTGGTGGGAAAACGCTGGGAAACCACATTAAAGTGACAGAGGGAGAGAGAGAGATTATAAGCCAGTGAATTCTGAAACCGTCCGCGTGATAATCGATTGCGGGAATGCGATTCAGTCCTCTCAATTTTCCTCAACGTGCTGAAATTAATGGTCGAGTGTGAATTGCATTTTCCATTGCAACAGCCAGTTGAATTTGTCAGCATCGGGAAATGGAGAAGGAAGATGGGTTTGTCCTCTCACACGACTATCAATTCTCATGGATCTCATGTAGAAACATGATCAATAAATTAGAGATAAGACATCTACCCTTTGAAGGCATCGTGAATTCATGAGGCACACTTCCCATTAAGATAAAATGTTGTGAGGGTGGATAATAATTAGTGTTATTTCTCGTGTGAAAATGGAAAAATAACAGAAAGGCCATTATATCAAGTTACAGGGTTGTGGCCGAAGTCGCGGGCAACAGCGAAGCAGTCACTCTCATCAACTTGCTGCCCGACAAACAATATCAACTCACCGTTGCGGCGCTGTTTAACGGAAAGAAGTACAGAAGTCGTCCGATAGTATTTCGCACTCTGGGTGAGTTTGCAATTCCATAATTGGCTTTTCAACACTGTGGATTACGCTAATCCGCCTTGCAGAGCCACCAAAGTCGTCTCCTCACCAGGGTTCTGGTGCTTTGGGTAACTCTTTCGGTCCCGTGGGCTCTCCAATGTCGTCTCAGGGCATCGCAGACGTTAATTATCCCATATTAGGAGCCTACGATGAATATGGCAACCTGACCAATAACTCCACAACAAGAGAACTTCCAACGGTAGGTTTATCAGAACTCCACATTTCTTCCCATCTCTTGATAATCTGCATTACCTTGCAGATACGGGGCGTTGAGGTGGGCATCGTAGTGCTAGTTTTGTTCGTCTGGGCCGGAGCTATCGCGCTCTTTTTCAATCGCTGGGGCAAAATTCGCATGCTACTTCCATATCAGCCCGACTACAAGCAAGAGCAGGGCCTCAAAGTCCCGGGCACAGGCTGCTCTTCCGGCGCCTGCAACGGACAACACTCGCACCAGGTGAGTTCATGCCCTCATTCCACACCTCTCCTAATAACTCAAACCCATCAGGCTCTGTGGCTCTGGATTGAGTGTGTCCCGTGAGTTCTTCTCCTATCATAAATCGAATTTTAATATAATTGAAATGTGTCGAGTAGTAATTTTAATAAAAGCATGTTTTTCCCGTCATTCGCTTTGCGCCCACCACAAATAAATGTGAAATGTTTACCGGGTATTCTAATTACAATAATTTCAAGTGGACTCACACGAATTTGAGGAAAAGTCTGTTGACAGCACATTATTCATAAAGGGGAGATTAGAAAATGATGGTCAATTGCGTGTCAGTCATTCGATATTCAGGCAACTTTTTCTTCTTCTTATAATTCCAAGTATTTTCTTAAGTAATTTTAATGTCACTGACCTGATTTATGTGTCCGCGTGGGATGGCTTTTGTCCCATTTCTCACCTTTGTTGGCGTGTTGAAATGTCGTCTAATGGAATTTTCTACTCGTTTGCTAATTACACGGAAAAAAATGCATTGTTTTATCCTTTTAGCGGATTTAAGGATGCAATTTAAACATGACCTTTTATGAGAGCGCTACATGCTACAAATTAGCTTCTGTGGATGATCCAAAGTGTAATTTCAACAAATATAAACTGTAGTGAGCTTAAAAGCTCACGACCAGTGACTCCATAAGGTCAAGATATGAAATTATGGAATAGTGATATACAGACCATTCTGGTCCAAAAATCGTTTAGAAATCTATTTATGGTTTTTTTAGATTCCATGGCAATGTGAAAAACAATCTCTTAATGAGCGAAATTCTCAAATTTCTGAATGCAAATCAAACAATAAATCCTCTTTTTTACCTAAAATTTTCATATCTTAGCATAACAATTAAGAATGAAATGCGAAAAGTTCATGTATTATTTGTGTAAAATAGTGGCAGCATTGTTCAAGATTCTTTGTTACAGACGGCGAATAAGGGCAGAAATTCTCAGAATTCTCAGGAACTTCAGTCTTTGCTGACTAAACCTCGGAAAGTGAGAAAATATGAAGGTTACTCAGCTGCAGCGCTGTGAGTACTGTGGGAAGAAATAGTCAAATAGTAAAGTATCAATTGAAGCGCGCTACAGTGAATCCAAAACCGTAGCGATCTAATTAGACAAGTACTTTAGCCACAGCACTTTAGCTTAGCTGCTCATATCTTTGACAAGAGTGCAGTCACTGGTTGAACTGTTGGCAGTGAAAATAGCGAAATGCTGAAAGTCATGCAAATCTGACCTGAGGGATGTTTTTCTTCCCTTTGAACTCCAACTCCGCGCTCGACGACTCGAGAATTGTTTCTCAAGTTGTAGCAAGAAAAAAAGAAGCAGAAGTTGCCTCAACAGACTTGATGGCGCAAGAATGTGCGAGAAACCCTTGAACTTCCTTTATCAAATTCACACTCACAGAACGCTCTTCTATAAATACTTCCGTGAGCGAGAGTGACGAGTGCGTTGCGTGAGAAAGATACACTCAAATGCCAGACAACAGAAGTCCTAGAGAGGATGGCGAGAAGTTGTGGAAGCTTCCGCGGGAGCGATGTGAGTTTAGGCGTGTGTGAGTTTCGGATGTCCGCCGCGTGTAGATTGCGTCCCCTAAGTAGTGTTGATGTACAAGAAAACCAATGTGTGGCTGGTCTTCCTGAAAGTTCCTGCCGCGCTGTGAGGGCTGCGGCCTGCTGGATCGCTGTTTCCATTGCCCGCGGCGCTCGCGGGACTCGCGCGACTGCGGCTGCCAGTTCGCCCTGCTGCATCGCGCGGACACGGAGAGCTAGCACATGGAGCTGAGCCACCATCGGCCGCATCTCACCCAACAGCAGCGTATCCGCAGGTTCCGGCAGCAGCGCTACTCGCGCTCCAGCCGCTCCAGATGCTCGCGGGAACAGCCGGTGGGCATAGACGAAGATGTCGAATTGCGCGTAAGTGAGCAGACACCAAGTCATGCACCCACAAATCATCGTCACACTGTGTTTTACCATCTCACCATCTGACCATGTTTGGCAAGGGATTTTGTATACCACCCCAAAAAGCCCTCTATCTCTCTCTCAGTCAACTGTACAGAGGATTGCCCAGGGACGTCCATCAGCATTCATTTCCTTTTGCATTAGAGAGTGCCGGAGAGCAATCTGGCGAATGCTGGGCAATCATAAAATCCCCTGCCTGCCCGCCCTCTCATACGATAGTGAATGCGGAGGAGCAGAAGAGCCCCAAGGGGTGAATAGCACGAGGCATTTGAATCATCACGAACTCCTCTTGCGATTGCCATTATTGCCAGACAACACGTATAAAAAGATATTCTTAAAGATTCAACTACTGTAGTTTTCCACAGGGTGCGCCACATTTGGCGCTGCGCAAGCTTCATCACCAAGCGTCACCGCAAATTCTATTAAAACATTGTGGTTTGCGGAAATGTGTTTTTGCATGATGTTTTGATGAAGGCTCCCCAATTAGGTTTGTGTAATGGTGTCTCCTCTATTCAATTCTCTCAGTTATTATAATCTTCTTGCTCACCGAAACCATTAAGCTTGACTCGTCAAAACTTAGATATTAGCTGAGGTTCTCTGTTCAGATCTTTGCTGTTGTAGCAAAAATATCTATAGATGACTCCAATGATTGCAATAATGAAAGTAGCTGAAAAACCCTATTTCAAATCCATTGTCATTTTACCTACGTTTCCAAAGCCATCTGAGAGCCTTTTGCATGATCAGATCACAATGCGCTTTGAGAGAAAGAAAAACCATTTCTGTTCGGTTTTATTCTATTTAGAGTAAAACTGTTGCGTTTGTCTTAGCCAGATCAATGTTTGCTATTCTAGTTTTACTAGACTATACCATAAACCATATGATGAGTTCTGTTTTCTAAGCCTTATGCTTATACTCATTATGAGTGTTTCTAAGGGTTTCATCCCGAGATTCTTTCTGTTTTCCTGTATTCATTGAAGATTTAATTCTACGTTGTCTAATCACTTTCAAAAGCACTACTTAAGTCAGTTTACTTATATTGAGCATAGCTTTTCTTCCCAATATTCAGTCTATCGCTCTTAAAAATTCTACTTCTCTGAAATCTTATTACAATATTTAGTTGTCCTAAATGCTCTATTTCATTCCCGATGAACTATCATTTCAAGGAATTCTTATCGCACACCCTATTCTTCTGACAACTAGTAATGTGCAATACAATCAGCGCGTGTGTGCTCTGAAATTTCCTCTCAAAAATTCCCAGTGTGTTCATTTCTTTCTTTACTATTCATCAAAATCGATAACTCGCAGAGTGTCTTTAGAAAACGTGCCTTGCAATCTTACAATGGGACGCGCTTTTGCGCCGTGCATCGTAAATTTAAAATGAAAACAGTTGGCCATTAGGAGGATAACTCCTTTGGCTTTAAATCACCCACAAGATCCTCCCAGTGCCACTTAAGGTGATTTATGAGGTGCAAAAGGACGATGGACTCATATTAATTCGCCGGCAATTGCTGGCAGTGAAGATGCTATTCGCCCCTTGAGTCAATGTACATTTCTCACATAAAGCATTTATAAAATGAAAATACATAACATATGATGTAGTTTGTGTATGAAACATTGAGATTCATGATGTAATGATGCTAAAAGTAAGAATAATACTTTACGATTTATAGGTAGAATAAAAACTTAATGATGGTTAAAAATCCAACTGCAACTTATAAAATAAATGACGATGTTAGCGAAATGACAGATAAAGTAATTGATTTATCTTACTATTGTACAAATTAGATATTAGTTCATTTTTAGTCTCTAAGTCACAATCACATTTCAGCAAAGCTTGTAAGGAAAATTTTTTGTATGAGTAATTTTGGTTGTCGCTGTTGTTATTTCTGCTAGATGAATATATATATACTATTTGTATTGTATTTGTCCTAGATAAGCAAGAAAAAATAGGGAAATAGCATTCTTTATGTACAAAAAGTGCCCACTGAAGCAATTATTATTGGCAACAGCCTGGAAAACTCTCATTCTGAATGGCGAAATGTTCTAATTTAAATTTGCACCCACAATTTGACTCACACTGAATTCATGTACAAACAATTAATTACTGTGTGTACACAACATGTTGAAGAACAGCACCGAAGCTTCTCTGTTAAATTCAATTAGAAAGGCGAGAGATGTTACGAAGGAGAGAATTGGATGATGATGATGATGAAAGATGGAAAAATCTCACTGCTGTGTCAACACCCGAATTGTAATTTGTTTCTTTTGCGACTTGTGTTGGCTTTCTTGTTATGACAAAACTCATAGAGTTCACAAGATGTAAAACTTCACGAGCTCACGAATTCAATTGCAATAGTTTTTATTCTCTTACCACTCACGCGAGGCGCCAAACTAAACTTAAGCCCACACTCTTGCTTTCAGTCGTATTTCCGACAACACTGGCCAGAAGAGCAATCCACCGTCATTGAGGATCGCTGCACGCGGAACAGGATCAACTCGGCGATCTTTGTGTCGTCAGAAGGAAAGGGATTCGACTCAATTGAGTTCCTGAGGCGCTACGGCTCGCAGAGTGTCTTGTGCCGGAAGGCGCGCAGCGCGGAGAACATCACGTCTGTGGACCAGAGGGTGAGTCTTCCGGTGGGGAGAAGTTGAGTTGTTGAGGCCTGATTGGGTAATTCAATCAATTTCCCTGCAAATTTGGGGCTTCTCGCACGGAAGACTTAACAGGGCTGCGAGAAGACACCTTGTGGGGTCAAATTTATGAGTGGAAATGAGAATTACAAAGAAGAAAAGGCGTTAGAGAGTGAGAATGAAGGCAGAGTTTATGGGTAATTTTCAGCAAAATGAATTTTTTAATAAAGTAAGCTTAAACATTCCTTTCCAAAATGTTTCATGTTATTGTATGTTTAATGTTTTTATTCAGCCATTTCTTACATCCCTTCAAAGTTATGTTTGAATGTGCTGAAACGGTAAAAATAATAGGTGCATACTTGCGATGAAATCTGCCAAAAGCTCTCAATCTCGATAACTGATGATTCTCTTTAAAATTGCTACGTCGATGTGAAGAAAAGGACTTCAGGCTAAAGCTTTGGAGACAACAAAACAAATATTTTCGTATGCTCAAACTTTAAAATACAAAATGTAACTTTATTGCATTTTCCATTAGTTTCTTACATCGTCGTCGAAATGACACACTATGGCATCTAAAATAACAATCTGAAGAGAACTTTTCGTCAAGTAAATAGTGGCACTTTGCCTCAAAACTCTTCTTAGAAGTGATCAAAGAGCTCATAAAGACTTTCCTGTAGGAAAGTGTATGTGAAATACAAATATTTTTGTTTCACCTTTTCCGCTTGAGAAGTTTGTCATCATTTAGTATAGAGATAACCGGCATCTTTTCAGAAAACAATCCCGCAGGATTTCTAAGCAATTTCCCCACAATTTGTCCGACAATGAATCAATTGTTCCCCTGCGGAAATTGACCTGACCTTTTGCCATTGTTTCAGCGTCGTCTGTCAGAGCATCACAACTGGAACTCGAGCATCCGGCAGCCGGAGAATTGCCTCACGGAGATGTTCGAGTTGGTGGAGTGCCACACGCCACAGACCGACGTCCGCACCACCGAGACCACTTCCGTGGTCGTCTCCGTGGCCGCCGTGCCGTCAATTAGCGGCGAGACCACCACCAGCACGGCCAGTGCGACCCCCAAGATGAGCCAGAAGACGCGCCAGAAGGTCGCCAATCTGCCCACACTCTCCATCTCGGGGCCCTCGCCGCCCCACGAGGAGTTCCTGTAAGCCACGTCGCAACTCTCTCTCTGCACAATTGTCACGGGGAAAGCATCGAATTTTACCGGCTAATCAGTTGAAGATGGTGCTTTTTAGAACAGTGATTCGCCACATGCGTCGTAGTAATCGAATACATATGAGTGGAATTTCGCAACTAATTGAACGAAAATCTGTGGCTAACAGAGATCCTAACGATAGTTCCCATTCATACCATAATTAAATTCTATATTAGACTCCTTAACTGAAATCAGATTTGGTGAATCTGGTTGTGTGAATAATAGAAATCCAGCACAATTTATATCTGTCAATTAAACCACGCATTTTTGCCAACAATTTAGGTCCGTCATAGAATTAATAAAATCACAATTGATGTCTAAAACGTGCCGCGGTAGTTACAAATGTATTATGCGATTGGAATTATTGATTAGATAGTGAATTTTTAATTTCAGTTCACTATCACTACGTCATTGCTAACAGTGTGCAAAATAGGTTTGCGTTATTGCATTTAGTGTTCCTTTATTACTTAATCTGTGGGCTAACATGTCACTTTATCGACAGATTCACTCTGTCACAATATATCGAGCTGCATAATACCATTTGATGAGGGCTCATAATAATTTCAGTAATCGAAATCACTGGATAATCGATCTATTGAAGTTTTCCAGCTTTGCAATTTATGTTGATTGACTGAAAATATTCCAGTTCAATGGTGCTCTTTTAGCACAAACACATAAAACAATCCAGTTTTGCATTTTTGGTAAAACATCTCGGAGCGTGTTTTTTTTCCCCGCTGTGACGCGACTCACTAATAAGCACAATCTTCAACTGAATATCATCAAATTTTGAATATGGAGTGAAATTTTACCACGCATGATTTGCAATTGTATTTAGCCTTTATACAAGTGTACATAAGAAGTAAACTATCAATTTTACCCTCTTGATAAGTGGAAAAAACTGTGAAAAAGACATGAATGAAATACTAGAGCTCTAATTTTGACTTGGAATAGTGTTTAGAACTTATAGAACATTTTTATCTTTACACAGTGAGTATTTAGGATGTTTCTTGCTAATATTTAGACAAATACAGCTAGGGCGATAATTGTTCTTTCCATGCTGAGGAAGGTGTCTTCAGCGCGAGGCTACAAATGCTATAAACAGATTTTGAGAATGACTCGCGAGACCATCGAGACATATTGATTGACATGAAATCACGGACCAAGAAAAAGCACACTTGAGAGATTGTCGAAAGGAGAAGAAGAAGAAATGTGTGCCTTAAAATATTGATAGAGAAGACATATTTTATGCAAAAACTATCGGTATCCTTTTTCCGTCTTTTCTCAGTTCATTGAAATTCCATCAAGTCGGTATAGACACGAAAGAATGACAAGGAATCTATATCTGTGTATAATATTATAACGAAGAGCGCGCGTCTTTTACAATTTTATCTCCCATGTTTCTGGATGCTTTAACATACATTTGGACGGACACAGAGTTTGGGAAATTTCGTAGAAAATATAATCGTGAATTATGTAATATCTTATTGGGACCATGATTGATTTTGTAGACAAAGTTGTCTGTGTGAGTAGAAAGCCCGCCATTTGTGGGTTAATCCTCCAAAATTCAATGTCAACTGTAGTCAATTTCTACTCAAAATAAGTGTGAATATATTTGTGAATAATATCGAAAGAGAATTTAGCGTTGATGAGAGATTTTTGTGCTATCCGTCCCTTTATTCCAATTTTTCTATAACCATAGATACAGACCAAGAGATATCTACTGCATAGATAGTCTGTTGGAATTGAAAATAACTCCTGAAATCTCAGTGATAATCTTTCACTGACGACGAGTAAAATACAGTGGTCGCCAATGAAATAGACAGTACGAATAATCAGCATTGGAAAACTGTGAACATCCATATGTTCTATTTCATTGGAGTCCACTGTAAATAGACGATTAATGAACAACGGAGTGAGAACACAGTTTATTAATAGTATCTCCAAGAAAAGTATATATTTTGCTCAATTAGAATTTATACAGATGTGTTAAAACAGACGAAATTAATTTCATTTTTCCCCAAGAAAGATTAAACTCATGAAAATGACATCGAGCATTTGTGTTTGCCTCATTTTTTCCGTTAGATAATTATTATATAAAATAACAAACATATATAAGAAATATATAAATCTTTAAGAATGAAAGAAAAAAACACAATAAATAGTAACGATGAGAGCAGCTTTTCATGAGAGTCGCAGCTTTAAGTGCACAAACAAAGATTGCTAAGACTTCAAGATTTCATTAGTTGTATGAAACTAGCTGGAAAATTGCGAAGTTCGTATTCCAACTCAACGACAAGCCCTGAATTGCGCGATTCTCATGTGATCTGCGTCTCAAAAGTGCAACAGTAATCTTCTTTATATAGAAACTGAGTTAATTGCGAATGAACTTGGATTCATTAGGATTAAGATGTAATATCTTGTGACAAATTAACTTTGCTGTAAATAGTGTATCTCCCCTTATAAGAAACTGAAACAACCCAGAATCAATTACATATGATCTTATGGCATCCTTCTAGTGTGTCTCTTGTCCATTGTCCTGCTCCTGTGTGGGTTTCCTCTCCACGAAATTTCGATGATCAGCGTAATCTCTGACGTCAGAGCTGTTTCTCTCCGGTTTAATGCGCACATCATTGGGATCTACCTCAAATTTGCCACTCCACTGGACAGGAAGAATCTCGGGTTCGCTGCAGAAGCCATAGAACTGGGAAGTTTCCGACCTGTTGCGCTCCGGGCGGTAGTAAGTGCCTCCAGACGGGGCGAAGGTGCCATCCCACGTGACCGGAAGCACCTCTGGCTCTGTGGTGTAGCCGTAGAATTGATTGCCAGTCGCGTAGACGGGCTTCTTGTCGCCAGCCTCGCGTGGGTGGCCCTTGGCCGTGGACTCGCTCTCACCATGGGCATTCTGCGCGGGCTCCTGGATCACTGTTGGCTTTTCGTACACAAACTTCCCATTCCAGCCTCCAATCTTGATGGGAATATCCTCATCCCTGGTTCTCCTGGGCATGTTTACTCTCGTCTCTTTCCTCTTCTCTACCAAACACAACACTCAAAGCACGACTTTTAGTCACTTCGAACGACACACAAGCACTGATTGAGCTGAACGAGGTGACATGTAGTTAAATCTCTCCCACAAGAGACTGGAAAAGCGCGTAGGAGCAATGACGCATCGAAGGAGAGATCGAGAACGTGGAGACACCTACATCACCTTCAGCTCCCCCAAAAGGCATCAACACGCACGCTCGCGACTTGGCCAAAATGCAGGACTCTTGTTGCCCATCGGATGTCATTAATGCGAAAAGCCCAGAGGCACAAAGTTGTGCACTCACCTTGATGGCTCACGAGGCCCATGAGCATGTTTCAATGGGCGCGCGAGATCGCCGCTCATGCACGAAGGATGACGTCAGGCGTGGACAAATAAGGCATTGTCTGGATGGCCAGAGAAACTCACAGAGAGACACTGAACTCGACACGATTGCAAAAGATCTTCACCGCCGTCCATTTCTCGATTTTGTCGTCAGCATCGCTTGGGCTTGGGAGAGGTAAGAGTAATGTAAGCAAGGTAAAAAAATATGATGTCTTTTAGGAATTATTTGCAAAACAATGATACTCATGAATGAATGAATGAATTTCCGCAAAATTTTGCCATTTTTACCAATGTGTTATTCTCACTTGGCCATGAAAGTAATTTTGGGTGATGGAATTTTATAATATGGACACACGAAAGACGATATCCAAGAAGTTTAAACATGTATTGTAAACATTGTTAAGCATTAAATAGACAAGATAAAATTGTTTCGTCCAAGTTTCATCTGAAATTGCACGCAACTAAGCAATTTATTTGCCGCTGAGAAATATCTTATCTTGCGAATAAGATGATGATAACCTATTGGTCTTTAATATTTCTCTTACTTATAATCATACATTATAAGGAAGAATTAACAGAAAAAACATGTATAAAATATACAATCTTCACGTGAAAAATATAATTCATGTAAAAACATTTCAAAACAAGATTCTAAAGATATTGAAAAAAATAAATTGTAGTAGAAATTTGAGCAAAATTCTCCTCGAGTTTAGTACAAATTCGTGCTTATTGGTTATCAAAAAATTAGCTTAGAGCAAACTACACAGTCAATTAATTAAAAACTCTCAGCGTAATACAAAATCTTCTCTTTATAATAATTCACGCTTGATTTACAGTCTTTTTACTTCCAACTCGTGTTAAATCGAATCTTAAGATCGCCAAGTTCATAAATTGGTAATTAAATCACGTTGCTCGCGATGCGATGTATTTTGTAAACCTTTTTCCCCGAAATTGAGGAGGGAAAGTTGTTCCTTTTTCTGCCGCCTTTTGTACAGTGCGAGCTTTCAATTATGGCAAAAACGTGTGTTGATTAATGGGCAAAAATCAGGGGAAGAATAAAAGTCAATCAGTGAGAAAATTAACTTTCTTTCAGGTGGGCGCGAAAAGGTGGTTCTAGATCGATGACGAGATACTTGTATTCTTAAATTTATGATTCATTTCCAATGTCAAAGCGCGCGATATTCTCGATGTGGGGAGCGAAAGAGAGAGAACTGAAGACATTGCCAAAAAAAAAAATAAACCCGCTGAATATTTATGGGAAGGAGAGGCGGTGTAAAAAGAAGTGGTTTTATGTGTTCAATGACACGAGAATGATGGGAAGCTCGCAGTTGGGGAAATTTGTCCAGGAGGAAGCGCAGCACTTCTTTGGTGGAAGAGGAAGTTGGACTTGCTTAGGATGTTCAATTGGATGATCGACAATCTTGAAATATTCATGGTGGTTACAGTAGAATTCGCATATTTTCGCTAATTTCCCAGCAATTTGAACCACCTTCACATGCTGTTTCTCGTATGACTGTATGTAAGTCGACAAATACAAATTTATGTGTGCCGTCGAACAAGAGTAGGAGGGCCCCCTTCCATTCACCAAACAGAGCCCCACTCCGAGCGAGCAGAGGCCCCAACTGAATGACTTCAACGGAAGAGCACGGGAAAAGCTCAGTCTGCCGCTGAAAGTGCTTCTGTGTCGTGTTCATCATTATTTCAATAAGACATTCCACCAACATATTCCTCCAGTTCGTGACTCCGTCCCCGCCCTGCCCCCCAAATTCACCCCCGTGTCCGCGCCCCCTGCGGGACCGCTGTGCGCCCCACACGTGAATCTCCTTGCAAGTGCTTGATAAGGATTATTGCGCCCGGCAAAGTGAACTTTCCACAGTGCTCAAGTCCGCGAGTGCAAGAAAATCCCACTAAAAGCAGCGAAAAGTGGCCAATTTGTGATAAAATATCGCAAGTGTTTGCTCAAAAAACTCTCCGGAGTCAACATCATACCTTATAAATATAAAATCAACATACGGCCTTTCTCGACCTTACGTAATCGCCGAGCCATCAAGTGAACAACCAACCAAACGTTTTAAACTGAAAGTGTGTGTGCCATTTACATTCAAATTATCTCTCTCGCGCGCTCGCGAGACTCTCGCACACGGCAATTTCTTGCTGGTCACACAGAACGTCGAGTGTCTTCCGCCGGGAATGAGCGAGTGACCCAAGGATTTGCAGTGGCCTCCCCAAGAGGAGACAAAGCCTGAGACAGAGAGAGACTGTTTTGTGCATTAGTGGCAGAGTCGCGCCTTTTTGGCCGAAATATAAAGGTAAAAATCAGGCTTTGAAAGTTTCAGTGAAAGTGTACGCAAAAATGGAAAAGTGATCTCATCTTCGAACGTGAATTCTGAACATCCATATGCTGTGCTCCTTCTATCTGTTCAAATTCATATTTGCAGCCCTTTAGAAAATATCATATTATTGCATTTTATAATTTCTCCGCACATACTTCGTGTACTCTAGTGAAAAGATTGTGAAAAACTGTCTCATGGGAATGTATTAGGAAATTCTGTGTTTTCTCGTTACATTAAAATGAGTCTTATTTTACAATTTATATGTATAAACCAATGTAAAATCCTGAGATACTTTTCACCACTGTCGCCATTTAAAACAAATCAATAAGGACAATCTTAAGTCTATCATAATGAAGTCAGATTACATAGAAAAACACTATAAAGACGGAGAGAGAAGGAAATTTTGGCGACATAATCAATACTTTTACTTCTTTCACTCTGATTCTCTAAAATGTGCTCCGTGACAAAAAGTGTTTTAAATTTAACCCTGATACATTCCATTGGGATTCAAAATAAGAATTCACGTGATATTTCGCAGAATTTTTCTCTGATTTTTCTCTCAGTGAAAGAATAAACCAGTTTCTCTTGCCACAACGTGACTGTGAGACCGGAGAAATATTTAAATTAAGCGAGAAAATCAGTTGAATTGTTGAACTCACAGTGGCTCTTAAAAATTACACCGAGAAATCTTGCTATTCCACACTACAGTTTTTTGCGATAACATTCTTAACGTGCAAATTTAAAGAATTCCACGCAAATGATGTAATCCCAAAGCTTTCGTCTTTCTTTATCATTGCATGCTCAAGAGAGACATCATAAGTTAAGCCCTGAATGCCTTAAAGGAATTTACTTAATCTCACCAGCTTGAAGTTGATTTGCCATGTTCGCGATTTTTATATTTGGAGAGAGCAACTTTTTTCCAATAAATCTTCTCATACACTCAGCATTGATGTGTCGCACTGAAGGATGAATTTCTCGATGAGATCACTTTATATGTTGCAATTTCTCGGGAATACTTACAGTTTCGCATTGCAGATCGATGGTGCTGGAGAAATCACAGAAGAAGACGTCTTCGCAGGGGAAATCCTCTGTGAAGACGTCCAAGACTTCGTCTTCCACCTCTTCCACGCAGAAGTCCTCCAAGATTGTCTCGTCGTCCAGCGCCGGAAGTGTTAGAATCGAAGAGAGTTCTCATGATACGCCAGACTCCTCACTCACCACGTATATCGTGAGTGACGAGGTGATTTCCAGGAAACCGAAGGAGCACATCATCTTCGGTGGTACTCAAATCACTGAAGTCGGCTCGGTTCTGGGTAAAACCGGTGAGGATACGAAGATTGTCGCAGCACCAGGCGTGACAGTCACTAAAGTCGAGTCCGGCTCTTCGTCGTCCATGAAGAGCAGCTCCCAGAAAGCCTCTTCCAGCAGTTATTCAGTGGAAATCGTGGACGGCAAAGAAGTGAAGAGAGACGCTCAGTCGCGCGAATGGGGCTCCAGTGACACTCAATCGCATGCTGAGGAGTTCAAGTCCGTCTCTGGCACGGGAAGAGCCACAGAGACTCAGTTCGCGGCCAAATCCGATTCGGACTCCCTCAAGTATGACACTGGCAAGGCTGGACAACAGCCGCTCTTTGATCGCGTCATGCAGAGCGAGGAGCGCTTGGTTGAGCAAGTGGGCAAAGAAAAGCCCCTGGATTATCATTCCCAATCCACACAGTATGAAACCTACGATCCGGCCACGAAGAGGATTGTCTCGCGCGCTGGAGACAGCCAGACGAACTTGTCCGAGGGCAAGATTACTCAAAGCATCGACTCCACGAGTCTTCAGAATGTGCTAAAGAGTTCCTCAGTGGATCGCCTTACGGCGGAGAATGTGCAGCTCTTCAACAGTCAAGCAAAGAGCTCCAGCAAGAGCGCTGGAAAGGATGTCACGGTGATCACTGAGGAGCGCAGGAGCAGCTTTGATGACACGGCGTCCGGCAATACTTTCATCATTGAGGAACGAGGCCAGCAAGAGAGACAATCTGCGGTCACGGACAGAAACCAGAGCTCGTGGGACGGGAAGTTCGTCTACGAGAAACCGCAAATAATCACTAGTAGCAGCAGCTTCCAGGCAAAAGATGTAAGTGATAGTGTATAGAGGAGAATGAAGCCGACTTATCTAACTATAATTAGCCTGACGAGATAGAAATAAACCGCTTTTTCCAATTTCTATCTCCAGAGCGTTGCCAATGCACAATCGACAACGACCTATAAAACTAAAGTCTGGGACAACAAAACTAATTGCTGGCGTGTGGTTAATGAGACTACAGTCAACGAAAAGGACGTGATGCTGGAGAAAAGCCATCGGATTAACGATCAACCCGAATCCACGATGAAGAGTTCAACTTCAACGAAAGAAGTTATTGATAATCGAGGACAAACGTCTAGTAAAGAAATCACTTCACAAAAGAGTGATCAATTAGCATCTAAGAAACAAGTAACATCAAGTGATCAGGTGTCTAGGAAAGACTTTACTGATGTTTCGAAGAGTCATAATCAATCAGTAACTCAATCATCGAAGAGTGACATGAAGAGTTCAACTGCCAAGACTTCGGCTGTGAGTAAAACCTCAACAGAGAGTAAGTCAACAAGTAAAATCCAGCAACAAGTTTACGATGAGAAGACAAAGTCCTGGCAGGAAGTCAATGAGAAAACACTGAAGAACAAGCGACCCTCGCTCGTGCGATACGTGAGTCAGGAGAGCGATGGCACGTACACAACGATCTACAAAAGGAAGATCTTTGACGCCAGAACGAGGCAGTGGAAGATCGTGGATGAGAAGGTGTTCAAGGATCGAAAGCCTCACGACACGATTCCTGAGTATCCGATCGAGGATGCAACCAACAGAACAACAACGACGTACACAACAAAGGTCTACGATTCAAATACTGGCACATGGAAAATTGTGGATGAGCAGAGTTTCACAGACACGGACACATTCATTCCGAAAGACATCGTGCAGGAGATCGAGAAGGATCACCCCGATTTGGCCAACATCACAACAACCACAGAAATAACGAAGGTAAGTGGAGGAAATGGCATTTTAATGAACGTCCGCTGTGTGCAAAAAAGAGCCAAGAAAGCAGATCGCGACCTACGCACCGCCTCTAAATCCCGCCCACGCAATCTCGCGATCACTTAATAAAGTAGGAAGATTGAGTGGTTTTCGCGCGAAAGTTACTCAGTGGAGTGCAGCTTCATCACTTCCATTTATAGCCACATTCGACCATGCAGCGATCGTTCTCAGAATTTGAGAAATTGCTAGAAGATCGCACTTCTCCAAAATAATGCCATATTTGCATAATGAGTGATCGCGAAAGCAACTTTGCAAGGTGCGCGAAGTGAAATGTTTGCCCATTTACGATAATGTCTCACATAAATTCATTGGCTTTATTGACTTCTCGCGCGATAACCTTCGGCAGTTTTCTTATCAGCCGGCAGCGATATGCGAAAAATTACAAACGGAGAACGATAAGGAGTATTTTGGCTTGAGAATATCTCAAATTTGCACGGGGATCAACCTCCAGACTAACTGTTTGAAATTCATGTGTGGGTTTAAGCCACTCTTTATATAGAATTCCAGCTAAAATTGCGAGATGAATCACGCGAGAATGTGCAGAGTTCGATAGGTTTCATAAATCATTGAAATATTTCAAAACTTTAATGTCATGTGTTTCGCATTTTGGAAGCTAATGCAAATATTTTTTACGAGTAAATATGCACGATAAAATTTTTATTTGCTTAAGGAGCTTATAGCAATCATTAAACAATTTCCATTTTTTTTTTAAATAGATTTTCGATGCCACGACCAACACTTGGCGCGTGATCGACGAGAAAACATCGACTGATGTCCTGGAGAGGATCGTTGAGAGACCAAAACGAACACGCGATGTTTATGTGCAGGATATAACTGACATCGACAAGTACAGATCCACAAAAGACTCCTCAGAGACCAATATAGACATTCTAAACAGGACAGACATCACAGATGTGACAAAAAGGACCATCAACGAGCTGGACGTGACTGAGACACTGCAGAGGAACAAGGATGTGGTGAAGAAAAGCAGCATTCTCGATGATTCCACTGATTCACGCATCGTGCGAGAAGAGATCGACATTGAGCGGAAAACCATCAATGATACGACCACAGATCGAAAAGCTAAAGACTTGGTGAGATATTAACGGCAATTTGCTGAGAATTGAATTAATGCGTCCCCTCAATTGCCCCAACAGAAAATCACACAGTCAACGAGCAAAACTTCTGGAGGTCAGAGCAAATATGAGGAAATTACCAAGAGTGATGTCATCAAGATTTCAGATAAAGTGTCGCGAGATCATGCAATTAACAAAGAGCAGTGTATCTGTGAAATTTGTACTTGTGGGTGAGTAAATTCCTCCTGAATTACGAAATTAGGTCAATTAAGGTATTTAATTCAATTCCTTGTGTCTTCTAGGCGGCATAGTTGTGTCCATAAGTCGGAAGATCATATTGTAATCACAGAGGATAAGAGCCACAGTGAGAAAATAACGGCATACAATCAAGACTTTATCAATAAATTTGTTGATAAAACCACTGATATCCGAGAGACTGTAAAGAAGCCGCAAGACAACTTGAAACTCGAAGGAGACTTTCAGGAGTACCGCAAAACCATAGATGAACACAAGATTGTAAAAGGCGAAAGAGCTGATGTTATTCGAAGAAAGGACAATTTAACAACAACTGGTGAATTTATTGGTACAGATCGAAATTTTGTCATCACCTCAAACAAAATACTGACAAATTTATCATATTTTAGATGTCACTACCGCCAGAACTGATTACACTGATTACACCAACGACAGAGAACGTGTATCTCCTATTCGAAGGAACACTTACACAAAAATTGAGGGCGATATTGACTTCACAACAACAAATAAAACTGAATTTATTGAACAAGAAATCCATTATCAACGTCCTAGGAAGAGAACCTGGACCAAAGACGATGTGGAGAAATTTTACTCCCAAACAGATGTGACTAGTCAGACTACCAATCAAGAAATATATCGTGCCATAAAAGACACCAAGGACATCAGACACGAGCAAAAGAAGCCACTGGATAATCTTCGTCCAGAAGGAGAGTTTTACACACCCGACAAACCTGGCTATCGACCTGCTGAGCGGCCTAAGCAAGTTAAACCTGAAGACAATCTCCGTCCAGAGGGAGACTTTGAACGCCCAACTAAATATCAACCTTCTCCAGGGGAAAAAAGAACACCAATAAAACCAGGAGACAATCTCAAGCCGGAGGGAGATTTCGATCGACCAGATAAACCGGGTTATCGTCCAGCAGAACGACCTCAGCAAGTCAAGCATCACGATAATCTTCGGCCTGAAGGAGAGTTTTATACTCCAGAAAAACCTGGCTATCGTCCTGCCGAGCGACCTCAACAAATTCGCCCTGAAGACAATCTTAAGCCGGAAGGTACCTTTGAAAGGCCGTACAAACCTGAATTTCGACCGGCTGAGCGTCCTCAGCAAAAAAGACCAGAGGATAATTTGCGCCCTGAGGGTGACTTTGAACGTCCGACTAAGTATCAGCCAACGCCAGGAGAGAAAAGAACACCTATTAGGCATGGCGATAACTTGAAACCAGAGGGTGATTTCGACAGACCAGATAAACCTGGTTTTAGACCAGCTGAACGACCACAGCAAGTCAGGCACGAGGATAATCTTAAGCCCGAAGGCGCATTTTACACTCCTGAGAAGCCCGGATATCGACCGGCTGAACGACCTCAACAGGTTCGCCCTCAAGACAATTTAAAACCAGAAGGCGATTTCCAAAAGCTTGAACGACAAGAATTTCGTCCAGCGGAGCGTCCTCAGCAAAAGAGACCAGAAGATAATTTGCGCCCTGAAGGTGACTTTGAACGTCCGACCAAGTATCAGCCTACTCCCGGAGAAAAGAGAACGCCCATTAGACATGATGACAATCTTAAACCGGAAGGAGATTTTGAGCGTCCAGATAAACCAGGATATCGTCCAGCGGAAAGACCACAACAAGTCAAACACGAAGATAATTTGCGACCTGAAGGACCATTCTACACACCAGAGAAGCCAGGATACCGTCCAGCAGAGCGACCTCAACAAATTCGGCCTCAAGACAATTTGAAATCGGAAGGCGATTTCCAAAGACCGGAGAAAGCAGAATTCCGTCCGGCTGAGCGTCCTCAACAGAAAAGACCAGAGGATAATCTCCGTCCGGAAGGAGACTTTGAACGTCCAACTAAATATCAGCCAACGCCAGGAGAGAAAAGAACTCCGATTAGACATGGTGACAATCTTAAACCGGAAGGAGATTTCTATACTCCAGAAAAACCTGGATATCGTCCTGCTGAGAGACCCCAACAAGTAAAACATGAGGATAATCTTCGACCTGAGGGCGATTTCTACACTCCTGAGAAGCCAGGTTATCGCCCCGCAGAAAGACCTCAACAGGTTCGCCCTCAAGATAATTTGAAAACCGAGGGTGACTTTGAAAGACCTGAGAAATCGCCATTTAGACCAGCTGAGCGTCCTCAGCAAAAGAGACCAGAAGATAATTTGCGCCCTGAAGGTGACTTTGAACGTCCGACTAAGTATCAGCCAACGCCGGGAGAGAAGAGAACTCCTATTCGGCATGACGACAACCTCAAACCAGAGGGTGATTTCGACAGACCAGATAAACCTGGATTTAGACCAGCTGAACGACCACAGCAAGTCAGACACGAGGATAATCTTAAGCCCGAAGGCGCATTTTACACTCCAGAGAAGCCCGGATATCGTCCGGCAGAGCGACCTCAACAAATTCGGCCTCAAGACAATTTGAAATCCGAGGGTGACTTTGAAAGACCTGAGAAATCGCCATTTAGACCAGCTGAGCGTCCTCAGCAAAAGAGACCAGAAGATAATTTGCGCCCTGAAGGTGACTTTGAACGTCCGACTAAGTATCAGCCAACGCCGGGAGAGAAGAGAACTCCTATTCGGCATGACGACAACCTCAAACCAGAGGGTGATTTCGACAGACCAGATAAACCTGGATTTAGACCAGCTGAACGACCACAGCAAGTCAGACACGAGGATAATCTTAAGCCCGAAGGCGCATTTTACACTCCAGAGAAGCCCGGATATCGTCCGGCAGAGCGACCTCAACAAATTCGGCCTCAAGACAATTTGAAATCCGAGGGTGACTTTGAAAGACCTGAGAAATCGCCATTTAGACCAGCTGAGCGTCCTCAGCAAAAGAGACCAGAAGATAATTTGCGCCCTGAAGGTGACTTTGAACGTCCGACCAAGTATCAGCCTACTCCCGGAGAAAAGAGAACGCCCATTAGACATGATGACAATCTTAAACCGGAAGGAGATTTTGAGCGTCCAGATAAACCTGGATATCGTCCTGCGGAGAGACCACAACAAGTCAAACATGAGGACAATCTTCGTCCAGAGGGTGAGTTTTATACTCCAGAGAAGCCAGGGTATCGCCCAGCGGAAAGACCTCAACAGGTTCGCCCTCAAGATAATTTGAAAACCGAGGGTGACTTTGAAAGACCTGAGAAATCACCATTTAGACCAGCTGAGCGTCCTCAGCAAAAGAGACCAGAAGATAATTTGCGCCCTGAAGGTGACTTTGAACGTCCGACCAAGTATCAGCCTACTCCCGGAGAAAAGAGAACGCCCATTAGACATGATGACAATCTTAAACCGGAAGGAGATTTTGAGCGTCCAGATAAACCTGGATATCGTCCTGCGGAGAGACCACAACAAGTCAAACATGAGGACAATCTTCGTCCAGAGGGTGAGTTTTATACTCCAGAGAAGCCAGGGTATCGCCCAGCGGAAAGACCTCAACAGGTTCGCCCTCAAGATAATTTGAAAACCGAGGGTGACTTTGAAAGACCTGAGAAATCACCATTTAGACCAGCTGAGCGTCCTCAGCAAAAGAGACCAGAAGATAATTTGCGCCCTGAAGGTGACTTTGAACGTCCGACGAAGTATCAGCCTACTCCCGGAGAGAAGAGAACGCCCATTAGACATGATGACAATCTTAAACCGGAAGGAGATTTTGAGCGTCCACAAAAACCTGGATATCGTCCTGCGGAGAGACCACAACAAGTAAAACATGAGGACAATCTTCGTCCAGAGGGTGAGTTTTATACTCCAGAGAAGCCAGGTTATCGTCCTGCCGACAGACCTCAGCAAGTACGTCCTCAAGATAACTTGAAACCAGAAGGAGACTTCCAAAGGCCTGAGAAAGCGGAATTCCGTCCGGCTGAGCGTCCCCAACAGAAAAGACCAGAGGATAATCTTCGTCCAGAAGGAGACTTTGAACGTCCAGTTAAGCCTCAACCTTATGCAGCTGAAAAGAGATCACCTATCAAGCATAGCGATAATCTCAAACCAGAAGGAGATTTCGAGCGACCAGACAAACCTGGTTTTAGACCAGCTGAACGCCCTCAACAAATCAAACATGAGGACAATTTAAAACCAGAAGGAGCCTTTTACACACCTGAAAAACCAGGTTATCGTCCTGCCGACAGACCTCAGCAAGTACGTCCTCAAGATAACTTGAAACCAGAAGGAGACTTTCAAAGGCCTGAGAAAGCGGAATTCCGTCCGGCTGAACGTCCTCAACAGAAACGACCAGAGGATAATTTGCATCCTGAGGGTGACTTTGAGCGTCCCGTCAAGCCTCAGCCGTATTCTGCGGAGAAACGAGCACCAATTCGTCATGAAGACAATCTGAAGCCAGAAGGTGACTTTGACCGACCGGATAAACCAGGCTATCGTCCAGCTGAAAGGCCACAGCAAGTGAAACACGAAGACAATCTTCGCCCTGAAGGACAATTCTACACACCAGAGAAACCCGGATATCGTCCTGCGGAAAGACCGAAACAAGTTAGACCAGAAGACAATCTTAAGCCTGAGGGCGACTTCCAGAGGCCTGAGAAATCGGAATTCAAACCCGCAGAACGTCCTCAACAAAAACGACCAGAGGATAATTTGCGCCCTGAGGGCGATTTTGAACGTCCGGTTAAACCTCAACCCTATATTGCGGAGAAGAGATCTCCTATCAAACATGGTGATAACTTGAAACCAGAAGGAGACTTTGAACGTCCTGAAAAACCAGGTTATCGTCCTGCAGAGAGGCCGCAACAGGTCAAACACGAGGATAATCTAAAACCTGAAGGAGAATTCTATACTCCTGAAAGGCCAGGATATCGTCCAAGTGAGCGTCCTCAACAGATTCGACCTCAAGATAATCTCAAACCTGAAGGAGACTTCCAGAGGCCTGAAAAATCAGAATTCATACCTGCTGAACGTCCTCAACAAGTGAGGCCGGAAGACAATCTGCATCCTGAAGGAGATTTTGAACGTCCAGCCAAGCCACAACCTTACTCAGCCGAGAAGAGGGCACCTATAAGGCATGAAGACAACTTGAAGCCTGAAGGCGGCTTTGATCGTCCACAAAAACCTGGTTATCGGCCAGCCGATCGCCCACAACAAGTAAAACATGAGGACAATCTTCGTCCAGAGGGTGAGTTTTATACTCCAGAGAAGCCAGGGTATCGTCCAGCAGAGCGACCTCAACAAATTCGGCCTCAAGACAATTTGAAATCGGAAGGCGATTTCCAAAGACCGGAGAAAGCGGAATTCCGTCCGGCTGAGCGTCCCCAACAGAAAAGACCAGAGGATAATCTTCGTCCAGAAGGAGACTTTGAACGTCCAGTTAAGCCTCAACCTTATGCAGCTGAAAAGAGATCACCTATCAAGCATAGCGATAATCTCAAACCAGAAGGAGATTTCGAGCGACCAGACAAACCTGGTTTTAGACCAGCTGAACGCCCTCAACAAATCAAACATGAGGACAATTTAAAACCAGAAGGAGCCTTTTACACACCTGAAAAACCAGGTTATCGTCCTGCCGACAGACCTCAGCAAGTACGTCCTCAAGATAACTTGAAACCAGAAGGAGACTTTCAAAGGCCTGAGAAAGCGGAATTCCGTCCGGCTGAACGTCCTCAACAGAAACGACCAGAGGATAATTTGCATCCTGAGGGTGACTTTGAGCGTCCCGTCAAGCCTCAGCCGTATTCTGCGGAGAAACGAGCACCAATTCGTCATGAAGACAATCTGAAGCCAGAAGGTGACTTTGACCGACCGGATAAACCAGGCTATCGTCCAGCTGAAAGGCCACAGCAAGTGAAACACGAAGACAATCTTCGCCCTGAAGGACAATTCTACACACCAGAGAAACCCGGATATCGTCCTGCGGAAAGACCGAAACAAGTTAGACCAGAAGACAATCTTAAGCCTGAGGGCGACTTCCAGAGGCCTGAGAAATCGGAATTCAAACCTGCAGAACGTCCTCAACAAAAACGACCAGAGGATAATTTGCGCCCTGAGGGCGATTTTGAACGTCCGGTTAAACCTCAACCCTATATTGCGGAGAAGAGATCTCCTATCAAACATGGTGATAACTTGAAACCGGAAGGAGACTTTGAACGTCCTGAAAAACCAGGTTATCGTCCTGCAGAGAGGCCACAACAGGTCAAACACGAAGACAATTTGAAACCAGAAGGTAACTTTTACTCTCCAGAGAAGCCGGGATATCGACCTGCAGAAAGACCTCAACAGGTTCGTCCTCAAGATAATCTCAAACCCGAGGGTGACTTTGAAAGACCTGAGAAATCGCCATTTAGGCCTGCTGAGCGTCCTCAGCAGAAGAGACCAGAGGATAATCTTCGTCCCGAAGGTGACTTTGAACGTCCTACCAAACATCAGCCGTCTCCTGGTGAAAAGCGAACGCCAATTCGTCATGGAGATAACTTGAAACCCGAAGGAGACTTTGAAAGACCTCAGAAGCCAGGATACCGTCCAGCTGAGAGACCACAACAAGTAAAACATGAAGATAATCTCAGACCCGAGGGAGATTTTTACACGCCTGAGAAGCCAGGTTATCGTCCCGCTGATAGACCCAAACAAGTGAAACCTGAAGACAATCTGAAGCCTGAAGGAGATTTCCAGAGACCAGAGAAGTCTGAGTTTAAACCAGCTGAGCGTCCTCAACAAAAGAGACCAGAAGATAATCTTAAGCCGGAAGGTGACTTTGAAAGGCCGCACAAACCAGAATTCAGGCCAGCAGAAAGACCTCAGCAGAAGAGGCCAGAAGATAACTTACGTCCTGAGGGAGATTTTGAACGTCCCAGTAAAACTCAACCATCACCTGGTCAAAAACGAACACCTATCAAACATGGGGATAATCTTAAACCAGAGGGTGATTTTGAAAGGCCTCATAAACCAGGATATCGACCAGCTGAAAGACCTCAACAAGTTAAACATGAGGACAATTTGAAACCCGAAGGGGAGTTTTATACACCTGAGAAAACAGAATATCGCCCTGCAGAACGTCCAAAACAGGTTCGTCCTGAAGATAACCTTAAACCTGAGGGGAAAATGATGATTCGCCGTGAGGATCAGTATAATTCTATCAAGGGCGAACGTTATGATGTTGTCAAACGAACCGACAATCTTAGTATGACTGGAGAGTTTATAGATATGAAGAAAAAGGATGACTATTCCATGACACGCGGAGAAAGGGCTGATGTAGTCACGAGAGAGGACAATCTGAAGATGACCGGAGAGTTCACATCGAAACGTTCATCTGAGGATTACAAGGGCGTGAGGACTGAAAAGGTTGAAGTTGTTCGACATAAGGACAATCTGAGATTGGAGGGTAATTTCGAGGATCACCATCGTCGAGATGATTTCACAGTGGTTCGTGGTGAGAGGGTTGAAGTGGTGAAACATCCTGATAACTTGAGGCCTGAAGGAAGCTTTGAGAAGAGGGACAAGCCCAAGTTTATGCCCGTTGAGAAGAGAAAGCCTATTAAACAATCCGATAATCTCAAGATGGAGGGTGATTTCTATCGTCCAGAGAAGACTCAGTCTTCGCCAACAGCTCGGCCAACGCCAATCAAGCAGAAGGATAATCTAAAGCTAGAAGGTGACTTTGAGAAGCCTGAAAAGAAGCCGTATTCTCCAGCTGAGAGACCCATTGCCAAGAAACCTCAGGATAATTTGAAGGTTTCCGGAGAGTTTGAAGGCAGAACCACCCAAAAGTCTGAGTTTAAGGTTGTTCGTGGTGAAAGGGCGGACGTGAAGAGAGTGGAAGATCATTTGGACGTCGGATCTGGAACTATGGAAACCACGACTACTGCATCTTCGAGCTTCAAGCAGCAGAAGAGGAGTCAAGTGACTAAACCAACAACAACAAAGCATCATCTGTTGAAGTCTAACATAACTTTGGGAGATGACACGTCGATATCCAGGACTACTAATCAGATGAACTACACAGATGTTCGGCAGAAGACTGTCAGCGAGAAGAAGACAACTGTTAAGGAAGATAAATCCACGAAGAAGGGAATACAGGATGGAATGATTGTCGTGACAACAAAGAAAGTTACAACTGTTCTGGCCAATGAGGCACCCGAAGAAGCTCCAGTCACAGAGATTGTCCACAAAGACAGTAAAGTCAATGTGAGACAGCACGAAAGCAAATCTTCGTCGAATATTAACATGGTAAAGCAGACAAATGTAGTCAACAGGAGTGAAGCAATTGAGGAAAGCAGAACAAGGAGAACCGAAAGTGGGACCAGAAATATAATTTCTCAAGAGCAATCCGCTCTGGAATCATCATCACAGAAGAGCAGAATGAAAACCGAGAGTGGGGCCATGAAGATGATTTCTCAAGATCAATCCGCTCTGGAATCGTCGCAGAAAAGCAGGACGATGAGAACCGAAAGTGAGGCCAGAAATATAATTTCTCAAGAGCAATCCGCTCTGGAATCATCATCACAGAGGAGCAGAATGAGAACTGAGAGTGGGGCCATGAAAATGACTTCTCAAGAGAAATCAGCTCTGGAATCATCACAGAAGAATAAAAATGTGAATTTGAGACAGTCAGATGTCCTCAATCAAAGAACAATGATGGAAAATGAGGAGAGAAGTCGCGGTGGATCACAATTCATCTCCAGGCAGAGCGACATTATAAATCAACAGTTGAATTTACGAAGCAACGATGAGACTGTTCATCACAGGTAATTGATAAATTTAATGGTTTTTACCTTTAAAATTCGCTGACACATGTATCTCTTCCAGTCACAGACAGTCCATGAGTAGTGCTCACTCGGAGAGCAGGATGTCCTGTCAGGAGAGCAGAGAGAGCAGGGAAAGCAGAGAGAGTAGAGAGAGCAGGGAGAGCAACGAGCAGCGACGAAACTACGTAGCTGAGAAGAATGCCGTCAACACGCAATATCATCGCCGGAACGTTCTGTCCTCAGAAGCGGACGTTTCTAATGCAGTATTCCATAGGAAGAGTGGCTCCTCGGCCGCCAACGAATCCGTCCAGTCCACCAGTCTCAGCTCCACAGCGGCTATCCAGCGCAAGAGCCTGTCCAATCTGCACGATCAGTCGCTGTACGCGGCCTCCTCGAACGACCGCAAGAGCTACAGTTCGCTCCATCGCCAGGGACGCGAGCATGAGATTCGCAGCAGTTCCTGGGCAACACACGTAGAGCAACCGACTCGCGTGAGCCACCGAGATAACCTCAGCATCGGCAAAGGCGAATTCTACGGACGCTCAGAGTCCAAAAGCTATGGCAACTGGGCAAGTTCGCCGGCCGGCGTGCGTTCCTACGAAGCGCCTCTCACCAAGCGCACCATGAATTCTTCCAGCATCTCTTTCGGCGACTCATCCAGCTTCACAGGCTACCGGAAGGAGTACGTGCGCGTCCAGGAGGGCCCCTGTCCAGCGCACGGCATCGACAAGGGTGCATTCAAGCACACGCGCGACACGAAGACGCACAAATTCTACATGCCCGTGACCAGCACGCCCAAGAAGTAACCATTCCAGCGCTTCTACAAGACAAGCAATACTATATTTACACACTGTTTCTAACAATTGGTGCTCAGAAAGATCAGACTTATTAACAAGATATTAATTATTCTCTTGCAATTAACGTTGTCTCTGTTGAAACGAATTAACAAACGTGTTCTACATATATTGTCATTTGATTAACATGTTATTTTTCTATGTGCATTTAATTGAAATAAAAGAATTTTGCCATTTTTATTACGGCTTGTTTGATTTGAATCTGAGGTATGGCGATAAAATTAAGAGATTATATGGTAAGTTTTTATATCCAAAAAGTACAATTAGAAAGTGGAGCATTTAAAAATCACAAATTTAGCGGCATTTTCCAAAAAGATTTTTTTTTTCACTATTAAAAGCAGTTTTTAACACTAAGAAACTTCCTTGTCTAAGAGATTCTCTATTAGTGACCCAATTTACATAAAGCAAAACCACTCAATCAAATTCAAATGCCATAAATTGGCTTAATTGACGAAAATGGGACTTTCGAGTCGCTGTCAGTCATATTTGTGCGACCGAGAGATAAGAATCGATTTCATATTTTCAACAAAGCTATTCACAATTGCATCGCCTATAGTTAAACTGTGGAAAAAGCAAATGTGGGAATGAAAACTCACCTCCAAGTACAGGTTTAATCAGGCGTTTAATGAGCGGCGCAAATTGTCCGTTGTTTGCGAGCGAATTGAAGGGCGCTGATTGTAAAATCAATAGTTGCGACAATGTCCTGAAAATGTGCCAAACCAGAAAGACAGAATGAGTTTAATGAAAAGATGAGGCCTTATGTGAAGACATTGGAATGAAAACACTTTGTGTAATACAATGCGAATTTTTATTTTCTTGCAATGCTAAATATACAGAAAAATTGCAATGAATAAGAACATTAGACAGAGATATTACTTGGATATTTTTACCCAAATGTTTTTTCGTGTGAAGTTATTTTTCTTCACGGTGTGCAAAATAATGTCAACAAACTATTCTTTTGCTATTTGCTCGAGAATGCGCCGCTGCGGAATCAACAAATCTGTCATAAATACGGGACTAGCGTTAACGTATAATTATTATTTCTCTTTTTCTCCAGCTATTTCAATGTTTTTTTTTGTAAATATTCGATGAGAATATCATGAAAGAAGATAAGGAAGAACAATCGCCAGCATTCTCTCAGCTACAAAATGTGATTCTTTATCGCCACTGATGAAATTATTTACAAGCATTTTTAGGTGAATTTTTTACCCTTAATCTTAAATAAAGATTAAAATAGTGTGGATATTTACAAAATGTTGCAACTTACAAAAGAACTAATAAAATATAGCAATAATACTCTCTGCATTTAATGTTTATTTTGAAACGATATATCAAGAGTTTTACAGTTTTAAAAATCTTCTCATTGTCATATATCATTTAATTCTACTACAATAAAATTGAATCGCTTTCTTGCAAGTTTTCATCATTTTCTTCTCACATTTTAAAAAATAGGACAATCAGTATATTATATAGAATTGATGTATGTACAAATTTTGCATTTAGGAATAAGTTCGAATGAGCAATTTATAGCTAATAAAGAGTTTATCATATTTTGTTTAGTTTCATTAATGTTTACTCCCCGTCTCTCTCTCTCTCTCTTCTCTTCTCTTATCAGAAGTAATTCAGTCAATAGAATATTTGTATAAATTTTTGTGGTGAGCTCATAAATAGTATTTTATCATTCAATTAGTTACTGATTAATTTATTCTTACTGCAGTTTGATATCCATTGTTTTTCTTTTTATATTAAAAAGATTATCTCTTCACACGAGTCAATAAATAAAATAAATCACTTTGAAAGAACAGAATCTAAAGCGAATTTTTTAGGCTCTTTCTTCTTTAAAAAAAAACACCATTTTATACTGTAAGTGATGATAAAAAATTACACTGCAATAACAACAATATAATTATCTAAAAAAGTAATTGTATAAAATTTTACACATTGCAGGTTTTTTCCGTGAATTCTCGAGATTTCTTGAACTTGCGAGACATACAATCTACGAATTTGACTATTTAAATCTTTTCTCCTTCTCTTTTGCCGTGTTGTATGGAAAATATATGTATATATATATATATAGTGCCTAATTCATCCTACTGAATACCTATGCATACAGCGTACTCTCAATATAACTCGTGGGTACAAATCCTTCCTCCCAGCCGCTCGCGCCGCACATGCGACGAACTCTGCATGAGGACAACGGGAAAAAATTTTTAGTAAGCAGCATAAAATATGCGCATGACAGACATTTCATGGCTCGCGAGAATACAAGAATAAAATACTCACCTTGTCCAGCCGTCGCCTTGGTCTAATTCAATAACTTGCAGCTCTTCACCTTCAGCCATTGGAATACTTCCTTCACTGGTGGCTGCAATTCAAAGAAAAACACAGTGGATAAACATTTCGCTCAATGCATCTTCTTGCGAAGGAGTTCTCATAATAAATACTTATGGAAATGGGATGGATATGGAATTATTCACGTCTGGAAATGGGCGCACACTTAACACTCAAATGATGAAGGAAGTATGCAATTAATTTTGACGAGTGGAATTTGAATGCTTCTTGCGAGACAATGGCAAATAGTCACTGCTTGTAATTGTGATGTAGTCTTTTGCTAGCGCATAATTGTTCATTTTTCAAACAGTCCCAACATACTTCGCTGCCGCTGAGACACAACTGAATGCCAACACGATAGTGCTTAAATAAACAGTCATACGATGACTGTGTAAATTGTAAAGTAAAGCGCATAAATCCTGTTACAATTGCAAACTGGGCGGGATATTCAAGTGGGCGGGACTAGCAAATAAAGTTCATCCTTTCCCAAATCAATACTGTTCGACATGTCAATCAATAAATTGGAACTTCGACTGTCGGGAAAGTTTAAAATCCACACTATTTTCAGCAAAAGATCCATTGTTGTCTGTGAAAAGACCACAGACGCTCAGTGAGAAGTGCAAAGATGCTATTTATGGGCTACAAAGAATCCAATGATCAAAACAATGTGAACATGGCTGTCTTTACTAATTTAATTGAGGCAGTCTGTACAAAAATCGGTATCTGATCACATTGTGAAATCGACAGCGGAGTCTTTCTCTATGATAAGATTTTTATTACTCCGTCAGGAACAATAACGTTACGTTCATTTGCCTCTCTTCTTTAAACTATAAATACTCATGATAAACAGACTTTCTTTCCATTTGCATTGGCATCAATACAACTCTCAGTGAATAGGAAATGTACCTACTCTAAATTACTAACCACTTTCCATTGCTCGCTAATATCATATGTGACTTACCATCGAATGGATAGAGAGCTTTGCATGTTCCCAGAGGCTGGAGAAGCTCAGCTTCGTAGTACATGTCTTCTGGGTGTGTATTATCATTGGCACTTCCTTGTCCAGAGCCAGGAAGGGAAGTGTGTGATGTTCCCAAGCCGCTCTCGGGACTCGCCGAACTGCTGATAGTGACAAAAGAGAGAAATCGCATATTAATTCACAATCTGTCCATGGAAGCGTGAAAATTCTTCTTTTGCAAACGTACACACGCACACAAGAAGGCAGACAACACAACAATAACGGAAAACAACGAAACAGAAACACAGGAGAAGTTTAAAGAAATAATATCAACTCTCAGACGAAATACGAGAGTGAGAGAATATAAAAAAAATACACAGTTTAGAATATAAATAAAATTGTTGTATAAAAGACCAGAAGCACATGTACAATCGCAAAGCAGTGCAGAGGGAAACAGACTAATAAAATTCTAGAGTGAGAGTGAAGAAAGAGAGATGCGAAAGGAAAACAATTCCAAATGATAAACGTGACATGAAGTGAAAACAACATGCATTGCACACACTTTATATGATATATGGATAAAATAATATAATAAAGGAACCAATTATACCCATTATTATTAATGTTAAGCCCATTTTGCGCCTGTGCCACACTACCCTCAGATGCTGACCTGCTTAAGCTTCCCGCATCGTCTGGATTATCTTCTCCATCTTCATTCTCCCCGCTACCATTGGAATGCCTACAAAAATGGAATAGATTTTCTTTGGTTCTTCTCGATAGACAATATTACGTATAATGACAACAATATGAATTTAACTCCACTGAAAAGACAAAATATTTACACACAAGAGAGACAAAACACACGCCATGGCAGAAAAAAATAATAAATGTATTCTCTAGACATCTGAACTTAGGTTAAATTGAAAAATAATACAAATTCCGCAATTATTTTGGTAATAATTACAGAAATCCAATATGAATATAGAATAGTCATCAAGAAGTCAAAGAATAGATCAGAAAACGCGTTCTCATGATCGTATCCTTTAGTTGCAGTTGCTTATTGTGAGATTTTCACGACAGATTAAACTCTTGTGCACATTATAACACAATTTACTTACTTTCACGAAAATCTCATACTTCAGTAGTTTCACAATTGGTATCAATATTCAAAACTACGTCATTTACGTTGCAATTTCTCACAAAATGCGTATACGACAATTGTGTCTGAAACCGCCGTCAATATAATGAATAGCGACGATTCCTCAACACATTTCATGTTCTGTTCAGATCTCTAATGCGCGTCGTGATGTGACATTGAAACAACCCAGACATGAGAGACACACACTGTCTAATGTGCTAATTCAATTTGACAACTCATTTTATGCGACAGTATTTTTCATCTTTCCCACAAAGATATATGTAACGATAATGAGAATCTCATGTCGCATTGCTGGAGATTTCATCAAAGTTGCAAGTTTAGTTTTATAATACTTGCACTTTCTCTATTTGAATAAATACCGAAAAAGAAAGATTGCGCATTATTTTAGTGTTAGTGTTAGACAACTTCCCAGAAGTGGTTTTAGACAGATTAGAAGGCTTCAAACGGCAGGGGAAATTAATAAATATCATTATTAATACAAATTTACAGTATGTTCATTAATTGATTTTGCATAACTCTCGGAAGCCCTTTCATGGGAATCACGAACGGGAATTAATAATTCATTTTATCATAGAAATGAGCAAATACCGTTGGCTCTCGAAGTGTATTTGTAGAACTTCAACACTCTTTTCTTATCTGTGGAGCCCTATTTTCTCAAGCACCTCATGATAAACACCGTGAAAGTATTAAAATCGAGGTGTGGTGATGATCATGAATGTGTAAGAAAAGTACACATTTTTTTCCTTATTTTCACTCCAAAAAATAACATGTTGTCCGGATTTTCTCATGAAATTCCATTGAAAATTCATACTCACCGTGATGATCTCTGTCCATTGTACATATTTCTGTGCTGTTGCGGACTATGTTGCATCATTTGCGCATTATTTGCCGCGTCCAAGTACATTTTGAACTTCTTCAGTTCACTCTTGAGTTTCTCCAGTCGACTTCCGGACTCATTAAGCTGGGCATCCACTGTCGTTGGATCGCCCAGCATTGTGTTGGCCTCATAGACGCCTTTCATCTTCACCAACCCATCGTACGCCGCCGTCTCTTGGGTTATCTTCTGCTGAATCTCCTGGATTTTCGCCATCAACTTCTTGCGTCGCTGATTCGGTGGCAAATCACTGAAGTCCTCCTTCATGCCGTCCGTCGACAGAGTATTCTGAAAAGGCACAGACACACCATTTAATTCACATTTCTCTACCGCCTCCTAAATTTCACTTTCAACTCTCAAATGTCTCTTTTTTCTTGAATTGTATGTGACGGAATGTACTTGATGGAATTTCTCAAAGCGACAAGCGTCCAGTATTTTGCAAAATCAACTCACATGCAGATCACAAAGTCAAAGAGAGAAACTAAAAACGATGACTTGAATGGTAAAATGCACTCTCAAAACAACAGAATAATCACTCAAAGTAGGATGTAATTAAAGCCGTACCTTTACCGTTATGCAGGCCTCAAGTAACTTCTTCAGGTATTAAAGGATTTGTTTGTTTTTTTTTTTTTATTTTTGCCAATTATTGTGGTTATTTGGTCAGGATATCAACAGTAATTTCATCCAGTCAACATATTGTATTTACATAACAAATGTGGGGCACGGAATTATTAGTTTTTGCGGCATGAAAGCAAAAGTAGTAGAAAAAAGAAATAAACACATTAATTGTCGTCTCATTTTACTGTGATTTTGCGGCGGGAATAAATAAGCAAGAAACACAAGTGATGAATAAATTCACCAATTAGACATTTAAGCCACATTTTGTCTAGATAATCAATCAATTTTCACTTTGCCTGTGATACTTACAAAGAGCATTTTGGAAGAATTGGTTTGTGTTTCGAAAGATATACATTTTTATAGCCCATCACCAGAGATTGAGAAAATGGCGGGAAAATAGAAATAAATGCAATTTAGAGAGAAAATAAACATAATGTATAATATAAAAAGAACCTCCTAAACTCATGATATCATATGATGATGAAGTGACTATGAATTAATATGTATATCAAGTGGCACAATTCATACCTTGTTACTACCGAAAATTCCAAATATTCCGACACGCTTCTTTAACTTAGTAGCACCCATTGTTCCTTTTTGTGTCATATTGTTTATCCCTAAGTTATTTTGTGAAGAGTAATTTGACGATTCTGCATCAACTTTTGATAAATCCTCAAATGGAATGTCTGTTGGAGGTGTGAATCCAGATTTGTATCTATAAGTTTGAAGAGAGGAGATATATTACTAAGAATCCACTATGTTTAGCTTTCGTAATTGATTTTGTCAACAAATTTGTTTAAGTACAATTTGAAACGTTGTATCTACAGCAATGATCCAATTTATGCTGTTACTTTGCTTAGTTTCTCGTTTGCTAAAGCAGTGTGTTCTGCACAAATTTGTTAGACACTTGCAAAGTGCGCTTTTAGACAACATGTCATGTTGTTAGAAAAGTCTTAGGCATGTTAAAAGCCTTCTTCGCCATACCTTTCTATCACTTTTAACGAGTCCTCCTTCTCATCGATTGACTCAGACGCTTTCACGATACCTTCTAAACACCGGGCAATGATTGGGGCAACGGACGATTCGGCGTCTGCGGCGCTCTTGATGAACTCCTTCAGACCCTTCGTCCTCTTCTCGTCAATCTCCTGCAGTCGATTGAATACCTGCAGTGAAGGAGATGGCAATTAATAAATCTCTTCACATAGTAAAACATTGATAAAGAGTCTCACTTCTGGTAGCGATGTCTCATAGTGAGTCTGTTGCAATTTATTGCTCTTCTGCAGCTGATTAGCGTACTCATTCTTCGAATCATCGGACTGCTGGCATTTCATGGTCATGTTGTGTTTATGCTTTTCCACCTAAAAATACACCATTTCCTCTTTATAAAGAACCTCTCAATTCACACAGGAAGAAAAATATTTCCAACTCACATCAGCACGACTGAGATTGAGATCCGCATCGGCTTTCTGATAGTTCTCAATTGACTTCTCAGCATCTCTGTACGACTTATCATAGTTCCTCTTCGCCCTCTCGAGTGCCGCAATTTGATTCGTCAGCGTGTGCGTGAGTTGAGCACCTTCTGTTAGACTCTTCTTGCGATCATCGCGCAGATTCTTCGACAACAGCGAAATCCCATGAATAACTTTCGCCTGGAGTGTCTCCGCAACAATTTCTCGCTGCCCGGCCAAATCCCCGATCTCTTTCAGCACATTTCTGAATGCCTGCCACGACGTGTATCTGCAAAACGTCAATTTGGCGAATAGTCAGACAGGGAAAAAATCATCTTTAAACATGCAAACCAACTCCACACGCACATTGACTCTTCTTTCCACTCTCAACAGTTTTCTCTCTCTCTCTCTCTCTCTCTCTCTCTCTATCTTTCTTCCTCTCTTGCTATGCTAGCCGAACAACAGAAGCATGATAAATCAACGAGGAAATCATTGTATAAATGGTAAAATGTCTTAAAATAATATAATCTTATACGAGAGTACGAGAGAAAGAGAGAAACACAGAGAGAGAGAGAGAGAGTATGAAATTGTTGAATACATGTGATAATGCATCTCTCATTTTATTAGTTGGAAAAGAGAATGAGTAAAACTGATGACAAATCCTTATTCGTGGTTATTCACATTGGAATTAGTCAAGCAACAGATTTTTGCATACTTTTTAAGTAAAGGTTGTTAAGAGCGAATAAAATCTTTATTGATTCACCGTGTAATAAGCAAGGAATTTATAACGTTGTACTGATTAAACGCGTAAACTGACTAAAACATTCTAAATGTTACTTATAAAACGCTTCTTAACTTTAGAAGATTTATCAATATTGTATTGTATAAAAAGCTTTTAACTTGACAAATCTATTATTACAAATTACAGTCATCTGGCCAATAATCTATTTTATATTCTCTAAACATAAGAAGGATAAAATGATAATTATACAGTCTTAAAATTTCCCTTCCATCAAGCATTCTTTATCCAAATAATTTCAATGTGGCGAAATTTGCATTTTCCTGCAATTTCTCAGCTGTCAAATTAATCATTTTCCCATCTCTCACTGGACATTCCAGCGCTCTTTCAACTCATAGAAATTCCCACACAAAATCAGTTGAACAAATTAGCCAAAATAAAAGCACAAGGCATGGAGTAATCTCAAGAAAAAAATATGAAGTGGCCTCATGATTTCGTAATGGGTACACATTTCTCCAACACAGTCTGGAGAGTGCAAAGTGGACAGAAACTGATAAAAATGGCTTTCAGACAAGAGAGTGAAAAGAGAGACAATTTCATACAGAGACAAAAAAATGTTACATACTCATAATCTTCCTCTTCTTTCTTTTTTGGTTGATAATTCTTCACGAGTCGCCTGAAAATGGAAAAGACTTTTGTTAATTTATCACATTACATGAATTTTTTTTCTTTTTAAACTACAACTTTTAGTGTTTCACCATTCATTCATTACTACATTCATTTACAACTACGTTTTTTGAATGGCGATATTATTTTGCCTGATTTGCTTTCTGTTCAACTAGTCGTTGAGATTTACCTCAATTTTGATGCATATTCCAATTCAATGGCACATCTATCTCGCACGAAATTGCCGTATTTGTCCAGGAAATCAATTCCCTTCTGCGTATGCAAGGCCAAGTTGTCATACTGATCCTGCGAAAGAGAAGAAAGGGCATCTTAAGTTCATCGCGTTAATTGTTTGCTGATGAGGAAAAATTCCATTCTTTTGCCAATAAATCGCGTTTCATACCGAGATTTTATACAGAAAAGAAATCAGTTTCCATGTCATTTGGATATATGAAGCATTTTCGCATGCCGACAATGTTTATCGCTCATGCGTATTGACTCGATGGATGAGTCATTGAATTTATATATACGGGAAAAGTCTGCTACATTCATGCACGCCCGCCTCCGAAACACTATTCATTTCCCAATAAAATCTTCCTCAGGATAACGAAATGAAGCAAGGCAATATATTGAGAGACTGTGTATATTTTCCACATATTCTTCTCGCCGTGTGTGTGTGTGTCAAACAGTGCGATTAATATCCATTCTCGCCTCACCATTTTCAATTCATTCCTCACTCTCTTTCTCCCCATTCTTTTCCCCCCTTTTATTCATCACTCGCAAACGGAAGAAATCATTTTCTGTGCAGAAATGCACTTCTCAGCCGTTCAGCAACAGTTAGGAACAATACAAGAAAATACGCTGACTTAATTATTTCAGAAATAGAGGAGGGAATTCTTCTCTTCTGCTGTTTCCCTCTGATTGAATTCCTCTCCTCATCAATTCTCATATGCACTTTTCCACCTATTATCATCCACAAGTGCACAAAAAAGGGAGAAAAATATAAACTGTATTTGTTATTTATTTTGTTAATGGTACTGGAACACGCAGCAATAAACATTTGGGCCATCCACCTACTTTCATCGAAAACAGCGAATTTGTGTATCTCACTTCTTTGCCGTCTTCACTCTTTTCTGCACACACTCACACACACTTTTCAGTGAAAGAAAAAAGAGGCGTCCAAGGAGGACCAGGTGCGGCATTTGACATGCAAACTCTGGGTGGACAATGTCAGTCAAGCTTGTCCTCTCGTGGGCCTCATCAACATTGGAATATAAATATGAACTTGATAAATGAAGCACAAGAAAAAATACAGAGAAATTACAGTCTAGAAAGCAAGATCAAAATGTCAATGATTGGGATCCAAACCAATAAATAAAATATACTTTATAAAACACAATAATTTAAGATCTTCAGCACTATAAATAAGGAGTAACTAAAAACTTATAAAGGTCAAAAAAGTTGTTGAGCAATCGGAAAAAATCCAAGAACTTTCGAATTTAAAACAGCATAGCTTAAAGTCCGATCTTATCAACAAAGAAGTAATGTCGTATCATTTTAGAAAAAAAAATACTAACTTATCTATAAGGAATTCTCATTTCTGGGCAGTTCACGCAGTTTAACTGCCTCAGTCTGTGTCTTTTATTATCTCTCAAGCAAATATTATCAAAAAATACACTCTTTCCTCCACCACACAGACAGTGAGCCGAAGAATTATCACATTTATTTTCTCATTTGACGAAATGAAGCCTCGCGTTTTTCTCCTTGGAGATTTTCTTCAAAAATAGTTGCAGAAATTAGCACAAAAGAGCGTATCAACGCTGAACGAAAAGCACGTTCTCACCCACACACTTGAAAATATCATAAATTCAAGTGTGTTTTTCTTTTTTAGAAATGACCATCTAAATTTGTATTGAAACCCTGCCAAAAATCTCTTGAGAACAACACAGGAATTTTAATCAAATGCCCATTAAATCGAGTGTTTTGTGTACGAAAAAAGAATCCCCATTTGTCACTCTCTGGAAAAAATCACACGGAAATTACGTCAAAATGAAGCAGTTTGCGAGAGAGCAAGTGCATTCCTGAATAAATAGTCATCGATATTGAGTCAAATCGTTACAAGTTGTGTGAGATATGAAATCAGAAACTACGTGTTATTTCTCTGTAAACATCCCCAGATAAGTGTTGGTTGGACAACACATCAACAGCCTTTATTGTGTGTCATCGTTCGCTTTCAGGTGATTTTGTGCTGGACAATCTTATCGAAGACTGTGCGATTTACGTTAGACATTATAACAAGAGCGACAAGAATACCGTTTGGTAAAAAAATTTCCCTAAAAATCAAAACCGGAAATGCAGTGTTTGTGATTCTTATCTCAAGATCACCATCAAAATAAACCAACTTCGAGCATTCAGTATATTGTCGTCCAGTTCACAACACATTGCGGAGTCTTGAAAATTGCACTATTGCTCATCATTCCCCTCGTTGTAATATTAATAAAATCCACAGTGAATGCTTCAACAATTCCGCTGATTGCCAAGAAAACGTTGCACTCTGCAAGAATGCAAAAGAACTTGCTGACCACGACTGGGTTCTTCCTGTCCGCGTTGGAGGCTCTGGCCTTCCCCCAGAATTCCATAAACCCACAATCTTTGTCTCCCAGACTCTTTTGGCCACTCGAACTTCCACAAACAAGGGTCAAATACACATTTGACAATTCTCTAAAAGGTCATGATTAAAATCCATGGAATTTGCTCTGAATTTATGTTTGATCCTGAAGAGTGGCGATGATAATATTGTGGTATTTAATCATCAGGAAGTCAGAGAACAATAAAGAAATATTCCCATTTCACCAATTCATTTACACTCTGAATCATACGACGGATTTGACGTGGTTGTATTAAATTCGACAATTGTTTATTGATGCATGTTGAGAAGCATTGAAGATTGTAGCAGATTTAATCACATTTCACTCAATTTTACGCACAATCTTTGAAGTCAATGGTCAAAAATACCTAATTTGGAGCTCGAATTCTCGCACACAGAAGTGCATATGCGACCATTGTTTATGCCGTGGTTCGGACACTCGGCGAAAGCGTGTCCTTGGCGGCGCGATGACTCATCGCGCGGGTGGACAGGAAGCTGTTGATAAGGAGGCTGGCAATTGGGAAACTTCTCCGTCTCTCGCGAGTCTCCAGAGGCACCTGACCGAGCAAATGGAGGCTTCCCCTACCGCAGCCTCTCTGCCACTGTGTTTGTGGCCTCACCGACGAGAAATTCTGGTTTTCTGCTGCCTCTCGCGCGAGCAGGTAAGCAAAGACAGGTTTTCTCCTCTCGGCGGAATTCCTCAAATCCCAATCCCACCGCCAATCCTCCAGAGCCCAGCGAAGCCCACCACAAACCCTATCGAGTCCTCAGTTTCCTGGGCAGCCCCGCGCAATCCTCAGTGAGGCCCAACGGAAATTCCCCATGGGAAAAGTGTCACGCAGAAAAAAATGGACAATCTTGGGCGACTCCCAAGACACGACTTTCGGGCCCATTTTCACTTACCCACAGTTCAGTACCCCAACTCATTGTAGCTTTAGACAGTTCTTCACGCCACACAGACAATTTTCAGCACATTTGACGCCACTTCAGCCCACGGAATCACTGATAATTTGGCCACTCACTGTCCTCATAAACAATATATTCACATCACTCTCTCGCCCAGTGCACTCATTTCGACGACCGAAACGCAAATATGGCTGCCCTGGTGGAAAAATGTTGCCACTTTGCGGTCCATTTGCAGGCGAGATCTGCAGGTGGGTGGGAGCGAGACGGCAACACCGCGCGGCGAATTTCTGCAGGTATTTTTCCCCACACGTGCACTGTAAAAAATGTTACTCGAGTCGATGAATAAAAAAACATTGAGAAGCTGCTCGATTACAATAAATCCTGAGATCAATCCCGACAGATTTTGACTGCAAGCCTGCAGATATTATGATTGGGCTAATAAATGTGCAAAAATTAATAAGAAATCTTTTCAGGATATTATTATTAAAAAAAATCTTTATTTGGGTGATTTTGCATTTTTTGTTTGTTTATTACACGAATTACACTTATTAAGATTACACTATAGACGAGACTGATATTAACGGATGGTTTCGTTGTTACCATTTTTTACCAAATGCTTTTATGTATACGAAAATTTACAGTGTATTTGCGGCGAAAAATTTGTAGGTTATAAAAAGTGGTGGCGAAGAACTTCGTGTTTTTCTTGGATTTTTCCTCAAGTTTTCCTCACTTTATATGGATAACGCGCGTCCACAGTTCGGGAATCGCCTTCTCAAGGACGATCAGGATGTCTTTCAACATAATGCTTGGTAATGCACTGAAATTTCTGCCCAAATTCCTCAGAATCCGGTTGTTTTCCCGGAAAGAAATTTTCTTGGAAGACACGCGTTACAGAAAAAAGCCCCAATTTGGAACAAGATTCCTTCTGGACAGAGCCAGGGTGTTTGATTTCAATGCCTGGTAATTGCCGGGATATCCTAGAGATTTTCCAGTAATTGAAGATATTTTCTCTCGTTTAGGGACAACGTCGAGTGGGATGATGAGCAGGAAAAATTGGCCAGAGAGAGTGTCCGGGTGAACTCTTCTCAGAAGATGTGTCAGGAGGACGTGCAGAAGTACGAGGAGGAAGCCGGGAAGTTTTGGGATGACTTCTATAGTGTACACAATAATAAGTTTTTCAAGGATCGTCACTGGCTCTTCACGGAATTCCCGGAATTAGCACCAGCGGCAGCATCAGAAGAGAAAGCTTCCAGGATGATCTTCGAAATCGGATGTGGCGTAGGAAATACCATAATTCCCATCCTTAAGTACTCTCAGGAGGAGGATTTGATGGTGTACGGAGGAGATTTCTCAGGGAAAGCGATAGAAATACTGAAGGAAGACCCACATTTCGATGAAAAACGATGCGAGGCATTTGTTCTGGATGCCACAGCTGAGATCTGGGATGTTCCCTTCCAAGAGAATTCTATAGACATAATAGTCATAATCTTTGTGATGTCTGCCATCAATCCTGCAAGGTAATTCATAAGTTTTTTGAGCTTTTTTTTTTGCTGATAATGGTGAATTTTGGGGTGTTTTCAGGATGTCTCACGTCGCTCAGCAAGTGGCAAAGTACCTGAAACCCGGCGGGTTGGTGGTCTTTAGAGATTACGGTCTGTACGACATGGCTCAGTTGAGATTCAAGCCTGGAAAGTGCCTTGAGGAGAACTTTTACGTGCGTGGCGATGGAACGAGGGTGTATTTCTTCACTCAAGACGAAGTCAGGGAGTTGTTCGTGAAGGCTGGCCTCACGGAGGAGCAGAACCACATCGATAGGAGACTCCAGGTGAACCGAGGAAGGCAACTGAAGATGTATAGAGTGTGGATTCAGGCAAAATTCCGGAAACCCGCGCAGAAGTGAGTAGCATTTAAGTCTAAGTCGGAAAAGTTGGTGTCCGAATCTGCCCTACTCTTCGCTACTGCTTTTTCCACAAGGACTGACAGATATTTTTTGAATAAGACGCCTTGAAGGGTCTGTTTAATTTACAGTTCATAGATATGTAGATAGATATATAGATAAGCATGTGAATTGCAGCCTCTCGCGGGAATCTCGCTCTTGATCGCGCATCTGATGAGTTGTGTGTGAGTCACGAGGAATTTTCCCACACTCACATTCAATCCATTGCAGTAGTTTTCTGTGGTGGAATTTCTGGGCTCTTCGCATGTGTATTGAGATCTTGCATCTCACTCTCATTCACTTCCCCTCTTTCTGTGAATATATCACACAATCAGCCGAACGAACGGCGCGCGGTCTTCATTTAGATTGTGAAATTCACGTCGATCAGTCGGTGCTTTCTTTTCGCGTGCAGCTTCTCAAGAGAAAAAAGCACATCTTTGGCATTTCAAATGTAGTCCTTTGTGGTGTTGGTGGTTTCTTTTAGCCCTCTCTAAATTCACCGTGAAAGTGTTTTGACCATTCTGTGTGATACATCCAAAAATTCTATCAACAAAGCGAAATCCTCGGCCATTTATGCTGCCTCAAGGGGAGATAATAAATGTAAGTGGAAATGTGATAAGGCCAGACATTGAACACATCAACCACGTGTTTATCCACAAGCGCGTAGTTTTTCTTGCCACATATGCTCAAATATTTGTTAACTATTTTCCCCGCGCAATGCCGATCACGCTTTCCAGGCTGTGAAATTGATAAAAGTGGCTCAGAAAGGCATCTTTAACGCCTTGCGCGGACGATAATCTAATTAGACCGCACTTGGCAACAGCATGGAGAACATAATCACCACCGCCAGTGTGAGTCAATGCTCAAACAAGCGCGACAAGCGCTACCAAAAGATACAGTGGATACATTGGATAACATTTTCGTCTGAAGATCAGTGAATTTCTCTGAGTCATTTCAATATTTGATGATTGTTTCAGTGAAAAATGCTGTTTTTTCCTTGTCTCTGCTAAACAAATGTGTTCCTTGTTCATTATCTCACTTCTTGTGCTCAATTATCGGTCCGATAGTGTTAATTGAGCGTCATTGGTTGGATTGGAAGTGGAATGTTAGCAGGAAACTCAATGATAAGCTTGGAAGTGTGGCGCCAAAGTATGACAGGCTAATAGATTTGCCCTTCATGTGATCCTTTTACGTACATTCAAGTCCTTTTGAAATACGGATTTTTTGTCATTTTGATGCAAATTTTTTCTATTAGTTTTCCTTGGAATAGTTCGGACATGAAGAGAAATCATATTTGTGCTCAAAATAGATCTTTTCATATATTTAGCGTTGGGTTCTTATAGTGTTTGTTATCACCGCATTAACATTATTTTGTTTAGGCTTTTAGATTTGCGTGCTTAGATAGCTTAACATTTACAATGTTCTTTGTGATCATTTGTATTTTCAAACTGAAGCAAAAAAAATCTTCATTAAATCACGAGCATCGCAGACTGAAAACATGTGACAAAACCCAGAAAAATATATCACTTAAAAACTGAGAGGGAATTTTAATGAACAATTAAGCGAGATGGCAAAAAATTACAATGACGCTCCAATAATTCACTCAGTCATTAGTTCTTTTATTGTATTTTTACCACACAGCCTCGCATTGTTTTATTTTTGCAAAGCATTGAGATGATCCTCCTGAAAATGATATTTCGCCCTCGCAACCTAAGCATAATAATGATAAAGAATCCCAGTCATACTGCCACGCCTGTTCACGTGTTTGCTTTAACAGTATGAAGAGAACTGCTTTTTAAGCACACAATCGTGCACGCGTTTTTTTTTATAAACGTATAGAGAAATATATAACGTTTTTCTGAATGCATATTTGCAATGTCTAATCAAGGCTTTCCCTCCACATCTTCGCTATACTGACGTGCGATCGAGTTTCCGTAAGAATTGCAATGCTAATGCGCGCCGTCTGCACAATTACAGCGTAACCATTTTCATTTTCAATGTCTCATTGACTTTCAAATGGACAACAGTTGGTGTGGATATAATGGAGATTTATGTAAATTGGAGTAAAATCACTTTTATATCCGTTTTTCTTCTCTCATTGCAGACCTGAAGTGCTTCACTGTTAAATTGCAAATATTTTGCCGTTCTTTTCAATGGGTTGAAGGAACAAGACTACCACTGAAATCCTCCTGAACCTGGGATAAAAGGTGAGTATTTTCTATGACAGCACTGAGAGGCAAAATCAATGTGATAGCAGTATTGCTAATCAACTCAGAACCCTGAATTTGATAAATATTGATAAATCAACGTAATGTTTTCCCATTGTGTAAAAAATCCTTTTTGGGTCAGGCCAGTTTTGTGGCACATACAGAAATATAAATATTTAAAATGTAGCAGAAATATGATTCAATATAAGCAGTTCTATAAATCATGCTCGTTACAATGATTGTTGATTGAGAGATCAATAAACAGACATTGATTTGCGCGAGCCATTGATCACGAGTTTCTGTGTTGTGCCCATAATTTTTGATACTATTCTTAATTGGGCTTTAGTTCTATAATTTTCTCATGCGCACTTGTGTGAAATTTTTTGAGGAAGTGACTTCTTAGTCGAATATAAGCAATTTCGATGATGATTTTCTGTCTCTCAAGTGCGTCTTTGTGGAAAATATGATGGATTGCGATGAAAATTTGAGGAATGTTTATGTGTTTTTGCCATCCCAGTTCAAGTGATGATCGACTCGTGATCACAGTGAAATTCTCGGACTAATATAATCAAATCTATTCTTCTACCGGCAGGAATATAATTCGAGGAAAGACATTCATTTGTGATCATCATTGTGGCATCTAAAGGCGGAATTCCGATGAGACACTCGGAATTGGAGGTTCTAAACTTCAAGTAGTTGAAAATCACTTTCATGCTGCTGGTAGATCTAAACTATTCCTAAATTCGAGGCAAGAAAGTCTCCCTGTCTTGCCACTGTGTTTTCACCCTTTTCACCATAGTCAAATTTTACACTACAACTCTTCTTGACTGGATTTCGTGATCTCTAGCCACTGCGAAAATGCTGAAAGTCGTCGGTGCTTCGTGGTACAAGACCAAAATTGGCAGCCTCATTGTCCTGGCTGCCATCATCCTCGGCCTGGGGGCGCTCTTCATCATCGACATGGAGAGGTGAGTGCGGCAGAAGCATCAAATGCAACGGACGCATGTACAATTGGCCATTGATTGATTTGCATATTCAAGGCGATGTATTTTTAGCCATCAAACATCTCTTCTGCCTTGATCGAGGGGCTTTACTAATGCCACTGTTGCTTTCTTTTTCTTACTTTCCAGGCCAACATTCGACGGCACGTTCTGTGCCACTGTTTACTGGACGAAGATGTCTGGGTATCGCGTGGAATTCTGGGGTCAGCAGAATGATCTTGACTCCATTCCGCTCGGCGTGGCCCGAATTTGCTACAAGGACACAATCTTCGAGAATGGTTGGTCGCAGATTGAGATCGAGACGAATCCTGTGTACTCAGACAGGATTCAGGCCACCGGAGCGGGGATTCTGGAAGGTGCTTTGACGTGGAAGAGCATCTACTATCAGTGGACAAAGTAAGTGGAGAAATGGCTTCTTGGTATAATTTTTATAGAATTGTCATGTTGATTGCTCATTTGGTATCAACTTGAGTGTTTCACAATTTGATTGAAGCCAAGAAAATCGTGTGCTTATCGAAATTACCTTGCTCTTTCAGTATGATCAACGCTCAGTGTCTGAAGGATGACGACTCGATGGCTTTCTGTGCGTGGGCGCGGAAGATTTTGCTGAAGAACTACGAGAGTGTGAGGAAACAGGCAGAATTGAATGCGGATCATGATCACTACTGGTATCAAATCCAGCTGTTCTACTATCAACTCGAAGGCTTGGAGTTTGGGTGGCGAAAGGGCATTAAGAGATCAGCTCTGAAGAGATCACGCCTGGAGATTCCGCCTGAAGACTTTCTTCTGATGAATGCCGGCGGTGATTTACGAGATTTGCGCATTTACTACGATCGCGTGATGATGGGAAGATCTTCGGATGCCAACAAGGATGTGCGCTCGAGCATGTTGCTGAATATCAGCGAGGAGAATGGCATTATAAAGCTCCTGGTTGGGCACTCTGCGGCGAAATCGTATTCTCTGATGCTGAGGATCGTTAAGAAGTATAAATTTAACTTCCATTTCTCACGAGATGCCAAATCACACGTCGTTCCTGGCTCTAATATCATCTTCTCTGGATATCCGGGAGTGTTGTCGTCAACTGATGACTTCTACAAGATCTCCGGGCGTCACGGGCACTTGATTGTGGCTGGAGTGGGCATTGTGAATAAGAATCCAGCACTGTGGCATCAATTGGATTTGAGGAAGAATGTGATTCTGTCGGCTAGAGCAATGGCTGCCAATCGCTTGGCGTACAATGGACGCTCCTGGTCGCGTGTGATGGCCAAAGATCCGGGCACTGGTGCCAAGCAGTGGCTCGTCTCTGATAGGAAGATTCTCAGGCATCTCATCACGACTCGCAAAGCTGCGGAGTTTGCCGAAAAATCTCCGGTGCCGCGTGTAGAGACGCAAACGGTAAAAATGAGCACGTATCAACCGTTCGAGGAGGGCTCGCAGGAGGGCGTCCAGATTCGTCCAGATGTGGAGACGAGGGGACTCGTTTGGCTTGTGGATCAACTGCCCGGAAGACTCTATGCCGAGGACGTGACGGAGACTCTGTACCAGCAAGGGACGATCTTCTGCAATGGCACGCCGTACTTCAATGCCACAATCGAATTGAGCCTAGTCGAGCAGGAGAATGAGAAGCCCATCCCACGCAACTTCACTGATCTCGATGATGTGGGGCTGTTCTTGCGCCAGAGAGCCAATCGTGGTGATCTGAGTGAGGAGAATCCCAAAGCTTACGGAAACATCGATCTCAAGCTATACGCAGAAACCAATTCTGGCGACATGGAATTTCACGCCATTTCTGGTCCCATCAGTCTTCCCATCAAAGAGTACACTTTCAATGCCTTCACAGTGTCTTCAGACGATCCCAAGACATTAAATCTGGTCAAACACGCTGAACCTTTTCGCTGGAGTGACTCAAATCTGCCTGAGAAGCACGCTGGACATCCGGATGCGTGGAATTTTGATAAAATGTCCCCAAAATGGGCGTGGAAGTGACTCCTCTTTTCCCTCCAGCTCATTTTGAGCCTCTCATAGATGAATTTTTTTCCACAAATAAATGATTTTCTTGAATGACCGTGAAAATTTTGTGCGCATCCACAGAGTTAGAAGGGTGGAATTTCTCAAAATATTATCCATTTCCATGTTCTTTTAAGGAGGGAGGAGAACAAAGACGAAGAACGGAGTGGACAATTTTGGTGATCCTTTCGACGGCCGTTGGCTTTTGAACAGCATTTCCCCGCAAGTTGGAGCCACAGGCGCGGATGGATGAAGTTGTCAAGTGTTGAGTTTTCCAAATGGGAGTTCGTCGTCTCGTGATTTTACCAAATTTCTATGTGTAATAGTGTATTTAATTGCGAAAAAAGTGCACCACAGACTGAATAAAGTGCCTTGCTGCATTTTCATACAATAATTTTATGAGAGGGATTATTATGTAAGTGATTTCGAGGGTCACAAACTTCTGCCCTCCACCATCGAGTGTGTCCGGGAGTGACCCGGCTTTTGACCTGCTCTCAGGGCTTTTTTCTAGTACTCATCTCGGGTATTTTTAGTTCTTGCCACACTCTGTGTCTTCTCGGGGATGTCATCTTGGGATTTGCACAGTGGAAAGGGTCTCCGGACGGGTGAATGTGGTAGAAAATCGTGTGAGAAGTGAGGTTATATTTGGGTGGCTCTCAAAGTCCCGGAAAACTCGCTTTTTGCCAGTTAATGGCTCTCACATTTCCCTAATTTCCTTGATAAAACATGAAAGTCATCTATCTATATGATCTAGATACTTTTCTTGTGGCATTAGTAGAAGTCTGGCTGGATAATCACAGAATTGGCAGAAAAAAAATTAATTCCGATCATTTTCCATAAAGTGCTGCTGAAACAGCATTTTGGGCCATCGAGAGTTCTTATCTCTCTAGAATCGTGGTGAATCCGGAAATTCCTGTAGATTTCTTTATTGCTGTCGCTGTGATTTTCTTTTGTGAATGTCAGGAAGGAATCACTTAATAATAAACACACGATTTTCGCTAAATATAACCCGTGTAGAGGTTCTCATCAATTCCCATTGAATGCCACACGCACACACAAATCCGCACAAATGCCCAAATAAGATACGCGCCTGATAGTGGATTGGGCAGGTGATAAGGCCAACCGAGCGTCACAGTTTCGCGATGCGGCATGACTAAGATCTCTTGCTAAAGTGTGTCCTTTTTTTTGCAGCACTTCAGGATGCAACAGCCGCGCTACTGCACCTCGCCACTTCCGGCTCCGTCTGTGCGCCCCCAGATGCCACGGCCGCAGTCATTCGGCAACGTGAGTACCAGCGAGACGAGCGCGTTTCCTTGTCCTTCCAACGGCAGAGGAACAATGCGAGTCTCTCTCTATAAATAGCCGCGTACTTTGTGTCTAGACTTTTGCTAACGAGACGCGCGAGGCAAAAAAGTCCACTTAATATCAAAATTATCTACAATCTCATCCCAAATTCCGATCCTCGCGCGCTTCCGTGGCGAAGAAGTTCACGCTCGGGTGTAGAAATCGAACATTTATAAACTGCCATCGACATGACATGCTTCTCATTTGGGGTGGTCTCGAGAGTGGATGAAAGTATGCGCGCCCCATTGTTTGGGATGCGATTTCAATTTTATAAGAGCATCACAGGGAAAAAGCAGCGAATATTGGTGGATTTTCACAGCGCATGACTCACACTTTGCCAAAAAACGCACACAATCGAAGGTTTTTGGGGAGTTCTCTTGACCAAGGGGAGGCCAAGTGGTGGCATTCTGGACAACGTCATCCCTCTCTTATATGTTCGATTGCAATCTCAAGAAGAATGCATAAATCATAGTAAGAATAGGGCCACAAAATCCTTGCAAATTCACGTGTCGGTGGAATGTAGCGGAAAAAATTCGCCAGCACCAAGGACAGCATGTAATTAAAAGCGTTTCTAATCTAAAAATTGGAACCATTGCTCAAGAAATAGACTGGAATTCAAATGCATTCAAGTGTATTTTGATTATTCCATCCATTTTCAGGTGAACTTTATTCGATCTGAATATCTCAAAATTGCAAATTGAGATAATTTGGTTTCAGAAGTGACACAGATTTCAAACTTCTGCTAGCATTCTAATGAAGTTTAACTTAGGAAAGGTTTTTTATATTGCAGAAGATCCTGAAACTCAATAAATTTGGACGAAACGTGCAAGTAGACGGGACTTTTAAATTGCGATCTTGAAATGAGTATAAAAGTTAATATTTCCAATCAGTTTAAAAATTTTTGCCTACTTATCCACCCCATGCGTTTGACCACACAAACTCAATATTAAATGCGATAAAAAAGTAAATTTTTGTTGTGTTCTGCAGCAGAAGGGCATTTCGTTAGTCTTCTATTTAGAGTGGATTTTTGCAATTTTAGTTCGTTTTGAGGTACGGAAAATAATTTCATTTCCTACATTCTTCACTGAAAATTAATGTCAAGTGAAACAGACAAGGTGGATTTGGGGTGTCTCTTCAAAAAAAAGTGAAGGCTGATAGAATATCAATTGTAGGTTGGTTTTTTTTTCAGTGTGTTGGGAAGTATGGGTCAACACATGCGTACCAAATCATATGCACTCCCTCTCTCTCTCTCTCGTTCATTCGCTCGCTCTCACGAATACAAAGGCAATTGGGCAGAAATCGGAGAGCGAGAGAGAATTGGAGAGGAATTTGCAAAAGGGGTTTTCTATGGGGGAACAATTAGAATTGTGAGTGCCGGCCGGCAGATGGACGGGAGACTGGGGCGATGGTAGGGGTGTCGATTGGGGTAGAGAACAACTGATTTTTACAGATTTTGTGCGTGAAACGTTGTGCATGCAATCCGAAGTGGGATGAATCAAATGGACATCAATCACACATTTTCCGCTCTCTCTTGGGCTGTCACGTTTCTCTCTTTGGTGATGTCATGTGTACATGAATGGATGGTGCGGGATAGTGTGTGTGAGAGGGAGAGAAATCTCTCTCATTTGATTAGACAGGGTGAGAGAGAGAGAGCGGTTCTCTCGGGTTCACACGACAAAACATCTCTCATCTCTTGCGCCGTGGCTGCCATTCTTACTGTTCTGTCATTGCTTTGCAAATGAAAACATGGTGTCCTGGGAGTGGCTCTCAGTAGTAAAATTTTTATAATTTTTCACCATACAACCCCTTAAAAATACTGTCAATTGTTTCAAGTGACTAGTGTTGTACAAATTGCGCCCCATTGACGTTACTTGGCATTGAGTTAAAGAAAGTGCAGTAATAGTTTTTTGGCTTCCGGGCAGAGAAATCGGGGAGTCGTCAAGTGGAAATTCGCCCTTGATTTGGCGCACATCACACGGAGGAAATTGAAGAGACAATTTGTGGATTGTAAGGGAGATTGCAAGGACATACTTGTGGTTGGAAACTATATCTTCACTGGCATAGCCACGTCTATGAAAAGGGAGAAAGAAACGTCGGTAGTATACGAGTTATATAGAGGTTTTCCTACAGTGAATCAGGAGAACCGGAAACGCGCGAGAGCGAGAGAGGTGGCAAAAGTCGATATTGCGGCGAGTAGGTGGAAAAATGTAGTGAAAAGTCACAGTATATTTTTTTAATTCAAAATATACTCGATAGAAGAGTGAACCCTAAAGTGGTTGCCACTTGAATACACGGGAGTGTTAAAAATAGTATTCCATGCAACATTTTTTACCGCCCGCGAGATTTGATCGGAAAATTTGTGAAGAGAGCGCGTCAAATTGATGATTATTTCATTAGATTGTGATGCTGTCTGTATAAAAATTTCTTTCCTGACACTTCTTTATAAATAGAAATTATTTATAAAAGGCCAACATTGACTTTACAGACACACGCGGACGACTTTATATGTGCGCTTCTCTGTTTCATCATACATGCAAATTGGTTAGATTGTAGAGAAAGAACGGAAAAACGCGTGTGTAGCAAAAAATAAGAGAGAGAGAAAGAAAAACCTCAAGACATTCCAGGCATTTGATTGAGGAAGACCAGTTTTAGAGAGACAGAGAAAGACGAGAAGGAAGAGGGGAAGGAAAAGTATAGTGTTGAAGAAAATTCCGCAGTCGCGATAGAGGAAGTCTGACAATGGACAGTTTTTGATTAAATAGTAATAATATTCGGTTCAATATAGAGATAAGAGGAACAGAGAGTCCAGTGCAGAAAGCAGACACGGTGAAGAGAGAGAGAGACAGAGAAAGAGCAGGACAGTATATAAATCTATATCTTGGGTGACTTCGAGGAATGGTAGTGATTTTGGACGCCAAGAAGAGCAATTATAAAATGATGGTAAGATATTACTTAATCCACATCATCAAATAGGAGAGACCTTCATTTTTGATAAGGTGGCCTCTTTGCCAGCACGCTCGCTGACTTCCGTGTGTCGACCATTTTGAAAGTGCATGGCCGAAGAATAGGTCACACTCCGTATTTTTGGGGGAGAGAAGAGTGTAGAGAGAGAGCATGTTGCTCGCAGTTTTTGGGGGTTGCTGAAGGCGGCACTGCGAGGGTGTCTGTGGCAAAATTCCAAGCCTGGCCGGTTGTATTCCTGCTCGGGAGTGTTTCTGTGTCACTGCCCATCTCACAAGTTGTGGTGAAAAAGTGTTTTCGACAGTTGGTGCCATTCGACCCCCACGCAAACTTCACGTGAAACAACACCCTTATCGGGAAAATTCCGGAAGTTGTCCCTTTTTGACGCTCCATCCAATGTATGTACGTATATGTTTTTTTCTTCTTCATGTAATTGCCGCTTCCGTTTTCTTGGGGAAAATATATGTGTGTGAGTGTATGTGGGATTTTCTTGCAATCCATGCTCGTTATTTAACCTCAAAAATAAAAAGGGCAGCTAATCGATTTGTGGTAATGGGTGAAAAGGGTGTGGAAAGTACACGAGCTTCTTCTTATGTGGTGAGAAAACTCTGAGGCAACATTTTATGGATTTTTCCCCTTAACATTGTTTTGCATATATTTTTTGTGTGGGTTTTTCGTGGAAATTTACAGTGACTTGAATATGGATTAGAGCATGAGGAGCAGAGAGAGAGAAAAAAATGTGCAGTGGAAATGTCAAAAGTAACATGAGTGAGAAACACATGAGAAACACGCTGGTTTATTTTTGTGAACTTGTCAAGAGCGATGAGAAATTTGCACGGAAATATGGGCGGTACCGGAGGACGAAACTGGACGTCTTGTATGGGCAGAGAAGTCTGGGATTAGACTTTAAAATCAAACCTTGCAATTTGTGTTAAATGTAAACGACAGTGTGATCCAACTTCTATTTTATGTGTTATTTTCTAAAGTGAAAGTATCACACAAAGTTTCTGAAAGTTCACCGGCTTTTATGGTTGGGACACTTAAGTGGGCGTGGCATTTTAGGGGGCGGAGGAACAGAAATTTTGCTGCATGTTCCCATACAGAATACGAATAAAATCCTTGAGTTTTTTTTAATGAATTATTCGTTCAAATTCTATTAAATTCCGTCCCGTTTCCTCCAGTTTATACTGAGAAAGTGGTAATTTTATTAGCATCCCATGCTCATTATACAGACTTCTCCTAATGGAATCGAATAGAAGCCTCGTCACTATAGTTTTTTCTCTGTATCTCTTTTGCAATATTTCTAGCAATGCTTCAGTGTTATGTTCGGTGTATGTGCTCTGTCTCTTCTGTGTGTATCGCGCTGATGGGCTGTGTGTGGTTGTTTGGGGAATTGCGGTGTTTGAAAATGGGGGGAAACTGTTACGTTGATTGTAAGTTAACGCATGCGCTTCATTCAGTCTCTCTCATCTCAAACTCCAGGGAGTATTGCTTGAGGCATTCCAAGCAATCAGAATGGAAATTTTATTTAGTTGTCTACTTGTTTCGTGTTAAAGAAGAATAAGAGAGAGAAAAAAGGAACGGATCGGCAGAAGGGAAGAGATATTGGAAGAGATGGTGGAGGAAAATAGGCAGCAATTTTCTGGCCATTTCTCCTGTGTTTGAGACACTCTTGAGTGATTTTAATCGGTGTGAAGGATTCCCCTTGCGTGAATTTAGTACAGTGAATTTTTAGTACACGATAGCGTTGAATGATTTGAGAGAGAGATAATCTTTGGTAGTGCGAATAGCTTTCATGTGCGGGTGAAAATCAATGGGAAAGGCCAAACTGAGCTCTTGTGGCCGGCTTTTTGAGCGCACAGTGTGTTCTTTCATTTCTGGAATTGAATGGCGCAGACTTGTGAAATGTAACGTGGCAGATTCAATATAAGGTCGCTCTATTTTACTTGTATATTCACATATTGGTGAGTGTATTACAATATTTGTTGTTTTCACATCTGATCTCACGACATTTTCCCAGATTTTGAGCGAAAAGTATTTTGGGTTGGATTAGTAAAAACAAAAAGAAAAAGGTCCACAGACAGAAGTGCAATATTGTAGCGGATGTTCATTTCAATGTAAGCACATTTCTCTTTTTTATTTTAATGAATTGTTTCCTTTAGTCACACTGTACTTGATATTTTCGAAGTTGAAGTGTTGGTTAACACTTTTACGGGTATGCGGAGAAATATACTCATACATATTTGCCTGAGAAGTGAGAGAAAACAATGGTAATTGTGGTCAGCTGATTATATCTGACTGGAATTCATGGGAATTTAATATATGTGGATGGTTTTTCTCTCGTGTGTGTCTTCTGGATGGTTCTCCTCTTTACTGTCTCTAAATGATGGAACCACGTGAAGAAGAACAGTTTTCGTGTGATATCTTTTACTCTGATTTTTTTCTTTTAATCTCGAGTGACGGCGAAAAATTGTATTCATTCAAAATTACTCAACAAAGTGAGTGTGAGAAGTCGTAAAGTACAATTTTTCTCTTATGACACATTTTCCCAGTGTGTTCAGAAATGCATTGACACAGGAAATACAGAGTGTGACAGAAAGAATGCAGGCAAGTCTGTCGGCACCATCTCAGGGGAATTAAGTGTTTGATCTCCTTGAGAAAATGGCAGAACTATGCAACTTCACTGATCTCGCTTTGTAAATTTCCAACATTATAGAGATTTTTAAAGCAATTTTATTCAATTTATATGCTAAATTTGACGTAATGTCTGATTCGATATAATTGCAAAGTTGTATGGGGAACTTTAGGGTTGCATCTTCATCGCTACAGTCTGTACTTTATGCAGAGATTTTATTTAGAATGACTTCAGTGTGCTCTTCTGGGTTTACTGGTTTGTCTACTCTGTGCGTGATAATTTGGTGAATTCCTATTCCCACATACATATATTTGTTGGTTGGGGAATTCGTAAGTCGATCTGGAAGTTCTTAATGGCACTTGGAGATGAAAGTTGGACGGCGAAAAGACGGACTTTTCATCCAACTCGCTTCGTTCAGGCTTATCTGTTGCGACGCCCAGGAAGAATTATTATGTAAATTAAATACACATAAAAAACAACAATGTCTACATTAGGCTGTGAAGTGTCTCTCCCTCTTTCATTCACTAAATAGCGCTGTTCCTCTATTCATCATAACTTTAGAGCTGTGATTTTCACATGGAGATTGTGAGATGTATGAAATTGCTGGGTGATGTGTTTGTGTGTGCAGTGAAAAGTGGAGGAAGAAGATACATTTCACTACATTTCGATCACTTATGCGAAGCGTGAACTTATTAGCATTCTATATGGATAAATTAATTGCCGGCACTCGAAGTGCGATGTGCCGGCGAATGCAAGTTCTAGATGGGAGAGGGAATCACTCAAATTATTCGCTCAAGTATATTTCTATTAATTGAGCGAAAAATAATTAAATTGTTCATTATGCTTTGCTGGATGCTAAACACTTGTGTGCATTTTTTTTCCTCTATTTCGTCCCTACAGAGCAGCACAACTGCAGCTCCTAGAACAGCATATCCTGGAGCTCCACCACCGTCTGCCCTGAAGGGGGGTCAGAGGCCCGCCATGACTAGTCCGGCTGGCGGAATCGCGGGCACTCCGTACAGAGGAGCGAGCTGGACGGCGCAAGGATACGCTCCTGCCCAGCAAGCGTACAGATATTCAGCCCCACTTCCGCAACCCGCATACGCAGCATACACACCACACACAACCACGGTGAGTCCTTTAATGCGCACTATCGTACATACGGCGATTTCTGATGTTGAGATTCAGTGCAAATGAGATTGCATTTTATCCCATCGTTGCAGTAAACTCTCTACAATACTGTGTTGTTTCATATCATTATATGATTTAAGTGAAAGTGCTTTCGAGAGTAGAACGACACTTTATCAGCTTGCTTAGAAGCTTTATGGGTTTCTTCAGTCATCTAGGTGATTTAATTTAGGAATTAGATATTTATTGGTCTGGATGTAACACACCGTATTATCGTCTTATAGTTGCAGTGTCTTTAAAATAAATAGTGACAATTTGAAGGTCTGGAGCGTGTAATTCTTGGTTTGAAATTCTTAACGTAATGTTGTTAGTTTCTTAATGTAATTTAAACGCTATTCGGGCATAAATCAGATTGGAACAAGATTCTCTACTTATCCACTTATGTTATTTTCTTATAGCAAAAGTGGTCCTATTACGATTACAAGTTCTTTTTATTTTTGAGATAGTATATTTATATCTGTCAATGGGTGGGGCAATTGAGTGGGAGGAGCTTTAATATTTCAAGCATTAGCAAATTTGTCGCCAAATTGACGATAGAAATCTTTTATCAACGTCACTTGTCTGCAATAAATTAAGTGGTTGTGGTGACGAATAATGAGAATTTTCCAATTTTCACATCACAACTCTCTCTCTCTCTCTCTTTCTCCCTCTTCTCCTACTAAAATACTATATATGATACCTATATATCGATTTAGTCTCTGAAATCTGAAGTGATGGGCAAAATAGTTATTTCCGCCGAATGTTTTTCAGCAGTGAAGTGGGGAAAATTAATTCAGTCGTGCGGTTTTTTGTTCCAACGGCGAATATGTAGTTTATAATGGAAAAAAGAATGACTAAAATTGTGTGCAAAAGTAACTAATTGCAATATAATAGTTTTTGGTGATGAAACTTGTGTCACTTGCACACCCCTGAACGACGTCACGCGATGAAAAGGCTCTAGCGAGCTTTTAAGCTTCATGCCAGAACAGATGAGAATCATATTTCTTATCTCGTCGAGGCGCACTTTCATGGTTTGCCAATGATGAGCAATTTTATCGATTTTTCTATTGAGAATAGATTGTCCGGATGTGGTGTGATGGATTTTTTAGAAGAGTATTGTTGGCATAACTTTTCTTACTCCATCGCATTTTCGCAGAGCCTGGGCTTTCCGTGATGGTTGGTCTTTCATCTTGTGAATAGCAAATAGTCGGGATTGCAGGCGAAGAATTCCCAATGCGGGCATGCCACTTTTTTCAACTATATATTGAAAGTTTTCATGGGTTGGCGAGTGGGTGGAAAAGCTAAGGGAGCGAAAGGGAGAGAGTGGTAGAGAGAGGGAGAGAGAGATGGAGAGATTTTCAATGCGGAGGATGAGATAAGACATTAAAATGAGGAAAGTCGTGGGTTGATCAATGCAGTAATTGTTGGGCGGTGGTGAAACATAACTTAGCCTGCTGACTACACTATGGGGTGCAAAACAATGGATCTAAGTAACACTGGCCTATCCCTCCGACTTAACTTTATGGGCCTTTCCTTGTAATTGATTAGCATAAGAGACATGGCATTTATAATAAAAATAAGATGTCGAAAGGGCACTTATGATGGATTATACCTTCAAAAAGACATTCAGAATATTTGACATTCATGTCAAATCAATTTAGTAAGCAACTTTAACACATACATTTAGCGCTTTCAAAATTATTGTAAAGAAGGAGATTTGATATTTAAAAGTATTTTTTTTAGTTCTAGTTGAGGTCCGAGAATCTTTTATCTGAATAAATGATTAATTCCTGCTCTCTATTACCATGTTTTTACGATATAAAAATAAAATCTTATCATATAAGTTATGAATTAAAGTCGAAACGAAGAGTTTTTTTTTTATTACTATCAAGTTTTACTTTGTACAACTTGAATGCCACGCCCTATATTGAACATTTTTTCTGCTACAAAAGGGTTAAAAGCAAAATATTTTTTAATAATGTTCTCCAACATTACCAATTTTTTTTATTACAGTATGAGTGTCTTATGATTTCTCTTACTGTGAATATTTTCCTGGAAATTTTCCAAATTTTGCTATTATTACTTGGGGTGTAAGCTTGCCAAATTTATGGTTTACTTCCCCATGCCCTCTGGCTGGTTAAATCCGTTTCGCACCCACTGTATGTATATGCTTTCTATTGGCGTGGATAGACAAAATTGCGTAGGTGTATGACGTCACTTGAATCTATATCTCTATGTACATACATATGCAGCTCTCTATTTGCAATGGTGGCTTTCTCTCGCTCTCCGCGATGATGAAATTTGATATAAGAGGGAGGAAATTGAGAAGAGCAGAAGAGGATACTCATCACTTTTAATTTGCTCCGCGGAAATTTACGTAGATATATGTATGTGGAGCTTTCGCGCTGTTGAGCATCTCACCCACCATTTTGGTCAGCTTTTCGCATGCCATCTGGCTTCCATGCAGTTTGAGGATGGGTGTTATTCGTGCGGAAAAAGCTCTCTCTCTCTCGCTCTCTTGTCACACTGTGCATCCCATAAAGCTTCTGCCACCGCCTATATCGAGAGGTTATGTTTCAAGGGAAGTTTCAACATTTTTTCGGTCTGAGAGAAATGCGAGAGAGAGAGAGTGCGAGAGCGAGAGAGATTTTCGCCGGCACTAAATCGGCATCGTCGGTCGAATTTTGGCCGTACATGGCTTTTTGCATTCCCATATTGCGATTGCGCTGATAGTAAACGCCCCTAAAGTCGTTTCATATTCATTCATTCATTGAAGCTCCCACTGCAGACACATTCTCACCATTGGACTATTTGGACGACGACGACAAGAGAGGGCACACAATAGAGTTTGCGGTGTGGCAAAATTTGTCCTCATATATTGTCTTATGTCTCATTAACTTCTCCCTATTTTTTGTTGAAAAGTACATATTTTATCTACCCTTCTCTTTGCAATTTTATAAGCATTTTCTAATACTCAGTTTGTGTCGCCCACACGATCAATAAATTCGTTTGCGGAGTGCTTCTTTTCCTCGTTCTCAGACTCATAATCGCCATGAGAAGAGAGGAGTGCTGATAAAGTGAGAGAACGCGGAGGAATAAAAAAAACGTGACTGAGTGCTAAGGAATTTGACTGGTGGTTTTGCCCTAACGAATCCATATGCGTGGACCCAGTAGAGCTTTTGTCAACCCTTCAAACAGCAGCAAAGTGTCTTCTCAGTAGTGACTAAGAAAAAGGAAGAGTGTTTTGTGTAGAGAGAGAAGAAAATGTGCATTTTACAGTGAATATATAAATGCAGTATATTTTGTACGACATATTTTAAAACACCGGATGGTATTTTACCATCTGAGCTTTTTACGCCCAACAGTATAAATTCAGCAGAGGCGAAAGAGAGGGAGAGAGAGAGAAAAGTGAGACTGTAATTAATTTTCTGTCACGTGTGTAGGTGGGTAAAATATTTGAAGATTTTACAGAGTGATTGTGGGTGGTTTTTTTTTGAGTGAATGTGAATACATGTATAAAATAGTCCTTCGCAAGTAAAGTCATGCCTTAAACTGATTGCGATGTGTCTCAAAATGCTGCCATATGGTAGTCTTGAAATTGATTTTCCAAAGCTCTGTGTACAAGCTTGAAGTTTCACCAGAAGTTGTCAGAATGGCATGACAAGAAAACAGACGAGAAATTCAATGGATGATCGTCTTGCCAGCAACACGGCAATATTTATCAAAACAGTTGTAACTGTCCGGGAAAAAATTTGATGGCCGAGAGTGAGAGAGGAAAAACCCCTCGGTAGACTTTATGGTGGGGCCTCTGGAAAAGCATAGCGAGAATGTTCCCTCTATTGTCTGTGTATATTGATTTTGTGTTTGTGTGTGGGAATCATGGGCGAAAAGTCTCTCCTCTTAAATCACTTTATAGCATCTCGCTTTTCCCTGTAATTCTTCTCGCTCTATCTTTTGATTGGGACATTATGAGGTGTATGTGATGATAAGATTATACTGCAAAGAGATATCCGATGGGTAAGGGGTGAAGAGATAGCTCGCCATGGATGGACATGGAAATTGTCAAGGCGCTCGCAAAGACACGCATTTGGATAACATTTTCCATAGCATCCTGACGTCGCATGAGAAAAAGGGTGGATCTCTTGTGATGTGGGCTGTGCGATTGCAGAAAAATTACAGTCGAAGGCAAATGCTAACAGAGCTTTTGGGAGCTTTTACATATTTCAAGCGTCACATCCTCTCAGTTTTATTGTGTAGGCAATTATATTGTTTAATACAGCGTCTCATTAAATGACATAACATTTTATAAGATACACGATATACATTTTATTTACCGGAATATTACTAGAACCACGCTTACGATGAAATCATAGACGTATACTTACAAGACATTTTAATTCTTTTTCTCTATATTGATTTTCAGTCAATTTGTGTTCATATAAACCATTAAGGATGTGAAATATTTTTAAATTTGTAATAAATAAGCCGTAAAAATATTCCAAATGACTACGCAATTTTCACTGTTAAGAAAATTGTTAATTTAGGACATGATTGATATGTATTTAGGAAAATGTGCAAAAAGGTAATTAAGGTATAGAGAAGAGCCTTAAATGAGAATCTCACTCATCAATCAATTAGCCAAATTTGTCTAATTTGTTTGATGTGCGAAAAATGGGTAAAATGTCACCGAATTTAGGTAGAAATTTGCATTTCTCGTTGATTACAAGCAGAGATCATTTTGAGAGACTGGGCAGGAGTGAGTCACAGCCTGGACTGCATTTCAGCGATTGTATTGAGGGTATTTATTGACATGGTCGATGGGTGACCAATGTTAGGCGAGAGATAAGACCTCCAAATGTGTGGTGTACACATTCCAAAAGTTATCTCACTGTTCCTTCTTAATTTCATTTGGGGCTCTGTACTTTTTTGTGCTGTGTGTTGTTCTTGATCGCTTCATATTGTGTGTGGCGAGAGAGAGAAAGAGAGAGAGAGAGAGACATGCAGAAAAAAGCTCATGTGGAATGCTGTATTTGTGCTTTTTATCTAACGACAGAGTCGCGCATAGAAATGGTGTGTCTGTTATCAAAGTTGGTTTTCCGAAGGCGCATACACACAGCGTTCGGTGTATGTTCTTAAGTTTAAGGAGGGGGCGCGCGCACTACATAATAGAGAACAGGCAAGTGAGAAAGAGAACGAACAGTATGAGAAATACATTTTTCAGTTGATATATTTTCAGCAACATTTAATTAATCGGTCGGCCGCTGTGGTGGGGAGAAGAGAGATGGTCAAAGAGGAGGAAATCACATTTTTGCTCACTCTAGAGAGACTTCATATTTCCAGTGCTTTAGAGTTCATTGAAGTGATTTTTTCCGCCCGGAGTTCATCTCTCGCGGTGTCTAATGTAATTTTTACAGTGCGTGGCGTGGCATAGAAAAGCCTCCCCGGCACTTTGAAATATAAAAGGAGTAAATAATTAATTTTTATATAATTGTAAAACCACAAAATGAATCACCCTGTTTCAACATGAAACTTTCCATTGTACATAATACACTGTGTATAGTAACTTTATACCTAATAGATGAGTGAGTTTCACAGTTTTCAACAGTCTTTATTCAGTTAGTTGTCTTGTCGGTCATTTGTAAGTGTTTCTTCGCCAACATCAGTTTTCTTTTTCTGCATTATTGAAGAATGCTTTTTTTTGCACAATTCGCGACAAACTTGAAGAGAGTTAAGTTAAGAATTTTCCAGTGATTGTGACTCATATTTTCGGCATAGAGTTTTTCCAAATGTGGCTATTTATAATGTGACGAGGGAGATTTGATAAAATATTCTCAGAAGAAAAGGCTGTTTTGAATGGGAATTGAGAATAGAAAAGAGAGAGAGAGAAGAGACAAGAAAGTTGGGTGAAGTGGAAAAAAGGAATTGTTACGATATTTCATGTGAGATAATGTACTATTACGATTACTGGGTGAGTTGTTCTTATTGCCTTTTTTCCCATCTCAACAGTCGCGAGACTTTCTCATTCTGTGTGTCTATATAGATATCATGAAGATATTTGGTGGTTTTCTTGCAATTTGCGCTCTAGACATTGATCAAATTTCTCACTTTTTGGCGGATGTGAAAGTATACATACATTTCTCATTTATGCCTCTGCTTGCCGGCTCAGATTTTAGCTAATTTTCTACTCTCAGTCGCGGAGAGAAATTTAACACATTTCATATATCTATATATTCTCCAGTGTTCTCGAAAGCTTACGTGAGAAGGAGTGTGAATCATTTCTCAGGCTCGATCCGTATCGTCAACTCTTGAAAGAATCGCGATAAGGCGGCAAAGTTTATCAGGAAAGCCATTATGAGGTTTTGTTTTCATGTTTAATGTGGTTTTACTGTGAAGAAAGACGTTCAACATCACTATTATTGTTCTATTTATCGAATTGCATAGGGGAAGGTAAGGTCGTTTTGAATAGTTATTACACAGTGATAGATAGTTGACATTTCTGTCGATGGAACACGAGAGAATATTTCGAAATTCCAATAGATACTCATAGGACATCAGACAGACACATTGTCAACTTGTAATTCAACACCAACATTTTCAAAAATCGCATTTTGGCTTGAAATCTTGAATAAAAGTTTGTAGCAAGGTTTTAAAAAGTTCCCACTATTATAAATTTTATGTTGAAAGTGTCCGAAATGTGTTATATTCACCAGAATGGAGACTTTAGTTCATTTTGCAGGCATCTTGTCCGCGACAATAGCAAGAATGGTAATATAATTCCTTGCCTTATCAAATGATAAATCGTCTGTTGCCTTTGATCAATAAACAATCATTCGCGCTGCACTTGATAATAATATACAATGTGCGCCCCACCCTGTGGCGTCTGTGACGAGTAATACAAATAAAGTGACCAAATTGAGTATGTTGAAGAGAAGAAATGAATGGAAAAGGGAGCAAAAGTATGGACTCTCCAGACATCGATTAAAATGCATTTTATCATGAAGTTCATGAGCACATTTGCTGAGCTTATGCCACACAGCAAATATCAATATTTCTCTCACTCTCTTGTCATGGGGTCTCCCCGAGTTGGAGGCAGTGACTTATCCATGGACTGTGTGTGTTGGTGCTGTGCTTGGCTGATTGCTTGCTCATGTTGAACAGAAATCATTTCAAAATAAACCGGTAACCGGCAAATTCGTGCAAGATGTGAGTTAACACGATATTTTAGAATAAGATTATATGAAGAAGAAGCGTTCTTCGCCAGCGTTAATGGTTAACATTTGTGGTGAGTGAGAGCAAGAGGGAGTGAAAAAATGGTGTATATCTAATAACTTTTATTATTTTGCTCCCTAGCCAAGAGAGTCTAACATAAATACACACTATTGCCTTTTTTCTTGCACTGTGTGTGCCATACCTTTTGCCGGTGAGCAGAGCGGCACACAAAAAGTATGTGCAGGCAATTAACTGTGTTTTGATTTGTGCGTGTTTTATTTTATAAGAGAATATGATTTTATACATATTTAAGCAATTGGCCGAGACAGTGAAGAGTGAGGAAGGAGAGTTGTGTGCGCAGAGAAATTTTAATGTCTTCACACTTGTTGTTATTTCCGCTCTTTGGGCGATATCAAGAGACTGACCAAGAAAAAGTTTGTGGCGTTTTTTCTCACATCCAAAGAGACCACCAGCAGTTCTGCTGCACTGTGTGTTGATTTGCCGATTGAGGAATTATCGCGCGATATGATTAGACTCTGGCTCTAAAACATTGCTCTTCTCTTGTGTGCCTCTTTTCAGTACGGACAGCGAGTTCCGACAGCTGCATCGCCTAGTAATACCAACTCAAGCAGCTCATCCAACACAGGATCCCAGAGTGGAACACTGAGTACTAGTCTGAGTAATACGAACACGAACAACACAATGGGTCCCAATGGCACGCCACAAGTGCAGGAGCAACTGTCCAAGACTAATTTGTACATTCGTGGACTTCAGCAGGGCACTACTGATAAAGATTTGATTAGCATGTGTCAACAGTAAGTTAGACTTTTCCCTTATTTGGTCACTGTTGGGACGTTTTCTGATTAGAAGTGATGATAAAGAATATATTAAGTTTTTATCCAGATTTTTTGGTGCTTCGATATTCACATTTGAGCTATTTTCTGTAATCTATGGAAAGACCTGATGGCTAATTGTCTTAAGTAGCATTGTTCTCAATATATCAGGTTAAAATTTGGCTAGAGTTAAGTTATGTCAAAGTTCACATTTTCACAAAATCATATTTCAGGTGTAAATAGCTTCAGTTTCAAATCTAATCTGAAATCTGACACTGATATCCTAGCTCCATACATATAAACCAAGCAGAGAGAGTGGTCATTACCGTGAATGCTTCAAGAGTCTGATAAAAAATGTAACGAAGAGCAATTTTAGTTCTGAGAATTGTTGTTCATTGATTTTTTTTGAGAATTATCAGATAAGTCTTCTCTGTCAACTTGTGCAAAAGGATTTTCTGTAAAATGACTACAAACTTCTCACAGTGACCAAAGTTGTGCATTGCAATTCTAAAGCTGTTTTTCACCTCTCTTTGCAGGTATGGAACGATAATCTCAACAAAAGCTATTCTTGACAAGACAACAAACAAGTGCAAAGGTCAGTAACCTCCGCTGGGACACTCAGCAGTGACTTCTGACTAATCCTTTGGGTTTTCTCTCTTACAGGATATGGGTTTGTTGATTTTGAGTCGCCGGCTTGTGCCGAGGGAGCCGTGAAAGGGCTCCAAGCAAAGGGCATCCAAGCTCAGATGGCCAAAGTGGGTATCTGGGTGCTACATAGGCCGGCCATTGTACGTTTGTTTGCATGCAAGTAATACTCACCCTATTTATCTTCTCCTTTTTCGCCTTACCACACAAAAAAGAGATATGAGAAAAGACTTGGTGTTTCTGAGTGAAGACTAAAGAAAAGATGATGAGATATTCCGGCAATTTACACACTTACTAAATCGCTACAGACCCTAGTCATCATGAAGATGTACCACTAGAGACATTAATAGACTTGGCAATTTATCTAATGAATTAACCAAAATGAAACGCTAGAAGCTGATCTATTGGGTTGGGCAATTATATATTAATCATAATAATGTTTGCAAGGAGAGAGAATGCTTGTGTAATGTAAAAAAAAAGGAATTAATACGGTGATAATTGCAGGTAATCTTGCTATGATATCTTCTAATAATATTTAAGGATTTAGACAAAGTTTATATTCGTAATTGAAATATGAGTAACAGTTTCCACTTTCAACGCTTCAAAATGAAATTTTATGGCAATAGTAAAAACCGAACACCGCGCATGCATTTATCCCCAATGTTTGGCCGGTAAAACTGTGTAGAGTTATTTGGAAAAAAAAGTGGACGAACAGCAAAGAGAGAGTGTTAAAGATAAAAATTCTTGAACCGAAAATCCATGCGAACCAGTGTTTATTTGTTCGTTGACATGAACTTTGAGTCCAATTTTAATTAATGAGCGAAGAAGAGTGCGCACACAACTCTTCTCTTGCCTTCTTTTCTTTTATGATCATCTCAAACATCAACTATTGTAATGCTCTAATGAAAATGTTTCCGGTGTTACGAATAAATTAACATTACTGGCTGCAAATGTATGAAATTGTTGGTGCGCGGGAGTGAAAAAGTTGGTGGGGATTAATTAAAAATATAAATTTAACTATCTGGGATTCCAGTTACTTCATAAATGCAATGATTTCGTACATTGTAGTAATTGCATATTATAAATTTAACAATTCGTCGGTTTCATAATCTAAAGGTCGTGTATGAATTTTGACTACTTTATAAGTGTCAATCAATTATTTAAAATATGGAACATTGAAATAGATATTTTTATTTGAATATTTTGAAGGTTGAATAATGCAAAATCTAAACAAATTACATTTAGAGCATCTGTGTATGGAACTGACGAATATTTGAAAATCTAACTTTTCTTTAACTGATGCGCGGTGCGGAAAGTTTGCTTGATGTCGGAAAATACTGTTATATAATTCATGGTCAGAATTTCACTGAATTACCTCAATGGAAAAATATGATAAATAGGAAAGTGGAAAATTTACCTCTTTATCTCTGTTTTGCAAATAACAAACCCCAGAAAACAGACAGAGAAATGGCATCGTGAGAGAGCTTTAGTAATTTCCCTGTGTAAAATATTCAAAGTTGTTTATCAAGAGTGACTTCTCAGACATTCCTATTGCTCTGCTGTATTATAATCTATTATAGAGAGAATTAATGAAACAACTAACATGTGGCGTTCTAGTGTAAGAACAAGATCCTTCTCTAATAATTGAATTGTATCCAGTTTTTCAGTAGATTTACTCTTAGAATTTATCATATTAGATGAGAGAATTTAGATTCGTTGCGAGATAAAGACTTTTTTATTTTATTTCTTTCAATAGTAGACAACATCATTATATATTCTAGAATTAAACCATTTTTGCGAGTTGTTTAATCGAGATATATATATTGTGTTTTTTTTATTATAATCTTATCGTCTTATAGTTGGACATGCGATAACAAACCTATACATGATTTTATTTTTCTGATTTTGCAATCCAACAGCAGATAAAAGAAATTATATATTATAAATAGAAGTGATTTTGTAACTATTATAAATATATTTCTATATACAAAGTGTGCCGGCCATATTAACATACTTATCCTCTTTTTCCAATTCTTAGCGTGTAGACCTATATAAATTACATACGGAATTTATACTTAGATAGACAAAAACCTATACATTTGATATACAAACTTAGGGGACAATATTTTATTTCTTAATCAAAATTTAATGATTTTCTTCAGTTTTTAATCTAGAAATGTTCCTTTTGATTTCCTTTACACACATTTTAGTAGATAAGTTCAAAGCACTCTTGCTAATATGTGATTCTTTTTCCGATTCAGCAACAAGAACAAGATCCGACAAACTTGTACATCGCTAATCTGCCACCAACTTACAAAGAGACAGACTTGGAGAATTTACTGTCTAAGTACGGACAAGTAGTATCTACTAGGATTCTACGTGATCAACAGGGCCAGTCCAAAGGCAAGTTAATCAACCTTGCGCCAAATTGCCATGATTACCATGTCTTTTCTTCTGTTTACAGGTGTAGGCTTTGCACGAATGGATTCACGTGAAAAGTGTGAATCGATTATACAAATCTTCAACGGTACGCAACTTCAAGGTGCCAAAGATCCGCTTCTCGTTAAGTTTGCCGATGGTGGCTCAAAGAAGAAGAATGCATACAAGAGTCCCGATCCAAATGCACGCACATGGAGGGATGTTACTGAGGTAATACTCAATATTTTGTCCCTATTGATGTCCCTTGTTTGGTTTTTCAGAAAAATTTATGTTAAAAAAACCTGGCGATAGATATTTTTGATATTTTCTGTTAACTATACTAGAAAAATGGGCGGAAATTATTAAGATGGGAGAATAATAATAATATAAAGTATTATTTTATTCGTGAAGAGTGGAAAGTAGATTTGATATGTTGATCGTTAAACTTGAAAGTGTCAAAAAGGTTGTTTAGAATGAACTTCAAACAGACAATCAGTGATACCAAATTAAGTAAAAGAAAGTGGGACGATTTTTGTCAGTTTTTTACAAATTCAATTCATTTGAACGCTACTCAATCGGACCTGAATTCTGAGGCTAATGAATGTGACGCCTGGTTTCCCCAGAGAAGACTGATTTTTCTAATGTTCAGCTCAAACTGGAATCAGTCGCATGAGGAGAATTTGCTTGATGTTCTTTCGTTTTTGTCTTTCAGGGAATTCCAGTGGCTTACGATCCGGCTTTGCCGCAGAACGGCGTGAGCGTGAATGTGGGCACGACTATCGGGGTGCCATACACACGCTTTGGAACACCCCAGGTGGGTGGCTACGCCCTGCCTGGCTCCCAGTGGGTTCCCGGCTACATGATGGCTCAGCCGATGGCGCCCGTGGACGATCAGGTGGGTGTCTATATTCGTGGTCGTAGCCGATATCTGAATAAGAGAGGAATTGCTTCTCTCTGCCCCCTTTCCGTCCTAAGCTACTCTCTTAGTTTTATTATATTGCCTTGAGGGTCTTCGCGGCTCACTCTTTCTTATCGCATTTTTTCCCTAGCAGTACATGCAGATGACGGCGGCGCCCCACTTGGGCGTGAGTCCGGCTTACAAGCCCGACGGCGTGACTCAGGTGCAGCCACGCGGAATCTCTATGGTGATGAGCAGCGATGCCGCCGGTGTGCCGTACGGTGCTATGATGCCCCAACTCGCCACCCTTCAGATCGGATCTTCGGTAATTCTAAGCTAGATTAACCAGTGAAGTCCTCAGGGGACTCTTGAGTCCCCGTGAGGCTTTTTCTTCCTCTATTTTTCCTTTCGGGTTGCATTTATATAATTTTTTGGTTTAATTTAAGAAGAGATGAAGCATTGGCAAATTGATAAATCTCTTTTCTTATTCAGAATATATTTGGAAATTTGTAGTCGGTAGTTTTTCCTCTCTTAGCGAGAGAAAGAGAGAGAGAGAGAAATGTAATAGTGACGTAAGAGAGATGATTATATAGATGATGAAAAAGCCAGGATGAAATGGGTTCAAGCGTGAGGTGAAACATGTTGATATTGATGTTTCTTCTTTTCTGTATTGTAGTACATTAATCCGCCGTACCCATACTATCCACCAACAATTATACCCACAATGCCAATACCAGATTCCGAACAAGCGAGTACTGCTGCATCCCCAGATGAAGCATATACTCAATATCCTCATCCGGCTGCGCCTAAGTAGATGATGAAAGGTGAGTCCCATTGTGTTTCGCATTCACTCTCTCTCTGCCGTTTCTTTTTCATCACTTCATCAGGCATCGAAGGGGTGTTCAAGTGGCGATTCTTACAATTTTAGAGCAGAAGCGGTAGAAGTTTGCAGTTGATTAACCAAATCGCGAATTTTGATTTTTCGATTGAACTTTTCTTATATTATTTTGCTAATTCAATTGAATTGAAACTCAACATAAACTAATACTTTAAAATTATATCAAGTATCGTTACCAAAACTGCTGACCATTTTGTACTTACTAATTTTCTTCTGAAAATTCGTTGACCAAATGTGTTATTTTCAACTCATAACCTAACAAATGGGCGGCACATTTTATATGGCGTGTCTAGAACACCACTTCGGATGTTGATTTTCTTTCTTTTACATTGCAATTTGACTTGAGCTATATATTGTCCATCCATATTGTCATTCACAATTGTTTCAGCATGTGTTTTCTAATATTTTACTAAAGAAATTTCTCCTTGTCTTTCAGCTTTTGCATTCGAATACCTCAAATTTAATTCATCCATTTGAGATGATTGTATAATTTGATGATTTTTCTGGTACGACAATTTCCTTGTTTTAGGATAAAACAGAAAAAAACTGTTACAAGAAGTTGTGTGGAATTTTAAAATGTAAAAAAGAAAAGAATTGAGATGAAAAGTAATAGGGAATGTCAAGAATGACCTAAAACATGAATTTGTCGCAAAAAAAATGTAAAGGAGAATTGTAAAACATTCTGATGAGTGTAAGTTTGTTGTGTCTCCTCTTCCAAATGGTCTTTTTTTTTATAGGATAAGGAGTCTTTCTGGCGAATCTGTGTTTTTTCCGATTTTACATGATTCGGTTTTTTGGGTGTTTGGTTAAAATGTGGAAATTGTGAACCAAAGTTAGGGGTGTAAAATTGGAAAATCCACTCTTCGTCTAGAATATAAGGATGCTTCGTGTGATTAGATTAAATCTAGTTAATTTATTCTATAGGCTTTTTAAATTTTTTTTAATAGAATTGAAATGGCGCTACTGTGGAAAAAAATATTCTTTGAAATCAGTGAAAATACATATATTTTTTGGCTAAGAATTGATCAGAATTCACTTGTAAATAGACAAAATTTTCGTGAGATTGTTTTTGAGTAGAGAAGATGGAAAAATGAATGAAGAAAAAACTACTGGGAAACGTGCAATTTTACATTGAAAATCTTTTTTTTTCTAAACCATCATCTGAAGACTTTTCGAGAAAATTCACAGTGTTTGAGGTTTTCTTTCGCTTTTCACGTGTTACCACAGTTTTGTTTTTTTGTTTAGAATATGTAATTTTTACTTTACCTAAAACAAGAGGAAGAGTTTTAGGACAGAAGAACAAATGGGAAATAAACGAAGAAGAGGAGAAATGTAAAAAGACAAGGAATTGATTATGAAAATTGAGTAGTGAATGTTTTTTAGCACTTTCCACACTCATTTCGGTTATGAAGAGGATTATAATTCCAAGCAAAAGAGAAAAATGCAATTTAAGAGAATAAATAAAACTCTAAAAGACATTTTTGAGTTATCGTAGGCTTACAAGGGTGCCATAAAGTCTCTATGTGTTTTTTATATTTTGATTTTTTTATGTGTTGTTGTTTTTGATTGTTTTATATTTCCTCTCAATTTTTTTTGTGTAAAAGGATTTGTGATTTTTATGTTATTTAAATATTTAAATTCCTGCAGATTTATTTATTTTTGTCCTCACAAACTCTCCTTTTTCTTGTTTATCAAATTGCATTGCGATCCGAATAAATTGGATGTGAAAAGTGTATTTTTTACAATGGTAAAAGATGTTCACTGCTCAATTTTGGCAATGAATGAGGAAAGGAATAAATAACAGAAATATAAACTATTTTTGACACTAGGAATGTGCGCCAAGCGTTTATCAATGAGGTGTAAAAGTACTCTTGAGAGATAATAAAAGAAAGAAAAAAACCAGAGAGAGAAAAATGCAAAAGAATGATAAATAATCTAGTCTTGAATTTCAACAATAACTGAAAGAGTAAAAAACAGAAGAGAGGAATAAGTAAATCAATCTCTAGAGCACCCCAAGAATTCTATTTATGATTTTTTTTTAGTTTTTTTGAAAGAAAAAAATACAAGGATAAGAAAACGTCAATACAAGAAATTTTGACCACTATTGTGAAGCTCTTCGGGTGAAAAAAAATGCATAGAAAACCCGAAGTGAAAATATGTTTATTTAATATTTTCTCGATGAGAAAACAAAATATTAACAAAAAGAAAACAGTTTAACACTCCCTCAGAAATACAAAAGAATAAAGAAAGGAATCTTCCATGCAGAAATTAGATAAAGAAGCAAATTTTTAATCAACTTTTGAGAGGCCGCTGTGCCTGAAAATTACAAAAAAACGAATATTGCAAAACCAAAATAGGTCAAAGAGATAATGAATGACAGATTTAACATTAGGGTGGAGTTTTTGAAGCCACTTTTAGCGGACTTTTTAAGTGATGCCTGCTTCATAAGTTTTTTCAGTGTGGAGAAATAGAGAATCGAATTAAGAAAATATGTTGGAGAAATGCTTTTTGTGCTGGCAATTCCGTAATTTTGAAAACATATCATCCAACTTATTTTCCTAATTAGATTTATTGAACATCACTTTTAGTAAAAGAGAAAAAAAGAAAACATTCCATTTTAACCAACTTTCGAAGCACATTTTTTTGTAGTGAGTGAGAAAGAGACATTTTTGTCAAAAATCAGAGTCTTTTGGGTTGAGAGAAAAAAATTCAAAATTTTAATTAACTTCCTAAATTATTTTCGGGTATCATCACAAGAGTAATGGAAAAATAAATTTAAAAATGTAGTATATTTTTAATTTTTAGACTCAAAATATACAACAACACATTTTTGTAGAATTGTGCCTTTTCACAATTGAACAGAAGAAGATGAAGAAAAAAAAAATAGGAGAAGAACAAAAATGTTGAAGAAATGAGGAAATGGTAAAGAAATTATTTTTTAGGAGGGACATTTTATCAAGCTCGATTCCGAAAAACACAAAGAAGATAGAGAGAGGAGAGAGAGAGAGAAAAGGGGGAAATTGCAAACTTGGCCATTTTTCGCATTTCTGTATTTAGGTTATTGAGCATCGATAAATAAAAAAAAATCAGGTAAAGACCAAAATGTGAAAAAAAATTGGTAAACTCGAGATGGTATAAGATATTTACACGACACATTTTACCATGTAGCGATGTGAAGTGACAAAAATGCGGTTTCAGACCTTCTTTATTGGGAAATGATAGACAGCGAGAGGATCATTTTGTCTTGCACTGTATTCTTCAGAGTTAATCTATTGGCAAAACGGTGCCAAAAACACAGAATTGGATTTATTAGTGACACTTTTATTTTGCGCAAAGAAGAAATGTTTTGATAGAGACTCTTTTCTGGCTATGCTTTGCTTTAGTGGGAGAAAGAGAGAGAATACTCTGAAACTCCGCCCCCGCGGATGCGCCGCCCAGTTTCATGGGTTGTCCTTCCACTAAAGTAGAGCAATTCCGCACTTTTGACTTAAAGAGTAATAAAAAAATATATTGCACATTGAGGCAATCTCTCGGGAAAACTATCCTGAGGTGGCAACAAATTTTGAGATAATATATTTAAAGAAGAATTGAAAAATACAGTACTTCATAGTTTGGAAAAATATTGAGAATGAAACCAACAAGACATAAAGACTAAAAGAGAAATAAACAAAGTGAGAGTGACGGGGCAGGAAAAGGATTATTGATATTTTTTCAATTTTATGAAGAAAAAGAAATGTTCCAAAGTTACACTTTTTAACAAAACCATTTAAATGGAGAAGAAACCTTAAAAGCGCGCGACTCTTAAGAAATGGGGACAAAATCATTATTTGTATTAACCGTATATTAAATGATTGAGAAAAAATGTTGAGCAAGAGCGAAGAGTGGTGAATTATACAAGACAAAAAACTGAAGTAGAGGATGAAGTACGTTTATATGTAAAAAAAAAACAATCACGACTGATAACAACAAGAATTAAGAAAAAAAATATATTTAAAAAGTAAAGTAAGATGATGAAATGACAGGAGACAATTATCTTGAAAGGTGAGGAAATGTGTGTAGAAGAATGCAGAGGAGTTCGAGGAAGGAACCTCTTTCGTAGTGAAAATAAAATTTAGGAAATATAGTAATTGATAAGGAAATGCACTGCAAGTGGCAAGTAAATTTAAAGAAGGGGAAGAAAGTATTTAAAGTGGATTTTTGAGGTGCGCAAAAGTAGAGAGAATCTTCTTTTTCTGTTATGGAAAAAGGAATAAACTTAGGATATTTAAGTGAGAAGTACTGTTAAATTTACCAACTAAGACATGAATTAATTAGATTTTTTCGTTCGTTTTTCTTCAATGAAAATCCACAAGAGAAATTCCTCAAGAGAGAAACAGAAGTTATGAAGAAAACTTACATTTTAAGGACATTTAGAATAGATTGAGAAAGAGAAGTAGTGAAAAAAAAAGAACACGCTGAAGATGAAAATATAGTTTTTAATATGGGATTAAGAGAGGAGATAAAAGGAAAATTAGGTAATTTTAAAGTGAATGAAGACTAGTTATTAAGTGAAGAAAACAGAAATCTTAGATGAATAAGAGAATCCCATTTGTTTTGCGCCGTTTTAAAGAATTGAGTTACTCTTTAGGTCTTCTTTATTTTTTTTCTGTGAATCGATGATATAAGGGAAAAGAAACAAGAATTAATTTATTTGTATAAAGATTAAGTGAGAAAGAAACTGTGAGACACAACTTCCGTTGGACGTGCAAGGAGAAAAATCCTTCCCAAGGATTTCCCTTTGCATGATTCATTTGGGGAAGAATGTGCGCGGGCTTCCACCTTTCCTTTGACCATTCAGTTCAGTCGATGCAGAAGTCTTTCTAAAAATCTGTGAAAGTCGGTGTGAAAAGGCCCATAGCGTAAAGGAAAAAGCATAGGATTGTAAGTAGTCGTTAATTTAGGTCATGATGAAAAATCCTTTTCTTTCATGAGTTGTTCTTTCTGCGCCTTTCGATCATACTTTTTCCTAGCAAGTAAGGGAAAGAACTACCGCCTAGTCTTGATAAAGAGGTGAGGAGAGAAAGTGTAGTTTTTAAGAAGTGCAGAAGAAGAGGATAAAAATCACATTAAAAATCCCACTCATTCAGTGGCAGAAAAAAAGAGAGAAACTAGAACTTGAAGAGAAGAAATTGATGATTAGTGCGTAGAAGTTAGTTGATAAAGGAATAAACATGCTGTAGTTTTATAAATCTAGACATTAGTTGACCTTAGGAATGTAGATTTTATTACTATTAATTACCATTTAGATGATGATGAAGGATAAAGTGAGGCGAGAGCGAAGAACTTAGGCAAGATGATGAAAAACACACTGCTAGGATTTTTATTGCAAAAAACACACACAGAAAATCCCAAGAGGAAAAATTCTATTAAAATAAAAATTCACAGTAGTGTTAAATTATTTTTTCTATCTTAAGTGAAAAGGAGAACTTGATGATGAATAAAGCTCAGACGTTAAGAGATTTTTAGCATTAGATTAACAAGAAAGAAAAAAAGTGAGAAATGTTGCAAGGTTCTTTGAGTAGTGTGAAAATTCTCAATGAGAGAAAAAAAAATGAGAAGAGCACTCAAAGAAAAGCGCGCCCTACACTGAAAAAAAAACTTGTAAAAAACAGCAAGTAGGAAAGTCTCTCGAGAATTTGAGAGATGAGCAAGAACAACTTTTTAAATTAGCTATGTAATTAGTTAGGTTTAAAATTTAAATTGAATTTTAGTCATTCTAAAGATGAAAAACTGAAAGAAAGAGAGAAAATAAAGTAATTGAAGGAAACGCCACGAATTTTCAACTGTTTTCTTTTTCTTTTTTGGATTCAGTTCAATTTGAATTCCATTTGTGTTTCGGTTCCTATGATATTTAGGAGTTAACAGAGATCAACATTTACATGGTAAGAGATTTTTCGTATTTCAATCCTGATTTCAATAAATCAAATTGAGATTAATTAATTTTATTTTACTTACCTTTCGTTGATTTCTCTGCTTTGCTACAGTTAGAAGTCTTCACAAATCTCCTTCCTACAATTGCGTTGAAATTCACTCTATGAATTTCAATTTCTTTTTCATCTACAGAAATGACTTTGGACCAAAGTAATTGTAAAAAGAAAAACCACTGAATCGTACACCAAGAATTTGCACCAAAATAAATCTATTTAACTGAGTTTAGCCCAAAAATCTAATAATATTGATCCACAGTATAATTCATTTTCAATTTGAGTACTTAAGCTTATAAAAATTCAGAGAGAAATTCAGATTCACGCAGGGGGAAAGGATGATGTTATGGATAAAGTTGAGCCTCTCAGAAATTAAAGCCTCCATTAGGAGTTCCAGAAGATCCAGCGTCAAACTGAAAGGCGCCTTCTTGTTCAGCCGGCTTCATTGTATTAGTTTCAGCATCCTGAAAGGCACAAGAGCAAAAAGCAATGTCAGAAAGAACACAAACTCCCCATGATAAATGATTCTTACTGGATCTGCAAAGTATGTGTCAAGGATTGTGAGCGCTCGCTGGTAAATCTCCGTGTTTTCGTGATTCTGCAGCGCCTCTAATTTGTCCAGGCCGCCGATTTCTTCAATCTTGATGCACATCGCCTCTCTGCCGTCCACCTTATCTGCCACGATCAGCAGATTCAGTATACCCTGGAGCACAACCTTCACGACGCGCACATCCTTCGATTCGAGCAGATCGGAGAATGCCTTAAGGAAGTCATAGTGATTCAACACGTGCAGAGTTTGCTGACTCGTGGCGCCTGTTGTCAAGTTCGTGATCGCCCAGGCGGCTTCCTTCTGCGACTTGAAATCTCCCCTCGCCAGCACTTCAATCATATCGCCAATTATGCCAGCGTCGATGATGTGCTGGATCTGCTTCGGGTTTCCTGCTGTAATGTTGCTCACAGTCCATGCTGCCTCCTTGACAATGCTCGACTTTGGGTATCGCAGCAACTTAGCCAGCTTAGCCACGGCGCCCGAAGCGATCACAGCGTCGGTCTGGGAGTCCGTTCCCGTTACGATGTTGCCCACACTGCGCAGCGCCGGCGTGATGATGGCAGGCTCCTTGGACTCCAGGAGCTCGCACAGGCGAGGAACGCAGCCCGCCTCCACAACAGCCTGAATCTTGGCGTTGTCGTCATCAGTGATGTACGACAGAGCCCAGCAAGTGTCGCTGAGGACCTGAAAGACCGGGGTTGTTAACATTTCATTAAGAACTCAGTCATGGCTGTGAGTAAATTTGAAACAAATCATCCCCAAGAATTCACTTTCCGTCTTACCTGAGAGTCGTCGTGATTCAGCAGTCGGGCGACCGTGGGCAGCAAAGTGCGCACGTGATCGAATGCCACAGCCGGCGGCTTGTTGCGACAGAGATTGGAGATCAGCCAGACGACGTTGCGCTTGCACGACAGCGAAAGCTCCGTGGACAGAAGATGCATGATCGCCGGCACGACGTTCTTCTCCAGAACGATGTCTCGCGCCTCCGCTCCGTCGCCAGCGATGTTGCCCAGCGCCCACACAGCTTGCTCAGCCACATTGGTGGACGGCGAGCTCATGAGGACAACGAAGCACGGGATCGAGCCGGCGTCAATCACTGCCTTCGTTTGCTGAGTCGTTCCGGAAGCGATGTTCGTCAGCGTCCACGCAGCTTCGAACTGCGTGTCGGGCTCTTGAAAGCTTCCCAGGAGCTCCACGCACTTGGGCACGATACCGTGAGCAATCATGATGTCGATGGGTGGGTTGCGCTCCCGAGAAAGCATCTTGCGAGCCGCCTGAACCGCCTCAAAGCGAATCTTTGCGTTGGGATTGCTGAGTCCGGACACAATTTGATCCAGACTGAGGGTGCTCTCCAGTTGGGCCGCATCCTTCTGCGGTGACAGAGATTCATCGAGCTCAATGTTGCGCCTCTTCATCATCTGGTCATCCTTTTTGTTCTTCCGGAGCTCCACAGTCACTTCCTGACGCCGAAGTCTCATTGTCTGAAAAAATAAACCCTTCACACCCTGAAATCTCCAGAAATAACTGAATTTTCTCACCTCATGCTTCGCATGGTTCTTGAAGGCGTTCATTCTATCATTCTCCGGCATCCTGGCTGTCTCTCAGAGTGTTCTATCTGGGGAAAAGGGGCACTTTCTCAACACCCAAGCTCAGGCGCTTAACCTCAAAGCCATACTTACATCAAAAACCACTGTAAATGGGCTACAAAATTACAAATCACCACTATCTTCTAATCTAACTTAGTACAGAGAATAGAGTAGATGAGGATTTATTGCAATAATTCGCAATTTAAGCAGGAAAAATTGAGATCAATAAGCTGATTACAAGCCGCCTCGAGAAACGAGTCACTTCTGCGTTTGAATTCGAAGAAATCCAGTACAAATGCTGGCAAGGCAGCTAAAAGCGAGAGAGATGCATAAGAGTGAGTGAGATAACCATATGATTCTCGGGTGTTTTCGCGATTTTCGAAAGCCGATCGTCATTCGATTGCGAAGAGAAATCAATGGCGGGAGATTTAAAACACAGATCTTATATGGATCATTTGAAGATATTTCTTCTTCACTTTTACAGAAAATAATAATACATAGCAAATATGTATCTAATCTTAGGGATAATGTAATAAATTACAATTATAAGCAGAAACATCAATTACTTTTCTTTGCTTCCACGGAGAAAAGCTCATTTTTCTTTTGTCTAAAAGTTTACACTGACCATCGCGAGAATAAACACACACATCTTCAAAATTAAGCAGACTTCAGTATACTATTTTTTTTTTTATTTGGAATAGAATTTTATTTTCCAAATTGCTCAGGAACAACAGAGTGCAAAAAAGAAAATAACATTTAATATAAGATTTTATTATATGGATGAAATGATAAAACTCAGTCTTATTCAATAAGTTTTAACTAAAACTCTTAGTATGACTTGGATATAGATAAGAAATAAACAGTTTAAATGCTTCACTTAGAATTATGCAAAAAAAAGATATTGAATGTAGTTTATAAGACATTCCATTATTGATAGGATTCAAAAATGTCTCTTCACATCGACTAAATTAATATCATCGTCCTGCTGCTGAAATAGCTTACAAAACACTGAAGTGCAAATTAAGAAGCTCGCGAATTCTCACGATTGCCATTGTCTTATAAACTAAGCGCAACATCTTGGCTTCGACTTTTTGGCATATATTGAAAGTTTGGGAAAACAGTGATGGCCTCATGATGTGTCCAGGCGCTCCTCAATCGCCGATGTCGGACATGAAGTGGGATTTCTCCGTCACAGAGTTGTTGTTTGCCTTCACACTGGACCGATTAATGGATGATGTAGCGGCCATTGAAACGTGGGATGTGCTCGTCCTGGTGCTCGATCGGGACGCTTTGCTGGACACCGGAAGTCCGCGAACGGACCTATATCTGCAGGAGAGACAAATCCGTGAATGTTTCATGCAGAAATACGGGTTATCTTTGATGGCTTTTTGGGTGAAGATCATGCTTTTGACTGGCGAGAAAACAGAAGAACAACCAAAACTCCCAGAAATACTCCATTGAGTGACTAACAAACTACAATGAGAGAGTTATTTGGGGGCAGAATTAATCGGTGGATTCGATGCTGATGGATTTGGATTAATTGTAAGAAAACCATCTACCAAAGTTAGTATTCAAACCTCAACTACTGTTCGATACGTGATCAGCTGTAAAACTCACTTTTCAACCCCTGTTTTCATTTTCTCAAAGTCTTTTGATCGTGATCGATCGAGTGATCGACAGTTTATCAGTGGAAAAGTATGAATGATCAGTCAAAATCTTATCGATCATCACTTTGTTTCAGTGTCTTTCCTCTCTCAATGTCTCAATACTGTACAGTGGATTGTGTGGCAGCCGAAGAGTTCAGTGAGCAGAGTGATCTTCTGAAGCAATAAAAACATTATAATCAATACAAATTGATCGTAGAAACGTGATCAGAATCCTTCTCAAAGCTAAACGATCAATTAACGTTTGTAAGAACCGTCGTTAAAACGCAAAGCAATTTGAGAAAATATGGCATCTTCACATTACAATAAAAACTTCCCACCCAAAACAAGGTTTAACACCTAAATTTGTGAGATAAGTCACGTCTCCCCTCTACCTAATACAATTATTATTATTTGTTACGCTGGGTCAAGAATTTCCATCGAATACTGATGGCATTTAACAACAACCATTCTCCACTGGCAAGTCATTCCACAGAGAATCACATTTCACTCAGAATTACGCTGAAAAACCATTTACATAATTTTTCTTCAAGCTCAATTTCTCACCATCGCGAAACACCGCGTGACTTTTCATTGTTCCTTGACTCATTTCCGACGCGGACCTTTTTACTCTTCTACACGAATTGTCCGAGAGAAAATAATTTGAGAAATCCTGCTTAGACTGAGTGAAAATAGATAATAATCGATACCTCTTGATGATGAGTTGCTTAATCTTTGGTTTCCACACAAACAGCATGAAGATGAAGAATCCCTGAAGACAATTGCAAACGTCCGTGATATAGAATATCCAACTTTTGGGATCCACGATCCATGAGATCACTTCTGTTGTCCACGTGACGCCCATCACGATGAACAAGCGAAGATAGAGGCTGAATCTGAGAAAGGAACACAAAGAAACGGTAAGAAGAATGCATGTATTTATAAACCACACCCAAACGCAGAGGAGACTTGATTTTCTACAAGATTTTTTTTGTATCTAGCTCTCTACTTTATAATTTGATAAGAGTTTTGTGCGCAATGTTTTAACTTATACTTGTGCATGCCTTTTGAAATTATTCATTATCAGTTCCTCACGTTTATCTAGCTATCCGAACACGTTTGAGAGACTTGCAGGAAGTGGAATTATCTCTCATTCGCATTGAACATGATTAGTATTTTTCTGGAAAAATTGAGATACTGCATGGAAAGTCCGGATATCTGTCATCGTGAAAATGCAGAGAAAGACACTTAAATGGGCGGGGCTTTTGAGTGGGCGGAACTTTCATCCTCTGTGAATTCGACTCATGATAATTTTCACAGAAATTTTTGGCATTAATATAATTAGTTTGCCACTTTTAGCATATCAAATGACGCCCCTTGAAAATATCCTCATGTTCTCTTCTTTCTAGGTCAATTTATCAACCGATGATGGCTCGTCATGTGTTGAGTCACACAACATAATTAATGGAAGGACATTCTTACCTATCCCTGTCTGCTTCCATCCTGTTGAATCGCCTGCTGTCGCCCTTATTCATTGCCGCCGTCTCCTGTTGCAACTTCCTTATCTGAATCGACGTGAGTGTGAAGAGAATCACATTGATTGATATCAAGATAATGACGGGTAGGTAGAGGAAGCAGAACTCCGTTAACTTCTCGCCTGTGTTGCACAGAAAATTGTAACATTGTGAGTGCAAATATGCCCATAAATTTTGATGATCAATAAACACACTTTTCAACCAGCAAGAATTCACGCCAAATCCAGGCTTCATGCTCTCCGGCACAGATTCTGCAAACTGCATTGCCACTGCAATTGAGAGGATGACGATGGAGCATCCCCAGGCGTAGACTGAGTAGATGATGAACTTTTTGCGATCTGCATCTCTCTGGACGCCACGAACACCTCTGCAAGAGTCCATAGAAAACATATTTTTGAGTATTTCTCGCCTCATCTCGCGTCCACGACGTGTTTGTTGATTCAGAACCACCATGTGGATCATGTAAAAGTGTTCCCAAACAATAATTTCCACGCCTCATCATCTCCTCTCGCGATATTGTATATTTACAATAACTTTCTGAGGAGTATTTCCTGCTCGCTTTTGTCGTCACTTCACCGGCGCAAATTCTCGCAACTTCCTAAGGCCGTGAGGACGGAGTTAACTCACCTGAACGTCCACCAAATATCGATGCACATGACGTTGAGCCAGAAGAAGGACACCAAGAAGAAGAAGTAGACAAAGAAACCGATGAAAGTGCACCAGAATCCATTCATGTACACTCTAAGATGAATCATAGAGAGGAAAGTGTAGCTCATCGTCAGTCCAAAAACGTAGCACATGAGTGATTTTCCATGAAGATTGCGGAGTTCCGGAATGATGGCGTACACGAGGAAAGTCACCACGAGGAAAGGCACAGAGAGCAGCATTCCTGGAAGAAAAATCATTGTGGATCAGAATGTTTCTCTCCGCGTTTCACCAATGTTGCGTGAGTCTTTGCAGTTTGTTCAGCTTACTTTCTCCCCCATTTATACTCAATTTCACCCCCATTAAATTTCCACTCTCGCCCAAGAGGAATAATTAAACGCTTTTTCCTCCAATTAAAACACTCTTCATTTTCCACTGTGTATTTTTTCCCTTCGGCAGTACAACAAACTGAATTTACCTGCCACTCAAAATGTCACAACATCAGGCTGAAATCATGAAACAATAACTCAAACAGGACTGCAAAAGAGTCATAAATTTCCCTTTAGTAGCAATTTAATGTTGAAATTTAATCATCGTTATCCCAGATGGATCAACATAAGAAATATGAACACTCTCGCAAAATGGGTCACGCATAGAGAAATCCTTGTGCATGTTTACTTCATTTGAATTCCACCCTTGTGAAGAATGGAGTAAAAAATAATAAGCAAAAGTGAATTAATTTCACTCGCTGGTGACACTCAGTCCACCAAGGAAATGAAATTGAAGAGAGCGCTTGCATGGTTGGTGTCAATATTGATTTGGATATCGAATGAACGCAAATATTTTGCCAATTCCACCAATACAGAAAAGGTCACAACATATGAGCTCTTTTGGGAATCGCCAATTTCCCCAAATTCACACCCATTTTCATATAAAATCCACCACAACTGACGAAAGAAGCCCGCATTCATCGCCCTCCTGTTGATATTGCATGGGGTTAGCGTTTGGGCACACAAGGTTAATCAGGTGACTTGCAATAATTATCCTTTCGTAGGGAAAATCATGTCTAATTCGTCTCTAAAAACCACACAAAGGATTCTTCAATGTCAAGGAAAAAGCTCTAATTCTCAACACACTGACAATGCCGTGAAGATTGCTGAGCTTGCAAATTGCACGACTAGCTCTATCCTTGCGGTTTGTGGTGCGGCTAAAGTCGTGAATGTCACACCAACAAGTGGTTGTTGGGTGTTGAGACTCTCTTTCTCTATGCGCATCAATTATCATTTCATGCTTATCGTACAGAGCTGCTGATAATTGACACTTTAATTATCCACATGGATGCCAATTAGATATTGCTACAATTACGATAAATCTCTCATTTTCGCCACCCACTGCGCTAATTTGCCTTTAATCTCATTTTTCGCGGCTTCACTCCCACGGGCCAAAGAAAAGGCGCGCACACAGGCACATAATTAATTAGGAACATGTTGGAAAATACCCGAAAAACTGTGTTTCTCCTCTACCTGCGTCGACACGACAACCTAATAATGCGAATGATTGGCAAATACGCGCCCATCCTATTGATTTTCGCCCTTGTTTGCTGATGGGATGTCAAAAAGGACACTAGGAATTTATATTGAACACCAAAAGAATGAAATTGTGCGTGTTGAGCATGTGATTGTGGTCAGCTTGTTCCTCAATCTCTGACTGTGGTCACATTGTGTGCGGAATTAAGTAATAAGAGAAATATCCATTCGCGTAGTCATGCAAATAATAAATTAATATCAATTAATATTCCCCTGTTTCGCCGCAGCTAAAGTGCCATTTATATAGCGGGATTTACGTGTACACTGAGAGAAAAGTGTGACTAGAAAAGGTGTTAAAACGATGGAATATCTACATCAAGACCACCAAGATTTAATTTGTTAGTTTTCAATTATGGATAAATAAGAAAATAACATAAAATCAATTTTTTCTCGCCAATAATACAAACACTCTGGAACTAAAATAGAATATGCAAAAATTTTTAGCTTATTCTTCACAGAAAAATTTAAAAATACAATTCCTAAGAAAATAATAAAAATTTTCATCAAATCTATTTTTTTTTGGATTTCCTCTCATTATATAGACGTTTACTGAAATTGCAAGGAAATACGATAAATTTTACCACTTTTGTGATATCAAATATGGGTCAAAAGAGTTTCATTATCTATAAGCGCAATTTGAGAAATCATTGCGTTGTTTCTTCGACGCGAAAATTCCCGATGACGTGAAAGAGCTTAACAATAGAGAAATGATTATCATGAGAACTTTAAACAGATCATTATTTGATGATAAATCTGAGGAATATCTTGAATGGCTAGCTAAAAATACAACATCTTGAGCTCACTCACCGATTGGATAGATGAAAAATTTCGCCTGTTCCGTCTCGGGAAAGCAACTGAAAACCGCCGTCTCCACATTTGATTCATTCCTGCTCAATCTGCGAGCGATGCAGTATTCATTCTTGTTCTGCGGCGGATCTTCACCAACTCTGAGATGTCCGTCATAGACCAGAACATATGTGTCTGTGTCTGGATATTGTTCCGGATCCAAATCGAACATTTGCACACATGGCTTTCCGTACACAATTGCGAATCTCTCCTCAACATTCACTGCCAAAGTCACATTTCCGTCCTCTTCCAGGACATCGATCAACACTGGACTGTTTGCATTCACCGACAACTTTGGCCTCTCACAGCCATCGTTGCCATACACTTTGTCCTCTGGACAGCAGAATCTCACGCACTTCTTGTCGCCCATGCGACAGATGCAGCCCCTCAAGTGGGGCTCCACTGAAAACTTCGTCGTCCAGTTCACCATCTCATAATCGAACTCCCCGTATTGATCAGGCGGATAAACCACACCCCTGAAAACGATGTTTCCCTCGGTATCCTCCACACCGCCCGTGATGTTGATGCTGTCGAAGAAGTCACACGGTACTCCCAGTGAGTCCCGCACGAGGGCCTGCGACGCCACGAGACTCCACTGAAGAGAGGCTCCAAGAGTCAACAGAGCCACAAATGTGGCCCCTTCTTTTCCCATCTCGCACAGCAACTTCCCACTTTCGCGAAATCTGCAAGAGAGAGGGTGAAAGGCATTAAATCACAGCTTTTAATGGGTCTCAAGTGCCACTCTGGGCCTAATTTTAGCCACCAAGAGCTTCCAAATGTTCTGCATATGAGATTTCACGAGCTTATTTGATTTTCCCAAGGGGAAACTTAAAAAAGAGGACCTTCGGAGGCATTTACCCACCTTTTTCAGGAAGGATTAACTCAAGAGGCTAGTCAATAAGCACTGGGATTTCCTGAAATACGCTATGGTTTCCTCTTTGTCAATTTATCGTGGAAGAGCGGAAAAAATTCCATCAAGGTTCCGAAAGCTTTTAAATAAATTAAATTCTATCAAAATAGAATTTCACCGAACACAAACATATTAAAACAAACCTATTTGCGTTTGATAATACATTGTAATAAGCTTAACTTCAATGTTATCTGCATTTGTAAAAAGCAGAAAAATAGATAATTTCGAATTCCGTCCATTTTTTTTCAAAGGTGTTCACATAACTGAAGTAATTGCAACCAGAATTGTAGGTCAATTCGTGGTATGTCAACTGGAATGTAAAGACATATCGCAAAACTCGATTCTCTTACTCAAATATTACTTTGCGCGCACTTCCCTTTGTTTTAGTGCCTTTTGGCCTAAAATTCTCTGATTTTTTTTTCTCTCACAATCCATGGAAAAATGCCCACAAAAGCAACATAATTAATCTGACTCACACAATATCACGCAAGTATTTCGTTCTTCAGCATTAACTCTATCATCGTTGAAATACCAGAGTTTTATCTCGCCAAAAATTGTTCCACAGAAAGTGGATTTATTCACAATGTTTCTCTTCGACGACTTGCAATAGATAGTCGCGAATTAGGGCTTGTTTGCCAGTGAGCTTGTGAGCAAGGAGTTTACAAGTGAAGCGCCGAGTGACTTCCTCACGTAATACTTGAACGATAGTCGCGTTATCAATCAGCTCACTGATTAGCGCTCTTATCAATTTCGAAATTGGTCACCGGGCGATGAAGACGGCTTGCTTCTAAGATTGATTTCTTTGGCAATTCGCCTTTCGCATTGGATAAAAGTCTGAGTGCTTCTCATTTCCTATTAAACACACAACAAATTTCTTGTATCAATACACTTAATTTGGGCTCTTTTTCTCCTTGATTATTTGTGGTTTCCCAAAATGGTCATTATCACTATTTAACAGCTCGTGCAAGTGAGATAAAAAATTGTAACTTTGTTGGAAACACAATTTCTTTAATTCGAATGACTCATAAACAGAAATGCGGAGGAAAAAATTCTTTTGATTTTTCTGCGCGGCGACAAAACAGAAATTCCCATATTTTCATGGCGGAAGATTACTACAAGTCAAGTACAAATTATTATAATCGCATCAACATAATTGTGAAATGACTTTGAAAAGGGACGGAAAAGAGTTAAGGATGTGAATCATGCTTTGGTGATACTGAAACTGGATGTCTTCTTCGTCATCAACATTCTGTAAAACCTGTTGATTGAGAACTGAGAACATGAGCAGAAGTTTGCTCTACTGATTTATTAAAGAAAACAGTGATAATAAATATGCTCTTAAACTATAAACCAAACTTGAACATCATTAAATGGCATTTGCATAGTGAATATACTTTACTTTTCATCTTACATCCAAAAGACTGATTGATTTCTAATAACAACAATGAAATCATTTCCATCAACTTCTACGAATTGATAGGAAAAGCGCGATGAAGCATTTAAAAGACGCAAAGAGATAAAACTCTGAATGATAAATCAAACACACTCTGATCGCTGATCAATGCCTTTTCGCAGTTTCTCCGATGCGTTAAATCAATTTATACCAACATCTCAAATCGCCCACATCGCGCGATCTTCCGTGCAAAACGATCGAAAGTCCTAAATTCAAATCTCTTCAGCATCATATCAAATTCTACTTCTCTAGAGGGGATTTCCTTAATTCTCCCCATGATTTCTCGCTTTACGCTCTGATCACGAGCAAAAAACCAGAACAAACGGACTTTTTGTCTCTTGATCTCATGATAAAAGTCATGCTTTTGTAAGATGCTCTTTTTGGACTCTTTTCGACGTAAACCGGTTTCCCAGTTCTATTGAGTCTCAGTGAGAAAAAAAAACCTTTCCGACAGCGAGAAAAGCCCTGAATTCGTGGAAAATTGACTTGAAAGGCGTGAGAAGGGAAATTCAATAGATTTTCCGTGGGAAATTCATGGAATCTCACACAGAAAAGATCATCAGACTCGCGGAAAAGGTGCGTCCAATTTGCATAAACAGCCAGTTATTGTCAATTCCTTTGGCGCGTCGCGCGAGGAAAATATTTGCAGACGATAACAGGCGAAGCGTTGATGAGAAATAACTCAAAGATAGCGATCAAAAAGCGCATTTTTACCTGCTTTCTGGCGAGTTTTCAGTCAAACTTCCCGATATTCAGCTTAAACTTTCACACTCAATTTCACAATTTTCTACCCTCCATTGGATGCACTTTTCACCCACGAAAATGTCAACGTTTCTTGCGACAATAGCAAGTGTGAGGAATATTTTTCACTTGAGAAACTATTCAACACTTCTCACCTTTCGCAGCGAAAACACATCAAACTCCCTCGGCTGTGAATCACGAACTAACCAAAAACTGGTCGTTATGCGAGACAAAGCGAGAAATCGATGAGTCTCGAAGAACATGTAAAAAATTTTCACTGGTCCGCAGAAAAGTCGTCAGAGTGTCCAATGAAATTCTGTGTTGGCCTTTCTATGCAAACGATTTACTTTAAGATTGGAGAAATATATAATAATCTAAAGGATTTCCTAAAGGTAAAAGAACTTAATTTAGGGCAATCCTCGAAAGGAAAAGTCCTCTTCACACACGAAATTTGCGAAATGTTCAGCCACTGTTCAGCGGGGGCAGTTCATTCGGCCTCTCGCTTGCTTGCGCGGCCTCTTGTGGTAGTCTTCGAAACCTGCTTGACACGCCAAAAGTCGCCTGAAAATTTTCCTCTGAATTTCCTGGACAAATCTTGCAGAATAGGCATATTTTCCCGCCGGAGAAAACGTGTGGCCAGACGGCGGGGTGTCCATTGACGGTGGTGGAGTGGAAAGTTGGAGTGAAAAGTACAAACTAAGGAACTTTCGGAGGGGAAAACGTCGTCACGATTTGTTATCAGGACTATAAACATTCGTCCATAAATGCTGGATTTCTCTGAAATGGTGAGCTTAAGCGGTCTTGATATCTTTGCAGTGCTTTCTCGGAAGTCCCTTAGTATGGCGACCACTGATTAGAGCTGCGCCCAATGAGAATCTTGTGGGAATTCGGGGTTTTCCAATAGTCTGCCGTCCGGAAAGTGCTAATGGCTGATAATTAGGCTTTCTCGCACTGCCGGATAGCCAGATCGATATTGCCACCCACACAGTGCACCCATTCTACTGCCGCCTCACACCGAAACCCTGACTAATCGCTTCCTGTCTCTCTGGACAGCAGAACACGCGCCGAGGACGTCCGGAGGATGTTTGAGCGCGTCGGCCTGGGCAGTTTTAGTAGCACGTACAAAGCGAGAGGCGAGCTGGCGCGCGATAAGAAGTCCAGGACCATCGCGGTGTCCGTGCTCTTCCTCGATGACACAGCACACACGTTTCCTCTGGAGGTGAGTCGCCGGAGTTCGCATCCCAAAGGCGGCTTTTGACGCTGTATTGTCTTTGCAGAAGCGTGCCAAAGGCGCCGAGCTGCTCAATGCAGTTTTCAGGCATCTGGAGCTCTCCGAGAGGGACTACTTTGGGCTGCAGTTCGCCCAGCAGCCCGGCGACGTGGTGGTAAGACTCCAGCTAATACTGAAAACTGTCAAGAGTACGATTGCCATGCTTTACTCTTTCTTTCAGACGTGGGTGGATCCCAACAAATCCTTTAAGAAGCAATGGCAAACCGTGCGAGGAGGCGACGTGACACCCTCACTCTATTTTAAAGTTAAGGCAAGTAGAGTTTATTGGTCCCCAGAGCGACAGTTTTAATCATTTCACGCACTACTTGCAGTTTTTCGTAACCGATCCGAGCCGTCTTCAGGAGGAATATACACGATATCAATTCTACCTTCAAATCAAGCGTGATATTTTGCGTGGGAAACTCCAATGTTCCCTCAACACTGCCTGCCTGTTGGCCAGCTACACAGTCCAAGCGGAGCTCGGCGACTACAATCCCGTGGAGCACGCGCCCGGCTACTTGTCCGCCCTGCAGCTGCTCGCCGACCAGTCGGAGGAGACGGAGAAGAGGGTCTGCGAGATGCATAAGTTGCACCGCGGCCAGCTGCCAGCGGACGCTGAGTACAACTATCTGGAGCATGCCAAGCGATTGGACATGTATGGAATTGATCTGCACAGCGCCATGGATAGCGACAGGAATGAGCTGCAACTGGGCGTGTCGTCCACTGGACTGATTGTCTTTCAGAATGCCATCAGGATGAACATGTTCTCGTGGTCGAAGATGGTGAAATTGTCATTCAAGCGGAAGGACTTCTTCATTCAGTTGCGAAGGGAGATTGTGAGTCAGACTTTTGCACAAAAAGTTTGAATTTTAAAGTAATTTGATTTCTTCTTCTGAATTACAGCCGGAAAGTTACGACACTTTGCTTGGCTTCAGCATGAAGTCTCACAGGAATGCCAAATCTCTGTGGAAGTCATGTGTTGAGCATCATTCCTTCTTCCGTTTGCAGCGTCCGCATCGTTCGCCGCGATTCCTGCCATTGTCGCTGGGCTCCAAGTTCTACTATTCAGGCAGGACTGAATTACAGGCGGTGCAGGAGAGCAAGCAGCGCACGAAAGTGAGCAAGATTTTCATCCGATCGCCCAGCAAGCGCATTCTGGGCTCACCGCTGAATGGCAGCGAGAGCAATGGGAAGTCTTCATCGTCCATCATCAAGAACACCCGTCCACATGACAATAAAGTTACCTCCAAGCAGACGACGTCCATTCCGCGGAAGGCGTGGGAGCAGCAGAGCGACGATGATGGCTTCATTGAGCAGCTGGCCAGGAGTTACGATCTGAAGCAGCCTCTGTATGGGGAGAATGGCCAAGAGGAGGGACAAGTGGTGATCAGATTGACGGCGGATGAACAGGGAAGATTTGGCTTCAACGTCAAGGGCGGTGCGGACCTGAAGCTGCCGGTGTTGGTGTCCAGAGTGGCTCCGCACACGCCGGCCGACAAGAGCAATCCGAGAGTTCGTGAGGGCGATCAGGTGCTGATGATCAATGGCTACGACATCAGTGCCCTGAAGCACGATCAAATTGTCGCACTGATCAGAGCCTCGCGGGAGTATCGCGGCGGAGAACTGGTCCTGACCATCAAGCCTCAAGGTAAGATTCAAGAGGAGCCTCAGAACTTTGCTGACTCCACTATCTTACAGCTCACGGTGATCAGATCGAGGAGGAGCCCATTTGTCTGTACGTTCCGGAAAGTGATGGAGTTCAGCTCGAGGGAGATGCTCTCTTCAATCAATCACTGCTCCTGCTGAGTGACGGTTTAGCTTCGGGGGCTCTTCTGGTGCAGTACGAACAGATGTACCGGAAGAATCCCGATCTGGCCATCACGGAGGCACGGAAGCCAGAGAATGCCGCCAAGAATCGCTACAGAGACATTTCACCATACGATTGCACGCGTGTTGTGCTGATCAATTCCACGACAGGAGATTACATCAATGCCAATTACGTGAACATGGAGATTCCTGGCGGCACTGTGAATCGCTACATTGCCACGCAAGGACCGCTGTCGAACACCACCACGGACTTCTGGCGCATGGTGCAGCAGGAGAGCAGCCATTTGGTTGTGATGCTGACCACGGTGATGGAAAGGGGCAGACCGAAGTGCCACCAGTATTGGCCAGTGGCTGGAGACACGATGGATCTGGCCGATGGGTTTTCCATTCAGTGCAAGAGCGAGAGTGCAGATGAGACGGGCAGTTTTGTCTTCAGAGAACTATACTTATGTGATACAAAGACTGACGAGAGGAGATTCATCCAGCACATGCAGTACCTGGCCTGGCCAGATCATGGAGTCCCCGCGGATCCCAATCTCTTTCTCCAGTTCACTGAAAGAGTCCGCTCGGCCAGAAGCACGACGCTTCTACAGGAGATCGAGGCGAGCTTGCGACAAGTACGCCTCATGGATGCAGATGAGAATGGCGTGGACATTTGCGAGAGGAAGTCAGCAACGGGCATCGATGATGACAGTCCAGATGATATTCCGCCCTCAACGAGTGTTCACCAGTGAGTTTATCATATGTTATTGTGTAGTTTGAGGGCCGTTGTGATGCATAATGTCCGTTGCAGGTACATCAGTGCAGCTAATCCGCCTGTGATTGTGCACTGTTCTGCTGGAATTGGCAGGACTGGCGTGCTGATTCTCATGGACACAGCGCTGGCATTGATGGAACAACGAGAGCCCGTCTATCCACTCGACATTGTCCAAACGATGCGAGATCAGAGAGCTTGCATGGTTCAGAATGCTGTAAGTCATCCAAAATCCCGCATTTCCTGCAATCGCTAATCTTCTATTTTGCCTTTCAGGGTCAGTATAGATTTGTTTGTGAGTGTATTTGTGCAGCTTATGCCAAAATGGCAACGGAATCACAACAGTAATTCTAAGAATAATATGATATACAAGTATAAAGAGAAAGAACTATACAAGAAACAGAAAACAATATCTACACACCGTGTGGAAAACGTAGAAATGTCTAATGTTTTGAGATGATAAAATGGTATTTAAATATTTGAAACGATTATCCAATGTATTTATGTAATATTTTAGATATGGAACACATCCTTTATCGAGTGTCTATCCTCTTACAATCAAGTCCTTTTATACCAAGTCGATCCGATAGCGAAACAAATGTAGAGAAAATGATCTATTTCGAATATACAAGAAACCTTTGTACTGTGACTTCACGCTGTGGAGCAATTATGAAATCGTGTATGCAGAATATATCTATTTAAAATTTCGTCCCCCAAGCATGAATTTTATTGCTGTCATTAAGCGAAGAATCAATTCAGAAGAGTGTAAGGAAGTCTTCGAATTTGGTCTTCTAGAAATTTATTTTTTAGAAATCCTTCAGACTGATTTCTACTCTTATAACGATAAATTGCAGGAAATTGTGGTTACAAAGCTTTCATTGCTCATGTTAGATCGATGTTGGGATACTGAGGCGAATTGCACTGCGCAGGAGTGTCCAGGCGATCCGTCAGCTGCACCTGCTTCATGCCATCGCCCTCGGGGAAGGTTTTGGAGAACAGCGCTGGGCGGATGAGCGGCAGATGCTCCGCAGGAGGCGTGGGCAGCATTTGATGTGGTTGCAGGTTCTGCAGCAGAAGATTGTTGGTGTTGATGAACTTCGAGGGATCTCTCAGCACCAGATTGCTCTTCACCTTGATTTTGTTGTGTTTCGCCAGTGGTGGCGTCGCAGAGGGCTCAGTGGCGTCCGACAGGATCTCCAGGATATCTTCTTCTTCGATCTCTTGAGCCGTTTCGTGCTTGGCCACGTGAAGGCGATGCTTAGTGCGATTGATAGTCTCGAAGGAGCATTTTGTGCATTTGAAGATCACCTCGTCAGCCTGCGCTGGATGAATCCTGACCAAGTGATTCTGGAAGACGTAAAATTGAGTATCTCTTTTGCTTGTTTTCTTTTACAGAGTCTCTGATGTGTCTACTCACCCTATATGTAGTACTCTGGATGCTCTTGTAGCCGCAGAAAGGGCACTTGTACTGCTTCTCTTTGCCATGCTTCATCCTGTGCCTCCTGGCCGCGTTGTGATCATGCGTAGTGTAATCACAGTCTGGACATGAGAACTTCCCACCGTCTGCGTGCTTCTTCTCGTGGATCTTCAATGCTGCCATGGAGTTCATATTTTTGCCGCACACTCCGCAAGTGTGTCCACCTGGACAGCCGTGTTCTGCCCTTAAGTGCTTCTTGTACTGCTTCCCAGCCACCACAGTCGCTGGGCAGAAGTCGCACTTCTTCACCGGAAGATGCTCTGCGGCACTGCGATGAATTCTGCGATGGTTCTTCAGCTGCTTCGTGTTCTTGAAGGCCTTCTCGCACAGCTCGCACTTGAAGTTCCTCTCCTCCGAGTGGATCTTCACGTGGGTGTTCTTCAGGCGCGACAACACAGGTGTCTTGAAGTTACAAATCTCACAGCTGTACAACTCCATGTCGATCTGATGCTCGCGCCACAAGTGCGTGTGCAGAGTGTTCCAATTCCTGAAGTCCGTATTCTTGCACTCCGGACAGATAATGCCGCAATTCTCGTTGCTATGACATTGTCTGTGGTAACTCAGATTGCTCGGACTCCTGAATCTGATTGCGCAATCCTCCTGGTCGCACTTTGTGCCTATTTCATCCGATGTTATGTTGCTGTACAGCTTCTTCAGCTCGGTTATTCCTGTCTTTCTCGCCCCTTTTGGTCTCCCAATGTTCTTCGCCGCCTTCTTGGGCTTCTTCTCTTTGGCACTAGATTCTTCCAAGAGGTTTTTCACCACGTAAATTCTTCCCAAGGCCTTTGTATCCTCTGCTGAAGCCTCCACAGGTGACGGAATCTGCACAGAATGCGTGGGAGTGTTGATCTCTGCACTGTTGTCTGCAATGGGCAAAAGCACATCTCTCGGCATTTCCTGCTCAGGTATCGCACCGGAAAAGGCGTCTTCACTCACACAGAAGCACGGCTGCTGGCTGAAGTAATTCGTGCCGTCAATAATATTCTCAAGAGCCTGGAAGTTTCCAAAGTCACTCTGCTGCTCCACATGCACATTGTCTCCATTCATAGATAGGAAGTTCTTGAAGCTGTTGCTATCGTCAATCTTTCCAGGATCTTTTTCATTCATCGCATAACTCGCCATGATCTCCTGGAGACCCTGAAGTGTTGAGGATAAGGCATTGTCTCTATTCTCTCCGGAATCCGCCACTGAAGCCATGCTGAACAGATTTCCTGGGATGTGAGCATCGTCTAAGATAACAACTTCATCGCTGGAATGCTTAGAATTGTCATTGGACATGTTATTTTGTCGATTGATGTTCTGCACATCCTCCAAGTTCATCAGATTCAACTCATCGACCGTCCGGAGGTGCAGAAAAGCACTATTCTGACCATTATTCTCGGCACCTCGCATGAACATCTTGCCAGAATGCTCCTGCACAATTTCAATCTGGTCAGCAGTGTTGCTATGCACGGATTCTGACATACTAGTTGGCGTAATCACTATCAAATCTCCTCTGTCAATGTCAGGAGACGGAGTGCAGTCACTCCCGAAGATTCCCGCATTGCCAGGAGTCGACACTGTTCCGGGCTGTTCGGGCTGTTGCATTATGTCATTGAGGAAGTTTATTCTGTTGTGATTCTCCTGCATGAAGTTCTCTTCCACGGGATTCCTCAGCACGTCGACACTCTTTATGAAAATCCTCGAACAATTCGGTCGCGTCTTTGGTGTAGATCTGTTGGAATTCGGCGGGGATTTCGTTGCGACACCAGTAAATTCCACCATTGCCTCCAGTTCAGATTCCAGAATCTGATGATCACGCAGCAGATGAACCTCCAGGCTTTTCTTGGTACGGAATGTATTGACACAACCCGGACAGGATATTTGTGGCGTCTCTTCGAGGTGATTTTCAGCGTGAGATGTCAAGTTTGTGGGCGAAATCGTAATGAATGGACAGTGCTTGCACTTGTGGATCTTCGTGGGCTTCACGCGTGCCGTCACGAGTTCCTCATTGCCCAGCAGAAAGGGCGATTGCGCCTTCCGGAGGCCCAACTCCATCACCTCCGACTTGATGGACTCTTCAGCCTTGATCTGACTCTGATATCCGCCCATGCGCTGCATTGGGATCTGCACAAAGATGTTGGGCAGCAAGTCAGATGATTGGCCATCCCGTGGGAATATGTGAGTGCAGCTGAGACGCTGCTGGTCATCACAAAAACCTCCCGCTCTGTCGTGCGACTCCACCAAAGGCAATATGGAATCCGTGTCCTGTGCAGAGAATTCACACTTAATTCAGGGAATTTCTACAAATTGAGTGTCCGGAAGATACTCACATCGATGCAGGATATGTCTCCAGTTGAATTGATGAAGGGATTTTGAGTATTTTCCATTTATTTGCACAAATCTTTCACTGAATGTTTTGTTTACATTCTTGACACGAACAGCTGATGCGCCAAACCTTACAACAGTGAACAGGAAAAACTTTCAATAGCATTCGTGCCATGCGCTTGAATATAGGCAAAACTGTTATTTTGAATAGAGCACAATAATTAACTTTGATAAGGAAATGAAATTTTCAATTCCCTACAGTAATGAGTCGTCATGTTCTCAAAATACTACCATTTTTTGAATTAATACACGACCAGACCTTGGGCCATAGGATGTGGCAATTTCTTCGAAGCATACTAGAAGCGATACGTGAAGAACGACATGAGAATTGTATTTGTGCCGCTGGTGCTGCCCTTCACCTTCTCCAGTCATCTTGTGGAAATACAATACCGTGGAAAACAACATCCGTAACATCACATCCCAGGAGAACCTGCAGAACTGTCATGGCGACAAACAGGAAGCGAAAAAGCGGAGTGTATCTTGTATAAAGAATGCTTAGCCGAACAATTTTGTGATAATCTGCAATGATCTTATTAAATTGCAAAGCACCATATGTAATAATTTATAATATAATATAAATATCATATAATATTGTATGATATTGCATATTTTTAAATATTGTATGATTTTGTCTTCTACATTGCAGGTATATCCAGAGATTGCTTCTTGGATTTCTTCTTTTTTTTTTGAAAAAGCTATAAAAATCCATCTTCAAAGAGCTAAACAAAACGAGTACTTATTGCTGTTCTTGTGAGCATTGATGCTCATAAAAATTCTTTGCAGCATCGCTTTTCGATTATGAGATGTCATGGCACCATTTTTCTGCGTCCGCTGACTTTTTATTGAAGCCATTTTTCGCGGCTTCTCCCCAGATCTGTCAGTCACGCGAGCTCCAACCGTCCAATCGACGCGAGCAACGCTTCCCAATTGTCATGGTTACACGGCTTTGCTTTCCCATTGGCGCATTTCAGGTTCTTCTGCTCCCCACTCCGAAGTCACGCGTTATGCTGTTCGGAAAAACCAGGAAATTCGATCATTTCTCGAATGTGAAATCCAGTTTTCGGCCGTTAAAGGGGTACTTAGATAACAGTTCCGTATTTTCTGGGGTAGTTTCCTGGAAAATCATATATATTAGATTCTGTTTTATCGACTGTGGGGTGGAAAAGAGAGCAAATTTGAGCTAGTTTGTCAAAGAGAGCAGCACTTTCTGTCCATATCCATCGGCACTTTTCGAACAAATTGAGCCATTTATATAAGTTATTTTATTATTAAAGTAATTCACTGGCATTTACACGCGCATTTAATTTGTGAGAAGCCAGAGGATGAATTTGCCCGTGCGCCTCATCGGAATCGAGGGTTATATATTGTAATTGAGCCAATTAATTATCATCATTTCTTCGCAGAATTAAGCGAGATCACTGCAAATTGTGCACACAATGCACAAACAAGGGAGCAACCACAATAGAAGGGACAATAACGCGCTTAATATGAATAAATTGGTAAATTATTATGTTGAATATATCGTTCTGACAAATTGAATTTGTTAATGACAATAATTTCCATGCTCAGTAAAGATGTTTTGTCATTATAGAAAATTATTTATTGCCCATAAAGCATGAGGGATCACACATCGCGTTCACTTGTGTTCAAACAACCACGGAATTCCTAAAGCCGAGAAGCTCGTCCATTTATTGATACATTGTGGGAACTGATGGAGGATTTAATGTACATACAAGGTGACTGCCACGTTGCCGTCTAATTGAAGAAAACGAATTTGGCGCCAAAGTTTACACACTCACGATGGGGTGACTTGCACTTTCACGCGGATCCAGCAATCACTCTATTCTTCGCCACGTCGAGAGTGGGAGAATCGATGAGATCGTGAGTGTGTTGAAATATTTTTCGGATGATTAAGAAAGCTTTTATATCCTGCTTCCATGTTCTTGGGCAGTCAATTTGGTTTTGAGTCATTATTGTTGTGAAAATTCACTAATTCTAAGCGAAATACTCTTGGTGAATTCTAGAATTGAAAGGAAATGATATTGTTCATCGCAAAAAATACATCAGAAATTTCTTCAAGATTTGATTTAGGTAATTAAATGAAATTGTACCAATTCCCAATTTTTATTGTGTACAGAAAACTTATGAATTGAGTTCAATTTTAGCTAAAGCATATTTTAAGCGGCAATGTTTCACATTAAAGTATCGCAATCTATTCATCATATGGGTATTATATTTAAGAATTTATGTTGTATTTTTAATCCTGATTAGAAGCATTTCTGTAATTCTAAAAGTCTCTGAAAGGTTTTAGAAGTACATATATTTTTCTACAGTCCTCTTCTCACTCTTCAACTCTTTATCTCTTCACAATATCTGTTTGACAGGCAGCACAAAAGGACATCATTTTAATTACTCAAAGGCAAACTTCCATGCAACAATGCTTCTTTCTTCCGTCCTTGCACAAAAAACTAGCTCATTCTCGCCTTGACGCACCATTTCATGGCAGGTCGTCTTGAAAAATAGGTAAAATTTAATCACTTTCGCTTCGCATAATCAATTTGACTGACACTTGACGTTGCCTAATAATTTCTGTGATCCTCCCCCGAGTTGAAGATCCGCAGCACAAAAGAACTTGGACAATCGGGCGAAGATGCCAGCATTGCTGGAGGAAGAAAGGTGGACAGAAAAAACACGAACGCCACAAACATTTAATACAAATAGATGTTCAATGAGATCGTCGGAATGGAAACACAAAAGATCCTCACAAGGGCGGAGATGCAAAGGGATGATTGCGGAGGGAAAAGGTTCGGTCAATTGCAGCCAAACGGAAGACAACAAAGGACGATCATTTGCGCAAAACTCTTCTGTTTCATCTGAAGATCACTTTTTGAGCATATATTTCTGCCGAGATGTCAATCTTCTAATCCCCAAGTTTCCCATGTGAGGTCTATCGTTGTCTTGGGTTCACTCCCACTCAGGCTGGCGAGGGATGCATTTAACACTATTAGGAAACTAAGTGCCTGGGCTTAAGAGATCGAAGATCGCCAGTGAGAGCGAAAGGTAGAAGCCAGCATCCTGAAAAAGGATTTCTTCCTGCTGATGCGATCTTGGAATTTGGTTTCCGCACTGAGCGTGAAATTAATGAATAACCTCTGGAACTGGAATATATGCTGCGAAGCAGCAGATCATAAACCATACAGAAGGTGTATAACAAAAAGACCCACGAGAGACTTGTTAATGAACTCGAAGATCACCCAGAAAAAAGCGGCCAAGAGAGGCACTTTTTGTAATGAGTGCGGAAGACACAGTGTTAAGCATAAACAAGTCCTTTCTATTTCGGGGTTATTAATAAATCACAATATAAATAAACAGATTTTTGCCCTCCCTCATGGCGAGATGAAATATTGTGGAGCGCATAAACTTAATCTCATTTCTCGATTTCCCACACTGGACTTGCAGCCACCCGGAGATGAAAGGACCCGATCTGGCGCCAAAAGGATAAAGCCAGGCTCGAGACGAGCGGTCAGGCGTTGAGGGGATTTTTGAATAAAAGAACCATAGCGTACGAAATTGTGGTGTTGGTGGAAAAAAGTCTTCATTAACACTTCGCGGTGCACCTTTTGCCGCGCGCACCGTCTCATCGTGACTCTTTTTCAATGAAACATAAAGTGATCGTTGGTTTTATTAATTACTAACCAACTAAATCCATCCGATTGACGTTTTTATGACGCCGGATCGCGCATTACGAAGCACTTTTTCCCCCAACATTCTTGATGTGTTCATCAGACGCCAGCCAGCATCATTGAGAATATCAAGAATACATTTTTACTGCATTCGATACTCACACAAGAGATCCGCCGATGATTTACTATTTGTTTGCCGTATTTTGTGTGCCTATTCTGTGATCGACACTCTCGTGATGCCTTTTCATCTCTCAGAAGCACATCATGTAGAGTGAGATTTCTAACACCGAGAATGGCAAAAACAGAGTTCTTTTCTTTTTACGGGTGATTTTTTTGGCATTTGGAAAAAAATCTCGCAGGTATTTTCTAATTGATTTAATTTTCTAACAAATACACATATTTTGATATTATTGAAACATTATTATTGTGCTCAAGAAGTCGAATAGCTTGGAAGTATGATGTGATATTGCTTGTGCGATTTTTACCAAGTGTGTATCCTTCACGTGTGTTACCTGCGAGTCGGCAAATTCAGCATGACGGACTCCTCAAGTGACCTTTGTGGTGAGAAAAGGTGCCTTGTGTATAATTTAATTAGTGCCAAAGCCCGAAGAGGCCCGCAACACCTTCCTTCAGTCCAGATGAAAGTGCAAAGAAGTGTTGAAGGGGAAAAAGTAAGGGAGTGATTATGGCATTATTAATTAGCCTCACTCTGGCAGAGCGCGATACATATAATTCCGAGAGCTCGAAAACCAAAGTATCAATGCTCGGCTCTTCGCCAGCCGAGACGCTAATGAGTCTTACACAATTGAAATTAGCAGAGGAAAACGCACTCATTTGCTGCGCATAAATATGCACAACTTCCATTGAAATTAATACATTACTATTATATATTTTATTTCATTGCAAGACGCACTCAAGATCTCATGACAGATGAAGATTTCATGTGTGAAGTAATTGGGATGGTCTGGGAATCTTCCTTCTTGGCCAGTAATCGTCAAGTGCCACGTAATTTCTTCATTCCACGCGGGGGAGAAGGTCGAAAGTTTTTTTTTATGAATGGTGAGGCTCTTATTTTCCTCCTTTTACCTGTAATTTCATATATCATTCATTGCTCGATTTCCAGTTCCTCGTAGACACTTTCTCGTGAGGTTGTGTACTTGATCGTGAATTATCACTCATCATTGAAAATTACACACATGGAAAAAAGTAAATTGCAACCTCTTAAATTAATTAATTAATTGAGTTCCCCAATCTCAAAAATTCACAACGTTGCACTGTACACGGTGTTGCGATTGTGCAAATTCGTTAAAAATTAAGAAACATGCGAGGAAAGATTTTGAGTTATTAAAAGCATTCTGAACATTCTGAAATACACTGTCAAATTAATGTGGAA